AGAGAGGGAGGAAATGAGGAGAAAGGGGGGGGTTATGTGAGGCGCTGGTGGAACTGCTCGAGCGCCGTGACGCCAAAGGACATCGGACGGCTTCTTGAGCGCATCCAGTACACAGCGCAGGGCTATGCCTGGGGTGATCGATAAGACCAGCTGGTGCTTCACCAAGGAGCAGGGCATAAGGAGCATGTGAGGGAATATGCGAGCCAGAAAAGTTGGACGGGGGAAAAAGGTGTATTGTGGAAGGTGAGGTGGTGGAGGATGAAATTGACACTCACGAAATCATGCATTCACTATGAAGCACGCCTTCCAACCGGCTGAAACGCCACTCACCAAAGAGGACAGCCGCGATGTGGAGCTCCTTGTCGGGGTAGCACGGGAAGAAGCGGCACAAAACTTCCATTAAAAAAAAAAAAAAAAAAAAAAAAAAAAGCAAGCCTAGTGACGGTCTTACTTGGAAAAGAAGACACAACTCACCAAAGAGGACAGCAGTGATGCGGAGCTCCTTGTCGGGGTAGCGTGGGAAGAAGCGGTACTCGTCAAAGAGGCTCTGAATCATGCACGCAAACACGTCTTGCTCCCTGCAGGACAGGAAGACGGAGGCGAGGGGAAGAAGAGCGCGAGACGGAAAGAGGACGAGGCACAGAAAGGTAGGTGTGACTCAAAGAAAGCAGTATCCGTCAAAGAAGCCCTGAATCATGCACGCGAACGAATAAAGGGGCGAAAGGGAAAGCTCAACCCAAAACCCGAACCCTGAACCAGCAAGCCTGCTCCACCACCCACCCACCTTTGCACGGAGGAACCGTTGAAGCGTTTCAGCATGTCCACCACCTCCTCAATACTCAGCTGCCCTACGTAAATCTTCTGAAAGTACGCCTTCACCTCCTCCTCCTCTATGTCACTCGCAAAGAATCAACCCCACCCCACCTGAACCAAATTCCACCCTAAACCCGCAAGCTGCTCACCTTTGCACGGAGGAACCATTGAAGCGGTTCAGCATATCCACCACCTCCTCAATGCTCAGCTGCCCCACATATATCTTCTGAAAGTAAGCATTCGTCTCCTCCTCTATGTCGCTCGCAAATAATCAACCCCACACCACCTAGACCGAACCCTGCCCTAGACCCGCAAGCTACCCACCTTTGCACGGAGGAACCATTGAAGCGCTTCAGCATATCCACCACCTCCTCAATGCTCAGCTGCCCCACGTAGATCTTCTGGAAGTAAGCATTCGCCTCCTCCTCTATGTCACTCGCAAACACGTCCGCCGGGGCCTGCTCGGGCACTGCCACGGTCTGCAGCGCCGGGTGCAGCTGCAGCGCGGACGCGTACAGGGCTTTAAGCTCGTCGCCCAGCTCGGGCGCCTGCAGCTGCGGCGCGTTGGCTTGGAGGACCTGCGGAGTGGAGGGTGTGGCCAGGGGAGGGCGTGACGGGGGAGGGCGTGCGTGACGGGGGGTGGGGAAAAAACTTTTGAGTCGACTGAAAAGGGCGCCTGTAGCTGCGGCGCGTTGGCTTGGAGGACCTGCGGAGTGGAGGGTGTGGCCAGGGAAGGGCGTGATGGGGGATTGGGAAGAGAAGGCAGGGCGTGACGGGGGATGGAAAGAAAAGGCAGGGGAAAGGCGGGAGAGGGGAAAACGGGGGCCGGGGAGAAGCGAGGGAGGTGGCGACGAGGCAGACCGTGAGTGGGCTTGTTCTGGGAAAGAAAAAAACGGCTAGCATGGGGAAGCAGTAGCATCGGGAAGCAGTAGCATGGGGAAGCAGCACGGTAAGCTTGCCTTGAAGAAGATGGCGAGCGTTTCCAGTGACAGGTTGATTCTCTGCGCGCTGGCGTCCTGGCTGTCCTGCACCAGCTTGGCCCTCAGGAAGTGCAGACACGCCTGCATGGAGGAAAGGAAGAGGCCACAAGAGGGGAGAGAGACAGGAAGGGAGTGAGAGAGAGCAAGAGAGTGAGGGAGAATCAGGGGCATTCTCTGCACGCTGGCATCCTGGCTGTCCTACACCAGCTTGGCCCTCAGGAACTGCAGACACGCCTGCATGGGTGGAGAGGCCGCAAGAGAGCAAAAAGGGAGTGAGATGGGAGGGGGTGAGAGGTAGAGCGTGAGGAAGAGATCAGGTGTGGTTTGCTATAGCTGGAATCCTTGCTGTTCTACACCAGCTTGGCTCTTAGAGATTGCAGACACGCCTGCATGCCAACATCTGATCTGCGTACAAGTGCATATCCCACCTTGAAGAGGGAGTCGCGGCGCTCTTAGAGTGAGCGTCTCCTGCAACCACTTCTCGAGGTTGAGGTACTCGCGGCAAGTCGAGAAGTGCTTACAGCGAAAGGCGCTTGCACTGAGAGATGCTGGTAAAACGACAAGGCAAACCCTCCCCCGCCATCGTACCTTAAAAAGAGAGTCACGGTGCAGAGTGAGCGCCTCCTGCAGCCACTTCTCAAGGTTGAGGTACTCGCGGCGAGATGCAAGAGAAGCGAGGTCCAGGGAGAATGAGAACGGCGTGCTCTCCAGCACCACCGACAGGACCTGCGAAACAACCACATAACAAAACTTGTCAAAATTAATGCAAAAAAAAAAGGCTCTGCATAGCACCTGCACCTCCCTCCTGCCCTCACCTTGAGATCTTGGCACACGTCGAGGAGGCGAGCAATGCTAGTGGGGTCGCTGGCGTGCACGCCCACCATCGCCTGCATCACCACGTCCTTCCCCCCTGGCACTCCCCACAGCGCATGCAGCACAATACTCGAGTTCGGATGATTCGCCAGATACAGAGGCACCAGCGCCCCCAGCACCTCCCTCTGAATCACCCCCCCTCCGGGCGTCTTCACCTGCGCCAGACTCACTATAAGCACCTCCGGGCAGTGCTTTATTGGGTATCCCAGCACTTCCAGCACCTCCGCCTTTCTCCCAGTCTCGCCGATCCTACAGAGGGCTTCTAGCAGGTCTAGGGAGACCCAGGCGCAGTTGGGCGTGCCCGTGGGGAGCTTGTGCCCGTGCAGGTTGTCCATGGGGGGGGTTTGGCGGGGGGAGTGCGCGAAGGTGAAGACTTCGGGGGGCGCGGAGACTGCATGGCGCAGGAAGGACAGCTGCCCCTCCGCGTTCGCCCACAGCTTGCCGCATACTGAGGGCAGAGGAAAGAGCTCCTGCGGAGATTGCCAGGGAAGGACAAGCAAGGATACGCGGGAGAGGGTGAATGGTGGGGGGAAACGTGTGAACGAGAGGCAGTATCACCGCCTGAACGAGGGGCGGAGGAAGGACAGCTGCCCCTCCGCGTTCGCCCACAGCTTGCCGCATACGGAGGGCAGGGGGAAGAGCTCCTGCGGGTGTTGGGTGGAGGGGGCAAGGAGGAATACGCGGGAGAGAGAGTGAGGTGGAGGGCGCGTTCAAAAACGTGAGCCAGATTCGACTGTCAGCGCTTGAAGGGACAGCGGAGGAAGGAGAGCTGCCCCTCCGCGTTCGCCCACAGCTTGCCACATACTGAGGGCAGGGGAAAGAGCTCCTGAGGATAATAGTGGAGAGGGCAAGGAGGGATACGCGGGAGAGAGAGTGAGGTGGAGGGCGCGTTCAAAAACGTGAGCCAGATTCGACTGTCAGCGCCTGAAGGGACAGCGCAGGTAGGAGCGCTGCCCCTCCGCGTTTGCCCACAGCCTGCCGCATACGGACGGCAGGGGGAAGAGCTCCTGCGGGCGGGTGTTGTGTTGACGCCAAGAAGGATAAGAGCGAGGGCGTAGGGTACGAGGAACGCAGTCAAGAAGAAACGGTGGGTGAACGAGCAATAGAGCGAGCATCAGCGGGAAACCGAGGATGCTTGCAGGGGAATTAGGAGGCATTAAAGGAGGAAGCTCGTGTTGTAGTGCTGCGGTGAGCCACTCAGGGAATGACGCAGAGAGGAAGGGAAGGCGGTTCACTTCACAGCATGTGGGAGAAAGGCGAGCTGCGGATTGGACAGGGAATACACGACCTTCAAAAGCCACAGCAGGGTACATATGATACGACACAGGCACGACAAACACCTTCGCGACCAAAAGCAGTGCCCTTTGAGGCTTCTTGCAAGTAACTCACAGACTCGCATACACATACCTTGGTAGCTTTTGAGTGCATGAGCACGAGCGCGCTGAAGCCCTTCTGATCCTTGACAAAGAAGCCCGGGTAATCCAGATGGTTGATCACCGACGACCAGCTCAGCCTCGGCGCCTGGCACAGGCACACGCAAGAAAGGGGTGGAAGAGCGAAGCGAGGGTTAATGCGCGCTGAAGCCCTTCAGATCCTTGACAAAAAAGCTTGGTTAGTCAAGATGGTTGATGACCGACGACCAGTTCAGCCTCGGCGCCTGGCTCAGGCACAGCACACACAAGAAGGACGTTGGAACAAGAAGATGAGTTAGCGAAGCCTGTGGTCCTTGACAAAAAAAAACTGGGAATCCAGATGGTTAACTACAGACGGCTAGCTCAGCCTCGGCGCCTACTTCATACACACGCAAGAAGGATGATAGAGGAAGGATGTGGGGGACACGTTAACGAAGCTATCCTTGACGAAAAAGCCCGGGTATTCAAGATAGTTGATCACCGACGACCAGCTCAGCCTCAGCGCCTGGCTCAAGCACACGAAAGAAAGGATGTTAGAACGACAGAGCCTTGGATGATCCCTCACACCCACCAGCTGAACGATGGCTTCAACCAGCACATCCACATTCCAGAAGGTGAGCGGCCCAGCGCCCCCGCCGCGCGTCTCCACCGACCTCTTCGCCACCACGCCCATGACCCGCGCGACGTCCGCCTCGCTGATGCTGCTGCTGCCGGCGCTGTGCTCCTTGAGCACGGCCTTGCAGTGCTCCACCGTGTCCGTGCAGCCAAACCCTAGCTCCTCCATCGCCCACGCCTTGACCTGACACTCACCAGCTGAAGACACTCACCAGCTGAACGATGGCTTCAACCAGCACGTCCACATTCCAGAACGTGAGCGGGCCAACAACGCCGCCGCGCGTCTCCACGGACCCTTTGGCCACCACGCCCATGACCCGCGCGACGTCCGCCTCGCTGATGCTGCTGCCGGCGCTGTGCTCCTTGAGCACGGCCTTGCAGTGCTCCACCGTGTCCGTGCACCCAAACCCTAACTCCTCCATCGCCGATGCCATGTCCTTTGCCTTGGAACCAGAGGCGGACGCGGAAGCGGAAGCGGAAGCGGAGGCCATGATGGAATTGACGAAGGCGGACCAATCCCGAGGCAGGTCACTGCGCAAAACAAACGTCGCAGGAACGACGCGGTTAAAGACTCTGTAAATGGTGTTACGAAAACAAAAACAGAAAACAAAGCAACGAATAACGGCGATTGCCTGAAATGAAATCTCCCTCAAAATGCAGTGCGACGTACACGAAATCTTTTCCGAGCGGACCGCTCTTTTCTAGGAACGGAAGGAGGTATATCGGGAACGGATCTTTCGTGAGACGCCAGCAGAGCGATTCCTCCAAGATGAGCGCGTGCTCCTTGAGCTGAGGATACGACGAGCACGTCAGAAAGACGCTCCAGAACAAATCGCCTGGTAGTGCGGAAACTTCGGCTTCGGGCAATCCGCCAATCACGCAGTCGATTAGGTCAAGAGCTGCGCAATACGAAAATAAATAGGTGGGTTTAATAATTGATAGTAAAAAAAGTAATCTAAGAGAAACTAACCGCAACAGATAACCAAGAGGAATAAACTCGTACCTTCTTCCTTCCAAAATGGAGATCCGACGTCAGCGAGACCAACGCCTAAGCGAAGCTGAACGGGAGCAGGAAGACCGATAATAGCCAAAGAAATCTTCAGGAAACCCTTGTAAGGTTCGGAGAAATGACCTAGAGCTCGAGCTACGGTAGTCGGAAAATCGGTTCTACGAGAGAGGCACTCTAATGTGGATGCTCGAAAGCAGGTGATGCTTCAATTCCACGTTTTGATCGCCGCCTTGGTCGTCGCTAAAGAGAGCGTCCAGACAGGAACGGAGAATAAGCTGATTCGCCTCAAGTCCCGCTAGATCTGCAATCTGGAAAACCCGCAGCGACAGACAGCAGTTTGGCGAGATTAAGATTAATATTGAAATAACGTGATATTCTTACCCTATCATTCAAAAAAAAAAAAAAAAAAAAAAAAAAAAAAAAAAAAAAAAACGGGAAAGTTACTGAAAGCCTAAAGCATAACGTTAACATTCGATAAGCCTACCTGAATAAGTTCAGAAACAACGGCCTTATAGTTGCTCTCCGTAATTCCGTGCACAAGGCGTCGTATCTGGACTGAAACAGCCGACCCAAGAGAAAACATCATCACCACCTCCCGCGCCGTCGCAGCGAGACCTCGCAACCGCTATCATGACAGCTTCTTTTCCGAGAGACTAAACGTCTATTGTATCCTACGCCGCGCGTCATGGATACAAACCACTAGCCATGGTATCCTGGCGAAGCAGCCATGGCTGGACTGTGATTGGAGGGATCTGGAATAGCGGACGAGATGAAACCGAGGGTCTGAGGATAAGGAGAACAGTTTCGCCAGTAAATCGTCCAAAAGCGGTTACTTGTCGTGTTTCTCGCTGACCGTTCATCGTGCTTCCACCCCAGCAGCGACCGGCTATTTGTTCGTGATGATGGTGTGCTGCTCGGTTTTGGTGATGCCGCAATTGGTATTGGTATGTATGCCCCAGCTCCCACCTTGATAACATCCCTGAAGGCACCAGCATTTTGTTGTGCCTGCTATCTACACGTCCATGCTTGTAACGCCCATTCGAAGACTTCAACAGCGCGTAATCCCCGTTACAAACCTCTGTTTGAAACTACGTGATGAACTTCCGCCACTGTATAATTGGACAACAACTCAAAACATTTTGCTGTGCTTCGCAAGTGTTCGCGAAGAAACACGTCATCACGCGGCCGAATTTCGGCAAAACGGGGGAGCGGCGGAAGCGAGACGCATTTTACGCCAGACAGCCGAAGTTCCGAGAGCCAGGGAGGGAGGAATCAAGGTGGTGCAGCAGACTGACTAGCAGTAGGCGTATTCGCGACGCGACGGGAGTCGATTCTCGTTCGACGATATCAAGACAGCGTTTGAAGTAGGCTGAGGAGGAGTGTCAGGAGGAGAGCCGCCAAAGGCCTAAGGTCAACCCTATCGCATCTCCCGACTCGATGGAACGCCTTCAATGGACGAAGCAAAGCGACTCGCCGCCCTTTCGATGGATCCTAGCAAGTATAAATCGCGGTCGTTTCACACCGGTCCTTCTCAATCGTCGCTCCCGTTTTCGTTCATTGACTCGCAAACCGCAACCACCACAAGTCCTTCTCGCTCCGTGTATCTCATTAGGTCTCCATCCTCCAAGACGGTCGTCGATTAATCATTTTCGTTTCCACTGACGGTGGAAATAACGCTTGCTCCGGACACTCTTTGTCTCTCGGCCTCTTTGTCCCTAGTACAACGCGTTTGTCTCGGCGATCTCTATCCGAAGCCATGGCTCTGGTCAATCGGACAGTCGCCGTCATCACTCTCGTGCTTCTCATCGCTCTCTGCTCAGATCCATTCTCCGTGGACGCGCGTTTCGTTGGCATTTCCTCGAGCTTTCGTCCTTCCGGCTTTATGAGCAACAAGGATTGGCTATGGCTCTCCTCGCGAAACCTACGAGAAGCTTCGCGGTCGAACTCAGATCCAACGTCCTCCGTCGCGCAAGAACCTTCGGTGGAAGCTATTGGTGCTACCGAATCCGATCCTGCTACGATGACGTCCAACGGCGACTCGTTAGAAGTGTCCATTTTCTGGTCACCGTCGCCGTCTCCGTCGCCGTCGCCAGCGCCGTCGCCAGCACCGTCTCCAGCATCGTCGCCTGCACCGTCGCCAGCACCGTCGCCAGCACTATCGCCAGCACCAGTCGCACCCTGCCCGTCGCCAGCGATCGCTTCGAATACCTCTGCGACAGCGCCTGCTCCTGCGAGCGCCAGCTGTCCCGTGTGCCTCACGGTGACTGGCGGAGGCGCATACTCGCGACCATGCTGCCTTCCGGAAGCCACGTGCTGCGGTAGCGGCGACACTGCGATTTGCTGGGGCGTGTGCGGAAACACAACCTGCTGTGGCGTTGTAAGTAACGAATGATGCCTCGAGATTAATCTCCGCGTTTTTTGCAAGCACCAGATTTTCATCGTTTTTTATTCATATCTTTCCCTGATAGATTGCTCCTTACATTACTGACTCCTCGTGTTCCTACTGGTCTTGTATGCAGAGCGAGAGCACGTTGGATCACACGTGCTGTGGAGGGGTCTGCTGTCCCATCGCTAACTGCTGCAGTGGGTCTGCTACGCCCGTCTGCTGCTCGCAAGGAAACACGTGCTGTTTGTAGGGTTCATACGGGGTACCCCAGACCAGATGCGTCGCATTAGCTATAGCATTTTTTGCTGTACTGTGTGGTCCTTAGGTAGTGTGCCTTCTGGCAGTGTGTATAGTAGAGCGCATTTTTCCCCATGAGGTGTCCATCCATACTGGATATTAACATGACCCCTCCCCCCACCACCTAGTTGTCACAATGCTAGGCCAAAACGAGAAACAGGCAAGAAGGGTTTTAGGAGCTGTAGGAGGGGTGGGGCGCCAGTAGAAGCACGGGGGACAGTGGGGAGGGCAGGGGCAGCGAGGAACGGGCCGCCCACGGGCCTGGCATAGCCGCCCGAACCGCGCGCAGGCGGCCCGAGCCGCGCGCGGGCCTGGCGCTTCCCGTACGGGCCGCGCGCGGGCCTGGCGCAGCCCGTACGGGCCGCGCGCGGGCCTGGCGCAGCCCGTACGGGCCGCGCGCCGGCTGTACGGGCCGCGCGCAGGCCACGACGGGCGACGGGGGGCGACGCGCGGGTCCCCGTCGCCCGTCGCAGCGCCTCCCGGGGGCGACGCGCCGAGTGACGGGGCAGAAAACCGCCGCGCGCCCCGGGCGCGCGGCGGGAAGAAAAAATCGCTGCGCGCCCGGAGCGCGCGGCAGGCAGGAAACAGCAGGAAACAACAGCGGAAGCTTCTGGTGGGACCACCCACAGGATCGACCCAGGAGGGTCGACCCGCTCTGATAGCATGTCACAATGCTAGGCCAAAACGAGAAACAGGCAAGAAGGGTTTTGACTAACAAGCATAGGGATACATATATGCAAACCCTAGAAGGGCTGTACTCGCTATAGAGTACCCCACTGCAGGCTAGACAACCATCACATTCTGACACTAGTCTGCAGATACCTGTGTGATTTGCGAAGCTGTCTAGCGTGACATGCAAGGCAGCCTAAAGGGCGCTTTGGATTCTGTTAGTCCGGCAATAACCAGCGCTTGCTCGTATGGATCTTGAGGCTACTTTTTACAGTATGGCATTCTCCCAACGCTGGTGTGGTGGATCTTTGGAACCATTTGTTCCATTCCAGCATTGAATCCACTTGTTCTGGCACTCTCTACATGCTGGGGGTTCTCAACTTTAGTTGTTCCGGCATTCCCCTCATGCTGACAGCTCGTGCAGCATTCCCGTTAAGCTGACGGTTCTTATATCTACCATTACTTATTCTGGCACTCTCCTCATGCTGGCGGTTCTTGAATCCAACCAATGGTTTTGGCATTCTCCTCTCCTCGTAGGATTCTAAGCAGAAAAAATACCTTCAAAAAGACCAGCAACTGTTATTAAAAGCTACATACCGGTACAGTCCTATGCAGTGGCACCATAGACTGTGCTACTGCTGCGGCGTCAGAAATAAATACACGGTAACGTTCGAGGCTTCCCAAGTCTATCTGACTACACTACACTGCACTGCTTCTATGGCACAGAGAATCGTGCCAGGGTCGAGGCAATGCTACAACCAACGTAAGCAGGTGTTGGACCAACATTGAGTCAGCATAAGCTGCAAATCCCTGGGCGTGCCTTGAGCACGCAGCTAATACATGTCCTCCTGCTGCAACCTACTTGCCCGCACAGACACTATGCCTGGACAGGGGGACACCGGTGGAGACAAGGGCTTCCCTGACCTGAGAAGAAGACAAAGAATGAGATAAGCCACAGATTTGAATGAGATCAAAACAAGAGCATGCAAATCTCTTGCTGGTGAAAGCAGGACTTTTGACCCGTAGCTGGCTGTATCATGCCAATCTCACCGTTTTGGGACAAAGGGTTCCCCGTAGGATGGTTTGGGAACTGCGTGGTGAACCATCCCCTTGCGCATCTTCTTGATCTCCTCCTCCTCTTCCTTCTGCAAGGCCCACAGCGCAAGCTCAAGAAGTCAGCAACAAATGGGCGCAGCAAGAAACTCTATCCTTGAGGCTCTTCGAGGTCGAGTCGGCAAAGTATCGTTCCACAACAAGAATGCGTGCGAGATCGTGCAATGACTAGGCAGGGAAACTAACCCTGAGACGTGCTTGGATCTTGGCGTACTCCTCTTCACCCCGCTGACATCTCTCAGCAAACTGCAACAACACAATGAGAAAAAAAGACAGAAAAACCTAGACATCAACTACGGAAAGTAAAAATCACCCAGACATCAATCAAGTTAAGAATTATAAAGAAACACAAACAATGAGTTTCCGAGTAATGGCAACTCAGCGACTGAAAATGGAAATAGCACCTGCTGTTTCAGGATGTAGCACTTTATTCACATACCGCTTTCTTGACGCATGCGTGGTGCTCTGCCTGGCGGTCGATGTTCAGGTTGAATGGCTCCACCTCCGTCAGCACACGATTGCTGCGCCTTGGGGGCTCAGGCCTGGGAGGGACGAAACAACCACACCATATTATGAGAAATCGCATGCGTGGTGCTCTGCCTGGTGGTCCACGTTCAGGTTGAATGGCTCCACCTCCGTCAGCACACGATTGCTGCGCCTGGGGGGCTCAGGCCTGGGAGGGACGAAACAACCACACCAAATGATGAGAAATCACATGCGTGGTGCTCTGCCTGGCGGCCACGTTCAGGTTGAATGGCTCCACCTCCGTCAGCACACGGGTGATGCGCCTGGGGGGCTCAGGCCTGGAAGGGATGGAATAACCACAAGGAATCATGAGAAAGGCAGCCACCTCCGTCAGCACACGATTGCTGAGCCTGGGGAGCTCCGGACTGGGAGGGACCAATCATCCGTAGCCAGGAGTGGGACGGAGCAGAGCCGCAACCAGACAGGAGCACAAAAGGGATGACAAAGTTGATGAGAAAACAAACAGGAGATCAAAACACGACCGGGGTGAGAGGCTTGCAGAGACCATAACAAACATTGACATAGGAAAGCAGTGCAACTTCGGAGACACGAGCAGCCTTCGAAGCCCCAGCCGCAGGCGCAAACCAAACCCAATCACACTCTTACGCCCAATCTCTGTGCTCCAGAACTTGATGCTTGGCCATATCAGTCAGCCTCTCCCCCTTGACAGCCAGCACTCACCGCTTGGTCATGTCAGGCAGGGGCTGGGCGTGGAACTCCTTCTGAGCAGCCTCCTCCTGCGCCTTCCTCTGCGCCTCCTCCTCCAGACGCTGCTGCGCCATCTGGTGGCGCCGCACCGACTCAAGCTCAAACTCCTGCGGCTCTGTGGCTGGCCTGGTGGGCGGCTTGCGTAGGAACTCGGGAGCGAGGGTGGTGTACGGCATGGGTGCTGCTAAGGGAATGGCGGCCCTGCGCCTCTCCTCTTCCTCTTCCGCGAGCTTCTGCTGTAGCTTTTGCTGCTTTGCCTGCCCGCGCTCCTGTACTCATGTGGGCATATAACGGGGTTAGGAATGTCTGCAGGTCAGTAGATGTTGGTGATCAGACCCATGGCTGAAAAGGGAGGCATGCCGAATAGGAAAGGCTGTGGGGAATCATGCGTGGGCTGTGCTAGAATGGGAGAATAGGAGAAGCAAGCTGACCTCAGTATACAGGTGGAACTCGCGTGTGTGGTTGGCGGATAGAACCTGCAGCAGAGGAGCAAGAAAAAAAACACATCAGTCTGAGTCGAGGCTCTCTACATACCCCAGAAGGAGGACGTTGGGTTACCATAGAAGATTTCACGGGGATTTCAAAAGTACAAGGGATCTCGGCATACTGATTCAATGGGCAACCTATGCGTGCATGAGAGAAAGCCGTGCATTACCTCCGAGCTGGCGTGCTTGCTGGTGTGCATGCGCTTCGCCGCATTCGCCATCTCCTCCAGCTCCCTCTCTTCACTGCTCTTCACCCTGAAAAAAGCACACACCAGAAACAAATCAACCAGAAACCAATTCAATGAGAAAGAAGGAAAAAAACACAAGCCTACGCATTCAACCTGCTTCCATCAGCACACCACTTACTTGGCTGCTCGTGCACGCAGCTTGGTGGTCAGCATGGGGGAGCAAGGCACTGTGGGAAGTCTCGGACCAGCCGCACCACCACCAGCACCCGTGCCAGTACCACCATTCGCGGCAGCACCACCAGCACCAGCATCTGTCGCTCTCCTCTTTGAAGCAGACCGGGTCATCACCCCAGTGCCAGCAGCCTCCCCTTCCTGCAGCACCCTGAACCGCCTTGGACGCTCCCTCGTCAGCAGCTTCGGCGACACAGGCTTGGTCACACGGGGAGCATCGGAAGCACCAGAAGAGGCGGCAGCAGGAGCAGCAGAAGCCTCACCGTCCGGCCTCATATGTGCAGAGAAGGAGCTCAGCTCCTGAGCGAGGGAGACAAACGGCTTGGCTTCCTTCTTCAGCTGCTCATCCTTGGGTCGCTGACGCCGGTCGGTCTTCAGGTCAAACGGTTCAGGTACGGTTAGAGTAGCCCCATGGAAAGGCCCGCCCTCATGCGCTTGGGACTCTGTTCCAGATGATGACCGGCTGCTCCTGGCGCCAAACATGCTCACGCTTTCAGCAAGCGAGACAAACGGCTTGGCTTCCTTCTTCAGCTGCTCGTCCTTTGGTCGCAGGCGCCTGTCAGTCTTGAAGTCAAACGGCTCAGGTATAGTTAGGGTAGCCCCGTGGGAAGGCCCGCCCTCATGGGCTTTGTGCTCTGCCTCTGACGATCGATGATCGCTCCTGGCGCCGAACATGCTGACGCTCTGAGCGAGGGACACAAACGGCTTGGCTTCCTTCTTCAGCTGCTCGTCTTTCGGTCGCAGGCGCCTGTCTGTCTTGAAGTCAAACGGCTCAGGTACGGTTAGGCCCACTTCGTGTGTGGTTCCAGCTGCGTGTGAGCTTGACTCAACATCCGAGGATCGGTTGCTCCTGGTGCCAAACATGCTGACGCTCTGGGCAAGGGACACAAACGGTTTCACCTGCACACAAGCAAGTACGAACACACAATGCCTTGAGATTTACACCGAACGGTTTCACCGATTTACTGCTCACACACAGCAATTTCTTGCCTCCTTCATCTTCTCATTCTGAGAGCCACGCCTCTTCTCCGTTTTAAAGACGAACGGCTGGGGCACCGTGAGATGAGGCTCTGCTGCTGCAGGAACCGCTGACATCCCCGGACAATACCCACGCCTAGAACCAGCTAGTCCCTACAGTCTATCCCCATCAACTCACCTCCTTCACCTTCTCATTCTGAGAGCCACGCCTCTTTTCCGTTTTAAACACGAACGGCTGGGGCACCGTGAGATGAGGCTCTGCTGCTGCAGAAACCGCTGATACCCCTGGCCGAGTCCCATGCGCAGCACCAGCCTGGCAGCGCGAAGGCGGAGAGAAACAGAGGGTGAGTGAGAAACCAACTCAAGAGTTCGTCAAAAGGGTTGGAATAAGAGGCAGAGATTACAGGAAAGGGGATTTTAGGAGGCTGGGTGTCACAAAAATTAACACCACGAATATGGATTAATATTGTCAAACAGGGTGTTGATATTGCGTACCTCTGCATCTGACGATCGGCTCGAGCGAGCAAAGGCTTGCACGCTCTGCGCGAGGGAGACGAAGGGCTGTGCCTGCGACCAGGGCGACGAAAGTGGCGGACGGAATGAAGGTTGCTTTGCTGAAGTGGAGTGGCAAGAAGCAGGATTTTCTAAGCGCTACCCCGAGAACGTGTGTGGATCAACAGTGATCAACATTCGTGTTCATTACAACAAGGTGATTTTATGCCAAGGAGGACTAAATTCGAGAGTGACGCACCTCGTTTTTCAGCTTCGCTTCTCCTGGCCGGCTTCTGACGTCCGTTCTGAGATTGAACGGCTGCGGAACTGTGAGCCCTGTAGGGCGACTGCTGGGAGGAGCCTGCATGCGCACGACCAGGGGGGGTGTGGTGTATGCGCCATATTATTCACGAGCTAGGGAGCATGGAACCAGTAGAGCATATTATAAATAATAACGTTAATCAGCACATAGGCTCTGCAATTCGTATTGGAAGCATAGAAGCGCTATATTGAATCGAAAGCGAGGCAATGCACAGCGTGTTACCTTCCATTGCTGCGGGGTCCTGTCGACCTTCTGCCTCTTGTTCTCGCGTGACCTCGCCTTCGCCCCGCTGGCGGCCGCACTTCTGGCAGCAGAAGCTGCCGTCGCCGCCATGACAGACGGACGAGCAGCCCTGCAATCACACATGACAGACGGAACCGTGAGCACCTTCGAATTTGTACACTGATGTGGGAGACGCAAGACGGTAACAGGATCAAAACACCGGCAACTCAGCAGGTTCTACAGCTCCCATGGGGCTAAGGCTCCTGAGGAACGGGTAATAGCTGCTCCGAACAAACCCCGCACATACCCTGAAGGAGGAGCACCTCCTCTTGCTTTCAGCCTGGCAGAGGTTCGTCGGAGCGAAGCACGGGTGGATGCCGGTGCAGTAGCACGGCGGCTTACTGCCGGTCGAGTAGCAGCAGCAGGAGCAGCAGCAGCAGACGCACGGCCGGAGGCAGCAGAAGCATGCAGAGTGGCTACAGCCTCGGAAGCTGCAGCAGTGGCTTCAGCAGCACCGGCAATGAAAGAAGCAACGATAATCGAGGCATTGCCAGCCCCGGCAGGCTTTTTAGTCGCGTCAGCTGCTCCAGGAGCATCACCATGACCATCACACGCTTCAGCAGCAGCGTCATGCGTATCATCAGCACCACGCATCACACCATCAGCTCCGCCAGGCACATCACCCTCACCACCGGAACCACCAGCCTTCCGAGCACTGTGAGCCTTTGAAACCCTTGACTTCGCGCGGGTCGAGCGGGGCGTGCTGATTCGCATGCTCCTCAGCTGGTCCCAGAGCTTCTTCTTCGGAAATCCGCCACTCTCCGGAGACGGACTAACCATCTCCTCAACAGGGAAAACGGCCGTGATAATCCCATCCGTTTCCTCTTCCTCGCGGCTCCTCTTACTCGCGGAGCCACTGAGAGGTGGCAGAGGGTTGATATTTCCCGCGTGCGAGGCCGACGCCATGGCTCTGGTCTGCATGGCGTGAATCCTCCCTCCTGAGGATGTAATCTTGCACCCTGCAAACGGAGACAACCACACAAGGTTGTTACGAAAGTCCCGGGTGAAACCTACAACAATCCACGATAAAATCCATTAGTTTTACTATTGAAACGGCTATCCGGACCTTGTTCGTCTTGCGCTGTTTCGGGCTGAACCTCCTCTTCCGGCTCCGGTCCTTCTGCTGCAGCGTCCGATCCAGCCTCTGCTGCAGCGACATTCACACCAGCAGCGTGTAGCTCTACCACCTCAGCATCCACTGGATTTTCAACGTTCAATGCAATTTCCGTGTCGGTTCCGTCCTGTTGCAGCGCGTCTCCTTCGTCCTTCAAATCCACGTCGGTCCACTGCTTATCCTCCTCATCCTCCTTCACTGCTCCGCCGTTTCCGCCGTCATTCCCGGCGTTCTCTCCATCCATTGTAGAGACGTCATCGCACTTAACTCTGTATATGCCGAACAGGTTTGGGGCAACAACAAGAACAATCAGTACATGTACTAACACACAAGATCAATCATATAGAGAAGTACCACAAAACGTTTAATTAATCACCTTTGTGGCCCATCAGACTTTGTCGTAAACCGCGTAGGACGAGGAGTCGGTTCAGGAATCTGCGAATCCATGAGAAGTCGTGCGTCAGTTTGAAGCTTCTATGCAAAAATACTCCAAGATTGAGACAAAATAACCGTATGGCTCCCTAGATAACGAAAACATACCTTGATCGCGCTAAGAAGCGGTATCGCCTCCTTCGGCATCATGCGTTGACCAGAAGCCATGGCCTTCACAACCAGTGCTGCAAAGTAAAAAGAGCAACCAGACCGTTAAACCGACCTAATAAATAAAGAAATAAAGGCAGGAAGGAAGAAAGAAAGAAAGAAAGAAAATAACACAATAAACATAACGTAATTTGAGAAGTTCGTCAAGTCTACTCACGAGACTTCGGATGTCCTGGTGTCGATCGGAACCATTCATCGGCCGAGGCATCCTCCATGTCACCATTGACGAAATCAAAATACTTGGGAGCCTGCACAAACTCGTATGTTGGGTCAATATATGGCTTCGGTTTCTCTTCAACCTCCATTGCTGTACTCTCCTTCGGAACGGTCGGACTGACTGCTTGTACTTCGTCCATTGATGGAGCTCTCTTAGGAAGCTGAGGATCCAGTACTGAATAAATACTTATGAGTAGTTTTATTAGCAACGAGTGAAGGGCCGCGAGAGCTAGTAACCAAAATGAGAGCGCCAGTTCTGACTAAGCAGCTGTATAAGAAGCTAGAGTATACTGGTGTTTGTAAAGGCTAAGTGGCTTCAAGAGAGTCAGTCGTCAAGGTCTAAACGGAACCAAAACCTACTGGTCCACCGGCAAGAGGCCTTTTATTCAGAGACTCGGCTGGGGATGCAAATGAGAGCCAAACAGCGTGTTACGAGCAGTACCAGAAGGGAAGTGTACGCGTTGCAGTTGTTTGACTAATAAATAGTAACTAGAAAGAACAGTATGTACGGGAGGATATAGTCAGGCACGCTCGCGACCCAAGAAGCTGGACGCTTTTCAGAGATTAACAGGAGGAATTCCGAAAGCACAACGGAGGAATGAGTTTCAGAAGACCAGTAGACCGAGCAATGGGGAGAGAGAGGTTAGTCCAGGAAATTCTGGATTCTGGATTCCAAGGGAGGATCAGCCAGGAAGGGAAGCTATGAGAGGACGGGTTAGAATAGGTTCAGTTCGGTATTGTAAATTTAAACAAGGTTTAGGCTGGATGTTGCTGTGTGCGGCTTGCTGGGTGCCAGGGGAAGCTGACTGAACTGACCATGCTGATCCCCCCAGGCATGGCGTGGCGACTCGTTGGATTGGCACTTCTGGCATTTGTGTGCTGCGTCAGAAACGCGTTTCCCGCCGGGCCCTCGGTTTTTGAAATTCTGACGCGCGGCAATTTCGTCTTGGGGTTGTCGAAAGGAGTTTCGATTCAATGACATCCACTAGCAGTACCAGAGGAAAATATCTTCAGCAATTCAACACACTAAGCGTTGTGATTTAGTTGTGATGAAGCTGATGACCCACAAAACGAAGTCCCTGGTGTCAATTCAATTTTGCTTTTTACACATCTAGTAAACATGATACATTGCAGCTTGTAGGGCACGATCGCAGATAGGATGCATCATCCAACACATGTGCTACATAGTTTTAGAAATATCTAGGTATCTAGAGGGGTGTAAGACCCATCCACGCTTGGCCACTTCCGCGCGGACTCGTGTTGCAACGTCCACATTGTCTGTCAACGGTGGGTAGCTCCATGTACTTGCAAGCTGTTACCGTACATGGGACAAGAAGATGGGTTGGGACGAGAGGTACCGAAGGAAGAGTGAATTGAGTATTGGGCAACCGACAGATGAGGATGAGGCAACACTGGCAAGCAGGGCATGAACTGAAATCCGACAGAAAATCCACCGACATGGACAGAATGAAACTGACATTGACAGAGCTGTTGAAAGGCCGGATGGCTCCCCTGCGCTGAAGGGTTCGGTGAAACTCGGCGATCTTCCACTTGCAGTTCTCCCCGCCTACCACGTACACTGGCTTGCTGTGATTACACATGGGTGGAACAGTGCAGTGTGAGAGCGATGAAACAGGGGTGCGAGAATCTGGGAGATTAAAGCAGGGGTGAGGAGTCAAACCTTTTTGAACGTGTCGAGAGCAACAGAATCACTCAATACGCATTTGCAACATGTATGCACCGTACCGCTCACCATATCATGCCCATCTGCAACTCGGATATATATTATTGCAATTCTTACCCTGTGGAGCACGCTTCACTGATCATGCTGACAGAATCTGCTGTGATTATAAACGCATCCGCCCAGGCGAGGTTACCCAAGTGAGGGTCCAGACCTGCACATCAAGCGGCATAGCACAGTACAGCATAACACAAGAATCACTTTTGGGAATTAAAAAAATGGAAGCGGCACACCGAACCATGTCTGAGTGCTGTGAACATGAAAGTCCTGAACTCCAGACATATTCCCACCGATATAAGAACAGTTCTTTTTACTTACATACACAGGAGAGTGGGTTAGTCTTGAATGATGGCACTCACCTTGACCATCCCATATGTAAACAGCATCTTGATCCTTCAGCTCCTGCTGCAGCACTCGCTCCATCTGAGAAGGGGTGTAGAGGGTGTAGATGGGGGCAGTGGTGGGGGTTGAGGGTGAGGTTGGGAATAGGGGGGGGGGTTGGGGTTGTCTGTAAACAGCATCCTCGTCCTTGAGCTCTTGCTGCAGCACTCGCTGCATATGAGGCGAAGAGGGTATGGGGGGGGGGGTGTTGGGGATGTGGGTAAGGGCCTGCTAAACACCGTCCTGGTCCTTGAGCTCCTGCTGCAGCATTCGCTGCATCTGAGGGGATGTAATAGGCACACACAGACAGGAAGAGGCTGAGACAGGGAGAGGGGACAAACGGAGGTGGTGGTGGGGTTGGGGGTCGGTGGTGGTTTGCACAAAGGGACGGATCGTAAGAGAAAAAAATGCGTACACATACCCAAGAAACTGCAGATTAAAAGTCAAAATCCGCATACGGCTGAGCCAAGCCCACATGCCTTTGTTCCCCCTTTCATTTCTTTGTTGCAGCACTGGAGCTTATTCAAATGTGTACCGCCACTGAAATGCGTTCTTCTGGTGATCTTTTGGAAAAGGACGCACTGAGTGAGTGACCCCTGGCACCCTTGCAGCATTCAGTTGACTAGTCAGCCCAAATAAGGTGCGTACTGTACCGCCACTGGTGTTTTTCTTCAAGTCAACACAAAGTCACCTGCATTCAAACGCGTACCGCCATGGGCGTTCTTCTGGAAAACGAGATGCTGAGAGACCCCTGGCACTCCTGTAGCATCTCCTTGAGTGTCCTTGCCAGCTGTGCAATCAAATCTGGGCGGTAGCTACAGTGACCTGAGCATGCATGGGAGAGGAGGAGAACCAGGAGTGGTGCAAAAATGAAGTGGCAAAGAAGCAGGTGGGCTATAGCTGAACAAGGAGAATTGTTCATTGTACCTTGATTAGGTGGGGCATAGCTGAAACTTGATTGCTACTACCCCTTAATATTCATGTGATCAATACTACTTGAAAGAACATACGGTTACAAGCCCGAGGAAAAAGATTTATTAGCACAATTGAATAAGGTTACCAGCCCAAGAGATTCAGATGACAAGCCGGGACTTACGTGTGGGTCCACCTATGTTGACCACAACAAGGGGCTTGGGGAAGTCACTGAGAGAGTGCCACGTGGCAGCTGCTGAGCGGAGGAGAGATGGCTCTGCTATGTGCAACGCACCAGTTGTCAACACCTGATTCGGCAGAGGAGGGGGATGAGGGGAGGGTGGCCGTGAGGGGTTACGGAAGAGGTGCTACTGCCTAGCATGTCATCCTGTGATGTCACACCAAGGTCGTACGTGGATGGTGCTGCAGCAACAGCGGGATGCATCCGATGCACCTCGGCAGAGGTCATACCTCGAATAGGTGGAACCTGTCACGTTCTTGGAGGGCTGTCGAGGCGCCTCAAAAGTCGTTTCGTATGTGGATGGTGCTGCAACAACAGCAGGATGCACCTCCCTGAAGTTGATCCCACTGGCGGGTCATACATCAGACAGAGTCGTGTTTTGACTCGACTCAAAATACTGGCAAAGGTCATACCTCAGACAGAGTCGTGTTTTGAGTCGACTCAAAATACTGGCAGAGGTCATACCTCGGACAGAGTCGTGTTTTGAGTAGACTCAAAACACTGGCAGAGGTCATACCTCGGACAGAGTCGTGTTTTGAGTAGACTCAAAACACTGGCAGAGGTCATACCTCGGACAGGTGGAACCTATCACGTACTTGGAGGGCGCAGTTGCGGGGGCGATTCATTCCAGTAAGCAAGCAACAGGTCGTACTGGTGGAGGTCGTTTCTGAAAGGGCAGGAGGAGGTATGGCGCCTGCCATGTTACCACATACCACATTCTTGGCAGGTGGAGCAGGGGCGATCCACTTGAGTATCCACGAAGGCACCTCCCTGCCGGCTGCTGCTGTGAGCCCGTAGAAGTCGTGCAGAGGCGCCACCACCAGGTCGTACTGGTGGAGGTCGTTTCTGGGGTGCTGTATCTGCACCACCAGGGTGGAGCTGGGCGCTAGGCGCTTCACCTCTGCTGCTGCTGCCGCTGTGTCCCTCCCTGCTGCCACCACCAGCACTGGACCCTCACTGAGGGGAGTGGAGGGGAACAGGGGAGGTGGGAGAGGGAACAAGGATATAGTGAGCCTGCAACTGCTGCTGCAGCTGCTGCTGCTGTGTCCCTCCCTGCTGCCACCACCAATACTGGCCCTTCACTGATGGGAGGAGAAGGGGGAGAGGTGCATAATTGATTATTCTGGGGTGCTGTATCTGCACCACCAGGGCGGAGCTGATTCATGAGTCAGTCAGCTCAAGGAAGAGCCACCACGAGGTGGTACTGGTGGAGGGCGTTTCTGGGGTGCTGTATCTGCACCACCAGGGTGGAGCTGGGCGCTAGGCGCTTCACCTCTGCAGCTGCTGCCGCTGTGTCCCTCCCTGCTGCCACCACCAATACTGGCCCTTCACTGATGGGAGGAGAAGGGGGAGAGGTGCATATTTGATGGTTCTGGGGTGCTGTATTTGCACCACCAGGGTGGAGCTGGGCGCCAGGCGCTTCACCTCTGCAGCTGCTGCTGCTGTGTCCCTCCCTGCTGCCACGACCAGCAGTGGGCCCTCGCTGATGGGGGGGGAGTGGAGGGTAACAGGGGAGGTGGGAGAGGTTACAAGGATAGAGTGAGCCTGCTGCTGCTGCTGCCGCTGTGTCCCTCCCTGCTGCCACCACCAGCACTGGGCCCTCACTGTGGGGAGAGGAGGAGGAGGGTGGGGGAGGGGGAAGGAGGGGAAGAGTAGAGAGGGGAGGAGGCAGAAGAAGATGCTGCACTATGCTGTAACGTTGAAAAATCATCTGACCAAACTTGATTGAACTAACCCCTGCTGCACCTCTCTCCTTCCAAGTGTCTCATTCGCCTCACTGCATCCGCATCCCTTTGCACGTCAACCAACCGCATTCCACCACACCATCCCCCGCTGCACCCCTCACCTTTCGAGGGTCTCATTTGCCTCTCTGGCAATGGCAGCAGGGTCCGCTGGAGCAGCGGCAGGGAGAAACGCTGACGTGGAAGCTTCTGATAGGATACGAGGCCGCTGGGCGGAGACAGTGCTGCTTCTGGGATGTAGCACGGATCTGGGCGTGTGTTGAGTCGGCTCATAACGAGGATGGAAAGGGTCAGAGGTATGAAATGGTGAAGAACTCGTGCCATTGACGAAGGTGCCATTGGCGAAGGCTCTATTGGTGGTGTTGTTATTGGCGAAAGTGCCATTGGCGAAGGTGCTATTGGAGAAGGTGCCATTGGCGAAGGTGCCATTGGCGAAAGTGCCATTCCTACCGTTAGTAGAACCTGCTGCTGTTTCTAACGGTTTGCCAGAGGAATCTACAGTACCGTTGACAGACGGGGATGAGAAGGGGTTATAAAGTGCACTAGCTGCTTCCGTTCCTCCAGCAGAACGTCCGTCCGTGCTGACTGCTGCAGCACTCACGCCTACTCCTGCTGTCGCCGACGCTGCTACCACTTCTGCTGCTCCTGCTGTTGTTGCTGCGGGTGATGATGACAATGATGATGACGATGATGACGGGTGTGTGGGGGGAGCTGGTAGGCTTAATGTAGGGGCTGGGAGAAGGGCTAATCGGAGGACTACGGCGGACATGGTTTGGAAGAGCCATGCGAGGCGTAGAGAGAGGTACGCGTCTAGCTTCTGGTGCGTCTCTAGTGGTAACCACCGTAACCAGCGGTGGAGGCCGGCCTTAGGACGAACAACTCTCTGCATAAGGGAGGGAGAGAGATAGAAGGGAAGAACGGAGTGGGTGGTTGGAAAGGAAGGGAGGCCGGGGGATGAGGGAGGGAGGGGATGGGTGGGTTGAGAGAAGGGGAGGGGAGGGGAAGAAAGGAGAGGGTGAAGGTGAGGGGAGGTGCTTAGAAAGACAAGCATTTTTGTATTATTTTCCAAAATGAGGGAGTGATGAAGGCGGCGAGATGCAGAACATATTGGCTAGGACGCTAAAGAGCACCATCGAGGTATAATTGATAGTTTATTAGTTCTTGAGAATCCTCAGAAGTTGAAAAAGGAGAAACCGAAGGACGTGGAGCATTTTTAATAGACGTTGAAGGGTCACCATCCAAATCCGCTCGCACCAAGTAGTCGAGAGTTTTCCTTAACAGAATGGCATTTCAGACGTGAGGATCCACGGAATTTGGTACCCGAACCTCCCACGGCTGCACCCAATTTTGAGTTGATTCCAGAGAAGTAATTTCATTGTACCCAACTAAGGCTTTTTCATGATCGTAGCTAAATTTCCGGCACCTGGAGCCTCCATAGGTCGCACCTCAAAGAAACGGAAAAAGAAAAGACGCCCGATTCCAGCTACTTTAACCTCTAGAATTTTACAACTTTCTTACCTGAATTTCCATGGAACCCCCGAGTCCCAGAGCTCGCACAAGGCCCAAGCACTGGTGTTCGCTTCCAGGATGGCCATTTCCAATAATCACAGCGCGACGAATCACGGACGCCGTGCCGCCTTGCTCGAAGATCTCCGGCGTTCCCGCCGATCCTATGACTGGCGGAGGCTCTGGCAGCAATATGCGTCTGTAAGACATGCTTATCCTTTTGATATACGTTGATTCGTAAGATGTCCTTCACGATATGTATGAATGTCGGAAGAAGGTAGCAATGACGAAATGTGCAAAAAATGCAACAGCCTGTTGCTAAATATGCTATAACGTCGCGTTTGCCTATTGCTGAGCGTTTTTCGCCTGTTGGTGAAACTAGGTCGTTGAGAACAGACTAGGTAGCAGGAACTAGCAAGAGCTAAAGACAGTGGAAGAACAAGCTGGCGAGCGACCAAGCGTAGTGAACAGGGAGCAGTGGAGTGGAGGAATGGGGGAAACACGGATACTTCTTCGGATGGGCAGAACGGCAGATTCTGGGGGCCACGAAAGGAGATGCCGCTGACGCGACGAGGAGGGAGATGACGGAAAACGCACTGTTCTGTCCAGCACAACAAAATCCGTCAGCGAAAACGGGCAGAAATCCTGTTTGAACCACGAGAGCCGAGGGAGAGGCGAGTTGACCAGGCGAAGCGCGAAGTTTTGGTTGGTGGAGTTCGAGAAGATGCCAGCCAGCGGCATAATGCGACACCTCGGGATTGGGCGACCCCAGGTTTTTGGGAGTGCTGGGTAACCATCAACGCACTTCGGCCTGAGAATGACTGTAGGCTGACATGTCCTTCTCCCACGTGTGTCATCCAAGAAGCCGGGAAAGGGTGCGCTGGTTACTGCTATGTTACAGATACGCACGTTCGCTTAGCCGCCATGCATATAAAAGAATGCCATTCCGTGCTAACGAAAACAGGCCTATAAAGAGTATAAAGATGTTGGTTAACAACTGAGTTAGCCAATGGGCTTCTGCCACCGTTGCAGCCAAAAAAACAAAGCATCGAGAAATATTTCACGGGCAATGGATTGTAACCACCTTCACCCACTCAGAATCCGTCACGTGTGGCGCGCAAGACAGCAAAGCACGAGCCACCACAGATAGCCTCTCAAAAGTGGCAGTGCTGAGTCATTTGTGGCGTCGAGGCGGCCACGTGACCATCTGTCCAATCCACCTTCAAGCGTGTGGTGATGTGTCAGCTTTCTTGAACAGATGTGTCCACTTCAGCATTATGTCAGAGACTCTTGGCAGGAGGGGAACAGCCCATCTCATCGCACAGCGAAGATGTGCGACATTTTTCGCGAAAACAATGTAGCCTAGTAACTTGACTCGTAGCAAGTATGAACCAATAAAAAGCATATTATTCACAATACCCTGCGTTCGCTTACCTCTGAAGCTCCCACTCACCTCACAGGCTGTCCAGTTTTTGCGGCCTATCGTCCCCGCACCCTGCGTTCACTTACCTCTTGTGCTCTCGACTTCCGCCCCACCCGCGCAACGTGGAAAGGGGGTCCAGGGGCGAAGCATCGCGGGGCTGGTCGTATTCGCATTTCTGTTCGAACGTGCGATCTTGACGCGCGAACCGTCAGGACATGCGAGGCCTTTCTCAAATTTGAAGCAGGCTTTGGATTCCTATTTCAAATGGAGTCCAAGAATCTGCTTGAAAGGGCAACCCGAGGATGATGCTAGTTTAGTGAGCGCCGAACACCCCTATCTCCTTTCCGCCCTCCGCGTCCACCCTCCGCTTCCGCTCTCGCTTCCGCCCTTCGCTTCCGCCCTCCGCTTCCGCCCTCCGCTTCCGCTCTCGCTTCCGCCCTCCGCGTCCGCCCCTCCTCCGCCCGAGGTTTCTGCCACTCGGGGTCCGACTCTTCTTGCCCCGTTGGCGCGCAATGGCGCAAATGCGCCACCACTGCGTTACTCATTCCGCCACCTGTTCCGCCACTCATTCCGCCCCTCCTTCCGCCACACTTCCACTCTCCCACTTGGCTGAGGCACGGAAGACTCCATTTGCTCCCCCCCTCTTTCGCACGCCCCCACTTACCAAAACCGCCGTAGCGCTTTGCGGAAGCAGCGGCGCTAAATGCGCCACGGGATTCAGCAGGTTTGGGAGGAGTAGTAGTGAAAGCCCACGGCTCGGCTACCGAGGCCCTAGGCTCGAAACAGGTCCGAGGTTCGGGTCAGATTCGTGGCTCGGGTCACAGCATGCTGCCTGGCTCGGTTCAGGTTTGGTTCGGCGCAGCAACGCGACAGTCTTAGGGGGAAGGCTCGGAAGCAGCCACGGATGTGACAGTAGCGGGGGGCAGGCTGGCGGGGCAAGGGGGAGGCGGGGGAGTGCGGGAAAAGCGAATGTGCGTATAACGAGGGACGTTAGGGCGGCGGTGGGGGTGGAGATTGGCTCGTCGGCGGCTCAGGATGTGATTGGAACGCTGGGGCTCGATACACTCACATTCCTGGTGGCCACCGTTATTGTCATCCCCTTCTTCCGCAGCTTCAAAGCCAGTCCGGTGAGTGACTTGCGAGGGAGAGAAGATGCACTACTGAGGCGCCTAGAAATGGCTGTCTTTGGAACGCTGCACTCGATACAATCACTCACTCTCTTTGTGGCCACCGTTCTTGTCATCCCCTTCTTCTGCAAGCTTCAACACCAGCCCGGTGAGATGCGAGGTTGTGAGATGCCTGGTGAGACCTGATTGGGAGAGTCTAGAGGTGGAAAAGTGTTTCTCCGAAGCTGAGGTGTAATGACGGTTCATTCACATTTCCTACTATGTGAATGAATGAATCATCCCTGACTTTTTCCTCCTCTCCTCCCCTCCCTTCTCCTCCCCTCCCGTCACCCCCACTTCATCAGATTCTCGGCTTCCTGCTCTCAGGCGTGGCGCTCAACCAGCTGGGGCTCATCCTCAGCTTTGAGATGTTACAAAATTCCCTCCCTCCTTTCCTCCTCTTCCTTCCCCCCTTTCTCTCGTCCCGCCCCTCGCCCCCCCACTTCACCAGATTCTCGGTTTCCTGCTCTCAGGAGTGGCCCTCAACCAGCTGGGGCTCATCTCATTCCCACTGATAGGGCGTCTCGACAAAACCCCTCTTTCCATCCCCCCCTGCCTCCATGCGGTCAGATTTTCGGTTTCCTGCTCTCAGGAGTGGCCCTCAACCAGCTGGGGCTCATCCGCAACATCTCTGATGTCAAGGCTCTCCTCCTCTCCTCCTCTACCCCACCCTCCCTCCCCTTCGTCCCTCCCTCCTCCAGATTCTCGGCTTCCTGCTCTCAGGAGTGGCCCTCAACCAGCTGGGGCTCATCCGCAACATCTCTGACGTTAAAAACTCCCCTCCTTCCTCCTCCACCCCACCTTCCCTCCCGTCTCGCCCCCATGTAACCATCAGATTCTCGGCTTCCTGCTCTCAGGAGTGGCTCTCAACCAGCTGGGACTCATTCGCAACATCTCGGATGTCAAGGCACTCTCGGAACTCGGAATCCTCTTCCTGGTAGGCCTCATTGCGCTGCACTCACTGCGCTTTCTGCACTTACTGCTAAAAAAAAAGTTCATGTCTCTGTTCTCCTACTGCTCTCTGCCCTCTACCCTCTACCCTCTACCCTCTACCCTCTACCCTCTACCCTCTACCCTCTACCCTCTACCCTCTACCCTCTACCCTCTACCCTCTACCCTCTACCCTCTGCCCTCTACCCTCTACCCTCTACCCTCTGCCCTCTACCCTCTGCCCTCTGCCCCCATTGACCTTGCCGTAAGGCTTCAACTGGTTCTGAACCCTTTTCCCAATTACCTGCCTTTCCTCCCTCCTATCCCCACTCCCAATTGCTCCTCTCAGCTCTTCGAGATGGGTCTGGAGCTGTCTATCGAACGTCTCAGGGCTCTTGCCAAGTTTGCCTTTGGCATGGGACTGCCGCAGGTGGGTGGGGTGTGGGGTGTTTAGCAGGTGAGAGGCTGCGGGGGTTGATTGGAATGGCAGCGAGATGGGTCCGGAACTGTCTATCAAACGACTGAGGGCTCTTGCCAAGTTTGCTTTTGGCATGGGCCTGCCACAGGTGAGTGGGGTGTGTGTGGGGTGTAGCAGGTGCGATGGGTTGTGAGAGGTTGTGGGGGATTGGTTGGGGTAGTAGTGAGATGGTTCTGGTACTGTCCATCGAGTGCCTGAGGGCTCTCGCCAAGTTTGCCTTTGGCATGGGCCTGGTATAGGTGAGGGGATTGTGGGGTGTTACGAAGATGAGGGTTTGTGGTGTGCGGGGTTGTTTGGGTTGACAGGTGAGGGGCTGTTTTGGGTTGATTGGGGTCACAGTTGAGTTTTGGATGTGACGGTCTGCCACGGGTGAGGTGAGGGGCTGTAGCAGGTGAGGGGCTGTAGCAGGTGAGGGGCTGTAGCAGGTGAGGGGCTGTAGAGGTGAGGGGCTGTAGCAGGTGAGGGGCTGTAGCAGGTGAGGGGCTGTAGCAGGTGAGGGGCTGTAGCAGGTGAGGGGCTGTAGCAGGTGAGGGGCTGTAGCAGGTGAGGGGCTGTAGCAGGTGGGGGGCTGTAGCAGGTGAGGGGCTGTAGCAGGTGGGGGGCTGTAGCAGGTGGGGGGCTGTAGCAGGTGAGGGGCTGTAGCAGGTGGGGGGCTGTAAGGTTTGAGTGGTATTACATTCAAGTTTCGCATGTCTTATCGAAGGTGAAGACCTGATGCTCCTCACCACTCCGCACCACTCGTCACCGCTGTCGCCTCATCTCTCACCCCACTCTCTTTCCCTCTGCACCCACAGGTGCTGCTCACGCCTTTGCAGCATTCGAGCTCCCACCCAACAACGTCATTGGCACCCACCCGCTTGCTGCCACTTCCCTTGCTGCCATTGGAAAACCTCCTCAACGCTCTTCACCACTCCTCACCGTACTCTCCCCTGCCTGTGCTGCTGCAGGTGCTGCTCACAACGCTCGTCTTTGCAGCGTTCGAGCTCCCACCCAACAACGCCATTGGCACTCGCCTGCTCGGTTTAGGTGCCTTAACACTTTGTCTCACCGCTCCTCACAATTCCGCACCACTTCTCACCATGCTCTCCCCTCCATGCAGGTGCTGCTAACAACGCTCGCTTTTGCAGCATTTGAGCTCCCACCCGACAACGCCATTGGCACTCGCCTGCTTGAGTGGGCTGCTTCTGCCCGCCCCGACCTGGTGAGGTCCCACCCCTTCCCATCCCTTCCCACCCCTTCCCACTCCTTTCCATCCCACCCAACAATGCCATTGGCACTCGCCTGCTTGAGTGGGCTGCTTGCCGGGGCCAACCAGGTGAGGTCCCACCCCCTCCCAGCACCTCTCAACCCTTCCCACTCCATCCCTTCCCACTGGACAATGCCATTGGTACCACCCTGACCTAGTATGCCCTCGTTCCTCTCTGTTCTCCGCTCGGTGCCTCTACTTGCCTCTCTTCGGGGGAGCCATTTTGTTACCTGCTCTCTTGACCGCCCGATATCTCTGCGTACCGCTGCCGACCGCTCGGTAATCCTCTACAGGTGAACATTCAGTCAGTGGACGAGGCCCTAGTCATCGGAGCTGCACTCAATCTTTTCTCTCGTCTTTATTTGCCACTCCGTGCCTGTGTTTGCCGCCCATGCTGCAGGTGAACATCCGGTCAGTGGACAAGGCCCTAGTCATCGGGGCTGCTCTCTGTATTTGTTGTTATGATTTCTAACCTCTGTTTGCCGTCCGGTTTCTTTGTCTGTATAGGTGAACATCCGGTCAGTGGACGAGGCACTTGTCATCGGGGCTGCTCTCTCGCTCTCCTCCTCTGCCTTCGTACTTCAGGTGCGCATTTCCGTTTCTACCCCACCCACCCTCACACACCCTCACACACCCCACCCTCCCTCACACACCCCCCATAACAACAATCCGCTTGGCGTTCGCACTGCCACCCACCCCGTTTTATTCTTCATGGTTTCAAGTTTTAGCCCTGTGACAAGCGATTCTCACGGATTCCAGTCTCTAGACCTGTTCCGTGGTCCGTGCTACCCTGTGCCCATCCTGTGCCCGCCTCTGTTACCATGTGCTCCCCGGCCCCCCCCCCCCTCGTCTCACCTCCTGGCAGAAAGAGGAGAGCTCGCCACCCGTTGCAGGGAATTTTTGAGAAATCCAAAGAAATCCTGTCTCTACGCCTGTTCCATGCTATCTTGTGCTCATCATGTGCTCCCATCTGTTGCCGCCTTGCCTCAGCTGCTCTCGGAGAACGGAGAGCTCGCCACATGTGTCGGCTCAGCCACTTTTGGGACTTCTCTAGTTTCGAGCCTGTACCCTCGTTCTGCTCCTGCCTGTGCCCCCATCTGTGCCCGCCTCTGTTCCCCTCTGCTCGCGCGCCTGCCCCCAGCTCCTGTCAGAGAAAGGAGAGCTCGCCACCCGTGTCGGCTCAGCCACTCTTGGGATTCTATTGCTGCAGGTGCGTGCATGTGAACAGATACGCATGCGTGTGTGCATCCATGCATGTATGCATGTGTGTGTGCATGCTTCACAGCTGCATTTGCCCCCAAATCACTCCTCCTAAAAAGCAGCAAAGTGCGAAAGATTTGGCCATATTCCTCCCCGCCCCGCCTTGTGCCATTCCTTCCTTCACAACACTTCTCTCCTCTCAAACCCTTTCATCTCTTCTCAAACAGAAATCCTTTCTTCCTCCCACTTCTCCCACTCATGCAGGACATTGCTGTGGTGCCTCTGCTGGTCATCCTGCCCATCCTTGAGAGCGGTGTAAGTGCAATGAATGGATGTGTGACACTGACACTTACCCCACTCAGAGGTGGGTTAGTGCAATAGCGTGCATATTTTGAGATGTCAAGTCACTGCCGGGCATTGCTGTGGAGGAGGCACCTCCACAGGATTTCACGGATGACAGTCTATTCCCTCTGCTCGCAGCAGCGGGCCTCAAGTCCCTGCTGGGCCTGGGAGTGCTGCTCTACATGGGGCCGGCTCTTCCCCCCTTGTTCCCCCGTCACCCCACCCCTCCCACCCCTTCCACCCCTCCCAGTCCACTCCCCCCCCACAGGATTTCACGGACGACAGTCTATTCCCTCTGCTCGCAGCAGCGGGGCACAATTCCCTCCTGGGCCTGGGAGTGTTGCTCTACATGGGGCGGCTCTTGTCCTTATAAGCCCACCCACCCAACAACCCTCTCACCTCTACCTCCCCTTGTGCTTCCCCACAGGATTTCACGGACGACAGTCTCTTCCCCTTGCTGGCAGCAGCGGGACTCAAAGTCCCTCCTGGGCCTGGGAGTGCTTCGCATCCCCTAACTTCCCCATTGTCAATCCCCACACCCCCCTTCAAACAGGATTTCACGGATGACAGTTTATTCCCCTTGTTGGCAGCAGCAGGACTCAAGTCCCTGCTGGGTCTGGGACCACCTCTTTTCCTTACACCCCCACCAACACTTTTCCTTTTCACATCGCCCCTTCCACCCGTTATCTCACAACCTTTCAGGATTTCACTGATGACAGCCTATTCCCGCTCCTCGCAGCAGCAGGACTCAAGTCCCTGCTGGGCTTGGGCGTGCTGCTCTACATGGGCCGGCTCTTTCTCAGAAGGTTCTTCGAGTTTGTGGCTGAGTCGCGCAGCACGGAGGCCTTTGTGGCGCTCTGCCTGCTCACTGTCACAGGGACGTCCCTCATCACGAGCAAATTGGGTTTCAGTGATTCGGTGAGTGCTGGTGTTGTCGCTGCACCTGTGGCTTTTGTTGAGTCCTTAAGATCCCAGTGGGTGTCGAGTCGCGCAGCACAGAGGTCTTTGTGTCGCTCTGCCTCTTGACGGTCACGGGCACATCTTTGATTATCAGCAAGCTGGGATTCAGTGACTCAGTGACTCGGTGAGTGTGTGAGTGTTAGCATCACTGGCAGAAAGGTGCTTGTGTAATCTCAGTCCCCGCGCAGCCCAGAGGCCTTTGTGTCGCTCTGCCTCTTGACAGTCACAGGGACTTCGCTGATTACCAGCAAGCTCGGATTCAGTGACTCGGTGGGCTGCTAGGCCTATACATGCGTGTTGGTTTGCTGGTTAGGTCCCCCTCTGAGTCGCGCAGCACAGAGGCCTTTGTGGCGCTCTGTGTACTCACAGTCACGGGGACTTCCCTTTTTACGAGCAAGCTGGATTCAGTGACTCGGTAAGTGCTGCTTGTGTAATCCCTAGAAGTCGCGCAGCACGGAGGCCTTTGTGGTGCTCTGCCTCTTGACTGTCACAAGAACTTCACTTCACTGATAACAAGCAAGCTGGGCTTCAGTGACTCGGTCGGTGGGTGTATTAGTAGCCTTGCAATCTGGTCTTGCAGTAATGGTAATGTAGCGGTAATGGTAGCCCTGCAATCTGGTCGCGCAGCACGGAGACCTTTGTGGCGCTCTGCCTCTTGACTGTCACAAGAACTTCACTGATAACAAGCAAGCTGGGATTCAGTGACTCGGTGAGTGTGTGTATTAATAGCCTTGCAAGCTGGTGTTGGCAGCCCATTCAAGCCGTCAATGACTCTCATGTGCTCTCCCTTCTGGTTTAATGGTAGTGGTAATGATAATGGTAATGGTAATGGTAATGATAGTGGTAATGGTAATGGTAATGGTAATAGTAATGGTAATGGTAATAGAAATAGTAATGGAAATAATAATGGTATGTAATGATAATGGTAATTGTGTTGGCAATAGTGCTGGTAATGGTAATAGTTAATAGTAATGGCAATAATAATGGCAGTGGTAATGGTAGTGGTAATGGTAACGATAATGGTAATGGCAATGGTAATGGTAATGGTAATGGTAATGATAGTGGTAATGGTAATGGTAATGGTAACGGTAATGGTAATGGTAATGGTAATGGTAGTGGCAATGGTAATGGTTGTGGTATTGGTAATGGTAATGATAATGGTAATGGTAGTGGTAATGGTAGTGGTAATGGTAATGGTAACGGTAGATGTAGTGGTAATGGTAATGGTAATGGTAATGTTAATGGTAATGGTAATGGTTTTAGAATTGGTAACGGTAATGGTAGTGGACATGGTAATGGTAATGGTAATGATAGTGGTAATGGTAATGGTACTAGTATTGGCAAGAGTAATGCAGTGGTAATGGTAGTGTTGATGGTAATGGTAACAGTAAAGGTAGTGGTAATGGTAGTGGTAATGGTAATGGTAGTGATAATGATAGTGATAATGATTGTGGTAATGGTAATAGTAATGGTAATGGTAATGGTAATGGTAATGATAGTGGTAATGGTAATGGTAATGGTAGTGGTAATGGTAATGGTAATGGTATTGGAAAACGGTAATGGCAGTGGTAATGGTAATAGCACGTAATGGTAATGATAGTGGTAATGGTACTGGTAATGGTAATGGAGCAGCGATAATGGTAACAGTAATGGTCGTGGTATTGGTAATGGTAGTGGTAATGGTAGTGGTAATGGTAATGGTAATGGTAATAGTAGTGTTAATGGTAATGGTAGTGGCAGTGGTAATGACTCTCAATGACTCTCCTGTGCACTCCCTTCTGCCTCTCATGCCCGCCTGTGCTTGCAGCTCGGAGCGTTCTTGGCAGGAGCGTTGCTAGCAGAAACCAACTACCGCACACAGGTGAGTGAGAGACTGACTCCCTAGTGCAAGAAACCACATTAGGTAATTTACTTTGTTCTCTGCGTTCCTATTGGGTGATTCACCCTGCTCCCTCTCTTTCGATTCACACTTCGCTTCCTTCCCTGCCTCATGACTCATAATCCGTGCCCCATACCTCCATGCCCCATACCTCCATGCCCCATACCTCCATGCCCCATACCTCCATGCCCCATACCTCCATGCCCCATACCTCCATGCCCCATACCTCCATGCCCCATACCTCCTTGCCCCACCCACAGGTCGAAGCTGACATTCGTCCCTTCAGGGGTCTGCTGCTGGTCTCTTCTTTGTCACCCTCCCTCCATCCATCCCCCATGCCCCATCCCCCATACCTCCATGCCCCGTGCCCCACGCCTTGTGCCGCATACTGTTACGCATGCCCCACCCACTTGCCCCTCCCACAGGTCGAAGCTGACATTCGTCCCTTCAGGGGTCTGCTGCTGGTCTCTTCTTTGTCACCCTCCCTCCATCCATCCCCCATGCCCCATCCCCCATACCTCCATGCCCCGTGCCCCACGCCTTGTGCCGCATACTGTTACGCATGCCCCACCCACTTGCCCCTCCCACAGGTCGAAGCTGACATTCGTCCCTTCAGGGGTCTGCTGCTGGTCTCTTCTTTGTCACCCTCCCTCCATCCATCCCCCATGCCCCATCCCCCATACCTCCATGCCCCGTGCCCCACGCCTTGTGCCGCATACTGTTACGCATGCCCCACCCACTTGCCCCTCCCACAGGTCGAAGCTGACATTCGTCCCTTCAGGGGTCTGCTGCTGGTCTCTTCTTTGTCACCCTCCCTCCATCCATCCCCCATGCCCCATCCCCCATACCTCCATGCCCCGTGCCCCACGCCTTGTGCCGCATACTGTTACGCATGCCCCACCCACTTGCCCCTCCCACAGGTCGAAGCTGACATTCGTCCCTTCAGGGGTCTGCTGCTGGTCTCTTCTTTGTCACCCTCCCTCCATCCATCCCCCATGCCCCATCCCCCATACCTCCATGCCCCGTGCCCCACGCCTTGTGCCGCATACTGTTACGCATGCCCCACCCACTTGCCCCTCCCACAGGTCGAAGCTGACATTCGTCCCTTCAGGGGTCTGCTGCTGGTCTCTTCTTTGTCACCCTCCCTCCATCCATCCCCCATGCCCCATCCCCCATACCTCCATGCCCCGTGCCCCACGCCTTGTGCCGCATACTGTTACGCATGCCCCACCCACTTGCCCCTCCCACAGGTCGAAGCTGACATTCGTCCCTTCAGGGGTCTGCTGCTGGTCTCTTCTTTGTCACCCTCCCTCCATCCATCCCCCATGCCCCATCCCCCATACCTCCATGCCCCGTGCCCCACGCCTTGTGCCGCATACTGTTACGCATGCCCCACCCACTTGCCCCTCCCACAGGTCGAAGCTGACATTCGTCCCTTCAGGGGTCTGCTGCTGGTCTCTTCTTTGTCACCCTCCCTCCATCCATCCCCCATGCCCCATCCCCCATACCTCCATGCCCCGTGCCCCACGCCTTGTGCCGCATACTGTTACGCATGCCCCACCCACTTGCCCCTCCCACAGGTCGAAGCTGACATTCGTCCCTTCAGGGGTCTGCTGCTGGTCTCTTCTTTGTCACCCTCCCTCCATCCATCCCCCATGCCCCATCCCCCATACCTCCATGCCCCGTGCCCCACGCCTTGTGCCGCATACTGTTACGCATGCCCCACCCACTTGCCCCTCCCACAGGTCGAAGCTGACATTCGTCCCTTCAGGGGTCTGCTGCTGGTCTCTTCTTTGTCACCCTCCCTCCATCCATCCCCCATGCCCCATCCCCCATACCTCCATGCCCCGTGCCCCACGCCTTGTGCCGCATACTGTTACGCATGCCCCACCCACTTGCCCCTCCCACAGGTCGAAGCTGACATTCGTCCCTTCAGGGGTCTGCTGCTGGTCTCTTCTTTGTCACCCTCCCTCCATCCATCCCCCATGCCCCATCCCCCATACCTCCATGCCCCGTGCCCCACGCCTTGTGCCGCATACTGTTACGCATGCCCCACCCACTTGCCCCTCCCACAGGTCGAAGCTGACATTCGTCCCTTCAGGGGTCTGCTGCTGGTCTCTTCTTTGTCACCCTCCCTCCATCCATCCCCCATGCCCCATCCCCCATACCTCCATGCCCCGTGCCCCACGCCTTGTGCCGCATACTGTTACGCATGCCCCACCCACTTGCCCCTCCCACAGGTCGAAGCTGACATTCGTCCCTTCAGGGGTCTGCTGCTGGTCTCTTCTTTGTCACCCTCCCTCCATCCATCCCCCATGCCCCATCCCCCATACCTCCATGCCCCGTGCCCCACGCCTTGTGCCGCATACTGTTACGCATGCCCCACCCACTTGCCCCTCCCACAGGTCGAAGCTGACATTCGTCCCTTCAGGGGTCTGCTGCTGGTCTCTTCTTTGTCACCCTCCCTCCATCCATCCCCCATGCCCCATCCCCCATACCTCCATGCCCCGTGCCCCACGCCTTGTGCCGCATACTGTTACGCATGCCCCACCCACTTGCCCCTCCCACAGGTCGAAGCTGACATTCGTCCCTTCAGGGGTCTGCTGCTGGTCTCTTCTTTGTCACCCTCCCTCCATCCATCCCCCATGCCCCATCCCCCATACCTCCATGCCCCGTGCCCCACGCCTTGTGCCGCATACTGTTACGCATGCCCCACCCACTTGCCCCTCCCACAGGTCGAAGCTGACATTCGTCCCTTCAGGGGTCTGCTGCTGGTCTCTTCTTTGTCACCCTCCCTCCATCCATCCCCCATGCCCCATCCCCCAATACCTCCATGCCCCGTGCCCCACGCCTTGTGCCGCATACTGTTACGCATGCCCCACCCACTTGCCCCTCCCACAGGTCGAAGCTGACATTCGTCCCTTCAGGGGTCTGCTGCTGGTCTCTTCTTTGTCACCCTCCCTCCATCCATCCCCCATGCCCCATCCCCCAATACCTCCATGCCCCGTGCCCCATTGTGCCGCATACTGTTACGCATGCCCCACCCACTTGCCCCTCCCACAGGTCGAAGCTGACATTCGTCCCTTCAGGGGTCTGCTGCTGGTCTCTTCTTTGTCACCCTCCCTCCATCCATCCCCCATGCCCCATCCCCCATACCTCCATGCCCCGTGCCCCACGCCTTGTGCCGCATACTGTTACGCATGCCCCACCCACTTGCCCCTCCCACAGGTCGAAGCTGACATTCGTCCCTTCAGGGGTCTGCTGCTGGTCTCTTCTTTGTCACCCTCCCTCCATCCATCCCCCATGCCCCATCCCCCATACCTCCATGCCCCGTGCCCCACGCCTTGTGCCGCATACTGTTACGCATGCCCCACCCACTTGCCCCTCCCACAGGTCGAAGCTGACATTCGTCCCTTCAGGGGTCTGCTGCTGGGTCTCTTCTTCGTCACCACCGGCACATCCATCGACCTCAGTGTGAGTCAGTCCTGCCATAACATGAGCCCTCACACAGCTGGGTGTAGACCATTGTACCTGAGTGTCTGCTGCTGGGTCTCTTCTTTGTCACCACCGGCACATCCATCGACCTTAGTGTGAGTCAGTCCAGTCCTTGTGCAATTCCCTGATTCAAAAGCTCCTAGATGGTTTAAGCCCTGATTCTCCTGCCTTTTGATGGCCCAACCACTCTTCAAGCCTCTCCTCCTCTGCCTTGCCTCTTTCCTGACCCCCGTTCCCTCCTCTTCTCTCCCACTCATCACAGCTCCTAGCAGCGGAATGGCCTAACATTCTCCTCCTCCTCTCTGGCCTCATCGCCATCAAGACCGCCATCATCACGGCACTCGGCCCGCGTGTCGGCCTCTCGCTGCCCGAGTCCATCCGCACGGGCCTTCTTCTTTCCCAAGGGGGAGAGTTCGCCTTCGTCGTCTTTGCCCTCGCCAGCCAGTGAGTGTTTAGGCTCTCTTTCCCTCGTTCTCTCCATGGCTCTCACTCCCCTGCTCGACTCCCTTCCCTGGGGCGATCAGCAGCAGAGGCGTTAGACTTGACGGCCAGCAGCAGGGGCGTTAGACTTGACGGCCAGCAGCAGGGGCGTTAGACTTGAAGGCCAGCAGCAGGGGCGTTAGACTTGACGGCCAGCAGCAGGGGCGTTAGACTTGATGGTCAACAAGCCTCTCACCCACCCATTCACTTCCCACTACCCCTCTAACTTACCTCTTGCTTGCAGACTCGGTGTTCTGCCAGACGAGTTGAACCGTCTCTTGATCATCGTGGTGGCTCTGACCCCCCTCCTTGACTCGCTGGGGCGATCAGCAGCGAAGGCGCTAGAGAAGCGGGAGAGAGAGAAGCGGAAGGCGGAGGGCACTAGTGCCTGGAAAACCTGGATGGACTTGGGTGTTCCCAATACGTACCGCTCTCCCTCTCTCCCCCATCCCCCATCCCCCGTGCTTCCAGGCTGGGTGTTCTGCCAGATGAGCTGAATTGTGGTGGTGCTGTCAATGGCCCTCGCCCCTCTCCTCGACTCCCTGGGGCGATCAGCAGCAGAGACGGTAGGCTTAACTCTCACTACCCAATACCCCCTCTCTGTCCCCACCCTTTCTCTTCAGACTTGGCGTTCTCCCAGACGAGTTGAATCGGCTGCTCAGTATTGTGGTGGTGCTCTCCATGGCTCTCACGCCCCTCCTCGACTCCCTGGGGCGGTCAGCAGCCCTCTTATCCACCCACTCCCCACGTGCCCCCTATCTTACCCCACGTTTTCAGGCTGGGAGTCCTCCCAGACGAGTTGAACCGGCTGCTCATTATTGTGGTGGTTCTGTCAATGGCTCTCACCCCTCTCCTCGACTCCCTGGGGCGATCAGCTGCAGAGGCACTAGAGAAGCGGGAGAGGGAGAGGCGGAAGGCACTAGGGGAGGAGGAGGAGGACGGGGAGGAGGGGTTGGTTGTGGTGGGCGGGAGCAAGGGGAAGGGGCGGAAGAAAGGGGGAGGAGGAGGCGGAGGACATGGGGTGAGTGGAATTTCCCTGAGCTTACTGTTTTTTTTTTGGGGGGGGGGGGGGGGGGGGGGGGGGGGGGTGGGGACTGCGGGGAGGTTTGGGACCTACAGTAAGGCTCTTCCTGCTGAAATTTTATCTCATTCATCTCCCCCTACCTCCTCTCTCAACACAGCAATACTCCTCCTGTCCATCCCTGTGTTTCCCACTATATCCACCCGTTTCCACCGCCCATGCAGGGCCACTTTGGGGGAGCCGAGCCCATAGTCATTCTCGGCTTCAACCACATGGGGCAGGTGAGGTGTGGGGCTGAGTAAGCCTAATTGTTGGTAAGGCATGGGGCAGGTGAGATGTGGGGCAGGTGAGACGTCGGGCAGGTGAGGCATGGGGCAGGTGAGGCATGGGGCAGGTGAGATGTGTGGAAGGGGAAGGTCACACATGGGTTTCTCTCTAAAGTGTCGGTTCCTATCACTCTCTACCAACCACTCACTCTCCCACTCCCTTCAGGTGCTAGCCAACATGCTATCCACGCCACGCCGGTAGCCACCATCTCAGGGGGGTCGGGTCGGGAGGATGTGCTACCATCGACCGTAACTGCTCTGCCACCCGATTACGTATCTCGACCACATGTCTCCTTTCCTATCACCCTCTCTCTCTCCCCACTCTCAGGTGCTGGCCAACATGCTATCCACGCCGCTAGCCACCATCTCAGGGGGGTGTTGAGGCGCCTCAAAACTCGCTCCCACTCTCCCACCCTCTCACGTGTGTGTGTCCATGCGTGCGTGCATGTGTGATGCAGGTGCTGGCCAACATGCTATCCACGCCGCTAGCCACCATCTCAGGGGGGTCGGGAGGGGACGCCCCTGGGTGGCCCTTTGTGTGCTTCGACCTCAACCCCAACCGAGTCAGGGTGAGTGCATGAGTGAGTGAGTGAATGAGTGAGTGAGTGAGAGAACGAAAACCCCAGGCCCGGTGAGTGCACAAGGGAGTGCGTGAGGGAGGGAGTGAGTGAGTGAGTCAGAGAAACCCGAGCTAACAGACTCCCACCTGACGGTGAAGGAGAGGGTGAGGGGGTTATGACTGTCCAGTTCATGCCTCTCCTTTGGCAAAACACTCACTCCCGGCTCTACCCTCCTCCCACACCCCGTTTCCCCACCCCCTCTGCCCCACTTCCAGATGGGCAAGCGTCTGGGCTTCCCCGTCCTCTACGGTGACGGGTGTCGCCCGGCGGTGCTCGAGTCGGCGGGCATTCCGCGTCCGCTAGTGGCCATCGTGGTGTACTCGGGCCACCAGAAGTCGGTGTCTTCAGTCGGTGTCTTCCCCTCTCACCTTTTTCTCCTTCCCCGCCAGATGGGCAAGCGTCTGGGCTTCCCCGTCCTCTACGGTGACGGGTGGCTATCATTCCCCGTCCTACCCCAAGTAAACCCCTTTCTCTCCTCCCTTTCCCCCCACCTTCACTCCAGATGGGCAAGCGCCTGGGCTTCCCGGTCCTCTACGGGGACGGTTGTCGCCCGGCAGTGCTCGAGTCGGCGGGCATTCCTCGTCCGCTAGTGGCCATCGTGGTGTACTCGGGCCGCCAGCAGTCGGTGTCATCTGTGGAGCGACTACACGACGCCTTCCCGGGGGTGAGTGGGTGGGAAGGGCGTTGGTTGGGTTGGGGGGGACCATGGGGATGGATGGGTGGAGCAGGTAAGGGTAGAGCACTCGGGGCAGCAGCAGTCGGTGGCATCTGTGGAAAGACTACACGATGCCTTCCCAGGGGTGAGTGGGGAGGGGCGTTGGGGGGCTTTGGGGCATCGGGGGGCAAACATGGTGGGGGGGATGGGTGGTGCAGGCAAGGTTCCAAGTGGCCCTAGCAGCAGTCGGTGGCATCTGTGGAAAGACTCACGATGCCTTCCCAGGGGTGAGTGGTCGCAAGTTTTGAGGCGCCTGAAAAGAAATAAAGAAATAAACAGTTTGGAGGCGTCATCGTGTAGCCTTTCAAAAGCAGTCGGTGGCATCTGTAGAGAGACTACGCGATGCCTTCCCAGGGGTGAGTGGGGAGGGGCGATGGGTGGATTTGGGGACCTTTGGGAAACTGAGGAGGAATATAGGGGTATTCGGGGGGAATTTGAGGGGAACTTTAAGAGGGTGCTTTGCGGGAAATCTTCGGGAAAATCCCCCCCGAATACCCCACTCAGAAAATTGCGGGGAAAATTGGAAGCTCAGAAAGGGCTGCGATTTTCCCCACCCACTCAGTCCACTCTGAATGGGCTGCGTCCCTGTGCTATGCCTTTTGCCTTGTCCCCACCCACTCCCTCCACTCCGCTCTCCCTCTTCCTTGCTCCATGCCATGCCTCCCACCACCAGCTGCCCATATATGCCCGAGCAGTGGATGCAACTCAAGTGACGGAGCTGAGAACGGCCGCCTTAGCTCCCTCTGCTCCCCCTCGTTTTCCCTCCCCGCCCCTCCTCTGTTCTACCTGCTCCTCCAGCTGCCCATCTACGCCCGCGCAGTGGACGCAACTCATCTGGCGGAGCTCAGAAAGGCTGGTGCCACAGACGTTGTGCTGGAGAGTGCAGAGGTGAGACGCGTGGGCAGTAGATTGTGGTGAGGCGGGTCGGGAAGCGGTGGGACGCACAAACAAGCAACGGTGGACGCAACTCATCTGGCAGAGCTTCGAAAGGCTGGCGCCACGGACGTGGTCTTGGACAGTGCAGAGGTGAGGCGCGTGGGGAAGATTGAGGGGTACGATGAGGTTGAGGAGGGTGCTGGAGAGTGCAGAGGTGAGCCGTGTGGTGTGGAGGTGGATTATAGAGGGGTACGAGGAGGTTGGGGAGGGTGGCCCGTGCAGCTGAGAAGGGCCGGCGCCACAGGCGTGGTGCTGGAGAGTGCAGAGGTGAGGCGCGAGGGGGGGTAGTAGGAGTTATAGAGGTAGGTTGGGGAATGGTAGTCTGATGAGGAAAGTGTCCCGATCTACACGAGAGAGGCCGGCGCCACAGGCATGGTGCTGGAGAGTGCAGAGGTGAGACGAGTGGGGGAAGGAGATAATAGCAAGGTGAGATGGTTTGAAAAACGGGGGGTGAGGTAGCTCAGAATGGTGGGTTCCCCATGTGTACATGTGTGCACACATGTGTATGCATCCCTTCCCAGCTTTCCTACCCCCCCCCTCTCGGTCCGGCCTCCGACTCGGCTCCATGCTACTGCAAGACATGGGGTTGATGCGAGACGATGTTGTTTTCCTGCGGCGCCTCATGCGAGAGCCCCTTGACACGGAGGCTGTCACTCGCCGCCTCATCTGTGACGGCAAGTGTGTTTAATCCCTCTTCCCCTCTCCTCGTCCTCACAGGCCGGCCTTCGGCTCGGCTCCATGCTACTGCAAGACATGGGGTTGATGCGAGACGATGTTGTTTTCCTGCGGCGCCTCATGCGAGAGCCCCTTGACACGGAGGCTGTCACTCGCCGCCTCATCTGTGACGGCAAGTGTGTTTAATCCCTCTTCCCCTCTCCTCGTCCTCACAGGCCGGCCTTCGGCTCGGCTCCATGCTACTGCAAGACATGGGGTTGATGCGAGACGATGTTGTTTTCCTGCGGCGCCTCATGCGAGAGCCCCTTGACACGGAGGCTGTCACTCGCCGCCTCAACTGTGACGGCAAGTGTGTTTAATCCCTCTTCCCCTCTCCTCGTCCTCACAGGCCGGCCTTCGGCTCGGCTCCATGCTACTGCAAGACATGGGGTTGATGCGAGACGATGTTGTTTTCCTGCGGCGCCTCATGCGAGAGCCCCTTGACACGGAGGCTGTCACTCGCCGCCTCATCTGTGACGGCAAGTGTGTTTAATCCCTCTTCCCCTCTCCTCGTCCTCACAGGCCGGCCTTCGGCTCGGCTCCATGCTACTCCAAGACATGGGTGTGATGAGAGACGATGTGGTGTTTCTGCGGCGACTCATGCGAGAGGCTCTTGACTCGGAGGCTGTCACTCGGCGCACGGGGGGACAACGGTTGCTCAAGGACAGATCGGATCTGGGCGGCAGCTGGCCGGCCAAGGAGGAGAATCTGGGCGGCAAGCGGGCGGCGAAGGAGGATTTGGGCGGCAGTGGGGTGGGGAAGGAGGGGGAGGGTGGCGGAGGAGAGGAGAGTGACTGGGAAGGCGATTCGAGTGGGGATGGGAAGGGGGAGGTTGGTGGAGGTAAGGTGAGGGGTGGGGAGGATGGGGAGAAGGTGGAGGGAAAGAGTGAGGGAGGGAGAAAGAGTGGTGATGGTGGGTTGGCTGCGGTGAAAAAGGTTGGTGATAAGGTAACCGGTGCTGCTACTGGTGGTGCTGGTGGTGCCGCTGCTGCTGCTGCTGCTGCCGCCGCTGCCGCCGCCACCGCTGTTGTTGCTGCTGCAAGTGGTGATGCTGACACCGCTGGTGCCGCTGCCACCGCTGCTGCCACTGCTGCCACTGCTGCTGCTGCTAGGGTGAAACCTGTTCCTTCTGATGCGACCACCTCTCCTGATGCTGCTTCTGCCGCTGCCCCTGCTGCTACACCTGCTCTGGGGGGAGGCGATGGGTTGATCACACGGGCTGAAGCAATTAATGCAGCAGTGGGATTTGCTGGTGATGACGATGACAATGGGGATGGTGACATTAATGGTGGTGCTGATGATGATAATGGTGGTGATGATGGTGGTAATGGTGGTGGTGGTGATGATGACAACAGTGTTGGTGGTGATGGTGGGTTGGAGACAAAGGGGGAGCGATTGGGGGAGGGTGCAACCAGTAGGGTTGAGAGCGGAGAGACTGGATTAGCTGTAATTGGAAGCGTGACAGGTGGGGCTGATGTGAAGGGTGGCGATTCCAGGCTGGTGGTGAGGGCTAACAGAGAAGATGAGTCGGATGTGGAGGAAGATGGCAGTGAGGGAGTGGAGGAGGCGGGCTCTTTTTTGGTGACGGATGATGGGCTACAGTATTTTTCGGACGGTGAAGATTTTGTTGACACGAAGATAGGTTGCAACTCGAGCAGTACCACCCCTCGTGAGCTATGAATTTTGACTTGACACTAATTTAGTTTGACCGAGCACCTAATGACACCAAGTCAAAATCTATGGCACGGCCTGGCATCGAAGTATTGATACAAAAAAATAGTTATGGAAAATGGAACAGAAGTTTGTTCACAAGTGGTGCCATCTGAGGATTATACCACACAGAGGTTTGCAGTACGAAAACACATGACTGAGCTTATAAAAGGCTTAGGAGGAGCTACACTATATGTTCGATATCACCTCCTTGTGTGGGGTGGGGAGATTTGCGGCGCGTCGACGTGTTCCGTTCACGCGTCTTTTCGATGCTTCTGCCAGCCACCAACCACGGCGCGACATCGAGGGCATCGCACGCGCACCTTGGGATTAGATTTTTTAGTCGTTGCTGGCAGGAGTGCAGGTTGCAGGGGTGTAAGGACCATGGAGGAAGGAACCGTGGAAGGAGGCAATCGTCCTTGGGATTCCCTCCCCCTTGCTCGAGCAGACTGCTCGCTGGACTGGAGCGCAGCATGCAGTAATTAATGACCGTGTAGTACAGAGCAATACACATGCTTAGCGCAGTGTGCCGTGCAGTAAGCTCAGGCAACCACACAACACCGATGCCCAGGCTCCAGCGCACGTTCATTCCACAGTTCCAGCAGTCACTTCTGCAAGCAGTCCCTCCCACCACACCCGCCCCCGCACCGCAAGTCTTTTCAAACATAACTCATACTCGAACAGCCCTTCCGCATTGTACGTTCACGAATCCCCGTCCCGTTGCAAGCGTCAGTTGCGCCCGAAGGTTCAGTGATAGGTGGGTATGGCGGAGCCAAGGGCTCCAATCAATCAATCGGTTAGCCTTTTATTTCCCTTTCCACAACGTTCGGGTGCTTTTTGAATAGAATGTTGAATGTTTAGTCAGTAGTAAGAGGAGACACATTCTATCTGTCATACGTGGATTTACTACTAGTTTCTGCGGATACATATTAGCACGAAAGCGTGCTAAAGATCAGCAGTTCTTGCGAGGTGTAGCGCTTTCACAGCATTTTTTTTCCTTCCTTACGTTCGTTGAGCTTCTAACCGTTCCCGAGTTTTCGCAACCATGGCGTTAGCTCGCCGGTTTAATAAAATGTTCGTTCAAGGAGGAAAGCAGGACGGGCCCCCGACCCCTTCCCGCAAGCCTCGCAATCCGCAATCGCAATCGTCGTCGCAAGATCTCGACAACAACAGCGAGCCGCGTCGCTCGCGATCGTTCGGACGTCGCAGCTACGACAGCAGCGCGGCTCCCGCCGCCGCTGCGACTCCACCCACCGACGCTTTCGCAAAAATGCGGTTACCAACGTCGAGTTCGCTGGACGGGAAACGGGATTCCGCGGGTCAATCGGTGGACCACGGCGCGCACGATCATATCGTGGATTCCCCCGATAAAGTCACATCGAAATGGAGCAAAGCCGACTGGCAGGACATTATCAGCGCCCTAGAGACGGCTTCTAAAGGGTACAAATACTCATTTGAAAAAGGCCCAAGTTCAAGTATAAACACGGACAGAGTTAACCTAAGACGACATTTAGCCTTGTTGTTCAGCCTAGATCTCAGTTTTCCCCCTTCGATTCGTCCTTGCCTTCTCTTCCGCGCTCCTGCCTTCTGCCGCCCTCAGGTGTCACAAGTGCGGGGACTCCTCCGCCAATCCTGCCCTTGCCTCCGCCCTGCGCCTCGTCTCTCAGCTAAAAGCCGGTGGCAATCACAATCACAACGACACCCTCTCCTCCGCCGGCACCTCTCCCAGACCTAATCCCCGAGCCTCCCCCGGACCTCACCCCCGAGCCTCCTTCCCGGACATGCACGGCGCAATGACGGACGTGGGCCCGTCCGCGTGCCCGTACCTAGGCGGAAATGCTGGGGGAGGGGGGGCGGGGGGAGACGCGGGGGAAGGAGGGCCGCGGGTGGCGGGGCTGGTTCGGACGAACTCGGGCGCGAGCAGTAACACGGACTCGCTTATAACGGGGACGACTCATAGCGTGGGAGCGGGAGGGGGTGGAAACGTGAGTGCAGCCGACCTTCTGAATCGGCGCATGCTGTCAATGATTACTAAGGCACATGAGCTTTACGCCAAGGACACGGTACGTATGATATGATCGGACTGTTCAGCCTTGAGACTTAAAATTCACAACAACGTGAGTGCAGCTGATTTTTTGAATCGCCGCACGCTGTCGATGACTACTAAGGCTCACGAGCTATACGCCAACGATACAGTACGCAATCTCCCTTCCCCCGCCCCTGCCCCTTCCCCTGTCCCCACTTCCCTGCTTCCCGCATTGCATCCCTTGTCATCCTCTTCCCCTCCCCACCAGACTCCCAGCTGCTGGAGCTCACCCATCCTTCCTTCCCCTGCCCCTCCCCTGTCCCCACTCCCTTGCCTCCCGGATCACATATCTCTTCTCCCCTCCTCATCCCCACCAGACCCCCAACGGCAGCAAGGTGGCGGATTTCCTGCTCTCCCAGCTGCTGGAGCTCACGCAGTCTCTCTCCCCGCCCCATCTTCCTGCTTCCTCCGTCCATAATCCCTCTTGACCCCTCCTCGCCCCCACCAGACCCCCAACGGAAGCAAGGTGGCGGATTTCCTGCTCTCGCAGCTGCTGGAGCTCACGCAGTCTCTCTCCCCGCCCCATCTTCCTGCTTCCTCCGTCCATAATCCCTCTTGACCCCTCCTCGCCCCCACCAGACCCCCAACGGAAGCAAGGTGGCGGATTTCCTGCTCTCGCAGCTGCTGGAGCTCACGCAGTCTCTCTCCCCGCCCCATCTTCCTGCTTCCTCCGTCCATAATCCCTCTTGACCCCTCCTCGCCCCCACCAGACCCCCAACGGAAGCAAGGTGGCGGATTTCCTGCTCTCGCAGCTTCTGGAGCTCACGCAGTCTCTCTCCCCGCCCCATCTTCCTGCTTCCTCCGTCCATAATCCCTCTTGACCCCTCCTCGCCCCCACCAGACCCCCAACGGAAGCAAGGTGGCGGATTTCCTGCTCTCGCAGCTGCTGGAGCTCACGCAGTCGCCTGCTGGCTTCATCTGTAGCGCCGTCAGAAAGAACGACGGCGCTGTTTCGCTGAAGGTGAGAACGAGCACACCTTGTACTCGTTATATGCACTGTTGGATCATGGATGTGGTATCATAGGTGGATAGCGCTGGAGCTCACGTAGTGGCCTGCTGGCTTCATCTGCAGCGCTGTTAGGAAGCCCGATGGCGCTGTTTCCCTCGAGGTGAGTGCGAGAACACTCTGTACTCATTAGAGGCATTATAGCAGCAGCCCCTGGAGCTCACCCAGTCGCCTGCTGGCTTCATCTGCAGCGCTGTCAGGAAGCCCGACGGGGCTGTTTCCTTGAAGGTGAGTGAAAGCACACTTTGTGCTCGTTATTATCAAGCTTTCCTGGTTATAGCAATCGCTGCTTGCCGCCTACATCTCCAGCAACCCCACCCCTGTGTCACCCAACCCTCCCAACCCCCCACCCTCTCCATCCCCTCTCCCCTCTTTCTCCCCGTGCATTGCCGGCGAAATACATCCTTCATAATTATCTCTCTCGTTTCATGTTTCCTGAAACCCCCTCATTCTTGCCTCTGCCCCCTCTCTCTCTCCTCTGCTTGCTCTCTCCTCTTCCCAGACCCACTCTCAGAGAGCTGCGCCTCACAGAGACCCACTCACTGGACGAGGGAGCTGCGCCTGTGGTACAGAGAGAATGTCTGATCAACCCTCTCCGCCCCTCCTCCTTTCTCTCTTTCTGTGCTTTTGTGCTCTCTCTCCCCTCCCAGACCCACTCAATCACCAACTTCGCATGGACCAGGGAGCTGCGACTGTGGTACACAGAGAATGCTGCCAAGGGGCTCGTATTCAGCAACCTCAACACGCTCTTCGGCCATGTCAGTCCTATTTTCTCGCCCTCCCTTCCTCGACCTCCATGCTTGCCCCATAGCCCTCCCTTCTTGAGTCACTAGCTGCAAAGGGGCTCCTATTCAGCAACCTCAACACATTATTCGGCCATGTCAGTCCTTACCTTTTCGCCCTCATCGCCCTCCCTTTCCTATTCTCCTCGCTCTCTTGCCCGTCATCCCACTTCTTCTCGACTCGCCGCTAAGGGTCTCGTATTCAGCAACCTCAACACATTATTCGGCCATGTCAGTCCTTACCTTTTCGCCCTCATCGCCCTCCCTTTCCTATTCTCCTCGTTCTCTTGCCCGTCATCCCACTTCTTCTCGACTCGCCGCTAAGGGTCTCGTATTCAGCAACCTCAACACATTATTCGGCCATGTCAGTCCTTACCTTTTCGCCCGCATCGCCCTCCCTTTCCTATTCTCCTCGTTCTCTTGCCCGTCATCCCACTTCTTCTCGACTCGCCGCTAAGGGTCTCGTATTCAGCAACCTCAACACATTATTCGGCCATGTCAGTCCTTACCTTTTCGCCCGCATCGCCCTCCCTTTCCTATTCTCCTCGTTCTCTTGCCCGTCATCCCACTTCTTCTCGACTCGCCGCTAAGGGTCTCGTATTCAGCAACCTCAACACATTATTCGGCCATGTCAGTCCTTACCTTTTCGCCCGCATCGCCCTCCCTTTCCTATTCTCCTCGTTCTCTTGCCCGTCATCCCACTTCTTCTCGACTCGCCGCTAAGGGTCTCGTATTCAGCAACCTCAACACATTATTCGGCCATGTCAGTCCTTACCTTTTCGCCCGCATCGCCCTCCCTTTCCTATTCTCCTCGTTCTCTTGCCCGTCATCCCACTTCTTCTCGACTCGCCGCTAAGGGTCTCGTATTCAGCAACCTCAACACATTATTCGGCCATGTCAGTCCCTCTCCTCGCCCTCTCTCCTCGCCCTCCCTTCTCGCCCAATAGTCCTCCCTTCTTGAGTCTTAGCCCCATAACTCTCCCCTCGCTACTCTCATCACTACCAAATCTGCCCCAGCCTTTCAACCACCAAAAGCTTTTCAACCTCCATCTTCCATTCCCACGGTTCTCTCCCTCCCCCCGTCCCCATCCTACCAACCAGATTGTGAAGACCAGCGACGTGGTTCTGAGCAACAACGCCGTTGACGACCCTCGCTCCTCGGGCCTGCCCCCCGGCCACCCCCATTCCATTCCCACCCCCTTCCATTTCTCCAATCCTATTCCCCATCTCTCTCCTCAGATTGTGAAGACCAGCGACGTGGTTCTCAGCAACAACGCCGTTGACGACCCCCGCTCCTCGGGCCTGCCCCCCGGCCACCCCATCATCCACACCTTCCTGGGCGTGCCACTCTTCCATGGTATGTGCACATGTGCCCGTACATGCTCAGTCTTCCTTGGTAGGCACACACAAATACATGACGTTGCAAAAACCCTGGCTCCTCCGGCCTGCCCCCCGGCCATCCCATCATCCACACCTTCCTGGGCGTCCCGCTTTTTCATGGTACGTGCATTACTATATCGCTGCACGGATGCACACACAGGCTTCCTTGAGGGTTCTGATGACCCTCGCTCGCTCCTCCGGCCTGACCCCCAGGCCATCCCATCATCCACACGTTCTTGGGAGTCTAGCTCTTCCATGGTACGTGCACATGCACACGGACATGCATTTCAAGGTAGGTACATGCAAGCTTGAGCCCTCCCAAAGAAAGAGGGCACATTCTTGAGATTCCTCGCTCCTCTGGCCTGCCCCCAGGCCATCCCATCATCCACACGTTCTTGGGAGTCTAGCTCTTCCATGGTACGTGCACACGCATGCGCGCAATGCATTTTCAAGGTAGGTACGTGCAAAATTGAGCCCTCCCAACGTAAGAGGGCACATTCTCGAGACTCGCTCCTCCAGTCTGCCCCCCGGTCTGCCCCCCGGCCCGGTCTGCCCCGGGGCCATCCCATCATCCACACGTTCCTGGGAGTCCCGCTCTTCCAAGGCAGGGTACGAGGAGGGCATGCTGCTGGGGGAGCTGCAGTCTGTGTGTGACTCGACCTTCATGTGATGAGGCGATTTCTGAGTCGACTCAAAAGTCGTTCCCTGCTTTCTCCATCCCCCTGCCCCATGGCCCATAGGCTCGTAGTTTATAGGGGCGTGGGCGGTGGCTAACAGGAAGGGGGGGTAAAAGGAGGGCATACTGGGGGAGGTGTAGACTGTGTATGACCCAACCTATGCGTGCGTGTGTCCCCTCTTGTGTCCCCTCTTGTGTCCCCTCTTGTGTCCCCTCTTGTGTCCCCTCTTGTGTCCCCCTTCTCCTGTATTCCCTAATGTGACTGCTCCGAGCTGATAGGAGCGTGGGTGGTGGCTAACAGGAAGGGGGGGTACAAGGAGGGCATACTGGGGGAGCTGCAGTGCAGCCTGCCTGCCTGTGACTCATCCGCCTGTGTTCCCTCCACTGCTCCCGTTCCCCATCCATTTTCTATGGCCTCTGTCGTGTGACTGGTAGGTTCCGAGCTGATAGGCGCGTGGGCGGTGGCTAACAGGAAGGCAGGGCATGAGGAGTCGATGCTAGGGGATCTGCAGCCTGTGTGTCTGAGACTCAGCCTGCTCTATTCCCTACGGTATCCCCCTGTTGTGTTCCCTTCGTTTCCCTTCTTTTCCTATATGCCTAGGTTCCGAGCTGATAGGCGCGTGGGCGGTGGCTAATAGGAAGGCAGGGTATGAGGAGTCGATGCTGGGGGAGCTGCAGCATGTGACTAAAACGGTGGCTCAGATCGTGGCGGGCATTCAGGGCAGGAAGAAAGCGGCCGAGAAGGAGAAACGCATGGTGTCCATGCTCAAGGTAGGGCCGGCCGGCCTTGATGGTGGAATGGAATGGAATGGAATGGAATGGAATGGGTTTGAACTTTGAAGGTAAGGTCTTGATGAGATGACGCATGGTGTCCATTCTCAAGGTAGGGCCGGCCGGCCTTGATGGTGGAATGGAATGGAATGGAATGGGTTTGAACTTTGAAGGTAAGGTCTTGATGACGCATGGTGTCCATGCTCAAGGTTTGTATGGCCTGATGGTCATAGCATGGTTTCATGTTCAAGGGAAGGAGAAGCACATGGTCTCTATGCTCAAGGTTTGTACGGCCTTGATGGTCGAGGTGTGGGCTAGTTGCCAAAGTGTGGGCCTGATGCGATGCTCTATGTGATGAGAAGAGTATCCAGGGCCGGAAGAAGGCGGACGAGAAGGAGAAACGCATGGTCTCTATGCTCAAGGTATGGGAGTGAGGTGATGATAGTAATAATGGTAGTGGTAATGATAATGGTAATGGTAATGGTAATGGCAGTGGTAATGGTAATGGTAATGGTAATGGTAATTGTAATGGTAATGGTAATGGTAATGGCAGTGGTAATGGTAATGGTAATGGCAGTGGTAATGGTAATGGTAATGGTAGTGATAATGGTAATGGTAATGGTAATGGTAATAGTAATGGCAGTGTTAATGGTAGTGGTAATGGTAGTGGTAATGGTAATGCTTAAGGGATATGTCTCACTTTTGACACCATAGACGCCATCATAGCACTGGCTGAGGGTGGCATTATCATCTTTCCTCCCCCCTTCCCCCCTTTCTCCCTCTCCCCTCCCCCTTTCCACAGAGCACCATAGACGCTATTATAGCTCTGGATGAGGGCGGCACCATCACGGCAATGAACCGCGCGGCGAGGAACCTTTTTGGATTCACCGAATCTGCCAGTGGCAGCAGTGGGGATGACGTGGACGCGTCTACCCTTCCCGACACCCTCCACATCACGGACCTTCTTGAGTCTGTGGATGGCTCAGAGGACTTCATAGAGACTGGTAAGGGGGAACACCATTAGGCTTGTAGCATCCCTTCTGGTAGGTTGTCTGGTGTGACGTGGACGCGTCTACTCTTCACGGACCTTCTTGAGTCTGTTGATGGGTCAGAGGACTTCATAGAGAACGGTAAGAGGGCATTTTGCAGGGTTTGGGAACGGTGAGAAGGGAGAGAGTTGGAGCCACTCTCCCCGACACCGTCCACATCACAGACCTTCTCGAGTCTGTTGATGGGTCCGAGGACTTCCTTGAAAACGGTGAGAGAGTGCCACAATGTATGAGAATAGGCTGATGAGAGATCCACTCACACTGTCGGAGGCAGGGTTTAGGGGATGGCGTGGACGCGTCCACTTCCCCCATCATGCTTCGAATCACGGACCTTCTGGAGTCTGTGGATGGGTTTGAGGACTTCTTAGAGAATGGTGCCATAAGGTATGAGAACTAGGTGATGAGAGTCGCACACCCACACAGCCAGTGGCAGCAGTGGGGATCAGCACAAGGCGGCATCAGAAGCAGTGGGGATGACGTTGACGCGTCGACTTTACCGGACACCATTAACATCACAGACCTCCTCGAGTCTGTTGATGGGTCCGAGGACTTTTTAGAGAACGGTAAGAGGGCATTTTGCAGGGTTTGGGAACGGTGAGAAGGGAGAGAGTTGGAGCCACTCTCCCCGACGCCCTTCACATAACGGACCTTCTCGAATCTGTGAATGGTAGAGAGTTGGTGTATTTCCTTGGAAATGGTCAGGCTCGAGTCAATTCTTCCCAGCACCTTTCTCCTTCCCCCATCAAGCCTCGACACGTTTATAGGAGGCAACCACCTAGTGTCACACGCTGCCTACTGAGTCAACTCGAGTCAACGCAAGTCAATGTGCACCCTTCTTTCTCTCCCCATAGGAGCGGACCACCTGGTGTCAGCTGCACTTTAAGTCATCTCAAGTCAACCCAAGTCAATGCCTCCTTACACCAGGCCTTGACACGTTCATAGGGGACGACCGCTTGGTGTCTGTAGATGCTTACCAGGTCAACTCTAGTCAACCCAAGTCAATGCCTCCTCCCAACACCCTTCCTTTCCCCCAACCAGGCCTCGACACATTCATAGGAGACGACCACCCGGTGTCGGCCGTCGGGCGGCAGATTGTGGGCGGCAAGGTCTTTTTGGAGCTATCTGTGGCGTCAGGCGCTGCTGCTGACGTGGCATACGTGCTGACAGCGCGCGAGTTACAGGCAGGGGGTGGGAACGTGCATGTACCTGGCACTCCAGGCTCTGCTTACAGTGGGGGAGGAGGGAGGAGCATGGGTGGGGAGATGGCGGACATGGGGGCCATGGGGAGAATGGGGGCCATGGGGGGAATGGGGGGCATGGGAGGAATGGGGGGAATGGGGGGCATGGGAGGAATGGGGGGCATGGGGGGGATGGTGGGCATGGGCATGGGTGGGGGTATGCGTGGGGGCATGAGTGGGGGTATGGGTGGGGGCATGGGTGGGGGCATGGGGGCTTATGAGATGATGGGGAATGGTCGGGGTGGGATGGGTGCAATGAGGCCCGCTGCTGGTGGTGGTGGTGGGGTGGGTGCTGGGGCATCTGCTGGTTCGGAATTCGGTGGTACGGGTGGCGGTGCTGCTGCTGCTGCTGGTGCTGGTGGTGGTGGCATTAAGTTGGAAGGGCTTGATATCAAGCCGTATCAGCAGCAGCAGCAGCAGCAGCAGCAGCAGCAGCAGTCTGGTACTAATATTTACGCAAGTTATGCACAGAACGAAGACTACAATACGTATGTGTATGATGGAAATGGTATTTGAGGATCAAGCTTGCCCTGTCATTATATTATGCCCTAGCTCACGACTCTGGATGCTTGGTTGTAACCCATAATTTGTTTACCCACGTTACGTTCTTGGAAAAAAGAACACGACTACTGTTTCCCTGACAGATTATATGTGCTGGATCAAATGCTATTTTCCCTACAGCTATTTTGTATTGAGGTCCTGCACAAAAGCTAGGCGCATACTTAATCGAATTGTATTGTAGGATTTTCGAACAAGATAGCACAACGATGCTGTTGTTATCGGAGCAGCAGTTTGGTCTTGTTGATGTAGCTGCCGAACCGTACTGCACCATTGCAATTCTCGAACTGTTTCTTCAAATCCTTATCCTTTCCCTTACAGCGATCGCTTTTCCCTCTTTATGGTGCCGCTAGGGTTTCAACGAAACAGTTCCCGCCAACAGATCCTTTCCCTCTTTCCCTCGATACTGTCGCAAATTTAGATGATAGTGCTTGGTTTTCCGCAGTTATACGTCAATTTTTTTTTTTCTCACGAGCCTTTTCTGTTTCCCGCTAGGTTCCCAGGTTCTCAGGTTTTCCAGGTTTTCGAGCTTTCGAGAGTTTGAAGTTACAAACTGCTGAACTCAATTTTATTATGCTCGCCATCTATATCTGCTTTCCCATTTCTTTCTTTCCGCGGTTAGGCCAGGTCGCGAGTTCGGGAGTGTGGCAACCGTAGCGCACATTTCAAATCGATCCCCCCACGGAATGTTCATCGCTACTTGTTGACAAAGCACCACTGCGTTTTCGCTCGACTTGTAAGTCGCGAGTTTCGTGGGAAGGTCCCAGCTAGTGTCGTGAGTTCACGAGTTACAAGAATCAACGTTATTCTCTTAGCGTTGTCGAGTTGTGGAGCGGAGTTTGCGGCTGTCTCGTGTGTCTAGACTAGCTCGTTTCTTCTACTGCTCAAAGTTGTCCGTCCACGAGTGCAGAGCTGCAATCGGCGTCGTCTAGTAGCGCCCACCGTCATTGCTCTCCGTTGCGCTTTTGCTTCCCGTTCCAACGGCATTAGAGTACTCCTGTTTTGAGATGTCGCTAGAGGTGCTTCGTATGTCTCGTCATTTTTTTCCATTGACGAGATAGCTATCTTGTCATTTATTTTTCCTTCTTGACGACTTAGCTATCTCGCGCAACTGCCTCGACCTTTGTCGTTGCTCGCTTCTCGTTGGGTCACGTCTGTGTCGTCGCTCCCTTCGTTACACTGTTGACAGCGTCTCACTTTCCGTTTTATTCTCCACCTTTTCTCAAGTGTTTTTTTCTTACTGGGTCGTTACACCCTCTGCTTTTCGACGTTCATATCGCCCAATCGCCTCCTCTTTTCCAGCCGTTACATTCGCGTTACTGTCTCACGGTCTACAAGTCTTTGCCGTATGGAGGAAATACCCGACAGTCACGCCTTCGCGGCAGCTCCAATGGAAGGCGTGGAGATGGAGGAAGTTGTGCAGGGTGTCGAGGCACCTTCTAACGAGGATAGAAACGCTTCCGCGGCGGAGCCAGGATCGAGCACCGCGGAACACTTTGCGGCGACGGATGCGGGTTTCGCGGCGTCCGATGCGGCGCCGGATGCGGCGGCTGATGCGGGGTACTCGGCGCACGAGAGCGCGGCAGCGGCGGCCGCGGCGGCCGCGGCGGAGCTGGAAGGCGACGGAAGGGACGCGGAAGGAACGACGGCAGCGCCGACGACGGTGATCACGGAAGATGCTGAGAACCTTCTGGACGACATGCTGGGAGAGTCGGGTACGTCAAAACGCCAACCTTAGTTTTTGATTTCCTTTTTATTTTTCCATGAATATGTCCTTTATTTCCCCCTTTTGGGAAAGCGTTTTGATGTCACGATGGACGTCCATCACTCTATTTCACCGCTCCTACCTTGTCATTTGCCCACCTTGTCTTCAACGGTTTTTTTTTTTTTTCCGAGGATGCTTTTGTATAACTCAAGCTTTTGGTAGGCCCCGCTTGTACCATCACACCTTTATTTCTTTTACGCACCTGCGTTTTTTTCCTTCATGCTGTTCGTGCATTCAGTTCGAACCTCTAGTTTTGGGAAATAGCGAACCATCCCTGTCCTCTCTTTTTTGTTTTTAACTTGCTATATATAATTTCTGCTTTATTATTATTGTTTTTTTTCTCGCCAACCCCCACCATCGTTTGTCCTCCCCTCTCATTGACGCGGTTCCAGATCCTACTGCCGAGCCTACTGCTGCCGAGCCTGTTCCTGTAGGTGATGCACAAGCTGCAACCACTGGGGTTGGTGGGGAGTTCCCTGCCGATGCTACCCCCGAGGTTCCTCCCACTGCTGCGGAAACACCTGCAGAGGAATCTGCTCCTGCCGAGGAATCGGCTCTAGCGGAGGGAGCAGCAGCAGGCGCACTAGATGGAACCGGAACTGGTGCAGAGGAACCTGTTGCTGCAGAGGAATCTGCTCCTGCAGAGGAGAGTCAACCGCAGGTTGATAACCAGGAGTCTGTTCCGCCAGTGGGGGACGCACAGGCGGAGGGGGAAGCGGGTCCGCCAGTAGAGGGGATGGGTATGGATGTGAAGCATGATGATGGGAGTGGTGCGCACGGGCAGGAGGAACTAGGGCAGCCTATAGCGGGTATGGGAATGGATGTGAAGGTGGGTGATGGAGGCGTGGAAGGGGGGCAGGTGGTGGGGGGAGAGGGGGAGATTATAGGGGAGGGAGGACAGGTGGTGGGGGGAGAGGGGGATGTTATGGGGGAGGGAGGGCAGGGGGAGGGAGAGCATGTGGGAGAGCATATAGATGAGCAGGAGGGGGATGAAGCACTTCGGCTTCGGATGGGAATGGATGTGAAGCCTGATGGGGAAACTCCTGGGGAGATTGCGCAGGGGGAAGTGGGGGGAGAGGCGCAATACGAGCCGCAGGTTGGCGCAGTTGGCAGTGCGGGCGGGGAGCATGGGGAGCAGGGGGGGCAGCCGTATGAAACGGGGGCGCAGGTGGGGGGAGCGCAGGAGCATGGGGGTGGGGAGTATGTGGGGGAGGCTTATGCGGGGCATCAGCAGGAGGGGGAGTTGTATGCGGGGCAGCAGCTGCAGGGGCAGGAGTATGCAGGGCAGCAGCAGGAGGGGGAGGCTTATGTGGGGCAGGAGCAGCAGGGGCAGGAGTATGCAGGGCAAGTTGTGGGAGGAGATGTGGATATGCAGGAGCAGCAGCAAGGGGCGGTGGTGGGGGAGGGAGGAGAGGTGGTATACGCACCTGATGCTGCTGCTGGTGGTGATGCTGCTGGTGAAGCTGAGGCAGTGGCAGCTAAACCCGATGCTGATGCCTACGCCGCCGCTGTTGCTGCTGCTGACACCGCAGCAGCAGAAGCAGCAGCAGCAGCAGAAGGGGATGGTGGGGAGCGAATGGAAGGGGTGCAGATGCAGGGGGAAGCGGAAGCAGCACATATGGCTGGGGGCGGGGAGGGATACACTGACGCGGGGACCCACGAAGGGTATGCAGCAGAAGCAGGGGCTCAAGGGGGGTTCACACAAGAAATGGGCAATGAAGGGTACACTCTAGGGGAATCGCAGGGTGGGTACACGGGCGAGCAGGGCCATGAGGGGTACGGGCAAGAGGTTGCGCATGCATATGCGCAAATGGAGGGACACGTGGCACAGCCTTACGGGGAAGGGGGGATGGCAGCAGAAGGGCATGCGGAAGGAGAAACCACAGCAGGAGGAATGGCAGTAGGAGAAGCAGCGGCAGGGGAAGCTGCAGCAGCGGAAGCAACAGCGGCAGCAGGAGGAGGAGAAGGCGCAGGGGCAGAAGAAGGGGCGGGAGCGGGCGGGAAGGAGATGATCCTGGCTGGCACAGAGGCAACAGATCGGATCCTGTCAAGTGTGGAGGCGGCAGATCTGATTCTGACGCAGCAGCAGCTGCCACAGCCGCCGCCCGGCCCGGCCGTGGGGAACCTGATGATGCTGCCCATGCTTCTGGACCAGATCGAGGCGCATATCCTCTTCTATGGGCGCATCTTGTGAGTCTAGTGACTGTAGAAGATGTGACTGTATGGGGTGTCCTTGCTTAACCACCTGGGCTGGCCGTGGGCAACCTGATGATGCTGCCCATGCTGCTGGATCAAATCGAAGCGCATATCCTCTTCTATGGGCGCATCTTGTGAGTAGCGTGACTGTAGAAGTTGTGACTGTATGGGGTGTTCTTGATCAGCCGCCCGGGCCGGCGGTGGGGAACCTGATGATGCTGCCCATGCTGCTGGATCAAATCGAGGCGCACATCCTGTTCTACGGACGCATCTTGTGAGTCTTGTGACTACATCAGTGTGACTGTATGGTGTGTGATTGTATGCGGTGCTGGTAATGAGAGGCTTGGCTGGCTGTGAGCAGTGGGGAACCTGATGATGATGCTGCCCATGCTGCTGGATAAGATCGAGGCGCATATCCTCTTCTATGGGCGGATCTTGTAAGTGGTGTGACTGTAGAAAATGTGACTGTAATAGGGTGTGACTGTACATGGTGCTGGCAGCGAGAGGCTTGGCTGGCGGTGAGCAGTGGGCAACCTGATGAAGCTGCCCATGCTGCTGGACCAAATCGAAGCACACATCCTCTTTTATGGACGGGTCTTTTAAGCCCCATGCTCATAACCCCCACCGTCATCCCCACGATTTTTTAGGCGCCTCAAAAATTGCTGCTGGACCAGATCGAAGCACGCATCCTCTTTCATGGACGGAACTTATGCGCCCCATGCTCATAACCCCCACCGTCATCCCCACCCCCGTCCCCCCCATGCTCCAGCCGCAAGGAGCCTTTGAAGGAGGAGCTGCGGAATCTCGTTTTCCATCCGCCCGCACCTTTATTTACCACCCCATTCTCCCTCCCCATCGCCCCCCTCCACCCATGCTCCAGCCGCAAGGAGCCTTTGGAGGAGGAGCTGCGGAATCTCGTCTTTGCCTCCATGCCCTCAGGTACCGCCTTCCCCAGATAACGCCTCCATGCCCTCAGGTGCCCTCAGGTACCACATTCCCCATGTAATACTTCCATGCTTTCAGGTACTGCCTTCCCCACGTAATGCCCTCAGATGTTGCCTTTTCCAAATAAATGACTCCATGCCCTCAGGTAGTGCCTTTACTCATAATGCGCCCTGTTTCTCCCTCTCACTCCCTTCTTTTGCCTTTAGACTTTCCCTCCCCTGATTATTCCCCCTCCTTCCCTGCCTTCCCACCTTCCCGTATTCCAACTCCGTCCCACTCCTTGCTACGCCTTCTTACTCCTTCCCACTCCTCCATCTATCCAGACCTAGGCACACCGGAGCACGAGCGCTGGCTCGAAGTGGTGGAGGCTTGGGAGGAGCGCAAGCGCATGATTGGCTACCAAGCCTCGGGCGGCCGAGGCAGGGGAAGAGGCCGGGGCCGAGGCAGGGGGAGGGGCAGAGGGCGGGGGAGGGGGAGGGGGAGAAGGGGCGCGTATGGGGGGGGGTATGGGGGCAGGGGGGAATCTCCGGGGGAAGAAGGGGAGGAGGGGTATTATGCTGGGAGTGGGATGAGGAGAGGGGGAGTTTGGGATTCAGAAGGTATGGAAGGGGAGGAGGGTAACCCAGGGGAAATCGACGGGGAAATTCCCCATAGAAAATACCGAGTCGGGCCTAGAATCCCTGCAGAGGCACAGAAATTGGGGGCGGTTTTGGGGAGGGCGGCGTGGGGGAAGGCGGAGGAGGAAGAAGCGAGGGAATATCTCCTGGGTTTGGCCCCTGATAGGGGGATTGCGGAGGAAGCTGCTGGGAGGGCTGCTGCTGCTGCGGCGGTTGCAGGGAAGCATGCTGCTGCTGCTCTTGGGCTGGTGTGTGTGGATGGGGCGAAGGGGAAGGAGGAGGGGAAGGGAGGGGGGGAGAAGAAGGATGAGGCTGCTGGTGTTGGTGTTGCAGATGGTGGTGTTGATGGTGCTGGTTCTGCAGCTGTTCCTGCTGCCGTGGCTGCTGTTGCTGATGCTGCTGCTGCTGACGCTGATGCTGATGGTGCTGCTGCTGCTGGAAAGGAGGTTGATACAATGGAAGTGGATACTAAGGAGGATGCTGCTGCTTCGTTGGATGCTGCTACAGCCGATGGTGCTGCTGCTACAACTGATGCTGCTGCTACAGCTGACGCTGCTGCTGCTACAACGAATGCTGTCAAAACGGATGCTGCTGCAGCTGATGCCGCTACAACTGATGCTGCTACAACTGATGCTGCTACAGCTGTTGCTGCTACAGTTGATGCGAAGGAAGCAGCTGATGAAGGTCAGGAAAAGGGAGCCGCAGGCGCTATGGAGACAGATACAAAGGAGGACGCTGCTGCTACAGCTGATGCTGCTACAGCTGATGCTGCTACAACCGATGCTGCCAAAGCTGATGCTGCTGGAGCTGAGGCAGCGGAAGCAGCCAAAGGAACAGATGAAAAGGGAGCAGACACTATGGAAACAGATGCAAAGGACGCAGCTGCTACAACGGATGTTGCTGCTGCTGGTAAAACCGATGGTGCTGCTGGTACAGCCGATGGTGCTACAGCTGAGGTAGCGGAAGCAACTAAGGGGAGTGATGAGAAGGGAGCAGACGCAATGGAAACAGATGCTAAGGACGCTGCTGTTGCAGCCGATGCTGCTGCCGCTACTACAGCAGCGGACACTGCTACAGGTGATGCTGCTACAGCCGATGCTGCTACAACCGATGCTGCTACGGCCGAGGCTGCTACAGCCGAGGCTGCTACAGCCGAGGCTGCTACAGCTGATGCAGCAGAAGCAGCCAAAGGAAGTGATGAAAAGGGAGCAACTGCTATGGAAACAGAAGAGAAGGTGATTGTAGAGGAAACAGCAGAGAAGGTGACCGCAGAGGAAGCAGCGGAGAAGGTGACTGCAGAGGAAGCAGCAGAGAAGGTGACTGCTGAGGAAGCAGCAGAGAAGGTTCCTGCAGAGGAAGAAGCAGAGAAGGTGACTGCAGAGGAAGCAGCAGAGAAGGTGCCTGCAGAGGAAGCAGCAGAGAAGGTGCCTGCAGAGGAAGCAGCAGAGAAGTTGTCTGCAGAGGAAGCAGCAGAGAAGGTGACTGCAGAGGAAGCAGCAGAGAAGTTGCCTGCAGAGGAAGCAGCAGAGAAGTTGCCTGCAGAGGAAGCAGCAGAGAAGTTGCCTGCAGAGGAAGCAGCAGAGAAGTTGCCTGCAGAGGAAGCAGAAGCTGCCAAGGAGAAGCATGAGCAAGCAGAGGGCTGCGGTTTTGATGCTCCTGCTGCTGCCACCGCCACTGCAGATGTGCCTGATGCTGCTACTACCACTGGTGCTGCTACTACTGATGCTGTTGCTATGGATGCTGATGCAACTGTTGTTGCTGAAACAGAAGCTGCAACTGCTGATGCTGCTGCTACAGCCGATGCTGCTGCTGCAACCGACGCTACTGCTGCAACCGATGCTGCTGCTACAGCCGATGGTGATGCTGCAGCTGATGCTGACGCTACAACTGATGCTGCCGCTATTGTTGCTACAACCGATGCTACTGCTACAACCTCTCATGACGCTATTGCCGCTGATGGAGCTGCCATTACAGATGCTCTTGCTGCTGCTGTTGCTGCCACAACCGCTGCTACAACTGCCTCCCCTGCTGCTACAGCCGCTGCTACCCCCGCTGCCCCTACCCCCACCAAACCCACCGGCCCTCTTCTGGACGGCTGGTGCGAGGCAGCAGATCGCGCGCTGCTAATGGCTAAGGACTCGGCTGTCAGTGCAGGAAAGGCCATGCTGGCACTGGACCGTGATCTCGACGCCATGTGGCAGGAGCTCTATGAGGTGGACAACTGCCACGTGGAGGCTGACAGCTCAGCAGGGAAGCTGGCCGCGCAGGCGCTGGCAGCTGCTGCTGTGGCCCGCGCGTCAGCCGCTGCTGCCAAGTCAGCGTGGGACTTGGTTAAGTATTACCGGAGCAAGGTGGGGTTGATTATGATGGAGGAGGAGGGGAGGGAGTGGAGGGAAGGGGGCGGTGGAGGAAGGGGGAGAGGAGGGAAGAAGGGGGAGAAAGGGGGAGTGAAATATGTACTTGCGCTGCAGGTTAAGCCGAGGAGGGTTAGGAGGACGGCTAGGGAGCTTGGGAAGATGGGGGATGGGGTGTGGGAGGAGGAGGAGGATGAGGAGGAAGTGGAGGGGCTGGAAGGGGTGCAGGGGGCGACGCCTATGGACGAATCAGGTGCTGCCACGTGGGCGGAGGAAGAGGGGTTTGTGGGAGGAGGAGGGGGATCGGGGGGGAGGGGAGGAATAGGGGGAGGGGTAGGCGGAGGGATGGGGGGAGTGGTAGGCGGAGGGGTGAGCCCTGTGGCGTTTCAGGGGTATGAGGGGACGCCTGGGGGGAGGGGAAGCGGAAGAGGCAGGGGGAGGGGGAGGGGGAGAGGCAGGGGGAGGGGCAGGGGCAGGGGGAGGGGGAGGGGGCGTGGGCGGAAGTCAGTCTGGGACGAGGGGGAGGATGAGGGGGATGAAGGGGGGGAGTGGCGGATGGGGAAGAGGTCACGGGGGGAGATGGAGGGAGGGGGGGAGTATGGGGAGGAGGAAGGGGAGGAGGCGGAGGAGGAGGGGGGGCAGACTCTGCGACACAAGTTCAGTGTGGGGTCATTTGTGGAGGTATGTAAAAGTCCTTTCACTATACAAATTGCAGGTGTGGAGACGACTTTTGAGGCATCTCGGGAGAGGGGGGCAGGCTCTACGGCACGGCAGACACTGCGGCACGAGTTCAGTGTGGGGTCGTTTGAGGAGGTACTAGGGGGCGTGGCCTCTTCTGTTGTCTGTGAATGGCCCTTTTCATGTGATGTCTGAGTCACTCTCATCTGACTCTGCGGCACAAGTTCACTGTGGGGTCGTTTGTGGAGGTATGCATGGCGCATGGCATGGCCTTTTTTTCGGAGCTATGTGTGGGGTGTGGCCTCTTTTGTGGTCTGGGAATGGCGTGGCTAACTCTTCTCACATGTATCTGTGTGCCCGTGCTTGCACTTTATGTTCTGTCTGTTTGGGCAGGTCGCGTCCAACGAGGAGGGCCTGAGCGGCAGCTGGTTCACGGGCACGGTGCTGCAGATTGCTTTCAACTGTTAGCCTGTCAGCCTGTAGACTCATACATATATCTCCCGCGTCTTCCTCTCTCCTTAACTGTGACAGGTCGCGTCCAACGAGGAGGGCCTGAGGAACAGCTGGTTCACGGGCACGGTGCTGCAGATGGTGGGAAACCACCAATTCACGCATACCCTTCTCATGTGTGTGTGCCCATGCCTGCACGTGATGCTGTCTCTGTGCGGCAGGTGGCCTCCAATGAAGAGGGCCTGAGGGGCAGCTGGTTCACGGGCACGGTGCTGCAGATAGTGGGCAAACCACCAATTCACGCATACCCTTCTCATGTGTGTGTGCCCATGCCTGCACGTGATGCTGTCTCTGTGCGGCAGGTGGCCTCCAATGAAGAGGGCCTGAGGGGCAGCTGGTTCACGGGCACGATTCTGCAGATAGTGGGCAAACCACCAATTCACGCATACCCTTCTCATGTGTGTGTGCCCATGCCTGCACGTGATGCTGTCTCTGTGCGGCAGGTGGCCTCCAATGAAGAGGGCCTGAGGGGCAGCTGGTTCACGGGCAGGCACGGTGCTGCAGATTGTAGGAAACCACCAATGCACCCATCTGTGTGTGCGCTGCTGCGTGGTGCTGTGTATGCCTCTCTGCCTGGTGACAGGTGGCATCCAACGAGGAGGGCCTGAGGGGCAGCTGGTTCACGGGCACGGTGCTGCAGATTGTGGGCAACAGGGCGTTGGTGCGATACGATGAATTGCTGGATGATGATGGTGAGTGGAGGGGGGATGGTGTTGGTGAGTTGCTTGCTTACGTGAATGCGGCCTAAACCACCAACCCCCACACCCCACGCCCTCCGCCCTCCGCCACCATTCTCCCACTTCCACAGGTACCCACCAGTTGGAGGAGTGGGTGGGGCCTTATACCCCTTACTCAGCTTTATTATCTTAACAAATTTCTTGAACTAGATCTTTCCCTCCCCTTCTGCAGGCGACGCCTCTCGCTTTGTCTCGGGTGTGCCATCAGCCCCCCAGAGGAAGGGCCAGCAGCCGGAGAGGCGGCTGAGAGGCGGCTGAGAGGCGGCTGAGAGGCGGCTTGACCCACCTGCTACCTTCCCCTCTTTCCTCACTTCACCAGGCACGCACCAGTTGGAGGAGTGGGTGGGTCTGATCCCCCCCTCCCCCGCTGCAGGCGACGCCTCTCGCTTTGTCTCGGGCGTGCCGTCAGCCCCCCAGAGGAAGGGGCAGCAGCCGGAGAGGCGGCTTAACCCACCTGCTACCCTTCCTTCCCAACCCCTCCCCCTCACTCCACCAGGCACGCACCAACTGGAGGAGTGGGTGGGACTCATCCCCCCCTCCCCCGCTGCAGGCGACGCCTCTCGCTTTGTCTCGGGTGTGCCGTCAGCCCCCCAGAGGAAGGGGCAGCAGCCGGAGAGGCGGCTGCGGCCGGGGAGGGAGAGGGGGAGGCGGCGGAGGGTTGCGATGGGACGCGTGTGGGCCGTGGGAGACAGAGTCGACGCGTGGGTGGATGACGGGTGAGTGGGGGGAGTGTAATAGCCGGTGAGTATGGTTAGACATCAGTGCAGGGTGGCAATGGGACGCGTGTGGGCCGTGGGGGACAGAGTCGACGCGTGGGTGGATGACGGGTGAGTGGGGGGAGTGTAATAGCCGGTGAGTATGGTTAGACATCAGTGCAGGGTGGCAATGGGACGCGTGTGGGCCGTGGGGGACAGAGTCGACGCGTGGGTTGACGACGGGTGAGTGGTGGGGTGATTAGCTATTGGTTGATGCAAAGAATCTGCAGCGAGCTGCGCAGAGTTGTCGTGAGAGGGTGTGCGCTGAGCTGAGGGGGAGAGGGTCGACGCGTGTGGTCTTTCTCGCTCAATCTCCCTCTCACCCCCTCTCGCTCTCCTCCCCTCCACCTCTCCTTCCATTTCCCCCTCTCCCCGTATCCCTTTCTCGGCAACACAGGTGGTGGGAGGGGGTGGTCACAGCAGTGGACGCACAGGGTCCCAAACTCCCTTCTCCTTCCTGTTCTTACCTCTCATCCCACCGTCCCGCCCTCTCTCACCTTCCCCCCCTGTTCCTTGTCCCACAGGTGGTGGGAGGGGGTAGTCACAGCAGTGGACGCACAGGGCCCCAAAATCAGAGGCTTCACTGTGGAGTTTCCAGGTACTTTCCTTCACACTCTTCAGAAGCATCTCCTTGGTGTATCCTTCTCTCTGTGCTGCTTGACTTGCCATGGATACATCTCGCTGTTCTCCATGCGTATTTCTTGGCCGCTAAGCTTCTTCGTAGGTGCTGCTCACCCCCTCTACCATTTTCTCCGTGCCAGGGTACGGGGAGATGGGGCAGAAGCAGGTGCGGCCATGGGAGCTGCGCCCATCAATGGTGTATGACACACAGAGCCACCTCTGGCGCCTTGCTTGCTGCTAACTGCCACTCCTCTCCCCCTGCTCCCCCCTTGCTCTTCCCCCCTGCTCTGCTCTCCCCCGCTGCTCCCTCTGCTCCTCCCCCTGCTCCCCCTCCTGCCCCTCTTTCCCTCCCCCATCCCATCACCGCCACCTGCTGTTGTGGCAGGGTACGGGGAGATGGGGCAGAAGCAGGTGCGGCCGTGGGAATTACGCCCATCAATGGTGTATGACACACAGAGCCACCTCTGGCAGCTAGTTAAAGTCAAGGGCGCGTCTCTCGCTGCTGTGGTGGGGGGAGCAGGGGGCGACGAGGAGGAGGAAGAGGAGGATGTGGAGGTGGAATATGTGGGGGAGGACGCCGGCGCTGCAATGGAAATGGTGAGTTTTCTATTGAGGAAGAGATTAAGTTGCCTTGGGAAGTAGATCTGAAGAGCAGGGGTAGCAGGGGGCGATGAGGAGGAGGAAGAGGAGGATGTGGAGGTGGAGTATGTGGGGGAGGAGGCTGGCGCTGCAATGGAAATGGTGAGTCTGATGAAGAGAATGAGGACAAATCGAAGTGTTTTAAGAAAGAAATTTTAGAAAGCAGGGGGCGATGCGGAGGAGGAAGAGGAGGAGGGGGACGAGGAGGTGGAGTATGTGGGGGAGGAGGCCGGCGCTGCAATGGAAATGGTGAGTCTGATGAACAAACTGAGGGAGTGAATAAGTTGAAGGATTGGGTTTCCGGGTTTAGGGCTCAGGGTTTACAAGCCGCTTCAACTTTCCAAGGCGTTTCTGAAGTCATCTCTCACCTCCCGTCCCCCATCTCCCATCACCCTCCCAACATCACGTGTGGCAGATGGAGAGGCCTCGGAAGAGAGGCAGGCCGCGCTTGCACTGACTGGGGACTTTGTGTCCGCAATTGTAACCCCAAACAACTGGTGAGTGCAAGAGGCAAGTGGATTAATGACAGGATTTTATTGTCTTTTTGTTCGTCTTTCTTCTTTTTCTTCAAATGAGCACTATTGGGAGGTGTAGGTGCTCCTCGGTTATTTCCCATCCTTATGTTGGTAATTAATTGGCTCAATTTCATTCTGCACGTTTCCCTCCATCCCCTTCCCATGTCACTAGTAATGAGGATGATAACTGGCGTGACTGAACTGAAGCATGAGAAGCCGAACTTGGATTGTTGCAAGCATCCTTGGTTTGAGAGGCACTGTGGTGTGGATGTGAAGGTGTTTCAAATTGGCTGTGTTTTGACCTGCTCTGGCACATAGGTAAAAGGGTCGTTTCTCTTAGTTAAGGGCGCGACAGAAGTACCGTTTGCCCTTGACGCAAATTTACTAGTGTTCACTAGCAAGAGATTCCCTTCCAACTAACAAGGGTTTTTGCATGATACACGTTTTGTACGAGGGTTTTCTTTGTACACTTTTTTGTTCTCAACCAGTGTCTCGGATGTTCTGTCTCGGTCGTCGCGTATGCGCTTCGATTATATTGGCGCGCTGTTCCCAGCTGAAGCATGACTTCGACTCGCCAATCAGCTCCAACCGCGTGTCTCTGAAGTCCGTCCACGCAAGCATGTTTCCTTTATATGATGAGCAATCTCCATCATCGAGGCGCACATTGACCGACTAGCCGAATCGCGTCGCGCATCCACGGCACAGATTCAATAACTGCATCTCCCTCACATGATCACATCTCAGGAGAGGTGTTTAGCTCGTCCATACTGCACGTATTGTATTGCATGTACCGAAGCAAGCCCCTCCTGATCCACATTCCAGGGTCGTGGTGGGCTTCGAGTTGTCCGTCTATCCATCTGTGGATGTCGGATGAACGAGGTTTCAGTAGCGTAAAAATAAGTAAAACGTGGCAGTCATCTACGGCCTTGAAGGGCCGTTGCATGGTGTTTGCTTTGATTCAAAGAGCTACACCTGTTTCATGAGGCTGAAACCATGCTGCTAATCCGCCCACCTCGGAACATCCGTCCTCGTAATACCCATCTACTTACACTGTGAAAGCACTCATTTCCACTCGTGTAGCGCATGGTTATGGCTCCATCGTCCGTCATGGAGACCATAGACGCGAACGATAGAAAGACACATAGAGCTCCATCACATGGCGATTCTGCACTTGTAGCATGCGCGCAACAGATGGATTAATTTCGGAAGTTGCATGCATTGCGGTGTAGGGTCATGTGATGGGCCGCCGCGTGCGGTAGTAGGCATACTGTCGGGTGTGCAGTGCGGTACTCGTATTAGACACCATGCGGGGACATGTGATGTTCTCGCGTCGAATGGGTTCCCGAGTCGTTGCGAGCCGCCATGTTGAGCGCACAAGAAAGACTCGCTACTCCGCCAATTTCGAGGCGGCTGGCGGCTCGAGGGGTTGAGAGCGCGCTCCGTCTGAACAAGTGGGCGCGTTACGCAGCGCGGCAGCTCTCTTCGCAACCAGCGCCTAACGGCTAGTCACCAACGCTCGTTACAGCTAGCCCCTACGCTCCTAGCCGCTACCGTCCCCCACGCTGCCTCTATAAGAGCCGAGCGTGCTTCCATCTGTTCAGTGTACGTGTTGTCTTGAACTCTTTTCCTTCCTGCCAGTGTCCTGCTTCTTGCGCTCTCTTTCTCGGCTCTCGCCTTGCGCGTTTTCTAGCTAGCTTTGTGTTCCAAATTTCTGTGCGAGCCGTCGTCATGGGTCGCGCGTTGGTGCTTGCGTTGCTCGCGTTCTGCCTGGTGGGGTGCGCCTCGGCGCGCTATGGCTCCCCCGCCAACGACGAGAAGGAGTTCATCCCTGGCCAGCCCCAGGAGGCCTTTAAGAGCAGCGGCGGGCGCGTGGAAGTGTGGAGCCCGGACTTCAAGCAGCTTCAGGTACGAAAATCTGCTCACGCCCCTACTGCAGCGGTGCAGTAGCAGAGCGCTGCTCACGCTCCTACTGCAGCGGTGGCAGTAGCAGGGCGAAGGAAAGTGCACTTCGCGCCTCCACACTAAAAAACCGCTATTTACCATATTCCTATTCTCCCTTTGCTCTTTTTTTAAGAGTAACCTCGGGTACGTATCGGTATGTTCTCTTCGTTTCATTCTGAGCCCTCGTTCCGTCACTTCTCTCTCTGTGCCAGGATGCGGATATCGGCGCAGCTCTTGTGACCATCGAGAGCCAGTCCCTGGCGCTGCCGCACTACACCGACTCGGCCAAGATCAACTACGTGGTGGAGGGCGAGGCGTGCGTTGGGCTCATCACGCCGCTCGGCATGCCCACCAACATGCGCCGCCTGCGCAAGGGCGACGCGTACATTCACCCGCGTGGGTGGGCGCACTGGGCGTGGAACAACGGTAACCAGCCGTTCCGCGCGGTCAGCATGGCGGATACTTCCAAGGGCCCGCAGCGCGGCCAGTACACGTCGTTCCACCTCATCGGCGCGCAGAAGGAGCAGACCGGCGGCATCCTGCACGGCTTCAGGTGCGTCAGGGTATCCAATGACGAGCTCGTAATTATAGAGCTCGGAGCTATGTTTCTCCGCGACTTGTTATTTTTGCGCCTTTCTTTCCTGTCGTGCGTGCCCTCCCTGAGATCTAACCGTCCCCATCCCCTCTCCTTCCGCCCTTCCGCTGTTCCCCCTACAGCTCCGACCTGCTCGCGCGCGCGTGGAACGTGGAGGAGAACGACGTGAAGCAGCTTCTGCAGGGGCAGAAGGAGACGGCCTTCGTGAAGGTCCAGCAGAGGAGCCAGGTCGACGCGCTGAACGCCGCAATCGACGCTCTCAACGCGCGCTCCGGCGAGAACATCTTCGGCGATTTCTCGTACAACCTGATCGAGAACGAGGCGGATATTCAGCGCGAGGGCGCGGGCCGCGTGACGTGGGCGAGTGGCTGGAAGCTTCCGATGTTCCGCAAGGTTGGGTTCTCGGCTGCGCGGTTCGAGCTGGAGCAGAACGCGCTCGCGGCGCCGCATTGGCTGGCGAACAGCGCGGCGCTGATCTACGTGCTGAACGGACAGGGGCGGTTCGAGATGACCCACTCCGATGGGCGCACGGCGGTGCGGCGCGACGTGAAGCAGGGCGAGCTGATTGTCATCCCGCCCGGCCTCCCGCACGCCACGGTAAGTCGGTTTCTTATCCTTATCGCTGATACGGATTTTGATTGTGGATTATGTTTCGGTCTGGGGAATACGAACTACAAAACCCGCATTTCCCCTTACGCCCACCCGTCCCCCTCCCCATTCCGCAGCTCGCCTCCGGCAACGGCATCGAGCACATCGCGCTTATCACCAAGTCGCGCCCGCAGGTGGGCTTCCTCGCGGGAGCCAACTCCGTCTACCGGTCACTGTCTCCCCTCCGTTCCTCGCCCCTTGCTTCCGCCTCCCCCCCGCCGTCTCCCCCATCCTCCAGCTCGCCTCCGGCAACGGCATCGAGTACATCGCGCTCATCACCAAGTCGCGCCCGCAGGTGGGCTTCCTCGCGGGGGCTAAATCATCGTTTCTCCCTGTCTCTTTCCGCCGTTTCCCCCCTTGTTCCCCCGCCCCCAGCTTTCCTCCGGCAACGGCATCGAGTACATCGCGCTCATCACCAAGTCGCGCCCGCAGGTGGGCTTCCTCGCGGGGGCCAACTCCGTCTACCGCTTACCCCTTGTTCCCCCCTATTGTACCCCGTTTCTTCCGCCCTCCGCCCCCTCCAGCTTGCTTCCGGCAACGGTATCGAGTACATCGCGCTCATCACCAAGTCGCGCCCGCAGGTGGGCTTCCTCGCGGGGGCCAACTCCGTCTACCGCTTCCTGCCGCGCGCCATCCAGCAGGCCGCTTTTAACGCGGACGAGAAGCTGATTGAGAAGCTTCGCAGCACCCGCCAGCACGAGTACGTCATCCTGCCGCCCAAGGGCCACCAGCCCAAGCCCAGGGGGTTCTCCAAGGAGGACGAGGAGGACGTTGATGTCGATTTCAGCATCATCGACACTCCCTATGGCTTCTAGATGGGTAGCACGTGCCGCCCAAGGGCCACCAGCCCAAGCCCAGGGCGAGGATGAGGAAGTGGATGTTGATTTCAGCGTCATCGACACTCCCTATGGCTTTTAAGCATCTTCGGAGCGCGCTTCGCGGTGACGATCCCTTTTAGGCGAGCGGAAGGGGCTTCGAGGTTGGGAAGAGGTTCTAACCTCAAAACCTTTCGGCTAGCTTCAAGGCGAACGACATGTCTCTTGGTAGCTAGAGTGGGCTGAAGCGTAGAATTTGGGGTGGGCTGAGTTCGAAGTGCTTCTCTGTTCTTGTACAGTCTTGCCTGTAGTGCAAGAGATTTTGGAAATCTCAACATTTCTTCACCGTGGAAAGTAATATTGCATTATCGAGTGACAAATACCAAATGATATACCAAATGCCAGTAGTGCTAGTTTGATCGCACCTTGCGAGAGAAATATGATCGTGTGCGACATACTCCGCCAGTTGCGACAGTGCAAACGTCGCAAAGTAATCGCTGTGACTAGAAAACGTTCACACCAATTACATAATCCATATCAGGTCTGGCCTTTGGTCTGACGACGCGCATATGCGCCGTCAGGTGTCGACGGAAGAGTAACGCCTTCATATTCGGGAGCCTCAACCCTAAAATTTTAGGGTTGAGGCTCCCTCGGATGATGGGTTTTAGTTTTTTTTCTTGCCCGCGGTCAGCTTGCTGACTCGATTGCACTGCCTGCTTGCTGACTCGATTGCACTGTCAGCTTACGCTGGCAGTGCAATATATTTTACCATAACGCCTTCATTATCAGCAGTCAGCGAACTTCAGAGAAAGTCGCCGCATGACGACGAGCTTGATAGCTTGCTGACATGGCAGGACGCTCCAACTTGACATTGGACATTCTTCAACAGGCCAGGATTTGCCTCGAAACGCCTCAGCACGCCTCGAAACGCGTCGACAAATCTCACGTCTTGACATGCTTCGTTGACGCGCCCTCGGCATGCATGCAGACCCCCCGTGCCCATGCAAATCCCGAGAGGATGGAAGGAAACGATGAAGTCGATTTCTCCCATTCTGGCATCTCGCGTCGCCACTCCCATTCTGGCATTCCGCGTCGCCACTCCCGTTCTGGCATCTCGCGCCGCCATGCCACGGATGATGTTTCCGCTGCTGATTCCTCCAACCGCTTTCTCCTCCTCCTCTTCTCCCACTCTTCTTTCTCCTCCTCTCCTCCCTCTCGCTTTTCCTTTTCCCTCAAATCCAGCACTTTCATCCCGCTCGCTGCTGCTCATTCCGTCAGCCCCTCTCCCTCCCCTTCCCTCTGGCTTGACTCGCGCCTTCCCTCTGGGTTGTCCTTCGGCTCGTTACGCGCCTGCGGTGCTCTCTGCGTCGCTCTTATCGCGTTCAATCTCAGCGGCGTTTCCTCCTCACTCACGTGGTTTCTTCCCAAGTGAAACGGCAATTAAGCGGGTGGTTATCTTACCTTGATATCCTTGGGTGACTGCTAGCAAGAAAACATGGTCCTGCCGCGCCTCTCTCCCTTCAAGCTCCAACCGCTGCTGCTTCTCCCAAATTCCTCCCTTCTCCTCTCTGTGTTCTGCCTCTTCCTCGTCCTCTCTCCACTACCTTCGCCATCTCCCATGCTTGCCGCTCATGCCATGGCACCTGCTGCTGAATCTGAGGCCGCCACCACTCCTGCTGGCGAACCTGAAGTTTCCACACCTGTTCCCGAACCTAAGCCTTGGGGTTGGCTTTCCATCGGTGCTGCAGCTCGGCTCCACCAAGGCTGGCGCTGGCTGGGCGTCGGACCTCTCATGTCGAGCCTGGGAACGAGGCTCGGAACAGGCCTGGGAAGGAACGCTGAGGAGGGTGGGGGAGGGGAGGACAAGGCGAGGGAGTTTCTTGCTGGGAGGCCGCAGGTGGAGGTGGCAACCTGTGGAGGGCGGATTGAAACGTGGGGCGCCGGGCTGAAAAGAATGGAGGTAAGTTTGAGTGTGTGGGTGTTTGTAAGAGGTAAAAGCGAGGGAGTTTCTTGCAGGGAGACCACAGGTGGAGGTGGCAACTGGTGGAGGGCGGATTGAAACGTGGGGCGCTGAGCTGAAAAGAATGGAGGTAAATTTGAGTGTGTGGATGTTTGCAAGAGGTAAAAGCGAGGGAGTTTCTTGCAGGGAGGCCACAGGTGGAGGTGGCAACTGGTGGAGGGCGGATTGAAACGTGGGGCGCTGAGCTGAAAAGAATGGAGGTAAATTTGAGTGTGTGGGTGTTTGCAAGAGGTAAAAGCGAGGGAGTTTCTTGCAGGGAGGCCACAGGTGGAGGTGGCAACCTGTGGAGGGCGGATTGAAACGTGGGGCGCCGGGCTGAAAAGAATGGATTTAAGTTTGAGTGTGTGGGTGTTTGCAAGAGGTAAAAGCGAGGGAGTTTCTTGCTGGGAGGCCACAGGTGGAGGTGGCAACTGCTGGGCTGAAACGACTTGAGGTGAGTTTGTGTGTGGGTGGGTGCAAACGTGTATGTGTGTGTTTTTTGTGCGGTTTGGGCCGTAGCACACCTACTGTGCTGTTCTCGTGGTGCCTCCCCCCCCCCCCCCCCCCCCCCCCCCCCCCAACAAAATTACAGTCTAGCATCCCACTGCGTTCAATCAACCATTTCTCATGGCAGGATGCGGACGTGAGTGCAGCAGTGATGACAATCCAGCCACAGTCCATGGCCCTGCCCATGTATTCTAACGATGAGGAGGTACGGTGGCAATTTATGCCAATCCGAGTCCTACCCATGTTCTGTCGAAGCTGTAAGTCGTCTCACAACACAGCCACAGTCCATGGCCCTGACTCATGTATTCTAACGATGAGGAGGTGAGATATGTCCTTTCGAGTTTAATCGCTGTGCATACTCCTTGCATGCCAACACATGCCCATTACATGCACACTTGGGTTACCTTTACTTTCTTGGAATCTTGCCGGTGCGGTGCGCAGGTGTCCTATGTGGTGGAGGGCGAGGCTAGGGCAGGGCTTATCAGCCCGGAGGGTATTCGCACCAACGTGAGGTGTGTGTGTGCGATGCGGTGGGATGTGGTGCGGTGCGACATGGTGTAATTCATTTTGAATCGATGTGTTTTGACGTGATGTGACGTGACGTGATGTGATGTAATGTCGTGTGATGGATGCGATGCGATGCGATGCGGTGCAATGTGATGTGATACAACATGGTATCGGTGACAGACGACCTCACACATCACAGTATATAACATTGTGTTTGTCCCTTCACTGTCTTGTGCTCTTTTTTGAACTCTCTTGTACCCGTTACTGTCTTGTACCCTTTACAGGAGGCTGCGCAAAGGTGACGCGTTTGCGTTCCCGCGAGGCTGGGGCAGGTGGATATGGAACGATGGCAAGGAGCCCCTCCAAATCATATCCATTGCTGGTACGCTGACGTGGCTGTGCTGGTGTGCTGACGTGTCAATGCTAGTATACTGGCGTTGTTTGATTTGAATCTAAAGGCAGGTGGATCTGAAACGATGGCAAGGAGCCTCTTCGAATCATATCCATTGCTGGTACTCTGACGTGTGTTTTCTGGTGTGCTGGCGTCCTATTGGTTCGCTGGTATGCAGACCCTTCTTTAATGATCTGCTGACGTGCCGTTGCTGACGTGCCAAGATGGCTTGACGTGCCGTTAGGTCTTATGCAGCCGTGCCTTCCAATCCGGTCCGTCCCCACCAGATACGTCCAAGGAGGCCCACCGTGGGCGGTGCACGGCCTTCAGCCTAGTGGGAGCTCAGAAGGGGAAAAAATCCCAGCAGTCTTCTTGCTCACCCATACCTCCTCACCTTCCCCACTACCTCCTTACCGCACCCCACCCACGCCAGATACGTCCAAGGAGGCCCACCGTGGCCAGTACACTGCGTTTAGCCTGGTGGGTGCGCAGAAGGGGAAGTTTGGCGGCATTCTCCATGGCTTCAGGTGCGCTCAGGTAGTTTCAGGTGGCTTCAGGTGGATTTCAGGTGGATTTCAGGTGGCTCACATAGATTTCAGCTGGGAGTAAGAAGACATAGCACAGCTGCTGCTTTCCTTCCTCAGCTTCTGCTCATTCTGCCTCGTTGCTCTTCCATTTTGTCACCCCAACGCACAGCCACCGAGTGCTGGCGAAGGCATGGGGCGTGGAGGAAGCAGATGTGACACAGCTGCTGTTTCCCTTCTGTCTCTCACTGCCGTGCCTCCTGTGTACCCTTTCTCTCTGCCTCTCCATGTTTGTTCCCCATCACACACACAGCCACCGAGTGCTAATGAGATCATGGAATGTGGAGGAAGCAGACGTGGCACAGCTGCTGCTTTCATTCCTCTGTTCACTCTGCTTCCCGGTTACCATTGTCCTCTGCCTTTTTGCCTTTGTTCCCCGTCCTACAGCCGTCGAGTGCTAGCGAGGGCCTGGGGCGTGGAGGAAGCAGATGTGGCACAGCTGCTGCAGGGGCAGAATGATGCAGCCATTGCAAAGGTCCACCCGGGGAAGGTGGTATCTGGTGATCCTGATGCGGATACTGATCCTGATACTGATTCTGATGCTGATTCTGATGACAGCTCAGCTGCCTCAGCCGCTGATAACTCGGAAGCCACTGTAGCGTTTGGTGATTTCGTGTACAACCTTATAGAGGAGCAGGCTTCTATCGAGACGCCTGGGGGTGGCACTCTGAGCACTGCCGATGGCTTCAAGCTGCCGGTGTTCCGTCACCTGGGCGTTTCTGCTGCTCGCATCAACTTGCTGGTGAGTAATGGAGGGAGGGAAGGGAGGGGAGTGGAGAAAAGGTGAGAGTGTGAGTGGGCTAGTATCGAGACGCCTGGGGGTGGCACGCTGACCACTGCAGATGGCTTCAAGCTGCCGGTGTTCCGTCACCTGGGCGTTGCTGCTGCTCGCATTGACCTGCTGGTGAGTAATGGAGGGAGACGAGGGGAGAGGGAGTGGAGAGGAGGTGAGAGTGTGAGCAGGCTAGCATCGAGACACCGGGGGGTGGCACGTTGACCTCTGCGGATGGATTCAAGGTGCTTTTTTTCCGTCACCTGAGTGTTGCTGCTGCTCGCATTAACCTGCTGGTGAGTACGGGATGGTGGAGGTATTATCAGGCTAGTATCGAAACGCCGGGGGGTGGCACGCTGACCACAGCAGATGGCTTCAAGCTGCCGGTGTTCCGTCACCTGGGTGTTGCTGCCGCCCGAATCGACCTGCTGGTGAGTATAGAGAGGACTAGAGGGAGACAGGGGGGAAGAGGGAATGGGGGAAATGGGAAGTGAGAAAAAAGGTGGTGATTCTTTTTTAACAGGTCCTTTTTTTCCATGTTTTTTTTTCACAATGTTTTCCTTATGTTTCCTCCCTTTCTCCCTAATTTTCCTCAGCCCAATGCCATGGCAGCGCCGCATTGGCTGTCCAACGCAGCAGCCATTCACTTTGTGACACGTGGCAGTGGGCGATTTGAGATAGCTTATCCGGACGGCAGGAAGGCACTGAGGAAGCGTGTGAACGCAGGAGACGTGGTGGTGGTGCCGGCTGCCTTCGCTCATGCTGTTGTGAGTGGTGCAGTGTGGTGCAGTGTGGTGCAGTGTGGTGCAGTGTGGTGCAGTGTGGTGCAGTGTGGTGCAGTGTGGTGCAGTGTGGTGCAGTGGCGCTGTAGTATGGTCATTGGCACCACACGGTAAGGAAGGGAACAAGAGGCTATCCGGACGGCAGGAAGGCGTGTGAATGCTGGGGATGTGGTTGTGGTGCCGGCTTCGTTTGCTCATGCTGTTGTGAGTAGTAACACATCACAGTAACACACTAACTATGATAGAAACACGGTCGCAGCAACATGCCAGTGGAGGTGTGGTTGTGGGTCCAGCTCGCATCACCTATTCCCAGGCGGCCCTGCTGCCATCACCCGTGCTAACATGTCTTGACAACCCAGCTGCCATCACCCATGCTAACATGTATTGTATCACATTAGCACAGCAGTAAAGGAGTGGTGGTTGTAACATTTCTTGTCTTCAACCTCCGTTCTCCTTCTCCTTGTTTTGAGACGTCTCTAAACCGTCTCCTTTCCCTTCCTGCTGCTTGCTCCCCCCCTCCTCTCTGAGCAGGTGGCATCAGAGGAGGGAGTAGAATATGTTGCTCTTTCCCCAAAGTCCAAACCCAAGCCTGGTGCCCTTACCTTTCCTTCCTTCCCTTCGTCCGCCCTCTCCATCCCTTCCTCCCACCCTAACAGGTGGCGTCAGGGGAGGGATTAGAATACATTGCTCTTTCCCCAAAGTCCAAACCCAAGCCTGGCTTCTTAGCCGGAGGCAATTCAGTCTACAGTGCGCTGCCTACCGCTGTACTGAAGGCTGCTTTTAACGTGGATAAAGCTCTGGTGGGAAAGCTGCGGGAATCCAGGGAAGGGGAGTATGTGATCCTGTCCCCTGCGAAAGGAAAGGAAGAGGGTGGGTTTTGAGTTGATTGGAGGACATACCTGCCCATGGAATGGGGGAGGGGGGGTATGTTATCATGTCCCCAGGAAGGGGAAGGGGTTGGTGGGGCTTGAGTTGGCTCAGGAGCTCAGGACCGCAGGGGGTGGAAGTGTAAAACGTGTGAACTAGAGTCGAGTGGGGTGGGCAGTAGTGGAGTGGAGGGGAGTGGAGTGTGGGGGGGGGGGGGGGGGGGGGGAAGGGGGAGGATGGAGTAGAGTTGCTTTGTATGTACCTACTCTGTTCAGACGGACAATTGTACAAGCTCGTCACGTACGAAACTTCCATTTGTTCCACATACAAAGTTGTTAGGGTATCAATTGTGCCATCCTTGGCTATAGAACTGGAGATGGGAAGAAGGTTGGTGTTAACATGGTGTTGGTGAAGCGTGCAAGTATGTGATCTGCATGACTCTGGTGTATCAGTGTGTCCCATGCCACTTCAGGCATATACTTGTACATCGTAGCTTGTATATTTTATAACCAATCCAATTATTCGTATGGTAATGTACCGTACATCCGCACAGCCTCTAGAGACTCTTACCACCTTTGTTTCCTTTACTACCACTGATACCGTCTGCTGCTTCCACTCTAGGTGTGCAACCAGCCACAGCTCTTGAGACGATTTTCCAGTTGACTCAAAAGTCATCCACACAGCCTCTAGAGGCTCTTACCACCTTTGTTGCCTTTACTACCACTGCTACCGTCTGCTGCTTCCACTCTAGGTGTGGCAGTGGCGCCAGCTCGAGGCCATGCCCTGCTTGAATATGCGAGGCACGACTCCAATGCTCCTACATCCACACAGCCTCTAGAGAGTCTTACCACCCTTGTTGCCTTTACTACCACTGATACCGTCTGCTGCTTCCACTCTACGTGTGGCAATGGCACCAGCCGCAGCTCTTGAGGCGATGTCCTGCTCGAAGATGCGAGGCACAACGGTGGGCAGCAGGAAGCAGAAGATGTTGTACGCCCACAGCAAGTAGTTCGTCACTGGGGGTTGGGGGGAGAGGAAGGAGGGGAAGAGGGAGACAAAAGCAGGGCGTGTGATTAGGTGTGTGTGAGGCACGACGGTGGGCAGGAGGAAGCAGAAAATGTTGTAAGCCCACAGCAGGTAGTTCGTCACTGGGGGGTTGGGGGCAGGGAAGGGTGAGGAGGGGGGGAAAGAGGGAGACACGAGCAGGGCACATGGGCAGGTCGCATGAGAAACAACGGTGGGCAAGAGGAAGCAGAAAATGTCGTAGGCCCATAGCAGGTAGTTCAGAGCTGGGGGGTGGAGGAGGAGGGAAGGGTGGATGGGGGGAACGAGGCAGACACAATTAGGACATGTGAATAGGTGGGTGGAGGCACGACGGTAGGCAGCAGGAAGCAGAAGATGTTGTAAGCCCACAACAGGTAGTTTACCACTGGAGTGAGGGGGGAGTGGGAGGGTGTAGGGCAGGGGTGTAGGGCAGGTAGGAAGGCAGGCATGAGGCACGACGGTGGGCAAGAGGAAGCAGAAGATGGTGTATGCCCATAGCAGGTAGTTCGTCACTGGATGAGTGGGGAGGGAAGGGTGAGGAGGGGGGAAAGAGGAAGACACGAGGAGGACATGTAGTTGGGCGTGAGGCACGACGGTGGGCAGCAGGAAGCAGAAGATGGTGTAGGAACACAGCACGTAGTTCGTCACTGGGGGGATGGGGGCAGGGAAGGGTGAGGATGGGGGGAAAGAGGGAGACACGAGCAGGGCACGTGGGTAGGTGTGTGTGAGGCACGACGGTGGGCAGCAGGAAGCAGAAAATGTTGAAGGCCCACAGCAGGTAGTTCGTCACTGGGGGGATGGGGGTGGAACAAGGCACCTGAAAACACGTGAAACTCATACAATCACAGCCAGCATACCTGCACACGCTACCAGTGTTCCCAGCCACACCAGGCGCCACACGCTCCCACTGCCAGCCCTTGCAGTGCTTGCTCCCAGCACCAGAAGCGAACCAGTCACACCCATCTCACCACCACAGTTAACCTACCTGCACACGCTACCAGTGGCCCCAGCCACACCAGGCGCCACATGCTGCCACTGCCCGCCCTCGCAGTGAAGTTGATCACCCCAGCAGCTACAGGGAAGCAGTCACACTCATCTCACCGCCACAGTTAGCGCACTCAGGTAGGTTGCTAACTGTGGCTGTGGGATGAGATGACTGTGGCGCTGCTAGCAGCGTGCCCAGCCACACCAGGCGCTGCACGCTGCCACTGCCCGCCCTCGCAGTGGTTGAAGCCAGGAGGGGGAGTACGGCAGCCGCAGAGTGCGCGAGCCACTTGTAGAGAGAGAACATCTACTTATAAGTGAAACCCATCCGACCACCATTAGCAACCTACCTGCACACGCTAGCAGCGTGCCCAGCCACACCAGGCGCCACACGCTGCCACTGCCTGCCCTCGCTGTGCTTGAAGCCATGAGAGGGAGCACGGCAGCAGCAGAGTGCGCGAGCCACTTGTAGAGAGAGAACATGCGGCGAGCGTTGTATAGTGGGGGGATGAGAGCTCTAAGGGGGGATATGTCAGGGGTTGGATACGGGAAGGAGAAGGGGGTAGGGGAGAAGAGAGAGTGAGTGGAGGCGGCAGTAGAGTGTGTGAGGCACTTGTTGAGAGAGAATATGCGTCGGGCGTTGTACAGAGGGGGGACGAGTGTTCAGGTCAATTGGCGAAGGGTGCGAGACGGGGGTGGGGGGAGAAAGGGAAGGGAGAAGAGGAGAAAGGAGATGGCAGAGTGAGCGAGGCAACTGTAAAGTGAGAACATGTGCCAAGTATTATAGAGCGAGGGGATAAGCGCGTTGAAGTAAGAGGAAAGACTTGTAAGAGGAAAGATGGGCGAGGGGGAATGAGCGCTGTGGTGGGCACAAGTATGAGGTCAGGCAACTTGAGACAAGCTAGGGGCCTCAAGGACAGAAGGAGGAAGGGAGGGAGCTTAGCTGCTTGCAGCGAACTTACTTGACTGGTAGTGATTGCTTTGTTGCTATGGCGACTCCTTCTGAAATAATCTGATGGCTCGGAAAAGAGGCGTGGGTACAAGAAGCAGCGCACACACGTGAATGAGAGTCTACAAGAATTCTCAAAAGCAAAATTCACGAGGCGTGGGTGCGAGAAGCAGCGCACACACGTGAATGAGAGTCTACAAGAATTCTCAAAAGCAAAATTCACGAGGCGTGGGTGCGAGAAGCAGCGCACACACGTGAATGAGAGTCTACAAGAATTCTCAAAAGCAAAATTCACGAGGCGTGGGTGCGAGAAGCAGCGCACACACGTGAATGAGAGTCTACAAGAATTCTCAAAAGCAAAATTCACGAGGCGTGGGTGCGAGAAGCAGCGCACACACGTGAATGAGAGTCTACAAGAATTCTCAAAAGCAAAATTCACGAGGCGTGGGTACAAGAAGCAGCGCACACAGAAGAGAAGAATCCCACGCTGAGAAGCGGAAAATAATGATATAAAATAAATACTGGAGAAACAAGAGCATCTAATGAATCCGAGTCACGAGAAAAGAAGTGAGGGGCAGGACGCCAGGGCAGAGAAGACAAGAGAACGCCGACGTGAACACATACTCAGGAAAGGCCTGGTAGAGGAGAGGAGGAATTTGAACGCAATAGACATCCCAACACATACCCAGACCCACACTCACACAGCCCCTCATAGCCTCACTTTTAAATCGACTTGAAAAAAAGGTGAGTAGCAGGAAGCCAGGGAGGAGAAGATAAGATAGCGGCCACGTGAACAACACATACTCAGGAACGGCCTGGCAGAGTCTGCTACTGAGGAGCCTCACAAGCAGCAGCATGACGGGGAGGACAGGACGAGAGAGCGCCCACGAGAAGACAAGCTCAGGAATGGCCTGGTGGAGAAGAGGAGGAAGTTGAACGAAATAGACATGCGAACATATACCCAGACACACACTCACACAGCCTGACACAGTGACTTTTGAGTCGACTCAAATTGTGCCGTGTGCCATTGTTACGAGGTGACACAGACACACACTCACACAGCCTGACACAGGCAGACACACACCTGGATAATCAGCAGCAGCATGTCAGGGAGGGCGAGGGAGAGAGCCCAGGTGAACTCAGGGATTCTCTTTCGGAGGTAGTAACCGGGTATTATCAGGGCGAGCGGCCAGAGCACTCATACCTGCACACACTCCCTGACACTCCCTCGCACACCCTCGCACTCCCTCATACACCCTCACACGCACCTGGATAATCAGCAGCAGCATGTCAGGGAGGGCGAGGGAGAGAGCTTAGGTGAATTCAGGGATGCTCTTTCGAAGGTAGTAACTGGATTCTATCAGGGCGAGCGGCCAGAGCACTCATACCTGCACACACTCCCTCACACTCCCTCGCTCTCCTTCACACACACTCATACTCCCTCACACGCACCTGGATGATGAACAGCAGCATGTCAGGGAGCACGAGGGAGAGTGCCCAGGTGAACTCGGGGATGCTCTTTCGGAGGTAGTAGCCGGATGATATCAGGGCGAGCGGCCAGAGCACTCATACCTGCACACACTCCCTCACACTCCCTCACACTCCCTCGCACACCCTCACACTCCCTCACACTCCCACACACGCACCTGGATGATGAGCAGCAGTGTATGAGGGAGGACGAGGGAGAGAGCCCAGGTAAATTCGGGGATGCTCTTCCGGAGGTAGAACCCGGACGCTATCAGGGCGAGCGGCCAGAGCACTCATACCTGCACACACTCCCTGACACTCCCTCACACATCCTCTATACTCCCTCACACTACCTCACACACACACCCGCACATGCACCCGGATGACGAGCAGCAGTGTATGAGGGAGGAGGAGGGAGAGAGCCCAGGTGAATTCGGGGATGGACCTCCGGAGATAGTAACCGGATGCTATCAGGGCGAGCGGCCAGAGCACCCCCACCACTGCGGCGAATCTCATGTACCTGGGGGGGAGGGGAGGGGAAAGGGCGGGGCAATCGGAAGCTGACATGATATGCAGGTGCCTTGAAAATGAGGAACCCGGACGCTGTCAGAGCGAGCGGCCAGGGCACCCCCACCACTGCGGCGAATCGCATGTACCTGGGGGAGAAGGGCGGGGAAAAGAAGGGAAAGGAAAGGCAATCAGCAGGCGACGATTCACGCGAAATCTGTGTTACAAATGTGTAATGTCGTGGATGAGGACTCGCCTACTCGTCTTCTCATTCGCGGGGACATTTCACCTAGCATGAGCGTCTGGCTTCTGAGAGTTTTCTTAAAGTGGGGAGTAGTAGGCGAGACAAGCTACGGACCTTTTCATTTGCGGAGACATTTTGCCTACCATCAGCGTCTGGCTTTTAAGAGGTTTCTCAAAGTGGGGAGTAGTGGAGTAGTAGAAAATATAAGCTACGCATCTTTTCATTTGCGGAGACCTTTTGCCTAGCATGAGCGGCTGATGCGGGGGGCATGGGAAGACGAACGAGATCGCGAACGTGTAGAGAGTCGCGAATACGACGAAGCCTGCGACGTCGAAAAGGGATTCGGCGAGCTGCTGCGATGGCAGCGAGAGCGCGGAGGGGGTGAAGAGCGACGGCCAGAGCGCCTGAAGCGGGTGGAAATGCGGCGGGAGTGGAAGCATGTCGCCGCCTGCCATGGCGAAAGAAGTGCGGGATTCTTGTGACAGATTCTAGGCTTTTGCTGGACGATCTCAACGGGGGTGAGTGAGACTGCAAATACGGGTGACTTCTGCTGTCACTGATCATACGAGGAGATGGATTGATTTGTGCTGGCGAGATGTGAGCCTCACGAAACTGAGAGGTGGGGTTACCCGTAGGTGTTTGTCAAGCGAAAATCCAAGTGATGAGGAGAACTCATGGTACAAAACGGTTGATAACTATTTTGTTACGTTTCGCTACGATTCTGAGAGTAGACATATTCTCGAATGAACCCTTTCGACTTTTCCGACAACCAGCACCGTCTTCGCTTTTTCGTTGCCACTGCCAACTTGTGATTCGGTGATCCATAACGTGGATGCAAAGACCATGAATTGTGTACACATCTGTGCTGTACATTTTATGATAAGTGTTCAGCCCACCTCGATTATGCCGACCTTGCGCAAGCCCAACTCTGAAGCCGAATCCCCAAAGCCCTGCTGTGCCTCCAAAATTTCAGTCAATTGCTGACAAGCCACTTCACCACAACCACTCGTTCCAAATGTCGAGCTGACACCTTCTATGGCTGGGGGAATGTCGTCATGGTGTCGCATTCAGCAATGAATGACGCCATTTCAGCCTGGTTATCAGCAGAGAAGTATAGAGCAGAGCAGTGCATAGTGGAAGAATCCATGGTTTTCCTAGACATGAATCAGCCTTGGGAATACCACCTGTGCGTCTCTTAGCAACATCGTGCTCTGATGCTCCTACTCTTCCTGAATGACTCATTCCAGCCGCTGCAGTTTGATTAACGACATCCGTTCCGTACTAGCCTTCACCATCAGCCGCGCCGTTGTCACGACCGGCCAGAATCCCGCGAGTACGTCTCGACTCGAAGCGAAGTGCGTGCTTTTTAGCGCAGGTTTTCCCGAGGCGCACGACACAGCATCGTCACCATGGCGAATTTCGCAGCTCATTCGCCTTTTTACTCGCCGTCAGAATTGCCGTTTTTCCCGCGACTCGACGGCGTGACGCTTCTCCGTCGATTTCTTAGAGAAAGCAGTCGACTGCTGGGGGAAAGCAGCGGAAATGGAGGCGAAAGCAGCGAGTCGAGCGTGGATCTGTCCTCGTCGATGCTTTACACTCCGACCTTCTTGACCGCTGCTGTGGCGGCGATTATTATCATCGTGTCGCTGCTTTTTGAACGGCTTATTTATCTCATTCACAGAGTGAGTGGTTCAGTCCGGTGAAAAGCGGCGTCATGGTTGAGTGCATTGGAATCAGCAGCAGCATTTCCATGTCCATCAGCATACACTAGCATACACTAGCATTTCGTTTGTTATAATGTGCATACCGACTGCCAATCCATGCCCTCATTTCATGGCTTGTTCCGTGTTCCCCATTCCATGCGCCTTTGTTCTGTTCTGTTCCATGCCAAGTATCTTTGGTTCTTTTCTCTTCGCCATGCCAAGCCGTGCGCCTTTGTTCCCTTCCATGACACATGCGCGTACATCTGTTTCTCATGCACGTGACTGCCGTGTGTCCATGCAGTTCCTGGTTCGGAAGAAACGAGCAGCTCTCGTGGGGGTGATGCACCGCATAAAAGACGGTGAGGAGGCATAAGACGGGTATCTTAGTCCAATTTCAAGGTGACATGATGTGTTGGAGATTGAGATGACAAGATGACTCCAATGTCAGGGTGAGAAGGGGGTGGGTACACTGCGTGATAGACGGTGAGGAGGCGTGCAGACAACGTGTCTATTACTCAAATTCATCGTGCTGCCTCTCATCGACTTCTGTCCTTACTTCCGTGTAACCCCTCCTGGGCCATGCAGAGCTGATGCTGGTGGGGTTTATCTCCATCGTGCTAGCACTCATCGACCTGCTCATAGTTGAACCCATTCAAAATCCTCCCCACCGCCTCCCATTCACATCCCTTTAAACCCTTGCCATGTGCCCCCAACTGTGCAGAGCTGATGCTGGTGGGGTTCATCTCCATCGTGCTGTCTCTCATCGACCCCCTCATAGTCCAATGCTGCATCGCCATCCCCCGCAACACCATCTTCATCCCATGCAAGCCCCCGTCATCCACGTCCTCCTCCTCTCCCTCCTCCTCTCCATCCTCTCACTCCGCTCCCACCGGAAGCTCCTCGGAAGGTTCCGCCGCATTGTCCTCTGCGCCGCCCACCTCCGAGTCTGCGCCAGCTGGCGCTACAGCGCACCTGGGGCTGTCAGATGGGAGGCATCTGCTGTCTGGTTGGCACGGGTTCGGTGGGCGGCATCTTTTGGACGCATTGATGCAGGGGATGCAGCAGGCAGAGCACCATGGTGGTTACCACCACCATGGGTACCTTGAGGATGGTTACAACAATTGGGGCGGTTATCATCCTCATGGTGGTTACCACCATCATGGTGGTTACCAGCACAATTATTACCATCACATGAGCAGGAGGGTGTTGTCCAGTTCAGAGAACACGTGTCCATCTGTAAGTGGTCATTTCATTGCATGCCTCCCTTGAGTCATGGCCTTGATATCGCCATCAGGAGTGCACCAGCTGCACCTCTTCATTGTCTTCCTCCCCCTAAGTGCTCCCCGCTCGTGTCTCCCCTCTCAATCACCCTTATCCCCTCCCCTTCCCTTCCGCGTCCCCATCAGGGTGAAGAGCCCTTCATGTCGCCGTCGGGAATACATCAACTGCATATCTTCATCTTCTTCCTGCGCTTCCCTGCTCTTTCTCTCACAACGCCCCCCACCCCATTTCCTTCCTTCCGTCCTCCCTCACCCGTCCACCAGGGCGAGGAGCCCTTCATGTCGCCATCGGGAATACATCAACTGCATCTCTTCATCTTCTTCCTCGCCCTTGGTCACATCCTCTACTCCTGCATCACCATCATCATCGCTCACAGACGGGTTAGCATCATAAGTTCTCCTTAACCCTGCTCAGAACCTCAACTCCTGCATTACCAACCATCGCCTCCTCCCTCCATCCCTCCTTCCCCCCATCCCTTCCTATTTTTTCCTCCTTCAAGTTCGTAATTTTTTTTCATGCACAAATCACACACATGAGTTGATTAGTTAAGTCACCTACATAAATTCTCTCTCTTTCAGGTGATGTTTTGGAAAAGCTGGGAGGCAGAGGCACTCAAGAAGTCGCTTGAGATGGAAACTGTGCCTGTGTCAGGTACGGGTGTCAGGTACGGGTGTCAGGTACGGGTGGCAGGTATCGGTGTCAGGTATGGGTGGCGGGTACGGGTGTCAGGTACGGGTGTCAGGTACGGGTGTCAGGTACGGGTGTCAGGTCAGGTACGGGTGTCAGGTACGGGTGTCACGTACGGGTGTCAGGTACGGGTGTCAGGTACAGGTGTCAGGTACGGGTGTCAGGTCAGGTACGGGTGTCACGTACGGGTGTCAGGTACGGGTGTCTGGTACGGGTGTCAGATACGGGTGTCAGGTACGGGTGTCATGTACGGGTGTCAGGTACGGGTGGCCAGTATGGGTGTCAGGTACGGTTGGCAGGTGTAGGTGTCAGGTACGGGTAGGCACGTGCAATTCACCTAACCGAAGTGGTTCAAGGGCCAGTTCGGTTTTGTATATGGAATTTCCCTGTGGTCACAATTTCTCTGGCATAAATTCTCAAAGTCCTCTTTCCCAACAAGGGCCAATCTCTTTCCCCACATCTTCCGCACCCCCGGCACCCCCCACTCACACACCTTCTCCGGTCCCCTCTTCCACTCCTCCTGCTTCTTCCGCTCCGGCCCTCTCACTCCCTCCCTGGCAGGTCAACTGACCCTCGCGCTACAAGACTCGGCCTTTCAGCACCGTCACGGCGCGGATTTCACAGCATCCTCTCGCTGTGTCTCCCACTCACACACCTTCTCCGGTCTGCTCTTCCCCCCATGCACACACCACAGGCCAGCTCACCCTCGCCCTGCAGGACTCGGCCTTCCAGCACCGCCACGGCGCGGATTTCACAGCATCTTCCCGTCGCACTACCCACTCATTCTCCTATTCCCACCCACCCCTTCACTCATTCCAGGTCAACTGACCCTCGCGCTACAAGACTCGGCCTTTCAGCAGCGTCACGGCGCGGATTTCACAGCATCCTCTCGCCACCCCCATACCCCCCGCACTCCCCACACCCCTCGCACCCCCGGCACCCCCCACTCTCACACCTTCTCCGGTCCCCTCTTCCACTCCTCCCGCTTCTTTCGCTCCGGCCCTCTCACTCCCTCCACCACCCCTTCCGTCGCCCAGCGCTCCCAAAGCATCTCACACCACAGCGGCGGCGGTGGCGCCTCCTCCTTTCTCTCCCGCCTCCCGTCCTTCTCCTCCTCCTCCTTCCGCATTCCCCACTCCGCCCCCCCCGTCCCCTTGTCCAAATCCCCGCTGCCGGTGACCCGCAGCCAAACCCACGAGCTGCCAACCCCCTCCTCCTCCTCCACCTCCCCCTCCCCCCGCTCCTCCTCCTCCTCACTCTTTCCGTTCTTTGGCACTTGGCACCCCACAGCCTACGCTCAGATGACTAGAAAAACACCGCCCTCCCCGGGTCTGGATAAGATTGAAATGGCGCGTGGGGGAGGAGGGAAGAAGGTTCAGGAGTCTGCTGCTGGTACTGGTGATGGTGATGGTGATGGTGATGGTGATGGTGATGGTGGTGGGGTTAATTCTAGCCCTACCCCTGTGTCCACTGCTGCTACTGCAGCAACGACTCGTCCTGTTACTCGAACGGTCCTTCTTTCTCCTTCGTCTTCTTCTGTTTTCGCTGCTGCTGCTGGTGATGCTGTCGCTTCTGTGTCTGTTTCTTCGTCGTTTGAGTCCCCTGCTGCTGCAGCTGGAGGTAAACATACGGAGGGCGAGGGAGGCGGGGGAGGAGTGGGGGGTATTGGTTATGTGAACCCTATGGATAGCTTATTAACGAGGAAAAGGGAGGTGCATTTTACTCCAAGCACAAAGGGGAGCAGCAGGAGCAATTTAGATGGTAGCTACAGTGCTGATTGCGAGGGTGGCGATAGTGAGACCAATGGTACTGAGTATGGAGAGAGTGAGTGTGAAGGGAGAGAGGGTGAAGGGAGTGAGGGTGATGAAGATGCATTTGAGCTTGATGAGTATGATGAGGTGGTTGCATGGGCAGATGGAATGGTTGAGAGCGGTGGGGAGGCTGGGGAGGATGGTGGGATGGAATGGGAGGTCGAGGAAATTGCAGCGGTGGAGGTAGAGAGGGTGAGGAGGGAGGGGGGTGATAAGGGAACGGGAGGGAACAGGCATCCAAGTAGGAAGAACGTGGGAGGAGGAGGAGGAGGAGGAGGAGGAGGGGGAGGAGGAGGAGGAGGAGGAGGAGGGGGAGGAGGCGGAGGGGAAGGAGGGGCAGGTGAGGGGGAGATTGGGGGTGGAGACAAGGAGGGGGAAGGAGAAGATGAAGAGGGGGAAGGTGGGGAGGGGGAGGAGGGCACAGCCCGTGTGGATGCGAGTGGGCATCTGTCTGCTTGGCACTCGTTCCTCCTCACCTTCGTAAGACTGCACCACACCACTCTGCACCGCACCACACCACACTGCACCACGCCACACCACTGCATGCAAGGAGAATAAGTAGAGGAGGTGGAAGGTGGGGAGGGGGAGGAGGGCACAGCCCGTGTGGATGCGAGTGGGCATCTGTCTGCCTGGCACTCGTTCCTCCTCACCTTTGTAAGACTGCACTGCACCACACTGCACCGCACCACACCACACCATACCATACCACCACACTCCGCCACAGCACCACATTGCACCACCACGCTACAGCACCACACCACATCACCACATCACCACACCGTACCACTGTGCACTTCACCACCCAGTCAAACCCATCGTCCTCCCTGCTCCCCTGCTCCCTTGGTCACCTGCGCCCCTGCGCTCCTGCTCCCCTGCACCACTGCTCCCTTGTTCCCCTGCCTCCCTGCTCTCCTGCTTCCCTGCTTCCCTGCTTCCCTGCTTCCCTGCTCCCCTGCTCCCCTGCACCCCTGCTCCCCTGCTCCCGTGCCTCTCTGTGCTCTTTGCCCCCGCCACCTCACAACAGAATGCAGCAATACAGCAGATACTGTCGCCTATCACACAACTCGACTACACCACCCTGCGCCTCGCCTTCATCCACGTGAGATACACGAAACCCTGGAATTTATTGAACCCTGAAATCGTTTAAACTCTGAACCAAAATGGAAAATTCTGAGCCCCAATTGTCACTGCTGTCGCGAATCACATCTTGACTGCACCGCGCTGCGCCTCGCCTTTATTCTCATGAGAAACACCAAACACCAAACACCAAACCCCAAACCCCACACCTTGAACCGGAAGTCCAGAACCCGAAGCCCCCAAGCGCACTGCTTTGACGCGTTTCGCAATCCGCACTGTGAATCTTCCCCTTTGCCAAACCACCACCACCACCGCCACTGCCGCTGCCGCCGCCACCATCACCACCACCACCACCTTGCAGAACCACGGCCTCCCCCGCAACTTCAACTTCCATGCATGTGTGCTGAGTGGGACTGCAATTTCTATGTCCCTTATCCCTTCCCTCCTTGCCAAACCACCACCACCCGCATCACCTTGCAGAACCACGGACGGCCTCCCCTGCGAATTCAACTTCCATGACTGTGCCGCAATGCACTGCTGCTGCGATGCACCGGAAAACATCCCTCTCTGCCTCTCCTCCCTTGCCGCCTTCCCTCACCTCCCAACTAACAACAACCACCACCACCTTGCAGAACCACGGCCTCCCCAAGGACTTCAACTTCCATGTGTGTCTGCTGCGGGCATTCCACTTCTGTTACGATCCACTTCAAAACATAGTTCTGTGCCTCTCCTTTCTCACCCTTTTCATCGCAGAACCACGGCCTCCCCAAAGACTTCAACTTCCATGCATGTGTGCTGCGGGCATTGGAAAAGGACTTCATCAGCATGGTTGGCACCACGTGAGTGCCTTTGACCTGCCTTGACTTGCCTTGACCTTGACTCACCTTGACTTGCCGACTCGCCTAGACTTCAACTTCCATGCATGTGGGCTGCGAAGGACTTCATGAGCATGGTCGGCACCACGTAAGTGTGCCTTTGACCCGCTTTGATTCACCTTGACTCCCTTGACTCACCTTGACTTGTCTTGACTCGCCTAGTCTTCAACTTCCACGCATGTGTGCTGCGGGCGCTGGATAAACGGCCCTCATTAGCATGGTGGGCACCACGTGAGTGCCACTCACCTTGATTTGCCTTGACTCACGTTGACTCGCCTTGACTCTCCTTGACTCACCTTGACTCTCTGTAATTTGTATTCTTGCAGTTGGTACATCTGGCTTTCAGTCATCGCCATCATTCTCACCAGCAGCTACGGTAAGCCAGCAGTGAGGGCGTTGGAGGGGATGAGTAGTGAGAGAGTGGTGGTACACCTGTCTTAGAGCTATGAGCATGCATGTCACTGTGGCATGGGAGAGAGGGGATGGGCAGGGAGAGATGGGTTAGGCTTGGAACTGTGTGCATACATTGCAAGTCTTCCATGGTGGGTAATTTTGCCTCACTGGCCTGCCCGTCACTCTCCTCACTGGCCTGCCCGTCACTCTCCTCACTGGCCTGCCCGTCACTCTCCTCACATTGCCTTTCCCGCTCCCACATCCTTCCACCCTCCCGCTGTGACGACATTGCAGTGTGGGACGACTCAATCATCATTGCAGTTCTCGGCTTCCTGGTAAGCATCCCTGGTAATTACCGCCAGCCCAGCAAGCCTCAGCACCTGATTGGCATCACTTTCGAGACATCCCAAAAGCTGCTGTGGAACTACTGCAGTGTGGGACGACTCAATCATCATTGCAGTTCTCGGCTTCCTGGTAAGCATCCCTGGTAACTACCGCCCGCCTGGTAAGCATCAGCTCCTGACTGGCATCAAACTGCCAAAGCTGCTGCGGAACTACTGCAGTGTGGGACGACTCAATCATCATCGCAGTCCTCGGCTTCCTGGTAAGCATCGTCGGGTGAGCATCAGCACCTGACCGTCATCACTTTGAGACGCTTCAAAAGCCGCTATGGCATGAGTGCAAGTGTGGGATGACTCAATCGTCATTACAGTGATCAGCTTCCTGGTAAGCATTGTCTTTTCAGCATCACCCAATAAGCATCGTCCGGTAAGCATAACCCAGTAACCCTTATAAGCACCGTCTTATCAGCATTATCCAGTAAGCATGGTCTTATAAGCATCAACACCTGATCATTATTATCACTTGGGCATGTCTGTGGTAACCATGTGTTAAGCAACATCTGGCCCAGCCGCATGGGCCAATCACATATGTCACTCACATAAACGACCATCCTTCCCACAAACCAGCTATCCCTGGCAGTGGGCACGAAGCTTGAGTTCATTATGGCCCAGCTTGCTCTTGAGAGTGCACATGACAAGGGGACAGTCAGAAGCAGCACTCACTTTCACTGTTCTGCCGTCCCCACGCTGCCCTCCCTCCCCTCACTACTTTCCATCTTTCTTCTCCTCATTCTTTCACCACCAGCTGTCCCTGGCAGTGGGCACGAAGCTTGAGTTTGTTATGGCACAGCTGGCTCTGGAGAGCGCACATGTCAAGGGGACGGCCACAGGCGCGCACTTAAAGCCCCGCAACTCCCTCTTCTGGTTCCACCGCCCTCGCCTGCTGCTGCACATCATGCACTTCGCGCTCTTCCTGGTGTGTCACAAGTGTGGGTAAAGGGAGCATTTGTTGTGACACCTCCCACATGCGTTGGCCCGCCGTCCTCGCCTGCTGCTCTACATCATGCTCTTTGCACTCTTTCTGGCGAGCCACACATATGTGGGGTGGAGGATGTTTGTGTGTGAGCCCAGCAGTGGTTTCAGTCGCTGTGACTCCTCCCCCATGCATGCCTCCACCGCCCTTGTCTGCTGCTCCACATCATGCACTTTGCACTCTTTCTGGTGCGTCACGCATGTTTGGGGTGGGGTAGCATTCACATACCGTTCAAAGGACAGTGGTTTCAGTCGTTGTGACTCCTCCCCCATGCATGCCTCCACCGCCCTCGCCTGCTGCTCCACATCATGCACTTTGCGCTCTTTCTGGTGCGTCACCCGTGTTTGAACAGCCACTCACGAGCCATTCTCGAGCCATTCTCGAGCCATTCACATAACATTCACATGCCACTGGGAAGCCTCATATTCCTCCTCTCCTGCTCTCCCCTTGCGCCCCTCACATTCTCATCCCCGTCAATTTATATGCAGAGCTCATATGCTTTGGGAAGCCTCAAATCTTGTTTGAGAGGGGAAGCCTCATACTCCTCCTCTCCTGCTCTCCCCTTCCCCTTCCTCTCCTCCCCTTCATACTATATGCAGAGCTCATATGCTTTGGGAAGCCTCTTCTTTTACTTGGTGAGATGCCATGCACGCATCATATGGTATGGCATTATGCATTGATTGTATGATGCCATGCATGCTTCGTATGGTATGGCAGCATGCGTTCTTGGTGAGATGCCATGCACACATCATATGGTATGGCACCATGCGTTCATCATATGATGCCATGCACCCATATATGGTATGGCACCATGCGTTCATCATATGATGCCATGCACCCATCATATGGTATGGCACCATGCGTTCATCATATGATGCCATGCACCCATCATATGGTATGGCACCATGCGTTCATCATATGATGCCATGCACCCATCATATGGTATGGCACCATGCGTTCATCATATGATGCCATGCACCCATCATATGGTATGGCACCATGCGTTCATCATATGATGCCATGCACCCATCATATGGTATGGCACCATGCGTTCATCATATGATGCCATGCACCCATCATATGGTATGGCACCATGCATTCATCTTATGATGCCATGCACCCATCATATGGTAGTAAGGCACCATGCACACATGGTATAATATGGTGCCATGCCACATCCTTCCCCACAGGGTTTCCCAATTTCATCCCTATGCCTCCCCCCTCCCCCCCCCCTCTCCCACTTTTCCTCACTCCTTCCTTCCCACTCCCTTCATCCTCACCCCCTTCCTTTACACCCCTTTCTCCGCACTCCTTTCATCCTCACCCCCCAGTACCTCCTCGCAAACCACCTACAATGCACCTCAGCGCCCACGTGCCTCCCTGATCCCAACCCGATACCTTCTCTCCCTCCTCCCCATCTCTTCTTTTCCATCTCTCCCTTCCCCTCCTCCACAGTACCTCCTGGCAAACCATCAACAATGCTACTCGGCACCCATGTGGCTCCCTGGTCTCGAGTTCGCAGTCATCCTTCTCACTCTCCTCATCACCACTATCAGCTCGCTCCTCTCCTCCTCTCCTCCCTTTCCCTCTCCCCTCCCACAGTACCTCCTGGCAAACCATCAACAATGCAACTCAGCGCCCAAAAGGCTGCCTAAAATCCTTCTTACCTTGTTCCCACTCCTTTCCTCTCTCCACTTGACACCCCGTTCCATCTTCTCCTCACCCACAGTACCTCCTGGCAAACCATCAACAATGCAACTCGGCGCCCAAATGGCTGCCCGGCCTCAAGTTTGCAGTCATTCTTCTCACTCTCCTCATTACCAGCTTCGCTTCGCTGCCTCTCTACGCACTCCTCACACACGTGAGTGCTCTTATCATAGGAGCCTCATCATAGTGTGGTTTGATTCGACTCAAATTCGCAGTCATCCTTCTCACTCTCCTCATCACAAGCATCACTTCACTCATATGAGTTCTTGATTGTATTCTGAAGAAAACGTTTTGAGAACTCTCAAAAGTGACTCTAACTCACACAAGTGCTCTCCTTATTTCTCCTTCGCCACCCTCCCCTCACCTGCTCTTCTCCCCTCTACCCTACCCAAGATAGGCAGCAAGCCACGCGGGGCGATTGTATAGTCTCATGCTGGCAAGACTCGGGTCGTGGCGTGGCAGACACAAGCAGAGCGAGTCCCAACCAACGCATTGACTCCTAATTCACTCACTCCTCTCTCTCTCCTCTGCTCCACTCTCCCCTCTCCCCTTCCCCAGATGGGCAGCAAGCCAAGAGGAGCCATCGTATCGGCACACGTGCTGGCAAGACTCAGGTCGTGGCGAGGCAGGCACAAGCAGAGCGAGTCCCGATGGGGCCAGGCGCTTGTGAAAGTTAAAGCCCAGACTCCAGGTGAAGGGGAAGCGGAGTAGGAGGATGATACAATGGTAGGTAGCTCGAGTTAAAGCCCAGGAGTTACATGAAGGGGATGTAGAGAATGAGAGCACACACGGCGGGGAAATGTGGCCCTCTCCGGTGTGCCGGTGTGTGGTGTTGAAAATTGACCCAATTTATTCATTTGTACATACACTGGCTCTCGTGTATTGGCAGTTGAGTCATAACACTGCATACTGATCATACTGGAAGTCACGTTCCCCTACCAGACACACAGCGCGTAATAATGCACCGAAAGAAGCACGGAAAATGCACGAGCAAATGTTGCACACGAGCAGAGCAGCTGAACCAAGGAACCATTTATGCTATGTACAAAAGCCATGGCTCAATAATCGCTTCACAGGATGGATCATGGAAACACGCTCCTCCCTCCGTCTACACTGCCAGACCCTGTCCAGTCTGGTTGCAAATTGTGTACAGCTGCACATGAAAGAGAGGGTGGGCGGGCGGGTGGGGGAAAGGTGCAGGATATGGGGGGTATGGGTAAACGAAACTCAATAGCCGAATGAACTGCCATGCAAAAACACATGCATTTTGCTCTGATCAGCCATTCTTGCTTGCAACCACACAGGCACCATCAACCATGCCAAAACTCACTAGCCATGCCATGGACACACCACAACCACACAACACTCACCGAGGGAGTTATCCCTGGCGGAAACAAAACCCGGTCTATTCCATGCACGACGCCGTTATACCCCGCGAATTTATTCGGCTCAACCACCTTCGCGCCGTCCACAGTCAACCCCGTTGCCGTTCGGGTGACGAGCACATTCGTGTTAGCAAGGGTGAAATATCGCTGCCCGTCAAAGAGCGCGGATTCCGGGAAGTTGCCGTAGAGAATGTGGTGGTTGAGAAGGGTGGCTAGCATGGGCCCGGAACGTGAGTAGTTGGCGAGGCATGAGGTGTATGGGCCGAGGACCTGAAGAGGTATCAGAGGGACAAGTGGTGGGGAGCATAGGGCCAGATCGGGTGTAATTGGTGAGGCATGACGTGAATGGGCCGAGGACCTGGGAGGAATCAGGGGGAGAATGGGCGGGGAGTGAGGGAGAGTGGTGGCTAGCATAGGGCCAGATCGGGTGTAATCGGCGAGGCATGACGTGTATGGGCCGAGGACCTGAAGTGAATTCAGAGTGGGGAAATGGGTGGTGGGATGGGAAGGGAAGAACGGAGACTGGTAAGGGTGGCTAGCATGGGCCCGGACCGAGAGTAATTGGCAAGGCATGACGTGTATGGGCCGAGGACCTGAAGAGGGATCAGATGGACAAGTGGTGGGGAGTGAGTGAGAGTGGTGGCTAGCATAGGGCCAGATCGGGTGTAATTGGTGAGGCATGACGTGTATAGGCCGAGGACCTGGGAGGAATCAGGGGGAGAATGGGTGGTGGGGAAGGGTGCAAGGGACACGAGCATGAGCAAAGCTGGGGATTCCTGGAAAAGTCCAGCTATTAACTAGAAAGAAGGCTGCCTACTATCATGCAGTGGTTACCTGAAAGGCAGCATTGGAAGGTGCGAGGATGGTGACGCCATTGGCCATAGTGCATGGGCCATAGCAGCCGCCCTGAAGGGGGGCTGAGAGGATGCCATGGCTTGCATTGCAGGGGCTGGTTAAATGTTTGAAAGCTGGTTACCCGGTATACCCCTAATTACGGTACCTGGAAGGCGGCATTGGAAGGTGCGAGGATGGTGATGCCATTGGCCATGCCCACAGCGCCTTCGAGAAAAGCACCCCTTGCTTCACCTGGCCTAGCAGCACCTTCTCGCCATACCCCATGCTCCCCAATCTCACCCTGCCATGCCATGCACCTACTCACCTGGAAGGCGGCATTGGAAGGTGCGAGGATGGTGATGCCATTGGCCATGCCCACAGCGCCGTTCAAGAAAGCAGCATAGTCCATGGGCGGCTGAAGGGACGCCATGGCTTGCACGAACATGGAATAGCTGGATGCCGCTGGGCTCTGGTGGGAGAGGAGGAAGAGGGGGAGGAAAAGACAGGAAAATAATGGAAAATACGTTGCCGTGTTGAGCTGGGTAGGAGATGGCAGCATAGTCCATGAGTGGCTGAAGGGACGCCATGGCTTGCACGAACATGGAATAGCTGGATGCCGCTGGGCTCTGGTGGAGAGGAGGGAGGGAGGGAGGGAGGGAGGGAGGGAGGGAAGGTGGGAGGGGGGGAGAGGGAAACGGGAGGAAGGGATGGAGGGGAGGAAAGGGAGGTGAGAAGAATAGAATCAATTGGAGTGTAAACGACAGCCTAAACAGGAAGTACAAGACTTCATTTCTCAGCTAAAACACTGACTGGAAACCGCACCTGAAGGTCGCCAAAAATCCCCGCCATGGGAAGAGGCGTGTTGCTGCTGGCGTTACCAGAACCATCACCCGCCGGAGCAAGAACCTCAACCTCACTCGCACGAGTTGTAACCCCAATTCGCCTACTGCCACGAAAGTCCCGCAGCGGCACCGCGGCGACGGTCGCAACTCTCGAGGGATTCGGTGGAAGCACAAGCAGTACAAGCAGCACCAGAAAGAATCCCATCGCAAACGAGACGAATCGGTTTCTTCCAGGAAATATCTCGAAACAAGCAGCCATATGTGGAGATTAACTTCCGGCTGGAAAATCTGCTTCGAAAAGACACTATCAGCAAACAGTAATATTCGCGAGGATGCGACCGGTCAAGAAAACCCTCAGGTCAATCCACCTTCGTGCTTAACAGAATCAAGACACGCGTGCTCAACGGTCTTAGTGACAGTTATCTTGCTACTTTCGCGGCTACAATGACGATGACGGTATACGATAAAGGTGACGGTAAAGGATCAGCTCCGGGTGTCGAGGCGACCGGCCGTCACCCTGTCGGAGCATCACATCTCGGCCACGGGATGGAATCGAACGGCCAAAAACAATCGCACATGAAGCTTCACTATGCCCTATAGAACTGTAGCTGCCTGGATGCGTTGGAACGAGCTACGTAACTTCATGCTATTTGGCCTAGCTGTTGCGATGGCGCTTCGCCTTGTGCGGCGACTATTGTCCGCCATGCAGAGTGTTCCATGGCTGGACGAGGCAGATTCGACATTGGGAGTGTCGAGCTGGTTTGAGTAGCCAATTTGGAAAGATAACCGCATATTTGAATGCCCATCAGATTGAACGGTTCAAAAGGGCTTTCAGTTGATTCACAGCGGTTTCACATATTCCAGCTGTTTGAAACCGAAATGTACCCAACAAGACCGTGGAGCCTGACTTGAGATCGTGGTACATCACCGTTACAAGGAAACCCGCAACTAGCCTCAACACTCGGATAAATCGCTATACCAAACATGGAAGGTAAACTAGAGACTAGTTCTACATTACATACTACTCCTATCCACTACAGATCCAAGTCTGCTACAGTTCATGTAGCGGACAAATTATGACGGGCACATTCATGAAAACAATCTGGAAAAGGGCCAAACATCTATGCATATCACAAACATCTCAGCAACAGATGGCCAGCCACGAGTTCCAACATCTACCTCCTACCAACCCTCCACACATGGGAAGCGCATACTCCCCTAACAAATCTGCGCATCTCAGCAACATTCGGCCACTCGTTGCAGCATCCACCTCCGTCCAATCCTCCTCCACACCAGTCTAACAACACCATGCCCATGCCCATGCCCATGCCCATGCCCATGCCCATGCCCATGCCCATGCCCATGCCCATGCTCATGCCCATGCCCATGCCCATGCCCGTGCCCGTGCCTATGCACCTGCCCGTCACCAGCATCCCCTTTGTCCCCCGCCTTCCTCTTCCTTCCCCTCACCTTCAACTCCTCCACCTCTCCTCCTCCCCCTTTCCTCTTCATCCCAGGCATATCTTTCCCCTTCCTAGCCTCACCAGCCTTCCCCTGCACACCAGCCACTTTTTTATCCCCCTTATGGCTCACTTCCTCCCGTTCTCCTCCCTTCTCTCCCACTCCTACAACTTCTCCATCCATACGAGCCTCTCCCTCCTCTCCCTCCTCTCCCTCCTCTCCCTCTTCTCCCTCTTCCTCCTCATCCACCTCCCCTTCCTCTCTCTCATCACCCCCCTCCACCTCCACACCCCTCTCTTCCCCTTCTTCTCCCAACCCACCACCAGCAGCCCCCTTAATCTCCACATCTAAACCCTCATTCACACCACCACCACCATCTCTCTCACGCATTCTCGCCTGGTCACTCTCGCCCTCCACCCGTGCCCCCACACCCACACGCTTCACCCCTCCATCCTGTAGAATCCCAGCACGTGTCACCACGTCATCAAAGCTAAACCCCTCTCCACCGTCCGATCCAGGTGAATCCGACGATCCCCGCATACTCGCCGCACTCCCACCTTCCTCTGAGCTACTCCCACTATCACTCTCTCCCCTCTCCTCCCCTCCATCTTCCCGTGCTTCTTCCCTTCTCCCTTCCTCCACTTCATCTCCCCCACGCCCTCTCTTCTTCCTCCTCTGCTCCCTTGCCATCTCCTCCCCCTCCTCTTTCTCCCCTTCCTCCTGCTCCCACGCCCGGTCTAGAGCACCAGCCAGATTCACCTGCCTCAGATCCACCTCCCCCTCCTCTTCAACCCCCTTTCCTGCACAACCAACTCCCTGCACACTTCCTTTCAAACCCCCTCCGCTGTAAGCAGCAGTACCCCCAGACAACCTTGAGTCCGCCTTTGCAATACCCCCAGACGACTTAGTGTCTGCTTTTACCCACGATTTAAACGACGCCTCTCGTTGCACACTGCGAGTCAAAGGGATTCCCTCCTCCCCACTCTCCTCTCCCTCCTCACCTTCCTCCTCCTCTCCCTCCTCACGTTCCTCATCCCCTCCCCTCTCCTCCCACTCCGGCCCTTCTTCCCACGGCGAATCTCCTTCCTCTTCCCCCTCCTCCTCAGAAAAATCTTCCTTCTGCTTCCTCCCTTCCGCTTGAATCTTCCTTCCCCTTTCCACACCCGCCCTCTTGCCCTTCTCTTCTCCTTCATCCATCACTATATCCCAGCCTCGTCTCTCCTCTCCAACCCCTCCCCGCTCGGACACTTGCAACGCTTCCATTTCCTTCCTCTGCTTACTGGGTGATCGTTTCTTCCTGCCCGAGCCCCCAGCTTCCTCAGCTGCAGGAAGTTTAAATGCCCGGGTTCTGCTTCGAGCTTCCGCCAGAGCTTTAGCGCGGGCAACCTGCAGAAAACAGAGGAACACAAATTAGTGAAAGGAATATGTTCTAAGAAATGTAACAATACTAGCGGTGCACAAGCAATGGGTGCACAATCACTGACCTTGGTTCTCGATGTGTGCCGCAGCTGTGCAGCCATGGCCATGGCAGCACGCACAGAGTTTTTGTAGCTTGAAAACCTGGGACACACACATGGGGGGAAGCAGAGGAATGTGGGCTGGTTGAGGAGGGGAATGGACGAATGCAGGATGCAGAGCTGGTGGATGGAAGCACAGGTAGCAACCACTGGGCAGATTGACATACGCGTACATGGTATCCTAACCACCCCTCTATCCCCCCAGCCTTTCCTACTCATCCATCCGCATTCACCTTCTAGCTCGCACCAACTGCTGCTGCATCAGCTCCATCTTCCACTTCATATCCGCCCTCATCCGTTGCAGCTCTGTCTGATTCCTAAGCATCTGGTCCCTAAAACCTTGAACCCTTTTTTCTGCCCCCTCCCCGCCCTACTAGAGCTTACCTCCTGGCGCGCACCACCTGCTGCTGCATGAGTTCCATCTGCCACTTCATCTCCGCCCTCATCCGCTGCAGCTCTGTGTAATCCTTGATCTCTTCTGCTCCCTCTTTTTTTTCCTTCTCCCCACCCTTCTCAACCCAGTAACGCTTACCTTCTAGCTCGCACCACCTGCTGCTGCATCAGCTCCATCTCCCACTTTATCTCCGCCCTCATCCGCTGCAGCTCTGTCTGGTCCTTAACTCTCTCCCCCCCCTTCTTTCCCCCCACCCTCCCTGCACTACTAGAGCTTACCTTCTAGCGCGCACCACCTGCTGCTGCATCAGTTCCATCTGCCACTTCATCTCCGCCCTCATCCGCTGCAGCTCTCGCATTGCTGCCTCCTTCTCCCGCCTCTCTTTCTCGAGTTCCTCCCTCATCGCCTCTTCTTTCTCCCTTGCTTCCTTTTCTCGTGCTTCCCTTGCTTTATTTTCTCGTGCTTCCTTCTCCCTCCTCCCCCTTTCCAGCTCCTCCCTCATCGCCTCTTCCTTCTCCCCCTCCTCTTTCTCCCTCCCCTCCTTCTCCCTTTCCTCTGTCTCCCTCGCCACCTTCTCCCTTCTCTCCCTCTCCACCTCCCCAAAGGTCCCCCCTTGCCCAGGAACCACCTCCTCCTCCCCTCTCTCCTCCAGTTGTTCATCACACCCCACTGCCATGCCACCATGCGCACTCTTAGAAGGACCAGCAGCAGCGATGGTATCAGCACCGGCACCACCAGCAGCACCAACCACATCAGCAGAAGCGGTCGCGTTACCAGCAGCACCAGCAGCCTCAGCACCCTCCAGCTCCTTCTCCTCCCCAACCACTCCACCACTCACGCCTGCCTCTGCTTCCACCCCTCCTTCTCCACCTTCCCTGATCACTTGTGCTGCATCTGCGTCCTTCACTCCTCCCCCTGAACCCGCCTCTTGGCTTATAACAGCCTTGCTAGTCTCATAGCACATGGCAGCATCAAGATTGCTTCCTGACGGTGTCGTCTGCCCCTCCCCCACGCCTCCCGCCCTCTTCCTCCTCCTCACGTACACATTCACCTGCCCCTCCTTGCGCCGTCCCCCCTCCCTCTCTCCTCCCGCGCCCTCCCCCCTCTCCTCCACCCCACCCTCCTTCCTCCCCTCCTTACTCCCCTTCCGCTTACTCGTCTCCCCTTCACCCCTTCCATACTCGATCCCTTTCCCCTCCTCCTCCTCCCCCCCACCACCCGCCACACTCCCTTCCTCCTCACTCGCCCGCCCATGCTTACCCCTCCCACCTCCCTTCCGCCCAGCCTTCGGGCTTCTAGCCTTCTCCAAGGAGAGGGCCTTCTCCTTTCCCTTATCCTTGCGCTCCTGCTTAGCCTTCTCCTCAGCCCTCGCCTTGGCCCTCTCTTTCGCCCGTCGCACCTCCTCCTCCTCCTGCTCCTCCTCTTCCACCTCCATTATCCTCTCCTCCCACTCACTAATCCGCTCCAGCACCAGACTCTTCCCTTCCCCTTCGCCCTCCTCACCTCCCGCACCTCCCACCCCCCCTCCCGCCCCTTTTGCCTTACTCTCCACCTCAGTTTCCCCCTCCCCTTCCGCGCTCATCCCGCTCTCACTCCCGCCATCCCCCTTCCCACCGCCCCGCCTCCCACCTCTCCCTCTCCTCGCCCCACCCCTCCTCAGCCCAGACAAACTCACACTCACACTCGCACTGGCACTCGCACTAGCGCTCATGCTGCTCCTATCACTGTCACTCCCCCCTTCCAGCATCAGACCTAGTGATCGCGCCATGGAACGAGTCATTCTCCGCCCACCAGGCGTCAGCAGCGCTCCTGGAAGCAGACCATCGACTGCACCTACCACTCTGTCCCCTTGCAGCCCCCCTGATGCTGCCACTCCCCCTGCTGCTGCCGCTCCCCCTGCTGCTGTTACTTCCCCTGCTGCTGCCGCTCCCGCTGTTGCTGCCGCTCCCCTTGTTCCTGCCTCTCCCCCTGCTGCTCCATCACCAGCCTCCGCTTCTGTCAACGCAGCTGCGGTTGCTCCAGCTGATTCTGTCTCTGTTCGCCTCCTCGCGCCCCTCCGCCGCGTGCTCGCTGGGGTTGGAACAGGAGTGGCGGTAACAGGAGCTGTGGTGTCCGGTGCAGCGGTGGCCAGTGCTGTGGTTTCCGGTGCTGCGGTGTCCTGTGCGGTAATTCCCGGTGCTGTGTTGTCCGGTGCTGTGGTAACAGGAACTGTGGTATGCTCAGCTACTAACGGCTTCTCAGCAGGCTCAGTAGGCTCAGCTGCTATTGGCTGCTCAGAAAGAGTATCAACAGCCTCGCCAGGACCAGCGGGCTTGTCCGGTGATTCAGACTGCTCAGTGGGCTTGTCGGCATGCCCAACAATTTGATCGGCATTCATATGCCGAGCGGGATTAACATCAGCTTCCATCTGCTGAGACTTCTTAGCAGTTGTATCAGACGGCTGCAAGGACATGTCGGGTGCGACAAACTGTTCTGTAGGCGTGTCAGCCTCCTCAGCAGATTGCTCAGCTGCATCCACATGCTGAGCGGGTTCACCATCAGCTTCCGTCTGCGAGGAATTCCTCCCCACTTCATCAAGAGGCGTGGCAGGTTGCTCCATGGGCTTCTCGGCAGTAGGCTTGTCGATGGAATCCGGCCGTTGATTAGACGTTTCAGCAGCATCAGGATGCTGAGCAGGCGTATTAGCTGCTGCAGTACGTTCGGCTGCTTCGAGATGTTCAGCAGGCTTTGCGGCAATAGGCTTGTCGATGGAATCCGACTGTTGATTGGACATTTCAGCAGGCGAATCGGCCACGGCTGTAGGCTCAGCTGCTTCGAGCTGCGCAGTAGGCTTTACAGACGCATGAGGCTGCTGATTACGCCGGCTGGCTGTGTCAAAATCATGATCCGGCTCCTCAGGTGCTTCAGGGCCCTGATCAGGCTTCTCAGTTGGTTTGGACTCCTGAACAGGGTTTTCAGGAGCTTCAGGGTTTTGCTCAGTTTCCTCAGGTGCTTTAGACCCCTGATCCTGATCATGCTTCTCCGATGCTTCACGCTGCTGTAAATATCGCTGATGATAATTTTCGTCCAAATCGGTCTGCTGCTTCTCTTCAGATGCCTCAAACTTCATCTGGCAGACATCGGCCACCGAAGGTGCGTTAGAACCCCGATCCTGTTCATGTTTCTCCGATTCTACAGGCTGTTGCGAACTCGCGTCGTGATGTTTCTCAGTCAATTCGGTCTGCTGCTTCGCTTCAGATGCCTCGACTTTCACTTGACAGGCATCGGCCGCCTGAACTGACGGTCGGTGTGCTGCATCCAACAGCCGCACATTATCCGAAGGAACCTGAGCAGCATCTGACGGTCCTGCAGCATCCGTCGGTCCCTGTTCAGCATCTGACGGTCCATGAGCAGCATCGGGCGTTCCACGTACAGCATCTAACGGTAACTGAGCAACGCCGGATTTAGTTTGAAGTTCGTCGGTAGGCAGGTTCAAATCCAAACGTCTCTGCGGAGAATTTATCACCTCAGCAGCCATGGTTGTCGCTGCACCGCCAGGATCCAAACCCGCCACTGGATCCATCATCTAGAGCCGTCAGATTGGCATGAGAACGACAATCACGATCAATTTCGTATACCAATGTGGAATCGGGAATAATCCAAATGACGGTGGGATTGGACAAGGAGTGGGTGATGAAGCCTACCGCAGAGAAAGTATCACAGCGAAGACCTAAATGCAGTGTCTGCGGAGTGCCTAGAGCAACCCTATTGCAACACCTAAACGAAAATGACTGATTCTTTGTCACACCCAGCAACCGCACCAGCACTCATGAACAAGCGTTGGTGACGGAAGCAACAAGACACGACAGATCCACCAGACTTCTGGAAAATGAAGCCTGGAGCATGAATATGTGTGTGTGGACACAGCTTCTAGGAGCTTCGTTGCACGAAGAATGGTGGTCCAAGCCTGGTGAAATGCTGATGGTGTTGACTGCGGTAACACGGTTGAAGAAAGCCTGGTGCATGGGGGGATTGGAATCAGGCTGAATGATGGAGGATGGTCCGATGAGATCTGGGAGTGCGCTCGCGTGATCGGACGGTTAACGAATTTACTTTCAGGTGTCCGGGACGATCGGACGGTGAATGGCTATGGTGTTGGTGATGGTATCACCGAACCCACCGTGATGGCGTGTGTCTGACGATGAAGCGGGACAGAGCGAAAGTTTGCAGGGCGCGAGAACCCCACGGAATGACAACTTCGATACAGCGATTGCTTGTAATAGCATTAAGAAGACAGACCTAGCAGAAAGAAACGCAGTCATAGTTTATTATCCAAAGAAATACACTTTCATTCCTAGTAGCGCGTACAGAATGGATTTCGGTCTCAAACCAACCTGGTGCTTACGAGGTTCCAACGCGACCTCGTCCAGGCCATCTTAGTTGGGAGATCTTCCGTAAGTGTGGATTTCGTCGCGTTTAGCTGAAACAATCAGTTATTTCAATCCACCAGTTTCGCAGCCCAACGAATCTATCCCCAGCCATTCGTCCCCACATGCATTCGACAAAGGGTAGTGGGACGACCTAAAGAACGACACTTTGTTGAGGGCTGGCACAATAGCTACACAGCTGCCATTTCTTGTGCCACTGGTGCACACCAGCATCACAAGCCCCCAAACAAGAGCCCCCAGCAGGACCTCATCCACCCAATAGCGGCAACGTGAGACAGTCGACATGGTCTGGTGGCTCCCATACTCCTCGAGTCGCAGGCGAGGTTCGCTATGGAAGAAAATTTCAGTTCCACCACAACACATCTCGCAACGCCCATCCAAACCTGTCAGCCTTCACAAATTCGCCCCTTTCCCCCTAGCGGGCATTACTTGTGTGTGCCACGTGCTCATCTGCAAGTTCGCCGTAGTCTGCGGGAGAATAGCTCCATTGGCTTTATGTCCAGAATTCAGGCGCTCGACTGCATCTCCATCGCTGTATTGTTATCGGCCCAAGTCTGCTTCATTCTTCTTTAATATTATCAGCAGTTATCTAGTATTTGTATAATCTCAGCGTCGATAGATCGGTCTACCACCCTCCAGCTCCAGTCCGAGTATTTCTCTCCGCACACAAAATGGACACTTCGCGAGTGTACAGATTACGCGCCCTAGCTGTCGCTCTCATATTGGCACAGGCTATCCTCGTTACGAGGATCCATGCTGACGCAACAGACGTCAGCGAGGACTCGTTACAAGAGTACGACGGGGAAGCGGCCTACGTGGCGATGGCAGCGAGAATGCGAGAGAAAGGGCTCACGCTGCTGGTCACCAACATGGAACGATCTCGTAAGCTTCGCATTCATCAACGGTCGATCCTAGCCCAGGCATAGTAACGAGGCGGCGCGATGCACCCTGCTTCTCCGTAACACTTCAGATACAAAATTTGCGAGTCTATTAGGGGTCGTTCTCCTGGCGCACAGATTGCTAAAGACCGAGAGCACTGCATTTTAGGGTTGTTCCGCAAGCTCCCTAAAATGCTCATTCTCCGCGCCGCTTCTTCCCCCTCTCCCCTTCCCTCCTTCCACCGTCCCCTCCCCAACCCCCGCCGGTGCTTTCCCACACCCCGTGCTTTCCCTCCCTTTCCCGGCGTGTCTTCACCTGTGCGCAGAATTTAATACCACACTATCGTTTCTCCTCTCGCGGATGCGCATAACGTTACTCGCGCCAATCAACGGCGCGTTCACGTCCCTCCCACCCGTCACGCGCCGCTACCTCACGCACCGCGCCAGCGTCATGCACCGCGTGCTCGCCTTCCACACTCTCGGTCGAAAACTCTCTGCCGTTCAGCTGGTAGAACTACCAGCAGGATCACTGGTGCGTGAAGGATCATTGGGGCTTCCCCCGGCTGTTTTAGTTTTGGCATGCACTGTGTGCTCCGAGGCACGCTGTGCTGCCGAAGTGTTGTGGTTTTGGGAACCCTAGAGATGTGAATGAGATGGGTGTCAGTGGTGTTGCGCTCACGCCTCCTTTTCACCCCCTCCTTTTCACCCCCTCTGGTGCCCACGCAGTTCACAACAGGGTTTGAGGAGATGGAGATGGAGAAGGTAGAAGGGGAAGGTATTGTGCTGGGCAAGCCACTGCTGGGAGCACAGGGGAGTGTACGAGTGGTGCTGCCAGACCTCTACACGGATGCACACATGGTGGTGCATGGAGTGAATAGAATAATGGTGCCTGACATTTTACTAGATCTCCAATAATGGGGGACCTTGAAAATGATAATTATCATCATAAAAGCCATTTACCTGGGGAGGATTGTGAATCAATCCCCCACTCAAGAACCTCCAAGTCAAAGGATTGATTTTACCCAGTCTCATACATGCTTTAGCAAGATCAGCTGTAATGGCAGGTTATTGATAAGTGGATAGAGAAGTGGCATTCCTGTATCAGCGGTTTACGCTTTACATTGTACTCTTGGACATGTTATCGAAACGAGATTAAAAACAGGGACGATAGCAGCTCCCCGCCCGAATCATTGACTTTTGGCAACCGACTCAAATTTGAATTCGAGGTCTGACACATGGTTATAGCGGCTCGGCGGGGCCATGACATCCACATGGATAGGAGCTCGAAGCTGATATCTGATTGGTGGTAACAAATCATGCCATCCACATCACGCCAAAGCCGAACATCCACTCCAGATAACTGTGTTCAGCCGTCAGATCATCCGACATCACTTGGTAACATTTCTCCCTTACGCACAATTCGCATACTACGGCTTTTACCCGCGAAAAGGCTGTTTCCTCGCCAAACTTCTAGGCCTCCTCCCTCACTCAAACCATTCTCCACCGTTCCCCGCCTTCGGCACAGACAGTCGGCGGACTTCCCCGCGGATTCCAGCCATTCAGCGCAACTCGTCAGCGAACTTTGCAGCGGCTTGCGCCTCGAGCTTGCCGGGACGGGCGGAACCCTCCCCCTTCGGCTGGGATGAACAAGTCGCGACTCGACTTCCCGCTTCTTGCCGTTCAGCTCCCCTTCCTTCGCCTTTCCCTCACCACACACGGCCTCATCCCACCTCACCTGGCCTCAACCTTTCTCACCTTTCCGAAACCCGTGACATCCCTCATTAACAACTCTCACCTTTCTGAAACCTTCCTCACCGTACCAAACTTTGTTTCTCCTTGTCCTTATTCTCGTCACATCGTCTACCTCCTCTGAATCCCCCTCAGCCATTCTCTGGCAGAGGTTGTTCCAGAGGGGAATCTCCTTGCGTTAGCCAACTCCATGCATCCGAATCCATGGCTTCCTAGGTTAGCTGCACCGTGGAGGTAAATTCCGCGACGTAGTCTCTTCCCGAATCGCGTTAAGCTTAAGGTATTCTAGGAGGATTGTAGCAGATTCTTAGAGCTTAGCAATAATTGTCAGTTTCATCAGCGCTAGTTCATGATATTTAATTTCCTTGTAGGAGGATGGTAGCGTGAAACTTAGAGCCTGGAAGGATCTTAGAGCATAGTCATAAAAGCAGATCTCATCAATGCTAGTATAAGATTTATTTATCATGCTGGACGCGACGTGGTGCGACCATGTTCCTGACGTTTACGAAGCCTTTCTATGATGATTTATCGTGACGTTTCAGTCATCATTCATCTCGTGACGTTTCTACGACGATTTATCGTGAAGTTTCAGACATATATATCGTTACAATTCTTCGCTACATATGTGCGACGTTCCAGCCATCGCCTCCGCTCGTGACGTCGCTACTTCAGACGAGAAGGAGTCGCGTTCAAGCCAACGCTGTTATCTGTGCGACGCTTCAGATCGCGTCGCTCTCGTGACTCCCAATCCGACGCTCAGCCGCTCACGAGAAGGTTTTCGCTGCAAAGCTGTCAACACTCTTTGTCGCTTACGAATTTTCAATTGACCGCATACAAGGCCTCTAATCCTACGCTATTCTAACGACGCTGACAAAGGAGTGCGGAGCATTACGTACTGTCGACGATGCTGACTAAGGAGTGCTGACTGGCAACGTACTGCCGACGACGCTTGCGACGCTGACGGAAACATCCGACGCTGACGGAAACATCCGACGCTGTCTTCGAAGACATGACGCTGACGGAGACGGACGACGCTGACGAAGACATGACGCTGACGGAGACGGACGACGCTGACGAACACACGACGCCGCTGACGGAGACGGACGACGCTGACGAAGACATGACGCTGACGGAGACATCCGACGCTGTCGAAGGCATCCGACGTTGACGGAAACATCCGACGCTGACGGAGACATTTGGCGCAGACGAAGATATGACGCTGACGAAGGAGCGCGGAGCATTGCGGAGAACAACTGAGCATGATTGCTTGAAATGGGAAGCAGCGCAAAGCATCTCCTCGACTGCGTCACGGCGGGAGCAGCGTGGATTCGATGACGGAGGAGCAGCTCGCGACGTCCGTACGAAGCTCGCGACGTCCGTACGAAGGTCGCGACGTTCGTACGAATCTCGCGTCATCCGTACGAAGCTCGCGTCATCGGTACGAAGCTCGCGACATCCGTACGAAATGGCGAATGTCCCTTCTCGCGACGTCCCTGCTCGCGACTACTACGGAACATGCGACTTGCTACTACTACGGAACATGTGACTTGCTACTACGGAGGCTCGCCGCCAGACGGTTGTGGTGAGTTTTCACAGTAAAACGCGTGATCGGTAGGGTAAACGTTTCCCAACGTTTTTTTTGCTCGTATCATTCAATTTCCACATCTCCAGTCGCTATTATTCTCTTGGTGATCGTGTTTAGAATCCATTTGAACTGCACATTACGGTTTCCGCGTATTCAAAAATGATGGTGTATCTGACTCGCTGTGCATTCAACTGTCCGTGCAGGAGCAGAGGCGATATAAGCTTGCTGCTGGCGAGAGGATGGCTGGCTGGCGTTGGTGTGGCGTTGGAGGTGGAGTGGTGCTGCTGCTGCGATGGAATGGTGCTGCTGTTTTGGAGCGGTGCTGCTGTGTTGGAGCGGTGCTGCTGTGTTGGAGGCGGTGCTGCTGTGTTGGAGCGGTGCTGCTGTGTTGGAGGCGGTGCTGCTGTGTTGGAGGCGGTGCTGCTGTGTTGGAGCGGTGCTGCTGTGTTGGAGTCGGTGCTGCTGTGTTGGAGGCGGTGCTGCTGTGTTGGAGCGGTGCTGCTGTGTTGGAGTCAGTGCTGCTGTGTTGGAGGCGGTGCTGCTGTGTTGGAGTGGTGCTGCTGTGTTGGAGGCGGTGCTGCTGTGTTGGAGGCGGTGCTGCTGTGTTGGAGCGGTGCTGCTGTGTTGGAGTCGGTGCTGCTGTGTTGGAGGCAGTGCTGCTGTGTTGGAGCGGTGCTGCTGTGTTGGAGGCGGTGCTGCTGTGTTGGAAGCGGTGCTGCTGTGTTGGAGCGGTGCTGCTGTGTTGGAGAAGCGGCAAGTGGAAAAGCAGCAATTCGAGAAGCAGCGACTTGAGAAGCAAGTAAGTATCTGGAGCTCTTCCTTTCTCCTCCTTGCCCTCCCATCTTCATCCTCATTCGCGTTTTCCACTCACTTCAGTGGTTTTAAGGCATTCGTTTTCTTCTTTGTCGTTTTTCCGCTGTCCTTTTTCCTCCTTGCATTCGGTCTTCTTCACTCTGTCAATCTGCTCTATTGACTTACTGATAAACCTTCCCTGTGCGATTGCGGCTCTCTGTTCACTGTGCAGGGCGTTAATCTATGGCAGTCCATGGCGCTATGGCAGTCCATGGCGCTATGGCAGTCCATGGCGCTATGGCAGTCCATGGCGCTATGGCAGTCCATGGCGCTATGGCAGTCCATGGCGCAATGGCAGTCCTCGCCCACCCTCCCAGCAGCAGCAGCAGCAGCGTTGGTCCATGGCGTCATGGCGTTGGTCCATGGCGTCATGGCGTTGGTCCATGGCGTCATGGCGTTGGTCCATGGCGTCATGGCGTTGGTCCATGGCGTCTTGGCGCTGGTCCATGGCGTCATGGCGTTGGTCCATGGCGTCATGGCGCTGGTCCATGGCGTCATGGCGTTGGTCCATGGCGTCATGGCGTTGGTCCATGGCGTCATGGCGTTGGTCCATGGCGTCATGGCGCTGGTCCATGGCGTCATGGCGTTGGTCCATGGCGTCATGGCGCTGGTCCATGGCGTCATGGCGTTGGTCCATGGCGTCATGGCGCTGGTCCATGGCGTCATGGCGTTGGTCCATGGCGTCATGGCGTTGGTCCATGGCGTCATGGCGCTGGTCCATGGGTCATGGCGTTGGTCCATGGCGTCATGGCGTTGGTCCATGGCGTCATGGCGTTGGTCCATGGCGTCATGGCGTTGGTCCATGGCGTCATGGCGTTGGTCCATGGCGTCATGGCGTTGGTCCATGGCGTCATGGCGTTGGTCCATGGCGTCATGGCGCTGGTTTCCTGACTTCTGGTGCTGCAAGGACGGACGTATCATGGCGCTGGTCCATGGCGTCATGGCGTCATGGTCCAGCAGCAGCGACTAGTATCAGCATCAACAGGAGCGGCAGCGACTGGAGCAGCAAGTAAGTTGAGTCGTGACAGGACATCCCCGCTCGTTCGCATCACCTCGTTTTTTAAGGTTGCCATTTCCTGTTGTCTTTGCCGTTTTGCTTAGCATGTTGTTTCCCTAGATCATTTCGCAGCTGTGCCTGTACTCTCTACCCAGCTGACCTTCTCTATAGTAGGGGTTGCTACTCTCTGTGCCTTGTGCAGGGGTGACAAGGGGTGGCTGGTTCAGCTGAGGCCGCGGATGGCGAGGTGGGGTAGTGCTGCTGTGTTGGAGGCGTGCAGGAGCAACTGGAGAAACCTCAACTGGAGAAACAAGTAAGTAACAGAATACGTCCTTTCTTTGTCTTTATGGCTTGAGTGTTCTTTGTCGTTTTTCCACTCTCGTGTTTCCTTCTTGCATTCGTTATTCTTCTCTTCTCTGTCAATTCACGCTGTACTCATAATCTTTTACATTTGGGATTGCAAATCTCTGGTCGTTGTGCAGGGAACGTGAACACATGGGTGGGAAGATGGAGCAGCAGCGACAGGAGCAGCACCTGTAGCTGCAGCAGCAATCGGACAAACACGTAAGCAACCGGAGTCGTGACAACAAAAACACCAGCGTTTTTTCTTCATTGTGTGTGTTCGCTGCCAATCTACTTTGTCGACTTGTAAACTCTACTCTGATTGGCCTTCCTGATGGGACTGCAACTTGCCTTCTCTTCAACTTGCCTTCTCTGTGTTATCGTTCACTCTGTCAATCTCTATGCCAACTTGTAACCATCTCTGTCAATTCAGGAGGAGTGAGGCAGTGGCAGCAGCAGTGGCAGCAGCAGTGCCAAATGCAACAGCTTCAGTCGCAGCGGCGATGGAAGAGGCAGCAGCGCCACTGGCAGCGGCAGCGTTGATATGCTGCTAGTGGCAGCGGCAGCGTTGATATGCTGCTAGTGGCAGCGGCAGTGTTGATATGCTGCTAGTGGCAGCGGCAGCGTTGATATGCTGCTAGTGGCAGCGGCAGCGTTGATATGCTGCTGAATCCTGCCATCTCCTCTACACTTTCCTAGCGCTGCTGCTGGTTTTGGGAAGACGGAGCAGCAGCGACTGGATAAGCAAGTAAGTAGTTGGAGCCATGACAGAACACCCCCGTTTCTTTCTATTCCCCCCTCCCTTCTCTCGTTTCATTTGACTTTTCTTCTGCCTTAGTAGTTTCTTCAGTTGCTTTCGTGTTCTTCGTCGCTCTTCCACTGTCCTTTTTCCTCCTTGCATGCGGTCTTGTTCACTAAGTAAATTTGCTCTGTCGACTCACTGATTGATCTTCCCTGTGCGATTGCGACTCTCTGGCACTGTGCAGGGCGTTAGTCTGGGGTGGGAGGAACAGCAGCAACAGGAGCAGCATTGACAGCGGCAGCAGTGGCAGCAGGAGGAGGGCGGCAGTGGCGGAAGCAGTCGTGTGAGCGGCAGTGGCAGGGGCAGAAGAAGTGGCAACACGAGACGAATGCCCTACAACTTTCTGGCGCTGCTGCTGGAGGTTGGGAGGTCAGTCAACGCCAGTCAAAGCCAGTCAACGCCAGTCAATCCCGTGAGCTGCAGCAGTGGAGCAGGGGAGCTGAGGAGACGGCTGGAAGGGATCCGAAAAGGAAGGAGACGGCTGGACTGCCCTGAGCTGCACCAGGGAAGGCACGGAGGGGTCACGAAATCGACACCAGCAATCTGCGAGCTGTTACTGCCTCCTGCGTGATGCTTTCGGTTCTGTGATGTGTAGTGATGGGACGACAAGCAAGCAGCTCTGATGCTGCGTTGGCCAGCAGTGATACCAGCGGTGGCAGCGGCAGTGGGAGAAGGAGAGAGGTCCGCAATGACACTACAGCTGACAGCAGCAGTGGCTGGCAGCAGAAGGGGATGCAAGTGACAGTACAGCTGGCAGCAGCAGTGGCTGGCAGCAGAAATGAAGATCAGCAGTGACACCAGCGGTGGGAGAAGGAGAGAGGTCCGCAATGACACTACAGCTGACAGCAGCAGTGGCTGGCAGCAGAAGAGAAGACCAGCAGTGACACCAGCGGTGGCAGCAGCGGTGGGAGAAGGAGAGAGGTCCGCAATGACACTACAGCTGACAGCAGCAGTGGCTGGCAGCAGAAGAATAGACCAGCAGTGACACCAGCGATGGCATCAGCGGTGGGAGAAGGAGAGAGGTCCGCAATGACACTACAGCTGACAGCAGCAGTGGCTGGCAGCAGAAGAGAAGACCAGCAGTGACACCAGCGGTGGCACCAGCGGTGGCAGCAGCAGTGAAGAGAGAATCAGTAGCAGCAGCAGCAGTGAAGCGAGAAGCAGTAGCAGCAGCAGCAGCGAAGGGAGAAGCAGTAGAAGCAGCAGCAGCGGGGAGAAGCAGTAGCAGCAGCAGCAGCGAAGGGAGACGGCTGGGAGTGAGAGGAGAGTGAGGGGAGAGCGAGGGTGAGAGTGAGAGTGAGGGTCAGAGTGAGAGTGAGAGTCAGAGTGAGTGTGATGTGTGAGGACCCCGTTTGCTGGTTTGAGGCGCCTCAAATCCAGTTTTGTCGTGTCCTGCAGTGCACTGCAGTGCTCCTTTCCTCCTCTCTTCTCTTCTCTGAGTGAGTTTTGAGAGACATTTCAAAACTCGCTCCCCTCTCTTGTGAGTTTCGAAACTCACTCACTCTCTCTCTCGAATGGTCCTTCGTATTAGTCTCTCTCTCTCTCTTCCTCCTCACTGCAGCTTAGCTGAAGTGAGCAAAATCAGGGTTTTGGGAGATGCCTCAAAACTCTTTTGCACGTTCCTCACTGCAAGCGTTGCAGTGAGCAAAATTGCACAGCTGGTCCTGAAGCAAGACTGGGCAGAAGACCGGGGCAGCAAGGACGGGCAGCAGTGGAGCTTCAAGTGAGGCGCTTTGACCCCCTGGGGGGCAAAGGATCAACACACGAGGAGCAGCGAGAGGTGGAGCGGCGCCTTCAAGTGAGGCGCTTTGACCCCCTGGGGGGCAAAGGATCAACACAAGAGGAGGAGCAGCTTCAAGTGAGGGATGTCCTTGCTCAGCCGGCAGGAGAAGGATAAGTTTTGTGTCGCCCGTCTCCTAGGTGCAGCAAGAACCGGGGCAACACTTAGGGCGAAGCAACAGCTGGTGGGGCAGCAGCTGGAAGGAGCAACTTCAACTGAGGTGCCTACTTTGCCCCCTGGGGGGCAAAGGATAAGTTTTGTGCCGCCCCTTCTCTAGGATCAGCAAGAACGGGGGAGGACAACAGGGGGACGCAGCAGCTAGGACCTGTTGTAAGATTTAGTCTTTTACATTCTGTTTCTCGCTTTCTTTTTTCTTCTAATGCCTAATATTTTAAGGTGTGTGTCTTCCTGTTCTAGCTGCCAGCACGACATCAAGCCTCGACCCCCCCTCGGTACGTCGTCTCCTTCCATTCCTGCATGTTGTTTTCCCACTCGTCCTAACGTCCTTGTTTGCTGCCCCGTGTTTCAAACAGGGCCAAGACACGAAGGCTCGACCCCCCCTCGGTACGTCGTCTCCTTCCATTCCTGCATGTTGTTTTCCCACTCGTACTAACGTCCTTGTTTGCTGCCCCGTGTTTCAAACAGGGCCAAGACGCGAAGGCTCGACCCCCCCTCGGTACGTCGTCTCCTTCCATTCCTGCATGTTGTTTTCCCGCTCGTACTAATGTTCCTCGTTTGTCTGATACAGCAGAGCAGGAAGAGCGGAGGAGCAGAGAGGGAGCAGAGGAGGAGGAGTGATGGAGGAGAGGAGGAGGAGAGGAGAGAGGAGAGGAGCAGAGGGGGAGCAGAGGAGATGGGAGCAGAGGAGATGGGAGCAGCGGTGGAGTGACGGAGCAGAGGGGCCGAGGGAGCATAGGAGACGAAGGAGCGAGGAGCAAAGGGGAAGGAGGGGAGATTCCCTGCCACTGCCTGTGAGCATCTTCTTTCCTGTTCTCCGTATTGTCGTTGCTCTGTTCGCTTGCCATCCATTCTGAATCAGCTTTTGGCTCTGGGTGCAATCGCTGGGTGCTTATAGACTCTTTCTGCTTTCCCTTTCCGCAGGAGATGCATCGGAGGGGACGGAGAAGCAGAGGAGCAGCCTGGGAGAGGAGGCGAAGAGAAAAGGAGGCGAAGGAGAACAGGAGGTGAAGGAGAAGAGGAGGTGAAGGAGAAGAGGAGGTGAAGGAGAAGAGGAGGTGAAGGAGAAGAGGAGGTGAAGGAGAAAAGGAGGCGAGGAGAAAAGGAGGTGAAGGAGAAGTGGAGGCGAAGGAGGCAAGGAGCAACCAGGGAGAGGAGGCATTGTGCAGAGTGGGGGCACGGTGCCACTCGTACTAACGTCCTGAAGGAGGCAAGGTGAAGGCGGATTCTGTGGCTTGTGGGAGTAGTCTCGCGGATTCTGTGCCGTTGCCACGGTGAGGGCGGTTGTGTCGTTGTTCGCTTGGCGTCTATTTTGAATCACTTGTTGGTACTGGGTGCAATCACTGGGTGCTCATAGGCTTTTCCTTCCCTCGCATTCTGCAGGAGATGCTTCGGAGGGGACGGAGCAGCGACATCAGAGGCAAAGGAGCAGAGGAGGCAAAGGAGAATCCCCTGCCACTGCTGGTGAGGATCTCCTTCGCTGCTCTCTCAATCAATGGCCGTTGCCTTCTTGGCTACGCATTTGTTCTCAATTACTTCTTGGCACTAGGTGCAATTGGTGCAATGAGCTCACAGACATTCTTTTCCCATTCCGCAGGATATGGAGCAGAGGATAGGAGAGGATAGGAGAGGCAATTGAGGGGAGGCAAAAGAGCAGAGGAACCGAAGGAGGGGAGGAACAAGCAGCGGAGGAGGAGAGGAAATGCATCAGAGGAGGAGGAGCAGAGGAGATGCATCAGAGGAGGAGGAGCAGAGGAGATGCATCAGAGGAGGATGAGCAGCTGAGGAGAGGAGGCGTGCGAAAGATCGAAGAAGCAAAGGAACAGAGGAGGCAAAGGAGAATCCCCTGCCACTTCTGGTGAGGATCTTCTTTCCTGCTCTCGATAAATGGCCGTTGCATCATTCATTACGCATTTGTTCTCAGTCCAACCTTGCCAGTGGGTGCAACCAGTGGGTGCAATTGGTGCAATGAACTTACAGACTTTCTCTACCCATTTTCGCAGGACATGGAGCAGAGGAGATGCATGCGAGGAGAAGGAGATGAAGCAGAGGTGGAGCAGAGGAGGTGGAGAAGCAGAGGAGTTGGCTCAGCTGAGGAGCAGCAGAGGAGGAGACGAGGAGCAAGGGAGCGATGGAGTGAAGAAGCACCAGAGGAGAAGGAGCAGCAGAGGAGACGGAGCAGCAGAGGAGAGGAAGGAGAGGCAAAGGAGATGGAGAAGAGGAAGGAGATGGAGCGTTGGAGAGACATGGAGCAGAGCAGACGGCACGGAGGAGAGAAGGCATGGAGGGGGGAAGGCCAAAGGAGCAGCGGAGCAGAGAACCACACAACTGTGATTTCCCCCAACGCTGCTGGCCGCGGAGGAGAGAAGGCACGGAGGGGAGAAGGCACGGAGGGGAGAAGGCATGGAGGGGAGAAGGCACACAGGCACGGCTGTGAAATCGACACGAGCCAGCTGCAAACTGTTACTGCCTCCCGCGTGCTGCTGCTGGTGCTGTGAAGTGATGGGACGGCAGCTGCTACCTTCCTCGCTCCTACCTCCCTCCCGCAGAGGAGATGCATCAGAGGAGGAGGAGCAGAGGAGATGCATCAGAGGAGGAGGAGCAGAGGAGATGCATCAGAGGAGGAGGAGCAGAGGAGATGCATCATCAGAGGAGCAGCAGAGGAGACGAGGAGCAAAGGAGCGATGGAGCGAAGAAGCACAGTGGTGGAGTAAATATGCTCCTCTGTCTTTCTTGCTTTATCTGTTGTGTTCGTTCAGATGCATGCTTGCTGCCTCATTCGTTTTTCACTTGCTGGAAGTCCTTTCTTGAGACTAGGTCCTTTCTTGGGATGAGGTGCAAGCAGTGCCGTGTGCTCATCGGCCCTGATCCTGTCTCTTCCCGTTTCACAGGAGATGCTGTTGCAGAGGAGATGGCGCAGCAGAGGAGACTGCGCAGCAGAGGAGAGGAAGGAGATGGAGAAGAGGAAGGAGATGGGGCATTGGAGAGACATGGAGCAGATGGCACGGAGGAGAGAAGGCACGGAAGGGAGAAGGCCAAAGGATCAGGGGAGCAGAGAACCGCACAGCTGCGATTTCCCCTCAACGCGGCTGCTGCTGCTGTGAAGTGATGGCACCTGCAGGGAGAGGAGCAGAGGGGACGGTTGGCAGCAGAGTGAGGAGGGATCGAAGTGAGGCAGAGACTGAAGAAACAAGTGAGTGACAAAAATCCCCGTTTTCTCCTCCTTGCATTTGTCAAGTCACTCCATCCATCATTAGATCTGTCAATTTCCTCTGTCAGTTTACTCTGTCAGTTTACTCGTCAGTTTACTCTGTCAATTTACTCTGTCAGTTTACTCTGTTAACCTCTTCTCTGATAAACCTTTCCTGTGCAATCACAACTCTCTGGTCGCTGTGCAGGGAACGTTAAGGCGTGGGTGGGAGGACGGAGCAGCAGCGGTGGGAGCATGAGAAGGGAAGATGTGCTGAACCTCCCATCTCCCCGAACGGAACGAGACGCTTTCCTGGCGCTGTGGAGGGAATGGCAACACGAGAAGAACTGACTTGCCGCATGGGGCCCTCCCAGCTGCCCTACGCTTTCCTGGCGCTGCTGTTGGGTGTTGGGAGGAGTGCAAGCCAGTCCACGGGCGTGAAAGCAAAGTCGACGCCATCAGCTGCAGCAGGAGACGGCTGGACTGCCATCAGTTGCTACTGGCGAGCAGAGGAGATGGTTGGGCTGCCATCAGCAGCAGCAGGGGAGCAGAGGAGACGGCTGGGCTGCCATCAGCAGCAGCAGGGGAGCAGAGGAGACGGCTGGGCTGCCATCAGCAGCAGCAGCAGGGGAGCAGAGGAGACGGCTGGGCTGCCATCAGCAGCAGCAAGGGAGCAGAGGAGACGGCTGGGCTGCCATCAGCAGCAGCAGGGGAGCAGAGTAGACGGCTTGCTGCCTGTGGTCAAGGACAGTAACTTCCCAGGAGAATGAAAGGGAGGAGAGGAGCAGGAGTTGGCGTAGGGGAGGGGAGCAGCGGAGTGGAGCAGAGGAGCAGTGAACAACACAGCTGCACTAGCCCCTACCGCTGCTGGTCATATGGAGGAGAGAAGGCGGCCGTATTGAAAGCGTCACAGCGAGAAAGGTGGAGCTGTTAGCACCGCTTCTGATCGTATGGAGGAGAGAAGGCGCGAGCTTTGACAGTGAGAAAGCTCGGGTTGTTACTACCTGCTGCCTCCTGCTGGTGCTACGAAGGGATGGGACGGTAACGGCTACCTCACGCGCTCCTACCTCTCTCCCCTGTGCTGCTGCTGGTGCTACGAAGGGATGGGACGGCAACTGCTGCGTTGGAGGTGGAGAGGTGCTGCTGTGTTGGCAGCAGCAGCGGCAGCAGTGGGACTGTCAGCAATACCAGAAAGCTGCAGCAGGGACAGGTGCTACCTCCCTCGCTCCTACCTCCCTCCAGTGTGCTGCTGCTGGTGGTGTGATGTGATAGGAGGATAGGTGAAGGGGAGTGGAGGAGCAAAGGAGATGGCCAGCAACAAAAGAAGAGGCAGCAGCAGAAGAGAAGGCCTTTCGTGATACCAGCTGTGGCAACAGTAGTGAGCAGCAGAAGAGAAGGCCATTCGTGATACCAGCTGTGGCAACAGTAGTGGGAGCAGCAGAAGAGAAGGCCATTCGTGATACCAGCTGTGGCAACAGTAGTGGGAGCAGCAGAAGAGAAGGCCATGAGTGGCAGCAGTGGTGGCAGAAGCCGTGGCAGCAGAAGGGCTTGCAAGAAGTGGCAGCAGCGGTGGCAGCAGCGGTGGGAGCAGATGATGGTGCCACTGCAGAAGAGCAGAGGAGACGACTGGCAGCTGCTGGGAGCAGAAGAGAAGGCCAGGTGCTATCTCTCTCGCTCGTACCTCCCGCCCATGAGCTGCTGCTGGTGCTGTGAAGTGAAGTGACGATGCTGATGAAGCAGACGATGCAGATGGAGCAGAAATGAAGCAGAAATGAAGGAGACGCAGCAAATCAGGAGATGGAGGAGAATGAGGAGGAAGCGGATAGCGGGGAACAGGGGTTGCAGGGGAAGCAGATTGCGAGGAATGCAGAGATGCATCCGAGGAGAAGGAGATGCACCAGAGGAGAAGGAGATGGAGCGGAGGTGGAATAGAGGAGGTGGAGAAGCAGAGGAGTTGGCTCAGCTGAGGAGCAGCAGCAGAGCAGACGGAGCAGAAGGCATGGAGGGGAGAAGGCACGGCGCGGAGAAATCACACAGGAATCGACACTAGGAAGCTGCGCATTGTTACTGCCTCCCGCGTTGTTGCTGTTGCTGTGAAGTGATGGGACGGCAGCTGCTACCTTCCTCGCTCCTACCTCCCTCCCGCGTGCTGCTGCTGGTGCTGTGAAGTGATGGGACGGCAGCTGCTACCTCCCGCGTGCTGCTGCTGGTGCTGTAAAGTGATCGGACAGCGAGCACAAGAGAGGCCCGCAGTGGGACCAGCGGTGGCAGCAGCAGTGGGAGCAGAAGAGAGGCCCGCAGTGACATTACTGGTTTCAGCAGGCGTGGCAGCAGAAGGGAATGCAAACAGTGGTACCAGCAGTGGCAGAAGCAGAGTCAGCAGAAGAGAAGGCCACCCTTCCTGTGTGCTACTGCAGAGGAGCAGAGGAGCAGCAGTGGGAGCACTTGAGCCGGCTACAACACTTCACCTCGTAAATTCAGATTCTACCTGCTACGTCATCAGACTTTACGATTAACATCTCTTTTTATGCGTAAGCAACTCCATAAGCTTGTAATGCCCAGCATTCCATCTCCTCAAACCTTTGACCACCAAAATGAGACTTACCACCATGAGGTTGCTGTGTAACTAAGCTATAACGGCCGTTGGCTTAGTTACACAGCATCTTCTTTGTGGTAAGTCCCATTGTGATGGTCAAAGACCAAGGGAGATGGAATGCTTGACATTTCAAGCTTTTGGAACTGCTTTCACATTACAAGAGATGCTAACTGTTGAATCTGATGACGTAGTACGTAGAATAAGATTTTATGGGGCTAGTGTTCACGGCCTACCTAGACAGTGATGGTCGATCAGAGGGGACGACTGGCACCTGCTGGGAGAGGAGCAGCGGAGGCGAAGGAGGATTCCCGGCCATTGCCACTGCCAGTGAGAATGGGCTGGGAGAGGATTTTCAGCTGTGAGAGGAGCAGAGAGGACGACCGGCACCTGCTGGGAGAGGAGCAGAGGGGACGACTGGCACCTGCTGGGAGAGGAGGCCACTGCAGGAGAGGTGATGAGCAGGTGAATAGAGCAGAGGATCTGAGAAGGGGCCATAGTTGGCAGCAGCAAGATGCAAGCTCTACCTACCTTTTGCTGCCTTGTGCTGCCTCGCTCCTACCTCCCTCGCATGTGCTGCTGCTGGTGCTGTGAAGTGGTGGAGTGGTGCTGCAGTGGAGGGGGAGTGGTGCTGCAGTGGAGGGGGAGTGGTGCTGCACTGGAGGGGGAGTGGTGCTGCACTGGAGGGGGAGTGGTGCTGCACTGGAGGGGGAGTGGTGCTGCACTGGAGGGGGAGTGGTGCTGCACTTGAGGGGCAGTGGTGCTGCAGTGGAGGGGAGTGGTGCTGCAGTGGAGGGGGACTGGTGCTGCACTGGAGGGGGAGTGGTGCTGCATTGAAGAGCAAAGAGCAAACGAGCACGGAGGTGGATAACTATTCTCTGCCTTTCACTTTAGCTGCCTTGTTTGTTCTAATCTCGTTGCCTTGGTTTTGCATTTGCTCTGAGTTCCTTCTCAGCCACTGGGTGCAATCGGTGCCTTGCACTGCACTCATCGCCCCTGACTCATTCTCCTCCCATTTCACAGAAGGACGAAGAGGCGGGGAGCAGCAGACGAGACGGATCAGCAGAGGAGATGCAGAGGAGACGGCTGCTACAGGCGGGCAGAGGAGACGGCTGCTGCAGGCGGGCAGAGGAGACCATCAGCGATGCCAGCGAGCTGTACCTACCTTTAGCTACTTTTTGCTGCCAAGGAGCTGTGAAGGGGATGAAGCAGCTGTGAAGGGGATGAAGCTGTTGTGAAGGGGATGAAGCTGTTGTGAAGGGGATGAAGAAGCTGCTACCTCCCTCCCGCGTGCTGCTGCTGGTTCTGTGAAGTGATGGGACGTCGAGCACAAGAAAAGGCCAGCAGTGGCAGCAGCGGTGGCAGCAGCAGTGGGAGCAGAAGAGAGGTCCGCAGTGACAGCAGAATGGAATACAAGCAGTGGCACCAGCGGTCAGTAGAAGAGAAGCAGTGAAGACGACCGGCTACTCCAGAGGACCTCGTGTGCTGGTGAAGCAGGGTAGGGGGCGAAGCAGATTGCAGGGAACACAGGTTGCAGCGAAGCAGGGTAGGGGGTGAAGCAGATTGCAGGGAACACAGGTTGCAGCGAAGCAGGGTAGGGGGTGAAGCAGATTGCAGGGAACACAGGTTGCAGCGAAGCAGAGTAGGGGGTGAAGCAGATTGCAGGGAACACAGGTTGCAGCGAAGCAGGGTAGGAGCACTCTCTTCTCTTGTGAGTTTTGAGAGACGTCTCGAAACTCACTCCCAAAACTCTCCCTCCTTGATTCTCACCTGCCCCTGGGCAGTATCCAGTATCCTTTTGTGTTCTGTCTCCCTCCCCACCAGGGTCACATATTAATTCTCACCTGCCCCTGGGCAATATCCAGTATCCTTTTGTGTTCTGTCTCCGCCCCCCAACAGGGTCACATAATAATTCTCACCTGCCCCTGGGCAGTATCCAGTATCCTTTTGTGTTCTGTCTCCCCCCCCAACAGAGTCACATAATAATTCTCACCTGCCCCTGGGCAGTATTCAGTATCCTTTTGTGTTCTTTCTCCTTTCCCAACAGGGTCTCATAATAATTCTCTCCTGCCCCTGGGCAGTATCCAGTATCCTTTTGTGTTCTGTCTCCCCCCCCAACAGAGTCACATAATAATTCTCACCTGCCCCTGGGCAGTATTCAGTATCCTTTTGTGTTCTTTCTCCTTTCCCAACAGGGTCTCATAATAATTCTCTCCTGCCCCTGGGCAGTATCCAGTGTCCTTTTGTGTTCTGTCTCCCCCCCTCCAACAGGGTCCTAAGCGATGGTTCCCACCTCACCGCGGTGCTTGGGTGTAACGTTGGGAGCTCTGCTCCTGGCGGCCAAGAGGAACCCCCCATGCACACCTACTGTGCATGGGTAGTACAATAGTACAATTCTTTAATATTTAATTTTGGATCATCACTAGAAACTTTGATTTGATAAATACCTTGAAACCATTACTGCAATAGGTGTTACTTTAGTTCAGGCATATGTAGACAATTAATCCAATGGACTAGCATGTTATTTATGTACGGTAGTAGATTGATGCACCAGATAATGTGCATTTGCTGTTGTGACATGCAGAACCTGTTGAACAGTAGCTTAGACAGAACCATACAGACAGAACCGAGGCAGCACGGCACAAACAGAACCATTTAGACAGCTGAAGTACCAAATTGCTGAGTTGAGGGTGTATTGAGGATGGATGTTGCATACTGCACACTCTGCAAATAAAATGCAACGACGGCTTGCCTTGGTAGCCTGGCAGGCACTCCTGTCAGCTGCTTCTAACATCGGCTGGCATGCCAAATCTGACCGAGCTGAGGTTGCAGATTAACCACACTGGATTGCACATTCTTCAAGTGACCTAGCATACCCATAACTGTTATGTCAACACTGGTAGTGCACACAATGTGCTACAAATGATATACGATATGTAGAGGATTCAATGGGCAGGTGTATGCAATGCGTGTCAAACTAGCAGTCGATACTATGAGTACTTGCAGTGCTAGAAATGCTTGAACGGCGTGGTCTAACATGCTGCTAAACGTCAACCTGGCATCAGTCATTCTCATTGCCAAAGACTTGACACTTCTTTACGGCCTGCAGCACAGCAAGTAGAGCACACAAATCCACACCACAGTACAAACAGGGCATGAATGATTAGTAGTGCCACATCACATACTGGTATCTTGAATCAGGAGCGCAGAATCACGATGTATTGCTGATCGCCTGCAGTGCCCCCATGGGCCATGCACAGAGGGATGTGCGACAGACAAGAGAACACACGTTGGTGTTGCTGCATCCTTACACACGCCTTGTGTCCACACATGCCTTGTGTCCACACATGCCTTGTGCTCACACGTGCCTTGTGCTCACACGTGCCTTGTGCTCACACGTGCCTTGTGCTCACACGTGCCTTGTGCTCACACGTGCCTTGTGCTCACACGTGCCTTGTGCTCACACGTGCCTTGTCCTCACACGTGCCTTGTGCTACCTGCCCGAACATGTGTGATGGGAACCAGAATGTGCACAAGGTGATGAACAGGAAGGAGGGTGTGAGGAAGTGGTGATAAAAGTGTTGCTCAGTGGTTGTTGAGACTTCTCTAATCAGCCGGAGGGTGATAACAACTGATCATCTCACCTTTCTGCTATCTCATGAACCTACCCTTCTCATAGATTCAGCCTTCTCATCAACTCACTCTTCTCATCAACTTACCCTCATCATGAAAGCACATAGGAATTTGGCAGCACCGAGGCCATGGCAGCACCAAGGCCATGGCAGCACCGAGGCCATGGCAGCACCGAGGCCATGGCAGCACCGAGGCCATGGCAGCACCGAGGCCATGGCAGCACCGAGGCCATGGCAGCACCGAGGCCATGGCAGCACCGAGGCCATGGCAGGTTAACAAGCAGCAGCAACCTCCACGTCTTTGAGCTGCTCACATGCAGGGAGGCACACCTGTGGGCGGCATGAGTGAAGCAAGCAAGAAGATGCACAAGGGTCAGCGGGTGAAGCGAGCACACATCAGCACAAGGGTCAGCGCGTGAAGCGAGCAAAAATCAGCACAAGGGTCAGTGCGTGAAGCGAGCAAAAATCTGCACAAGGGTCAGTGAGTGAAGCTTGCTGAAAGAGGCGCAAGGGTATGTGAGTGAAGTGAGCAGAAAGAAGCACAAGGTTTCGTGGGTGATGTGTGCAAAAAGAGGGACAAGCTACTGCGAGGGAAGCAAGCCACAAAAGCTATATGCGGTGAGCGTGGATCGAACACGCGACCTTCAGATCTTCAGTCTGACGCTCTCCCAACTGAGCTATCCCCGCAATCTCTGGAGATGCGGGGTATCGATCCCCATACCTCTCGCATGCTAAGCGAGCGCTCTACCATCTGAGCCACATCCCCGTTGGAATCCAAAAATGGCACTACACCAAGGCCGAGACAAGTGTGGGTAGGATAGGAGGAGACACTGAGAAAGGAGGGAGAACAGGAGGGGGAGTAGAGTGGGGGGGATAGAATGAGGAGGTAGCAGTCACACCATAGCAAGAAGCAGAGTAGAAAGCTACTGGTCAACAGAAAGTGACTTGCCAGAGCAGAGACAGAAGAGTAGGAAGCTGGTTTTACACTGCCACTCGTGGTGGGGTGGTGGTGATGGTGTTCGTTGTTGCTGCTCCTGCTCCTGCTGCTGCTGCTTCTGAAACTGCTGATACAGTCAACTGCATTTCTCCATAGGACTGGAGGGCAAGAGGGCAACGAGCAACGGAATGGAAGGAAGCAACTAAAGGGTATTGAAGGGAACGGAAGGGAAATGAAAGCAATTGAAGGAATATGAAAGCAAAAGAAGGAAGATGAAACCAACTGAAGGAATTCGAACTCAAAGAAAACCGAAAGCAACAGCAGGGAAATGAAAGCAATGGAACTTCAAGCGAAAAGAAGCTGAGCATGATGGAGATAGAGAGGGACGGGAGGAATTGGGAACTGCAGGGCAGAAAAGAGGCGTATAGCGACAGCAGCCCATAGCAGTACGGCAGCGACTTTTGAGGCGCCTCAAAACTAGAAGAGGCGTACGGCGGCGGCAGCCCATAGCAGTGCGGCAGTGAGCTGAGCGAGGCAAAGGGAGGGACTGGGGTAAAGAGGGACGCGGGCATGGGATGAATGCAAGCTAACCCGCTAGACTCTAGATTGAGTTCCTCAGCCGCCCTGCCATGGGTTGCTCCCCATGCGCCTCTACTCTGCCATGGGTTGCTCCCCATGCGCCTCTACTCTGCCATGGGTTGCTCCCCCCATGCGCCTCTACTCTGCCATGGGTTGCTCCCCCCATGCGCCTCTACTCTGCCATGGGTTGCTCCCCCCATGCGCCTCTACCCTGCCATGGGTTGCTCCCCCCATGCGCCTCTACTCTGCCATGGGTTGCTCCCCCCATGCGCCTCTACTCTGCCATGGGTTGCTCCCCCCATGCGCCTCTACTCTGCCATGGGTTGCTCCCCCCATGCGCCTCTACTCTGCCATGGGTTGCTCCCCCCATGCGCCTCTACTCTGCCATGGGTTGCTCCCCCCATGCGCCTCTACTCTGCCATGGGTTGCTCCCCCCATGCGCCTCTACTCTGCCATGGGTTGCTCCCCCCATGCGCCTCTAATCTGCCATGGGTTGCTCCCCCCATGCGCCTCTACTCTGCCATGGGTTGCTCCCCCCATGCGCCTCTACTCTGCCATGGGTTGCTCCCCCCGTGCGCCTCTACTCTGCCATGGGTTGCTCCCCCCATGCGCCTCTACTCTGCCATGGGTTGCTCCCCCCATGCGCCTCTACTCTGCCATGGGTTGCTCCCCCCATGCGCCTCTACTCTGCCATGGGTTGCTCCCCCCATGCGCCTCTACTCTGCCATGGGTTGCTCCCCCCATGCGCCTCTACTCTGCCATGGGTTGCTCCCCCCATGCGCCTCTACTCTGCCATGGGTTGCTCCCCCCATGCGCCTCTACTCTGCCATGGGTTGCTCCCCCCATGCGCCTCTACTCTGCCATGGGTTGCTTCCCCCATGCGCCTCTACTCTGCCATGGGTTGCTCCCCCCATGCGCCTCTACTCTGCCATGGGTTGCTCCCCCCATGCGCCTCTACTCTGCCATGGGTTGCTCCCCCCATGCGCCTCTACTCTGCCATGGGTTGCTCCCCCCATGCGCCTCTACTCTGCCATGGGTTGCTCCCCCCATGCGCCTCTACTCTGCCATGGGTTGCTCCCCCATGCGCCTCTACTCTGCCATGGGTTGCTTCCCCCATGCGCCTCTACTCTGCCATGGGTTGCTCCCCCCATGCGCCTCTACTCTGCCATGGGTTGCTCCCCCCATGCGCCTCTACTCTGCCATGGGTTGCTCCCCCCATGCGCCTCTACTCTGCCATGGGTTGCTCCCCCCATGCGCCTCTACTCTGCCATGGGCTGCCCCCCATGCGCCTCTACTCTGCCATGGGTTGCTCCCCCCATGCGCCTCTACTCTGCCATGGGTTGCCCCCCATGCGCCTCTACTCTGCCATGGGTTGCTCCCCCCATGCGCCTCTACTCTGCCATGGGCTGCCCCCCATGCGCCTCTACTCTGCCATGGGTTGCTCCCCCCATGCGCCTCTACTCTGCCATGGGCTGCCCCCCATGCGCCTCTACTCTGCCATGGGTTGCCCCCCATGCGCCTCTACTCTGCCATGGGTTGCTCCCCCCATGCGCCTCTACTCTGCCATGGGCTGCCCCCCATGCGCCTCTACTCTGCCATGGGTTGCTCCCCCCATGCGCCTCTACTCTGCCATGGGTTGCTCCCCCCATGCGCCTCTACTCTGCCATGGGTTGCTCCCCCCATGCGCCTCTACTCTGCCATGGGTTGCTCCCCCCATGCGCCTCTACTCTGCCATGGGTTGCTCCCCATGCGCCTCTACTCTGCCATGGGTTGCTCCCCCCATGCGCCTCTACTCTGCCATGGGTTGCTCCCCATGCGCCTCTACTCTGCCATGGGTTGCTCCCCCCATGCGCCTCTACTCTGCCATGGGTTGCTCCCCCCATGCGCCTCTACTCTGCCATGGGTTGCTCCCCCCATGCGCCTCTACTCTGCCATGGGTTGCTCCCCCCATGCGCCTCTACTCTGCCATGGGTTGCTCCCCCCATGCGCCTCTACTCTGCCATGGGTTGCTCCCCCCATGCGCCTCTACTCTGCCATGGGTTGCTCCCCCCATGCGCCTCTACTCTGCCATGGGTTGCTCCCCCCATGCGCCTCTACTCTGCCATGGGTTGCTCCCCCCATGCGCCTCTACTCTGCCATGGGTTGCTCCCCCCATGCGCCTCTACTCTGCCATGGGTTGCTCCCCCCATGCGCCTCTACTCTGCCATGCGCTCTTGAACTCTCCACGTTAGTAACATACGAGTGTTGTGGTGGTAACGTGAGAGACGCACGAAAAGTGACTTGGATAACAACGATTCGGAAAAATTCCGATTCTCAACGAGCGACTTGCGATGTGCGACGAGTATCAAACGTTTCACCCAGTAATGCCCGCCAAAGCTTTCTGCCCGCGAATCACCATCACCTTTCGGTTCCGTTCACCACGGTCACGGCGTTGGTCGCTCGCGTTGCCCGGCATGCGGTTGATACTCGTCGCACGTCGCAAGTCGCAAGTCGCTTGTCGACATCGCTCGCGGCTCGATGCTCGATGCTTTGCTGCTGCTCGTCGTCACGCGTCGCGCGGCTGATACGATAAAGAGTCGCAGTCATGATCCTGCATGAAATTCTGTGACGCCGTGTGATGTTGCGATGCGACGCCATGTCGCAGAGACCCAGATGCTGCTCGGACGATGAGTCTACACACAAGCCACGCCACTTGGTGGTCGCCGCCGTGCCGGAGTTGATGTCTTCAGTTGCGAAGGTAATGTGAACAGCACAAGTTTGCAGGTATGCTGCAGGTCTGCTGGTATGCTGCTCAAATCAAGGATCATCTGCTCAGGCGCCTTGCACGCTGTCACAAGGCGCTGTCACAAGCTCGCCTTCACGACACGTAACACTATACCTCCCTGAGCTGGAAAATGGATGTTTTGGGCCAACCGCATAAAGCGTCGCTGGATTGGAAGCCATGGTGCGCTGTTGGTCCAACGACTTAGCGAGCTTCACGCAATCCGACAGCGCACAATGACTAGACATTTTTGAGCTAGCCTACTAGGCTAGTAGGGAACTCCGAGGAATTCAACATCCTAAAGTTTCTGGTCCTGAGGATTCAATTTCAGCGACTGGAAAGTTGCATTGCAGGTAGCGAATGGAATATGTTTCGCATGCGCAGAGTTCAGTGTAGTGACGCGCTGGAACTGCACAGACAGACTTATGACACTCGCTAATGGGAGAGTTCCGCTGGGTGTTTCCTTCCTGGTTGATCTAAGGGCGGAGTCAGGGTACACTTTCTCACGAGTGAACAGTTCTTATATCGTGGTCAGGGACGGTTCAATACGGTGAAAAGCGGTTCTTGACGTCAACCTTTCTGAACCGTTTTGAAACGAAGTTAACCAGAGTAGGCGTACAGATAGTTGTACAACCTGACTCCGCCCTTTAGGGAGTGCATAAAACCTTGCATAATGAGAGCACTTCCTAGAGCTCTTGCTTCCACCATGGCAGCAATGTACCACCAAGCTCAGCAGCCAATCCACAACAATCAGCAGTGGCCTTCTAGCATGTATTCACAAGTATGGACATCATGATGATTTTACAACACAATCACCTGCACAGCCTGTTGCTAAAACCAAAAACCCAAATTCCCCCGCTCCACATCTTCTCTGCTCCAACACCACCAACCCATCTACTTTTGCGGCACGTCGATGGGGCAAGAGCCATCATCCACATTGGCAAGCGGGTCAAAGAAAGGTGAGCTGGGGTCCATGCAGCCTGGCACAAGGTCAAGCCGGCACGACTGGCCCTGAAAGACAGAATTTCAGGCAAAACATCATGCACATTTACAGGGTTAGGAATGATTTGGGAAATACAGAACACAATTCCTGTTATTTGTCGACTTTTGAATTGATGCGGGCGAGCACCAAAGCACCAAACAAATGTGAAGGTCGTCGTGCATACCTCTTCCTTGGCGATACCGCCCGGCATAATGCATCGGTCGGGCACGTATTGGGAGTCGGGGAAAATGGTGTCGTCACACGCGCCCTCCGCCTCCAAAGTCTTCTTCAGACCCTGGCGACGGGGGAGAGGGAGGGCAGGAGAGAGCGGGAGGGCCCGGGGGAGGGTGCATGGGAAGCGACAGCACAGAGTGTTGAGCAGGAGATGGGGAGGGAGGGAAACGCTGGTATGTGGGAGTGCATGTGGGTGAGGAGTGTTGGGAGACCAGACAATACTCTTCAGTTGACCGTGCCTCCGACAGGAGCACACCTCATTGAAGAATGACATGGGCTGGTTGCGGAACGCCGCCGGGATCTGCTTCTCCACCACGTAGGGGCCGTCCCAGCCCTTTAAGAGCTCTCATAAGGTACCCCCGACTGTGCCTCTTACTGTGGCCCCACTGTGCCACTGACTGTGCCTCTAACCATGCCTCACCTCATTAAAGAACGACATGGGTTGGTTGCGGAAGGCGGCCGGGATCTGCAACTCCACCACATACGGGCCGTGCCAGGCGTCGCCGTCAGTCATGGAGAACTCGATGGTCTTGGCGTGCAGCGGCACGTTCACCTTGATCGAGAACAGCGGCGCGCAGCTCGGCCCGCGCTCCTTGCGGCTCATCCGCCGCGCCTCCCCGCCGCACATGATGGGGCTGTTGAAGCCACCTGAGAGGGCGAGGAGCGACAGGGAAGGACAGAGAGATTAAGTGGGTTTTGGAAAAGATTCAAAGGCAGCTCGGCCCGCGCTCCTTCGCGGCTCATCCGCCGCGCCTCTCCGCCGCACATGATGGGGCTGTTGAAACCGCCTGCGAGGGGGAGAAGGTGGGAAGGGCAGGGAGAATGAATGGCCTTTTGAGTGGAGTTGATTCCAAAGGCAGCTCGGCACGCGCTCCTCGCGGCTCATCCGCCTCGCCCCCCCGCCACACATGATGGGGCTGTTGAAACCGCCTGGGGGGTCGAGAAGGTGGAAAGGGCAGCGAGACCAAAAGGAATTTTTCTTGAGTAAAGTTGATTCAAAAGGCAGCTCGGCCCGCGCTCCTTGCGGCTCATCCGACGAGCTTCCCCGCCGCACATGATGGGGCTGTTGAAACCGCCTGGGGGGGGAGGCAGAGACAGGAGAGGTGGCGAGTGGAATGCATAGTTTGCTTGTGAGGCAGGGCCAAGGCAGAGAACAGCAGGAAGGTTCCCAAAACGGGGCAGAGGCGCGAGAGAATGACCTTCAAAGGCGTAAGAAGCGAAGAGAGCGCCGAGAGCGAACAGCGGGAGGGTTTCAAAAGGGAGCACGGACGCCCAGGAGTGACTAGCAGCGGAAGAGGCAACAGGAAAGAAAAAGCCGAGGCGGCGTACCGTTGAAAGCGACGCCGAACTCAGGGTTGGGCGTGAGGTTGGACGCCTCGGGGTTGAACCAGATGGTCATCAGCTCGCCCTGCGTGACGCGGGACACATGCGCGGGCGGAGGGGCGGGGATAAGGGAGAGAGCAGTGAAGATAGAGGGACATGTTGTGAGTGGTCTCAGACGGGAGGGCGTGAGGTGGACGCCTCGGGGTTAAACCAGATGGTCATCAGCTCGCCCTGTGAAAAACGGGAGATATGCGCGGGCGGAGAGGCGGGGATAAGGGAGAGAGAGCAGTGAAGATAGAGGGATTTTTTTTGTGAGTGGTCTTAGACGGGAGGGCGTGAGGTGGACGCTTCGGGGTTGAACCAGATGGTCATCAGCTCGCCCTGTGTGACAACGGGAGATATGCGCGTGGGGAGAGCGGGGAGAAGGGAGAGAGCTCCGTGAAGATAGAGGGACATGTTGTGAGTCGTCTCAGACGGGAGGGCGTGAGGTGGACGCTATGGTCATCAACTCGCCCTGTGCCACAATCGGAGGGACGGAGAGGGGAGAGAGCAAGGTGGAAACACAGCGGCTTGTTGTGAGTGGTCTCAGACGGCGGGAAGTGAGGTTGGACGCCTCGCGGTTGAACCAGATGGTCATCAGCTCGCCCTGTGAAAAACGGGAAATAAGCGCGCGGGGGAGGGTGCAAGAGTGGGGAGGGGCGGAGAGAGCAGATGGGAAGGAGTGCCGTGGAGATAGAAGAGTTTGTGAGTGATCTCAGACGGTGGGGTGTGAAGGTGGATGACTCGAGTGGAGGGGCGAAATGGACGGCGGAGAGGGAGGGAGTAAGGGATGAAGAGGGGGAACGGGAGGGGGATGGTAAGGGGCGAGGGGAGGGAAGAGAGAAAGGCAAGGGGAGGAGGAAGCGGAGAAGAAGAGTGAGGAAGTGGTAGGAGACTGAGGTATTTGAAGGGGTAGGAGACTGCCGAGTCGGCTCACGTGACAGCGAGGCGGGGGAATGGAGAAAGACGAACGGAAGCTGGATCAATATAGGCGATGGAGGAGACGCTGACGTACGGAAGCAGGGGGGAGGCCGGTGGCAGTTTCCCAGAAAACAGGGGCCAAGCCCAGCTCGAACCGCGCCCACGTGGGTAGTTGATACCTGATGACGTGGCAGACAAAGGGGTACACGGAGAAGAGTGGGGATTAGAAACGGAAAAAATGAAAAGAGAATGTGACAAAAGAAGAGGAAAGAAAAGAAGCGAAGAAACAATTACGAACAGGAGATCTAGCGAGTTGGAGCTTGGCATACAACTCAGGAGGGGCCTAGAGCTTGGCATAGTAATCCAGCCGCAAGACTGATCGTATGTGAACTGCGATCCGAATCCTTGACAGGAAAAAGTCAGTTTGTAAGACGGGAAAAGGCAACTCACTTGGTAGCGGGTTTGTCGGTAGCGACGGCGGCACGGACGACTGGCCTCTTGGCGACCGATGCGGCGCGAAGAGGAGCGGCGGAGAAGGTGGAGAGGGAGGCAGAACTGAAAGAGCCGACGAAGGCGGATGCTGATTGGTCGGTAGACAAACGACCGGATGGTTTGGGGTGGAGGGTGGAGGAAGTGGAAAAGGAATGGGGTGGAAAAGGGGAAGGGGAGAGGGACGATGAGGAATGGTTGGGAGCGGAAAACGTGCAGGACGAGGAGAACGCGAAGGAGAACGATGAAAGCCGCTGTATCCATTGCTGGCGTGAATACACAGACTGGAAATGTGTAAAACGGTATGTCTAGCGAAGCGAGCGAAACCCTAATTCAGGGACGGAGAGGTCCGTGCAAGAACAATGCCAAACGCTTCCGTTGATGAAATATTCGCGTACGACGAGGCGAACTGATAAACGGGTTGTGCGTTGACAGCGAATACCAGCGGTGGAGCTTACTAAGCGAGGTCGGTGCCCTCGTCGCCGCGCTGGTGGCAGCAGAGGCGAGCTCGGCGGAAATGGCTGCACGGATAGCAGTCGCCATGGTGGATCGCTTCTAGTAGTTAAACAGGTGAAGATTATTAAAGAAGCGACGAATGGCGTGGCTCAATCTGCCTTGCCGAATTTCTCTCAATACAAAACAGCACAGCACTAGCGGAAATTACGCTTTATATGTGCTGTGGAAGTTGAAGCAAGATTGGCAGTGAAAGAAGGCAGAAAGTTGTAGGTTTCTTCGAGCATGTTCGGTTTGAAACTTCTGAGAGGCACAGCAGAGTGCCGTGGGAATGGATGGGGGGAAGCAGGGTAATTGCGGGTTGATCTGGCGGAGCAGGGTGAGCGGAAGGTGAGGTGTACCGGGAGCGGAAGGTCCTGGGCGGAGAAGATTACGGGGAGAATTGGCTGGTGGCGAGCGGAAGAGCAGCGGAGATTCCCAAGGAGACGGGGGACCTAGGGCCTGCCTTGCGTTGCATTTCGCGACAATTCGAGAATCGAGGGTCTACGAGCTGGCGCAATGGTCGAGTGCGTTTGCGAACTTGGGCGAAAACGCGAGAACTCCCTTTCCCTATGGCTGGTTACAGAAGACGAACCTGGACTCGAACTGCTTTCACGAACTTTATGGAGGGTGATTGGTCAGCTTTGGTCTGTCCCCGCTGGAAGGGAGAGATAAGTTGGAAAGATGCCAGGTGGCGCGACCAATTCAGTTACTATTGACGGTCGAAAGTGCAGGATTCCGTCAGACGAAACAGTTCACTTCCCATTTCTGATTCCTGGTTGGTTCAAAATATGTTGTACAGATATTTGCACAGTCCAACCGGCGCCAGCCACGCCGTCTCCCCCTTCGCGAGTTACAGATGTAAATCGTTACAATGTACACTCGAATATGTCTTTATCAGTTGCTTTTCCCATCTCGATGCTGCGCAATACGTCAAAGCGACTATTTCCCAGTATCATTCTCTGACACTAACGGGTCGACACATCTGATAGCATGACCTACCCCTGATTCCACCCCGCTATGGCAAATCCAACTCGCGCCGCCCAGCCACACACCCCATCGTTCTTCCGCCAAATTCGGCGGGCTCCGGGTCGCATTATGCGGTCCACGCCTCTCCGCTTCGTCGCGCTCGCGATCCTGCTCGCCTTCTCGCTGCTCCTCACGGGCGAGTTCGAAATGCAACGACGGTTCGACCCGCAACGGCCATTCCGCGCGCAGCGGTTCCTCTCCCTCATACGTCCCCCCCACCGCACGCAGACAGCAGCCGCAGACGACGCGGCGAACAGTGCGACGAGCGACGCGACGAGCCGCAGTAACCCGCACCAGGGCGACGAATCCGAGCAGGACACGGAGGATCCGACTCCCGCGGTCGCCGCGCCGCCGCTTTCGGCGGAGGATTTTAAAACCCTAGAGAGCCTAATAGAGCAGCCAGTGGAGGAGGAGGATGGGCAGGAGAACGAGGAGGAGGGGGAGAAAGGAAGGGAGGAGGAGGGGGAGGGGGAGGGGGAGAAGGAAAAGGGGAAGGTGAATTGGGGGTTGGTGGGGAGATTGGTGGGATTCGGGAGCCAATTGGCGAATTCCACGTGGGAGAGAGTTGGGGGGGTTGTGAGAGGCGGGGTGGAGGTGTGGGAGAAGCGGGAGAAGGAGGCGAGGAGTAGGAAGGAGTGGCGGAGAGTGGTTGAGAGCGATAGGAAGAAGAGGATGGAGGCGAGGAGGAGAGGTGGTAAAGGGAGGAAAAGGAGGAGGAAGGGGAGTGGTAGAGTGATCGGTAGGGTGGAGATGAGAAGGAATGACTCAGAGGGACGCGGCAACAGCAGCAGCAGCAGCAGCAGCAGCAGCAATGCCATTAGCAACATCAGCGAGGTTAGCAGTAGCAGAAGAGTAGGGTTGTTGGAGAGAGGACCTGCTGCTTCTGCTGCTGCAACTCTAACCACAGGTGCTGCTCACACTGCTGCTGGTGGTAATGCTGGTGCTGTTGCTGCTCGAATCGCACCTACCAACGCATCAACAGCAGCAGCAGGAGTGGACGACTGTTTGAACCAACTACAGCGTGCGTTTGGATCGGAAGGTTCCCAGCCCGACGCGCTGCTTCCCAGAAACTTCTCCGTGCGCCTGCTGACGCTGGACCCTTCTCGGCGTCGCACGGGGCTGCCTTTGAAGCTGCGGGAGTGGCAAGCTGAGAGCGTGTTTGTCATCGGCACGGGGGAGTCAGGCAAGGGGCGACGAGAGACGCTGCTGGTATGGTGAGAGTCCTTGCTTGCCGCTGTTAGTGCTGTGTGTTGGTCTCCTCTTAGCCTCCTCTCTTTCTTGTGGCGCCACACGGGGCTGCCCCTGAAGCTGCGGGAGTGGCAAGCTGAGAGCGTGTTTGTCATCGGGACAGGCGAGCCGGGCAAGGGACGAAGAGAGACGCTGCTGGTATGGTGAGGCTTTTGCTGCTGTGTGTCTGCCTTCTCTTTGCCTCTATTATCTCTCTCCCTGCGCCGCACGGGGCTGCCTTTGAAGCTGGGGGAGTGGAAAGCTGAGAGCGTGTTTGTCATCGGCACGGGAGAGCCGGGCAAGGGAAGACGAGAGACGCTGCTGGTATGGTGAGAGTTGCTGATGCGTCTCTGCCTTCTCTTTCCCTCTGATGTCTCATTGCTGCACCGCACGGGACTGCCTTTGAAGCTGCATGAGTGGAGCGCTGAGAGCGTGTTTGTGATCGGCACGGGGGAGCCGGGCAAGGGGCGACGAGAGACGCTGCTGGTATGGTGAGGGTTCCTGTTTACAACTGTGTCTTGGTCTTCTCTTTGCCTCCGTTTTATTTTTTGCTTGCCACCTGTGGCTGCTCTCCTCCCCTTACCTCGGCCCCCTGCTCTGCCCCGTGCCTCAGCTCTCTGGCAGGCTCTGGATCGGCAATTTTTTTTTAGTCAACAATGATTTTTTTATCCGCCTCACCTCTGTCCCCCTGCTCTGCCCCGCACCTGTTCTCTCTGGCAGAATCTGGACCGTCGGTTTCGTGCAGCAGGGCTGCAGTACACGCAGGTGGTGATGCCCATGGCGTTAGAGGAGCCATTCAAAGCGAGGTGAGTGTGGGTGTTTAGGGGTGGAAAAGGGGAAGAGGGTAGAGCAGCAGTAGTGGGGCTGCAGTACACGCAGGTGGTGATGCCCATGGCACTGGAAGAGCCGTTCAAGGCTAGGTGGGTGTGTATGAGAGTGTAGTGTACTGTATGCGTGTGTGGTAGAGAGTATAATGTGTGTGAGTGCATGCAGCAGGGGTGCTCCTTCATCCCATCCCCATGCCTCGAAAGAACCCTTCATTACACATCCAGTGCATGCAGCAGGGGAGTTCAACTCATCCTTCATCCCTTTCCATCCTGCTGAGACATCCCTAGAGAATCTCACCTGCTTTCTCCCCTTCCATCATTCCCAGATATGACCCAGTGTTCCCAGCACGCTCTCTCTCCCTCCGCTCCACCTTCCACCCGCACGACCTGGCATACGCGTTCGCACATTTCGAGGTGTGGGCGAGGGTGGTGGTGCTGCGGCTGCCGTACGCGTTGGTATTTGAAGACGATGCACGGAACGAGGTGGACAGCAATGCAGCCTGGAAGCAGCGGATGGAAGGGGTGAGTGGGGAGGAGTGGGAAGGGGTGGGAGGGGGTGAGAATGGGTGAGAATGGGTGAGAATGGGTGACTGGGAAGGGGTGAGTGTTAATACACTGGGAGGTGTGGGCGAGGGTGATGGTGCTGCGGCTGCCGTACGCGTTGGCATTTGAAGACGATGCACGGAACGAGGTGGACAGCAATGCAGCCTGGAAGCAGCGGATGGAAGGGGTGAGTGGGGAGGAGTGGGAAGGGGTGGGAAGGGTTGAGAATGGGTGAGCGTTCGCACACTGAGCTGGGAGGTGTGGGCGAGGGTGGTGGTGCCGCGGCTGCCGTACGCGTTGGTGTTTGAAGATGATGCACGGAACGAGGTGGACTCGAATGCAGCGTGGAAGCAGAGGATGGAAGGGGTGAGTGAGTGGGAAGGGGTGGTAAGGGGTGAGAATGGGTGAGTGTTGATGGTGGGTGGTAGTGGCACCGTGGGCTGAGAGGTGTGGGCGAGGGTGGTGGTGCTGCGGCTGCCGTACGCTACGCGTTGGTGTTTGAAGACGATGCATGGAACGAGGTGGACTCGAATGCAGCATGGAAGCAGCGAATGGAAGGGGTGAGTAGTACATGAGTACCCCTATAGCCCCTCACGACCCCCCAGCCCCTCACAACCACTCTTTACCCCTCGCCCCTTCCCCCCTCTACAGCTCCTACGTCAGCTCAACCTCCTAATCATCCAGAACGGCAATTGCTTTTTCGATGTGCTGCTGCTGGCAACCCTGCACAACCCGTCTCAACCTCTCCCAACCCCTCACAACTCCACACTTCACCTCTTGTCCCTCACAGCTCCTGCGTCAGCTCAACCTGCTGATAATCCAGAATGGCAACCGCTTTTTTTTTTACGTGCTGCTGCTGGCTCGCGCCACCCTTTATAACACATCTCCATCCGTCACAACCTCTCACAACCACTTTCCACCCCGCTTCACTCCCCCCAATGCAGCTCCTACGCCAGCTCAACCTCCTAGTCATCCAGAACGGCAACCGCTTCTTCTTTGACGTGCTGCTGCTGGCTCGCTCTGCCCTCGCGCCCTACTCGGAGCAGCAGCTCACAGCCAACATCATGAAGGCTCAGCCCAGCATGGGGTCGCATGCATACCTCATCACATACGCCGGTGCTAAAAAGATGCTGTCGCACATGCGGCTCAAAGTGTGAGTGCACTATCTCCTTTCATTGCGTGTTGTGCTGCTCTCATCCCGTTCATCTACGTCGTACCCTACTCGGAGCAGCCACTCACAGCCAATATTCTCAAGGCACAGCCCAGCATGGGGTCCCACGCGTACCTCATTACCTACGCCGGCGCTAAAAAGATGCTGTCTCAAATGCGGCTTAAAGTGTGAGTGAGCCATTCCGTTCCAATGCGTGCTCTGCTACTCCCATCCCATTCATTGCCCTCGCGCCCTGCTTCTGGGGCGTCTTAGAAGGGGACTGAGCCCCTCGCGCCCTACTCGGAGCAGCAGCTCACAGCCAATATTCTCAAGGCACAGCCCAGCATGGGGTCACACGCCTATCTCATCACATACGCGGGGGCCAAGAAGATGCTGTCTCAAATGCGCCTTAAAGTGTGAGTGCCCGATCTCCTTCCATTGCATGTGCTGCTGCTGGTATCATACTCTGCCCTCGCGCCCTACTCGGAGCAGCCCCTCACGGCCAACATTGTGAAGGCACAGCCCAGCATGGGATCCCACGCCTACCTCATCACCTATGCTGGGGCCAAGAAGATGCTGTCACAAATGCGGCTCAATGTGTGAGTGCCTGTGCTGCGGCTGCTACTCCATCTCGCCTTTCTTAAAGCACAGCCCAGCATGGGGTCTCACGCCTACCTCGTCACCTATGCAGAGTATTTTTGAGAATTCTTAAAAATACTCTACAGCGCCAAGAAGATGCTCTCCCTTCATCCGGTCCCCCATCCCTCCTCCCCTCTTCCCCTTCCCCAGTCTCAACATTCGGTCCAATGCTCCCCCCTTTCCCCACCCCATCACAACCAGGCCAATATCAGAGGCATTTTTCACCGTGCCACACGCGCACATCCTAGCAGCGGACCCGCCTCTCTTCAACTCCCACATGTTCATGTGCCGCCCCAAACCCTTCAGTTTCCCTGCATCTTACTTGCACCTCCATATGCCCCCCAACGCAGCGTGCCCTTTTCCTCCCACCCCATTTTCACCATTCGCCTCACTCTTGACTCTACTCTCCCCCTTGTTCCCCCGCCCTCTGCTCCCCCACCAGGCCAATATCAGAGGCGTTTTTCACCGTCCCACACGCCCACATCCTAGCAGCAGACCCGCCCCTCTTCAACTCCCAGATGTTCATGTGCCGTCCCAAGCCCTGCCGAGCACCACCCTTCGACCTCTACTCCTCCTCCCGCCTCTCCTCCGCCTGCCGGGAAACCCTCTTCCTCAGCTTCCCCGGCCACCCCCGAATCAGGGGGAATATTGTGAAGAAGGATTGGGTGAGACAGGCATCGGCGGAAGCAGGGGCTAGAGCTACCATTGCTGTGGATGCTGATTGTGGGACGCCTGCGCAGTGCCTGATTCGATCCCACCAGGAGATTCTCCAGGTGCCAGGATCAGGTGCCCGGGTGAATTCCCAGGTGGATCCTCAGGTGATTTTCCAGGTGCCAGGGATAAGACCATCTGCAGGGGTACGTGTGCTGATGCGATCCATGCCGCCCAAACTAGCCATGTGGCCAACCTTCGTGATCGGATTGGCTGAAGACGCCGACCGATTTGTCTCATTAGAACCTGTGTTGCAGCAGCAGGGCTTCGGAGAAATCATCAAGGCAAACGGCATTTCGGTCTCAAATACAGACTACCAGGTGCTGACTCACCTGGTGGACAAGGAGCATCGGGCCCGCACCCGAACCTCGCCCTGGTGGCAGGAGAAGCAGGCCCGGCCGACCCTGAGCAAGGGCGAGGTCGGGTGCGCACTCTCGCACTACTTCGTCTGGTTAGAAGTTGTGCGAAGGCAGCTCCCATACGCCATCATATTCGAAGACGATGTGCGGTTCTTAACACACTCTTTCAGAGAGGTGTTTGAGCGAGACGTGGCGGAGGCAAACGAGGTGATCACACGGGAGATCAACCCGTTCCGCCCCGATATAGTCTTCCTCGGGAAATCCGGCATCATGACTTCGTTCTACTACCCGAAGCTGTCCCAGCACGTGGTTATATCCCCGCTCGTGTGGTGCTCGTTCGCGTACATAGTGTCTTTGGAAGGCGCTCGGAAGCTGGTGGAGAGGTTTTTTGTGAACGATCCGGTGGACTCGTACTGGTGGCAGGTGCCTGGGATGCAGTTCTGGGCGTTTGAGCCGTCGCTGGCTGATCATCTGACGGTGAAGAGGAAGAGACGGGGGAAGGGCGTGCAGTTTGTGAGCAGAGTGCAGGGGACTGACAGCGAGTGGTAGGGCCATCCTGTTAATCTCTCCTTTCTCAGGTAGACCCAGTGTGCATGGTACTGGCACCTGGTTAGGAGTGGCAGTTGCTGATAGATGTCATATCCATTGTAGTGGAACATTATCGGTGAAAAGTGCAATATTTTAGCTACCTGTACTGTACCTCAGATGGCTGTAATGTAACATGACGTTGCAAAGCTCCTGACATGCGAATGCATGTACACCACCATTCAACAATGAGGGCATGAGGCTAGGCTTGGTTACTTGGTACAACAGGATAGGCTTGCTTCACTATGCCTTGCAGTGTGTCTCCATGAAGCATTATACGGGTATCCATAATACACCATAGTCATTTATGCCATATCCATGTCAATGGTGGCCAGGATTCTTCTTTGCAGCTGCAGCCTTCTGTGCCTGTCCAATCAGGGCGCCAAGCATGGGAAGCAAACAATGGAAAATCGAAAAAAGGGCTTTAAAACAATACACAACCGGCACATGAGAGGGCCTGAAGGCATGTGAGCAAGGGGTAGCGTCGTTGGTTCCCAAGAGAACCACAAGTCACAAGAAGAGTTTGAAAATCGAGCATTCGCAATAACGTGGCCTAAGGCAAAGACGCAGGAAAAGGAGATACGGTAATGCCTGGAGGTACGTGAGCATGGTGACGCCGTAGGCGACAAACTCGCCAACAGCCACAATGAGAGTTGGCAAATTGAAAATGATAAAATGATCACGAATCGAAAGATCAGGCATCACGGCAGGAAAGCAGGCGAAGGTATTCCTACCCGAAGGTACGTGAGCATCGCCGCGCCGTAGGCGAGACCCACTCCAACTGCCGAAACCCTCGCGATCTGAGTAACAAAACAACGAGACCCGTGAGAAAACATCACACGCGTCGAAGCCTGGCTGGGTGAGATGACGTGGACAGATCCGACGGTGAAGAACGCTAGTCATTCGGCAATCCGGTGCAAGAAACACACGCAACGGAGTTCAGGAATGGAGGGGACTGCGAGAAAGTGAACACTTACGAGAGCGAGCGAGCTCTTTCCGGTGTACGGCATGTTCGCGAGCTACGGTATAAGCTGCCTCGACAAGATGACTTGACGGCTGCTATTAATGCAGCAAGTGGCGCGAGCGACGGCAGAACCGGCGAGATGTCTCTCGCACTCCGCGCCTGTAGGGCAGCAGCAAAGAAGCTAGGCTCGTGGGGTGATGTGTGGCTATGGCTGCCGAACAATTGCGAACCCTATTATTCCCCTTGATCCTGGGAGATTCAAGCGTAGAGCTTCCCAGTGATCCTGGTGGGTACGGCACGGTTCGCTACGGTTGAGCGCAGCACTGTTTTGCGACAACAATAACATTGGTGAAAAATGGGTGGATGGGAGAAATACAAAGCATATGGTCGAACTTGCCTGCCTAGTGATGAGATATCACACCTGCTCACATAAGATTTATTTCGTCTCCAAACTTTTGTGCTTCAATATTACTACACTAAATATTATCAAACACCCACAGCATCATCTCTCCCACTTGACGATCTGAAAATCGCCATAGATTTGACTTTTCTTCACTTTCTCCACCTGCCCCACCCCTTCCTCCGTGCCTTCATCGTCATCTGCAGCTTAACCGCCTTGAGCTCCATCACCTCCAGCTTCAAACTCGTCACCCCGCCTCTCACTCTCTGCTGCCATGCTCTCTTCGCAAACGCACCCGCCCCTCCCATCCCTCCCCTTGTCCTGTTCCCCCCCTCTCTCCCTCCCACTCCCAGCGAATCCTCATAACCCTGACCAGGACCCCCCGAATCTGCTGCTATCGGGCTGGGACGGACGAGGTTAAGTGGAAACTCTTCGAACTCTGTTACATAAGCGCCGGAGAAGAGGCGTGCAAGGTGCACTTGGCCGGTGGGGGTGATCTTGCAGGGAGCCTCGCGGTGCGCACCCCCAAAGCTGTGATCAAAGCCCCTGCGGTGCAGCAGCAGGGCTAGAGGCGGCTCCGAATGCACCTGAAGTTGGGAGAGCACAGGCGAAAGAGAGAAGGGAGGGTGCAAGTGTCAGAATCCCAACCACTAACCATTGGGATAAAATGGCTTGTTTGTGTAGCGGGTGAGTGCGCCCATAACCCCCCAGACCAACGTGCCTGTAACCCTTCCCTAGGATCAATCGGGGATCACCAGTGGACCTCTGACACCCCCCCGCACTGGGATGCCCGAAGTGCACACACCGGGATTCGAACCCGAGACCTTTGCTCTGATACCATGTCAGAATCCCAACCACTAACCATTGGGATAAAAGGGCTTGTTTGTGTAGCGGGTGAGTGCGCCCATAACCCCCCAGACCAACGTGCCTGTAACCCTTCCCTAGGATCAATCGGGGATCACCAGTGGACCTCTGACAGCAAGGAGTGGGATGAGCTTACAGGTAGCCTCAAGGCAGGATCCCCAATAGCTGTGGCCAAAGCCTCTGCGGTGTAGCAGCAGGGCTAGAGGTGGCTCGGAATGCACTTGAGAGAAAACAGAGACATGGAAGGTCAGTGAATGGGGTTGCTAAGAGATCCGTGATGGGAGTTCGCATTGATGCTGCCGAACCCCTGCGGTGCAGCATGGGGCTAGCGGCGGCCCAAAGTGGCGAGGGGTCAGGGGAGTGTGAGCAAGCTTGTAGCACGGGTGAGAATTGAATGAGAAAATAGAGCATGAAACAGTGCAACGAATGGAGGGAATGGAGAGGGGCCAGAGGGAGCACACATACCGAGGCATTGGGCATGGGCCGATGCACCTTGAAGCTGACCACATGCATGTTACACGGTAACGGGCGGCCCAACGGAGCATACGTCCAACCAAGGCCGCCCGGCTTCGGCTCCACAGTGCCGGCCAAAACACCCGGTTTCACTGCCTTCCCTCCATTGCTGCTGCTGCTGCCACTCCCCTTCCTGCCCGCCCCTCGTCCAGCATCTCCATCCTGCCCGGAAACAAATATCGACGGGCTTTCGGGCTGCCCGACAAAAAGATACACCGGGTAGTTTAGCCGGGAGCCGATTCGTTGCGAAGTGAGGGAGGGGAGGAGGGCGGCGGAGGAGGCGGCGGCAGGGAAGGGGCGGGCAGAGGTGTTTTTTTCGAGGACGAGGTGGAAGATGGTGTGGGTGGGGTGGTTGTCTAACACGCCCTGCTGCATGCCCCTGTTGTCGTCCTGTGGGAGCCGGCGATCCAACATCATTTCCAACCAGCCAGTCTGGTGTAGAGAGGGATTGGGCAAGGGGGTGAGGAGGGGGGGGGGGCGAGGAAGAGCGAGAGAGTGAGTAAAGCACGAATTTGGAATGGGGTTTAGCGTGAGGAAGAGGTTAACAACTTCTTGAGGCAAAAAAAAACCCGAGATAGGCAGCTACATGCACACAGCTCACCTTGAGAATGGCCACGCCCACAGCTTGGCGTGTGTGCACGGAAAACCTGATGCCAGAAGGGTCTTGCAGGAAGGCGAGGGCGGGCATGGGGTAGAAGTTGCCCTGCGTGGGGAGCTTGGTTCAACACCCACATTCCTGAGACAAAAGACTATGTGTATGTGTGACTCACCTTAAGGCTCGCAACACCAACAGCTTGCCGTGTGTGCACGGAAAACCTGATGCTCGAGGGGTCTTGGATGAAGGCGAGGGCGGACATGGGGTAAAAGTTGCCCTGCGTGGGGAGCCTGGCTCAACGCACAGATTCATTCGTAACGAGCCTGGGACAGAAGGCTATGTGTGTGTATCTCACCTTGAGACTGGCCACGCCCACAGCCTGGCGCGTGTGAACTGAGAACCGGATGCCCGAGGGGTCTTGGAGGAAGGCGAGGGCGGGCATGGGGTAGAAGTTGCCCTGCGTGGGCAGCTTGGGGAGCGTCTCGCGTCGAACAGTCTGGAAGCCATTGGAGTCGGTGTAGAAGAGACGCGAGGAGTCGATGGACGTGCGGTAGCGCACCACCAGCTCCTTGTTGTCAACCGATGTTGAGGAGATGTTGACGTGGTGGCGCGTTTCTATCAGCAAGCCCTGGGTGGGGGGATGGGAGAGCAGGGCGGACAGGGAAGGGGGGAGAGAAGGAGTCAGGATAGCGCACTACAAGCATCTTGCAGCAGAAAGGGTCTGGAAGCCGTTGGAGTCGGTGTGGAAGAGACGCGATGAGTCGATGGACGTGCGGTAGCGCACCACCAGCTCCTTGTTGTCCACTGCCGTTGAGGAGATGTTCACATGGTGGCGTGTTTCTATCAGCAGGCCCTGGGGGACGGGCACAGTGGGAGCGGGGAACGGGGAAGGAGGGGAGTGACCTCAGGGGACGTGCGGTAGCGCACCACCAGCTCCTTGTTGTCCACTGCCGTCGATGAGATGTTCACGTGATGTCTGGTCTCTATTAGCAGGCCCTGGGGGGTGGGACAGGGGCACGGTAGGAGAGGATGTGGGGAGGGAGAAGGGGAAAGGAAGGAGTGGATGGACGTGCGGTAGCGCACCACGGGCTCCTTGTTGTCCACCGCTGTGGAGGAGATGTTCACGTGATGGCGTGTTTCTATCAGCAGGCCCTGAGAGGTGGCACAGGCAGTGTGGGAGGGCGGGTGGGGGAAGAAGGAGAGGACGAGTCAGGGGAGGGGGAGTAGCACATCTGACTTTGTAGAGCACGAAAAAAACACCTGGAGACCCACCTGAGGGGCTCGGACTTTGTAGAGCATGACAGAGCGCACAACCGGCATCAAATGCTCCTCTTCCTCCTCCTCCTGCAACAATGGCTCATCCACAACATGTGACTCCTCCAGCCCATCCGCTGCCTCCTCCCACCCTTGCTTGTCCATCTTAGCAGCAGCCTCTGCTACCTTCTGAAGCTCATCCAAGTCTAGATCACCCTCCTTACTGCCCTGCTCCCCTTCATCCTCCTCCACCCCCACCTCTTGCCCATCCTCCGCACTCCCCTGCTCCCCACTGCCGCCACCGCCGCTGCCACCGCTGCTGCCACTGCTGCCGTCACCGCTGCCGCCGCCACCGCCGTCGGCGCTGCTGCTTTCCCAGTCGCGGCGGGTCACTTCTAAGCTCTCTGGGTCAGGTTTCTCCTCCTTCACCTCGTGCCCCTCGTCACCCCCTCCATCTGCCGCTCCTTTGCTCTCCGCATCAAACCCACCAGCACCAACATCACCAGCAGCGGCATCACCAGCACCAATACCTGCACCATCACCACCAGCAGCAGCAGTATCTGTGCTGCGCACTGTAATGACCTGGTCGGGCAAGTCAGATCTAGCAGCAGCGTCAAAGTCACCATCATCATGCACTCTGTTCCGGATCCTATGACCAACCTCCCCTCCTTCTCCCACCCCTCCTCCCACCCCTCCTTCTCCCACCCCTCCTCCTCCCACCCCTCCTCCTGGCAGCCCTCCTCCTGGCAGCCCTCCATGAAACCTAAGCGTTCCTGCTCCACTCGCTGCTCCTTCACTCATTCCGTCTCCTCCTGCAACCGCACCTGTGCCAGCCCCAGTACCATCACCATCACCAGCACCACCACTTGCATCTGTCGTTACTTCCTGCTGCTGCTGCCCCCTTCTCTTTCTCCGCTTCATCTTCCCTTTCCTGCCCTTCTTCCTCATCCCTACCCCTGCCCCCATACCATCGACATCAGCACCACCACTCCCACTTTCCCCTAACCCTGTCGTTTCATCAGACCCTGCCAGTCCACTCCCCACTTTCCCCACTAACACTTCTCTTCCTCCCCTTCCTGCCCTTCCTCTTCTTCCTTCCCTTTCGCCTCACCTGCAGAAGCCTTCTCCTCAAACCCCCAACCACTTCCTCCCCATCCCCTCCCACCATTTCCGCTACAGCTTCTGACACCCCTCCCACCTGATTCTCAACAACTTCATCATCCTCACCCTCCTCTTCCTCCTCTCTCCTCTTCCTCCTCACTCTCCCTCCTCTCCCTCATCACCAGCACCAACTTCTTCTTCCTCCTCCTCATCCTCTCCCTCACCACCACCCTCCCCCAGCAGCCGTCTCCTAGCCACCTGGAACTGTCTCAGTTGCTGCATTCTCCCTGAATACGGCCCCACCTCCACTTCTGGGTACTGCACCTGCTGCAAACTCACCCCTCCCTGCCCTCCCTGCCCTCCCTGCCCTCCCTGCCCTCCCTGCCCTCCCTGCCCTCCCTGCCCTCCCTGCCCCCCTTTCCCGCCCTGCCCTTCCTGATCCTGCTGCCACAGCACCACATCCCCCGGCTGTGCCCGCTGTCTCAGTCTCTCCCTCATTGCCTCCACCTCATTCAACGACTGCACCACCTTCTGCTCCCCTCCGCCTCCCATCTGCCCCTCTCCCTGCCCCTGTGCCTGTCCCTGCACGCTCAGCCCGCCCTGCCCTTCCTGGTCCTGCCGCCACAGCACCACATCCCCCGGCTGTGCCCGCTGTCTCAGTCTCTCTCTCATAGCCTCCACCTCACTCAACGGCCGAACCACCTGCTCCCCTCCGCCCCCCATCTGCCCCTGTCCTTGCACATGCTCCTGCGCTTGTATATGATCGTTCCTCTCCATCTGATGCATACGCATACGCTCACGATGCTCATGCATATGCGCACGCTCTCGCTCACGCCAATGCTCGTGCCCATGCCCATGCCCATGCCTATGCTTTACCTTCTCGAAATGGTTCACTACAGCATTTCTCAGTGACTGTTGCAATACACTCAGCCCCTCGTCCCCTCCACCTCCTCCCTGAGCCTCTCTATCCCTCCGCCTCTGCAGCACCGTCCCTGCTGCTGCTGCTGCTGCTGCCACTGCTGCTGCAGCCGCTGCTGCAGCTGCTGCTTCCGCCTCTGCAGCCGCCACTGCCGCCGCTGCTTCAGCTCCCATGCCCCCAGCATCTGCCCTGTCCCATCCCACGCTTCCACAGGCAGGAAACTAAACACCGTATGCACCTCCTCAGACACCTCCCCTCTGGAAATAAACGATGCGCCTCCATCAGTTACTATCGGAACCGCGTCTCCCCCAGGGAGAAACAGATAAGCCCCGCTCCGGCCCGTATACACTGCATATTGCTCGTCTACAATGGTGTCCCTGATGATTCTCCTGTGCTGGATATTCTTCATGAGTCCACTCGCAGCGTAGAACCTGACCCGCTGCTCGTGGTTCCCGATTGAAAATGTGTCGTCCTCCTTTGGGTCGTGCACCGTGCAGTTATACGGCTTCGGGCAGACGAAACCCGCGGGCGGGTTGGAAACTTCGATGCGCGAAAGCTCTGCTGCCGGGCAGTTGGGCAAAGTTTCGGGCGGGCCGACCACAAATGTTTGGAGGCCGAGAGCGGGCACTGTGGCTACCCAAAACAACCTGTGCCTACCCGTTGAGACAGAAAGCGGGGTAGCAGACACAGCTGCAGCATCTGTCGCTGTGGCAGCAGCAGCGGCGGCAGAGTCAGTTGGGAGAGTGCTGTTACTGGTTGTGGTGGTAGAGGAGGCGTTTTGGGGAGGCTTGGGAGTGAAGGTTGGCGGGTTGACCCACTCTGGCATGACCTGGGCTGGCAGGCACGTGCCCTTGGGGCTGAGCACTGCGACGAGAGGGATTTCCACCACCACGGAGATGACCTGCGATATAAAAGGGACAGGGGTGGGGGAGTGGGGAAGAGGAGATGGGGGGAAAGGGGCGATATAAGCTGGCCAGGAGCGAATACAGAAACAGAGGAACTTAGAGAAACAAGAAAAACACCGTCCCTGCTCTCTGCTCCCCTCGCTCACCTGCTTCACATCCTCCTTCAGCGGGTTATACACCACAACACGCCGCACAGTGCCTGCTCTCTGACCGCTCCCATCTCATCTTCCCTCTCACCTGCTACCCTCCCACATGTCCCCCTCCCACATGTCCCCCTCCCACATGTCCCCCTCCCACATGTCCCCCTCCCACATGTCCCCCTCCCACATGTCCCCCTCCCACATGTCCCCCTCCCACATGTCCCCCTCCCACATGTCCCCCTCCCACATGTCCCCCTCCCACATGTCCCCCTCCCACATGTCCCCCTCCCACATGTCCCCCTTCCACATGTCCCCCTCCCACATGTTCCCCTCGCTCACCTGCTTCACCTCCTCCTCCAGCGGGTTATACACCACAACGCGCCGCACAGTGCCACCCGCCCCTCCCTCCTCCTGCACCTCTAGCCCCCTCTGCTCCGTGCCTGGCTGCTCCCCTGCTTTCACCTCCAGAACACGCCGCCTGGCCCCCACGCCTTCCCCAGTCCCACCTTCCCCAGTCCCACCTTCCCCAGTCCCACCTTCCCCAGTCCCACCTGCCCCCGCGCCCCTCTCTTCTCCCTCTCCTCCACCGCCCACCCCAGCGGACCCGGGAGTGGAGGAGGCGGTGTGGGGGGAGGAAGCGGGGAAGGAGAGGGGGAGGTGGGAGGGGAGGATGTGTTGCTGCGTGCGGTGCTGCTCTGGGCGCAGCTGTACGGGCGACTTCTCAGGGTCCTGCGTGGGCGAGTCTGATAGCAGCGCCACCACCGCCGCACACATCAGGTCCTGTCAGAGAGATGGAGGATAGACGAGGAAAGAACGGAAGAAAAAGACTATGAGGATGAGTGGGCACAGAGGGCGGGAAGAGGGGAAGAAGAAGGGCAGGATGTGCTGCTGCGTGGGCGAGTCTGACAGCAGAGCCACCACCGCCGCACACATCAGGTCCTGCCGGGCAGAAGAAGAGAGCAATGACGGGCATACATTAAGGTCGTTAAGGGAGCTGTATGCATGCACAAGCACGGGGGTCCGTGGGTGGACGTTGTTCAGCCGATGTCTGGGCACCACAGAGCATTTGCTGAGCAGAGCACAGGCCAGTGCCATGTGCCCTGCCCTGTATGATCCCACAGGGTCTCTTCTTAGAAATTGGAACAGGGGGCCTGCTTGCCGGTGCTCTCAGCGGCACATACAACAAGGTCGTCATGAGCATCGTGAGCAGTGTACATGCGCAGCCCACAGTCCACCACCACGGGGTCCCAGCCTGGAAGCCGATTCAGAAGTCTGTGTGCGTGTGTGGAGGAGGGCACTTGCCTGTGCCCTAGCACATGGAGACCATTTAGAGCAGTGTGGCACGTACATTGAGGTCGCTAAGAGCAGTGTGGCACGTACATTGAGGTCGCTAAGAGCAGTGTGGCACGTACATTGAGGTCGCTAAGAGCAGTGTGGCACGTACATTGAGGTCGCTAAGAGCAGTGTGGCACGTACATTGAGGTCATTGAGAGCGGTGTGCATGCGCAGCCCATAGTCCACCACCACGGGGTCCCGCGCCGTGCCAGTGATGCCGTCGTGGTGTTGAAACAGCGCCAGGTTGCGCCTCGCCCTTACTAGCCGCTCTGCGAAACTGGTGAAGGAAGAGGAAGAGAAGAGGGGGACAGGGCCAGTGTTATTGTGCCTAAGACGCCCCTGTGATGCCGTCGTGGTGTTGAAACAGCGCCAGGTTGCGCCGCGCCCGAACCAGCCGCTCTGCGAAGCTGGGGGGGGGGGGGGGAGGGGGGGACGGGAAAGGGGCAGGGTTGGTGCCATGGTGCCTCAAACAAGACGTGCCTGTGATGCCGTCGTGGTGCTGAAACAGCGAAAGGTTGCGCCACGCCCGCACCAGCCGCTCTGCGAAATTGGTACGAGGTGGGGGGGGAACAAACAGGAAGAATGAGAAAAGCGAGGTTGATTCTGACATGTGCCTGCAGTGAACATGTGCCTGCAGTGCCTCTGAGTCAATTCTGACTCGATCCAGATTTTAACGTCGATCCAAATTTATGCCGAGCACTCACTTGAGCGGGAACAGCAGATGCCTAAAGTTGTCCTCCCCACGCTGCCCTCCGCCCACCCCCTTCCCTCCCCCCTTCCCCATCCACTCCGCCTGCTCTGCCAACCTCTCCATCACCTCCCCCACCTCTCCCCCTCCCCCACTCCCCCTCCCCAGCATCCGCGCCATCAGCCCCCCCCCTCCGCCACCCCCTCTAGCCTGCAGCTGGGACCAGGTCAGAGCAAAGAGGATATCTGCTGCTCGCACCGCAGACTCTAGCACTCGGTCTACGGCCTTCCAGAACGGACGAGAGGTGTAATACCCGCTCCAGTAGTCTTGCTCTCGGTCCGCGTATGTGAAGAAGTCACCAGAGAGAGAGGGCAGGTTCGGACGGAGAGAGGGCGGGAGGGAGTAGAGGTGGGCAGAGAGGGCGGCGGGGTGAGAGGCAGGGAGGGAGGAGGGGAGGGAGGAGGAGTGGGAAGGGTGTGTGGAGAGAAGGTGGCGGGTGGAGAGGGTGGGCTCGGATGGGCGTTCGTAAGAGGTGAACACCGGGTTCTCCGATGGCAGGTCCTGCTGGGCCTCATTAAGGGACACCTCGTTAACAGCAGTCGCCTCATTAACAGCACTAGCCTCGTTAACAGCGCCCTTGCTGTGAAGAGTAGCGTCTCTAACAGCGGCCTCTCGGACAGCGTTGAAATAGTCTCCCAGGGTGCCGAAGCTGGCGTTGACTCTTAGGTGCGGGTGGGAGTTGAAGTAGTCAAAGAGCAGCTCGTAGTTGGTGAACTGCGCTTGGGCCTCCCGCATGGTTGGATACCTGAAGTCGTCGCCCAGAGGGACCAGCACGACTTTGGAACGATAGAGGAGAGATTTCTTGCGCCACTGCATGCAGGCAGCAGGGGGTGGGGAAGGGGAAAAACCAGCAGTTGAAGGGAAGTGGAGTTGAAATGATCGAAGAGCAGCTCGTAGTTGGTGAACTGGGCTTGGGCCTCCCTCATTGTGGGGTAGAGGAAATCGTCGCCCAGAGGGACCAGCACCACCTTGGAGCGATACAGAAGGGATTTCTTGCGCCACTGGTGGGACAGAGCGGTGGAGGACAGGGAAGGGGTGGGAGGCAGGGGAGAGAAGGGACGTTGAAATAGTCTCCCAGGGTGCTGAAGCTGGCGTTGGCTCGCAGGTGCAGGCAGGAACTGAGGAAGTCAAAGTTGGTGGTTGCCGTCTTCACCACGCTCTGTTCTGAGGTGGAGTGCCCCTGGGGCAGGACTGCTCGGCGCCAGCCATGCGTGCAAAGTCAAACCGGCAGCAGACAGACAGACGGACTTCTGGACAGACGGACAGACAAACAGACAGACAGACAGGCACAAGGGAGAGCCTCACCTGGTCGAGGATGGTCGCTGCCCTCTCAGCCACGTTCTGAGGTGTGATGTCCACAGCAGGCGCGCCCCAGGGGAACGAGTGAAAGCCACCAGCCAGCCATGCGTGCAACCAAAGTCAAACTGGCAAAACTCAAACAGATGGGCACAAGAGCGAGCCTCACCTGGTCCAGGATGGTGGCAGCTCTCTCTGCCACGTTCTGAGGTGTGATGTCCACAGCAGGCGTGCCCCAGGGGCAGGAGTGCTCAGATGAACGGGCAGCACAGTGTCCGTGAGAGCTGAAGACCGACAGACCGACAGACAGACAGACCGACAGATGGACAGAGATGCACAAGGGAGAGCCTAACCTGATCCAGAATGGTCGCTGCCCTCTCTGCCACGTTCTGAGGCGTGATGTCCACAGCAGGAGTGCCCCAGGGGCAGGAGTGCTCGCCCGTAGCCGTGCGAGCAAAGTCAAACTGGCAGCACACAGATGGACGGACAGAAGGACAGACGGACAGACAGACAGACAGGCACAGGGGAAAGCCTAACCTGGTCCAGGATGGTCGCTGCCCTCTCCGCCACGTTCTGAGGTGTGATATCCACAGCAGGCGTGCCCCAGGGGCAGGAGTACTCGCCACCAGCCAGCCATGCATGCAACCAAAGTCAAACTGGCAATACTCAAACAGATGGGCACAAGGGCGAGCCTCACCTGGTCCAGGATGGTGGCAGCTCTCTCCGCCACGTTCTGAGGTGTGATGTCCACAGCAGGCGTGCCCCAGGGGCAGGAGTGCTCGCCACCAGCCATGTGTGTGATCTCAGATTGGAAACACACAGAGAGGGAGACGGACAGGCAGGTACAGGGGGAAGCTTCACCTGGTCGAGAATGGTCGCTGCCCTCTCTGCCACGTTCTGAGGTGTGATGTCCACAGCAGGGGTGCCCCAGGGGCAGGAGTGCTCGCTGGTAGCCGTGCGTGCAAAGTCAAACTGGCAGCAGATGGAGGGGTCAGGCCCGCACGTGTGTGGTATGTCATACGAGTAGAACGGCATCATATGGCACAGAATATCCGTCTTCCCCGCTGCTCTCGCTGCTCCTGCTGCTCCTGCTGAACCTTCTACACCCTCTGCTGCTGCTCCGCCTGCTGCTGCTCTGCTGCATCTACCTTGTTGCCCACCCCTGCTTCTCCACCCCCCTGCTCCCCCCCTCCCCCCCCTCCCTCCCCTCCCTCCCCCAGGCCCGCCTTCCCGCCGCTCTTATCCCACGCCTGGCGCCAGTAAAACTCTAAGTGCCGGCGCTTAGCTAAGACCTTCTTAACCTCGTAGTGCACGCGCTGAATGAGCATGTTGTGGAAGCCGGACTGGTGCAGCAGGTAGGGCATGGTGGCACTGTAGCCGAAGGGGTCGATGGACCATGAATTGGTGGGTACCACCCCCACTGCATCGTGCAGCCACGTGTTGCCCTCCGTTATCTGGGGAGAGGGGGTGGGGTAGGGAGGGGCGGGGAATGCCAATGAAGTGTGCGTGTGAAGGAGCGGCACAGCAGGTAGGGCATGGTGGCGCTGTAGCCGAAGGGGTCGATGGGCCATGAGTTGGTGGGTACCACCCCCACTGCATCGTGCAGCCACGTGTTGCCCTCCGTTATCTGAGTTAAGAGAGGGGCAGGGGTGAGTAAGGGGGGAGGAGGGGAGGGAGATGAGATGATGGACCATGAGTTGGTGGGTACTACCCCCACTGCATCGTGCAGCCACGTGTTGCCCTCCGTTATCTGGGGTAACAGGGATGGTGGGGTGGGTAGGTGGGAGAGGGGGAGAAGGGGGAAGGGAGGCGAAAAGAAGGGGGGTGTGGGAGGGGAGGAAAGGTGAGGGAACAGGCCAGAGAAGGTTGGAGCAAGAGATGATTCTTGCTGCGCCTCAAAGAGCGCTGGAGAAGTTAGGACGCGGTGGATTGTGCTGTAGCCAGACTCCAGAGGGGTTGAGGGAAGGGATTAGGGTAGTGGCTTTGGTGGCGTGGCATGATGGATGGATCCAGTGATGCAAGGCAAGGCAATTGTGAAAAAGAAAGGGGCGACTGGGAAGTGCTGCACTGGCCTAGAGTCGCATTCAACCAGGAATGGGACGGAAAATGCACGGGCGTAGAAAAATGAGGATGACTGATTAAGGAGAAACTGAGTGTGGCATGATGTGAAGAGATTTCTGGCTGGGACTGAGAAATCGCGAGGAAGTGCATAGGAGGAAGTCAAGGGGAGGGAAGGAAAGAGGAGATAAAGGTAGGGGCAGGGCGGGGAAGGGAGGAAAAGGGAATTACCTGTTCCAGGATGGCGAAGTAATGAGAGTTTGCCTGCACACACAAGCACACATATGGACAGGACAGATAGGGAGGGGACGCCGGTCTGAGGTTACACACTGGGAGTCGGATATGGGACACCGGCCATTGGGGCATGGGATGGGCCATTGAGAGTGGCTCGGGCCATGGGGCAGGGCATGCATGAGCATGCAGCATGGGTGGGGTATGGGGCACATAGCATGGGGCATGGGGAATGGGGCACATAGCATGGGGCATGGGGAATGAGGCACATAGCATGGGGCATGGGGAATGGGGCGTGGGGCATGGGTCATGGAGCACAGAGCACGAAGCATGGGAAATGGGGCGTGGGGCATGGGGCATGGGCAATTGCTAAAAGGTAGAGAGCATTGGTGACCCATCCCCTCGCCACATCCCCTTGTCCCATCGTTCATGGCCCATCCCCACATGACCTCACATTTCCACCCCACCTCATCGTTCATGACCCATCCTCCCCCAACGATCCCAAGCTGTCCGTTGTGCAGCAGCGCCTTGAGCTTGCCCTTCATCTCCTCACTCGCGTCAATCCCACCCCATCCACCGCACTCTATCGTTCATGACCCATCGCCACCTCACCTCGTCGTTCATAACCCATCCGCCGCCGACGATCTCAAGCTGTCCGTTGTGCAGGAGCGCCTTGAGCTTGCCCTTCATCTCCTCACTCGCGTCCATCCACCACCGCGACAGGTACGACATCTCCCAGCGTTCATGACCCATCCCCCCACCCACCTACCTCGTCGTTCATGACCCATCCACACCCACTCACCTCATCGTTCATGACCCATCTCCACCGCACCTCATCGTTCATAACCCATCCCCACCGCACCTCATCGTTCATGACCCATCCGCCGCCCACGATCTCGAGCTGTCCGTTCTGCAGGAGCGCCTTGAGCTTGCCCTTCATCTCCTCACTCGCGTCCATCCACCACCGCGACAGGTACGACATCTCCTCCCATATGAACTTGCGAGTCGGTTTCTAAAGGGGATGAGTTTCAACAGGGAGCGAAAAAGACAGGAGCTTTAGGGAAGGGAGTAACCAGAATGGAACAACAACCAAGCTTACTTCCTTCCTGCACTGCACTTGAGCTGAAATGAACCACACCAAGCATCCTTACTAATAGAAAATACTCGTTATAGTCACACCTCGGAGAGGGAGTTGACGATGGTATCAATGATGCCGCGCGTGCTCGACCTGTAATACTGCTCCACTGTCTCCAGCCAACCAGGGTCGTTGTGGGAGTGCGGCACCACCAGCACTCGCAATGGCTCCTCGTCCCACTCATGCCCCGTGTATTCCAGGGGGAAACCCTGTCAGGAAACGAATGAAGCGACACAAAAAGACAGGTGTTAAGGCGCCTCTGCAGCCAGCCAGGGTGGTTGTGGGAGTGCGGCGCCACCAGCACTCGCAACGGCTCCTCGTCCCCCTCGTGCCCTGTGTACTCCAGGGGGAAACCCTGGAAGGAAGCCAATGAAGCGACACAGACAGATAGGTTATAAGGCGCCTATGCAACCAGCCACCAGCAGCACCACCAGCACACGCAACGGCTCCTCGTCCCACTCGTGCCCTGTGTACTCTAGAGGGAAACTCTGTCACACGACGACACATACAGGCCACACACAGATGCTTTGTTTTAGGCCCTCTACCCCACAGTCCCTATCCAGCCAGGGTCGTTGTGGGAGGGTAGCATCACCAGCACTCGCAACGGCTCCTCGTCCCACTCGTGCCCTGTGTACTCGAGAGGGAAACCCTGTCACACGACACATACAGGCCACAGACAAATGCTTTGTTTGAGGCCCTTAAATATCCCCCACAGTCCCCACCCAGTCAGGGTCATTGTGGGAGTGCGGCACCACAACCACTCGCAACGGCTCCTCGTTGTCCCACTCGTGCCCAGTATACTCCAGGGGGAAACCTTGCAAGGAAGCCAATGAAGCGACACAGATATTCAGATGATTTGTTCACATTTTGCATCCTGCACAGCACCCACCTACCCACCTCCCTCCCACCCCCCTCCCAATCGCCTCCCAAAAAGCACAAGCTTTCTCACCGACATGCAACGAAAGGACTCAGCCAATCCAAGGACACAAACTTGCACAATCAACAACCCACCCAACCAACCCAGCCCACCCAACCCACCCACCTGCGTCCACACGCCTCCCGGAAGGTTCTCGAACGCGATCTCGTCGTACAGAGCCTTGGTGGTGACGTCAGCGGTGGGCTCGTCAGCCAATGCGGGGTCGCCAGGTACGCGCTCCACGTCACTGCCGCCCAATAGGAAGGACCACACGCGGAGAGGGGGGCTGTCCACCTCCCGACCTGATAGAATGGGAGGAGTTGGGAGCGGTGAAACAAGCGGGTCGGGAATGATGTCATCGAATCTGAAGATGCAACAAATAAGAAGGCTTCGGTTTTATCCAGGCTCAAATTCAATTCTTTGCTAAGGAAAAGGTACAGGGGGGACGGTTTGCAATTAGAGACGATTCGCCATGGATTTACTTGGGGTGCGAAAAAGTGAGGTGGAAATGGTGTGAATAAGCTTGGACACAAGTGTGGTGATGAGACGGAAACGGTGACGTTATGCTACTGCTCGCCACTCTTATTCAATCTTATCTGGCCGAAAATGGCGGCAGACCCTGATATACGTTTAGATCATCCAACTAAATGAGTCGAAAAAACAGCTAAAAAGCGAGTCGCGATCATGCATGAAAGCACGCATGCAGCTAACAGAGTGGAGGCGTGCATGAAACTTAAAGCGAGCGTTTGACCTGCGAGATTCATGACGAGGAGGTTATATCCCGCCACGAGCGCGATGCAGATCAGCCAAAATCGCTTGCTCCGTGCCACGTGGCTGAATTGAAACAGCGACGATCGCTCGCCATGACCCTGGCCCGCAGCGCCAGCTGTGCGGCGCCGATTCCGTCTAGATATCACCATGATTGAGCTACGTGATGGTCGACGGAACAACGCATTAGAATGACATCGGGCTTATCTTAGAATGACGGACAATGCCAACCACTAATTTCTGGTCCACCCAATTCTCGTCTCGACATTCTCAAGGTTGATATGGTTGGTGCGTGCAAGGTTGCAACCAACACATTTCGTACAAGAACGAGCACTGCACTGCACTGTACAAGAATGAGCCGAAGATAAGGGCAAGTGCGCCGAAGAAGCGCGGAGGGGGAGGGATAGTGGGAGGGAGGGCGGGGAGGTGGTGGGATCGGGGCACACTCAGATCAAGGGGGAGTGGGGGTGGGTGGTGGGAGGCTGGGGAAGATGGGGGAGTAGTGGGGAAACTGGGGGAACGGGGGGATTTACAGCAGCTGTCGCGGAACCTAGAGTGTTTCGTACAGCTGCACGTGCCGTCGATTACAATTATCCGAAATTGTGACTGCCGTAGGATCCTGCTTCTGAGCATACAACCAGAGCACGTTTAGGTACGGGCAGGGTGGGAAGCACTTGTGGAGGCTGGGATGGGGGAGGCTTTGCGTGAACCTGTTTCCGATTGAGTGAACATGTGATTTCTTACAATTCATGTTTAGCCCCTTGTTTGAAACATCTTTTTACAAACGAAGCATCGCATAAAGAACCTTGCCTGGTGTGGAGTACAGTCGATGCTCAGCCTATCACAAACATTTGCTAATCACAATTAGAAAATCAGTCACTCGCGAACGTTTTGCCTGTGAGTGGTGATTGTGCTGATTTCGGGGTACAGTCACCAAGTCGAGGAAGAAAAACATCTACAGTTCATAAACAACAACGGCTGCCTGTCATCAGAATTGTTTACCTGGTTACGAACTTAAAACCCTAGACTCGTTTCGCATACCAATTTCATTTTACAATCACATTTTTGCCCGTGGCGACAAGGGCGAATGTGGCGAAAAACCCAAAACTCGTTTCACTCACATGCCGCCCGCCTACCTGGTGTTCTTGAAATGAGCACCGACTGTACCGTGGGGCCCTGAACCGGTTGATTGGTCATCAGATTTCATCGGCCAGACGAAAGAGCGCAGGTGGTTATTCTTGACACGATTTCCGTCAAGCCGCTGTGGGTGCATATTCGTCAGTTCCGTCAATCGTGACGTGACTTAGACATCACATCACTACATAGTTCCAACATGTTTTCCAGCTTCCTTTACTAATATCCGTTTGCCGTATGCGCTGCTTCGTAATGGGAGCGGAGATGAAGCATCCAGCTTAGCAAGCGATAAACTGGTATCGTGATTTTGGTCACTTTTCTGTGATCCCCGTTGCATATGCTTTAGCACCCATCTCGGCATCAGCGTCGTTTCAATACCGAGGCGGCCAGTTTTGAGACGTCTCAAAAGGCGGCCAGAGCCCCATATCACTAACGGCCGGCATCTCGCTCGCGAATAACTCTATTCTAAGTAGGCCTACCACGGTCATACTCTTGTTTACGCGGTAGTAGTTCGGTCTCGGTCCTGACCGGTTCTTCGCGGTACCTTTGGTTGACGAATGCGCTTCAGCGACTGGTCGACGCCAGGGGAGCCGGCTGGCGCATCAGAGTCGTATTTCAGGCTAGCGTTTCCTTGCTTGTAGGGCTACGGTTCTGACCGGTTCTTGGCGATTTGAAGGTTCACGTTACATGTGCTTGGACGGCATGTCGCTTCGTCGAACCTTCCAACGATTTGTGCAGAGTGAGTGGCGATTTTGAGTGGTGTGTGGTTAGTGCGTGGGTGGTGTGTGGGTGGTGTGTGGGTGGTGTGTGGGTGGTGTGTGTGTGGCGTCTGGGTGAGTTGGTGAAAGTGAGCGGCCGGAAGTGAGTATACTACCACGCCTCACCCGACGTCCTTCTTTTTTTCTTTTGCAGAGAGAAAACCGTCAGCAGGGTCGTCTCCCCTTATGAAACCCGTGGGGCCGAACCACATTCCTGCCTCGCTAGTCGCTAGACCAGTGGATCGAGATCACGCTTGCCCCTACCACAAGTCACCCGTCCCTCCTCGTCTCCTTCCTCCTTTCCTCATGGCAGAGAAAAAGCCCTCCGCAGGGGGGATCCCCGTATGAAGCCTGTGGGGCCGAACGGGGCCCTGCTTCACTACACGGGGGATGAGCTCGCCGCAGCTCCTACCACGACTTACCCCTTCCCCCCCCCGTGTTCATCCTCCTTCCGTCGTCCTTCCCTGTCGTCCTTCTTTTTCCTTTTGCAGAAAAGGAGCCGTCCGCAGGGGCGTATCTGCTTATGAAGCCCGTGGGGCCGGACGGGGCCCAGCCACACTACACGCAGGAAGAGCTCGCCGCCCCTATTACGACTCACCCCGTCTCTCCTCGTCTTCTTCCTCCCCTGCCCCCGTCCTTCCCTATCCATCCCCCTACTGCAGAAAAGAAGCCGTCTGCAGGGGCGTATCCGCTTATGAAACCCGTGGGGCCAGACGGGGTCCTGCCTCACTACACGCGGGAAGAGCTTGCCGTAGCCCATATCACGTCTCACCCTGTCCCTTCTCGTCTTCTTCGTCCTTCATTCATCCTTCCTGGCCTTCCTTCTTTTTCCTTTGGCAGAGAAGAAGCCATCCGCAGGGGCTTATCCGCTCATGAAGCCCGTGGGACCGGACGGGGCCCTGCCTCACTGCAGGAGAGCTTCACACAGCCTCTACCACGTCTCACCCCGTCCCTCCTCGTCCTCTTCCTCCTTTCTTCCCCATGGCAGAGAAGAAGCCGTCCGCAGGGGCATATCCGCTCATGAAGCCCGTGGGACCGGACGGGGCCCTGCCTCACTACACCAAGGAAGAGCTTACCGCGGTTACCAGCAACTGGACGCAGAAAATCGGGGAAGGGGGTTTCGGGACTGTTTATAAAGGGTACCTGCGAAGTGACAGTAGTAGCCGCGTTGGCGGCATTAGCAGCAGCAACAGTAGCAGCAATGGGAAGAGTGGCAGTGTTGGGAATAGTGGGGGATCTGGTGGTGGGGGGGATGGGGGAGAGGGGGGAGAGGGAGGGGAGGTGCTGGTGCCGGTTGCTGTGAAGATGTGCACGAGTGGGATCAAGGACAGCGGCAGGGAGCAGCTCATGGTGAGTGCAATGCGGTAATGAGCGGTGGTAAGAGTTGGGTTGCAGGAGGGGAAGGGCGGGTGCTGCTGGTGCCAGTGGCTGTGAAGATGTGCACGAGTGGGATCAAGGACAGCGGCAGAGAGCAGCTCATGGTGAGTGCAGTGCGGTAATGAGCGGTGGTAAGCGGTGGGTTGCAGGAGGGCAAGGGAGGGTGCTGCTGGTTCTGGTGGCTGTGAAGATGTGCACGAGTGGGATCAAGGACAGCGGCAGGGAGCAGCTCATGGTGCGTGCAATGCACTACTGGTGATGACGGCAGTGCAGCACTCATACATCCTCAGGCTGTTGGGTGTGGCCACGTTGGGAGAGACGCTCAAGCCTGCTTTGCCGGGTGACTCAAACCCCCATCGCATCCCATCCCTTCTCACCCCTTTCCACCCCTTTCCATCACCCTATACTGCAGACGGAGGTGATGGTGATGACGGCGGTGCAGCATCCGTATATCCTCAGGCTGCTGGGGGTGGCCGCTGAAGCCTGCTTCAGGGTTGAAACCACCCCACGCCACACCGCACCCCATCCCTTCCCATCCCTTCCCACCCACCCCTTCCCATCCCGCAGACGGAGGTGATGGTGATGACGGCAGTGCAACATCCGTACATCCTCAGGCTACTGGGAGTGGCCACTCTGGGAGAGACGCTGGCCATGGTGTCTGAGTTTGTGCCACACGGGGACGTTGACCTGCTGCTGGAGAGAGGTGAGTGTGACGAGGGGTGTGAGGGGTGGTTAAAGAACCATGCACGTACACATGGGAACGCTCGCCATGGTGTCGGAGTTTGTGCCACACGGGGACCTTGACTTGCTGTTGGAGAGAGGTGAGATGAAGCATGCACCATGTGTGTGAGGACGGGAGCACTATGTGCGTCTCATGTGAGCGTTGGGAGAGACACTGGCCACGCTGGGAGAGACGCTCGCCATAGTGTCGGAGTTTGTGCCACACGGGGACCTTGACCTGCTGCTGGAGCGAGGTGAGTGTGGGGAGAGGTGCATAAGGTGAAGGGAGAGTGAAGCACTGGGAGCGTTTACCAAGGCTGTAGGTGCATTGCGTGTCAGCGCTGGGAGAACTTTTGAGGCGCCTCAAAAGTCGTTTACCAAGGCTGTGGGAGCATTGCGTGTCAGTGCTGGGAGACACGCTCGCCGTGGTGTCTGAGTTTGTGCCCCACGGGGACGTCGACCTGCTGCTGCTGGAGCGAGGTGAGGAAGGCGAGAGGTGAGAGGAGCACAATGCGCGCATGCATGTGAATGCTGGGAGGAGATACACTGGCCACGCTGGGAGGAGAGACACTGGCTATGGCGTCTAGAGTTTGTGTCCAAACGGGGACGTTCACCTGCTGGAGAGAGGCGAGTGGAGTGAGAGAGTTGAGCAAAGCACTATGTGCAGTGCGCATCAGGACGGATTCCTTTGACTGGACGGCCAGAATGGTGCTGGCAAAGCAGGTGGGGGAGGCACTGGTGGCGAGACTGCTGCTGGTGGCGCAGAGCAGGAGAGCTCAAGCTGGACCACTCCCCCTTTACTCCCACTCCCACGCGCCCGCCCTTCCCTCCCCTCCACCACCTGCAGTGCGCAACAGGACGGATTCCTTTGACTGGACGGCCAGAATGGTGCTGACGGAGCAGGTGGGGGAGGGAGGGAGGCGAGAGGGACGGGTGAACTCAAAGCCGGACCATTCTTGTTGCTTCCTATCCCACGCACCTGCCTCCCTCTGCCCGCAGTGCGCAACCGGACGGACTCGTTTGATTGGAATGCAAGAATGGTGCTGGCAGAGCAGGTGGGGAAGGCGCCTGACTGAAGACTCTTCCTTCCTCCGCTCTCCCTTTCCCTCTGCTCTGCCTGCAGTGCGCAACAGGACGGACTCGTTTGACTGGACGGCCAGGATGGTGCTGGCGGAGCAGGTGGGGGAGGCACTGGTGTTCATTCACAGCAAGGGGTACATTCACCGCGACTTCAAGGCCGCTAATGTGCTATTGGGAGAGGTATGACCGTAGCGGTGTGACTGCAGGGTGCTGTGATGGGACAGGGCATGGCTGTAGTGGCAGAGCAGGTGGGGGAGGCGATGGTGTTTATCCACAGCAAGGGGTACATTCACCGCGACTTCAAGGCTGCAAATGTGTTACTGGCAGAGGTGAGTGTAGGGTGTTGTGTGGTGAAGTGTGGTGGTTTGTGGTGGAAGTGGATTGAGGGATCAGAGATTCAGAGGTGTTGAGCCAGCCACCTAGGAGCGCTGGTGCTCACTCATAGCAAGGGGTACATGCACCGCGACTTTAAGGCTGCTAATGTGTTACTGGCAGAGGTGGGTGTGGCGCTGTAGGGCTGACGTGGGGTGGCCATGGAACGATGATGGTCGATCATGGGTTTTGGGGTGTACCTTAGGGTACCTTAGGGTACCTTAGGGTGCTCGGGTCCATCCTCAACCTTACGCCAAGGACGCCAAGGGTAACTTGCATGCTAAACCTTACCCTCGCCAAGGACGCCAAGGGTAACTTGCTCAACCTTACCCTCGCCAAGGACGCCAAGGGTAACTTGCTCAACCTTACCCTTGGCATCCACAGCTCTGCACTGTTCTTTTTGCCAGCGCGTCCCTGCCCCTCTGCCGCTGCCCTTCCTACCCTCCCAGGGCCTGGTGCCCAAGGTGGCAGATTTTGGGATGGCGAGGTTGATAGATGACTGGAAGACAGCCCATTCTGCCCTTGCTGCTCATGCCTCACTACCCCCCCTGCTCACCCCCCTCTGCTGCTGCTCTCCCTGCCCTGCTAGGGTATGGTGCCCAAGGTGGCGGACTTTGGAATGGCACGGCTGATAGATGACTGGAAGACACATGTCACGACGCGAGTGGGCGGCTCTCAGGGCTACATCGACCCCAACTACTTGTCCACTGGTGCGAGCTGTCCGTTTTCTCGGTGTTTTGAGGCGAATTATGAGGGCTTTTGAGGTGCTTCGAAGGTTTTTTTTAGACGAACGAAGTGGGAATTCGAGTCAAGGTGTTTCAAATGGCTTCTGAGGCGCTTCAAGAGTGCTTTTGAGGCCTTTGACGCGCCTCGCAGGCCTCTCAGGGCTATATCGACTCCAACAACCTCCCCGCTGGTGCGTGCTGCCACTCCGCTCATGTCCAAGTCTTGAGGCGCCTCAAAAGGCTTTTGTGGCGCCTCAAAAGGCTTTTGTGGCGCCTCACAAGGCTTTTGTGGCGCCTCACAAGGGCTTCTGACGCGCCTCACTAGGGCTTTTGACGCGCCTCACACAGGCCTGGCAGGGCTACATGGACCCCAACTACTTGTCCAATGGTGTGTGCTGGCAGTCGTGTTGGGAGATTAGTGTCGACTCAAAAGCAACTTGCTGTATCAGACCCAGCTATTTCGCCACTGGTGTGTGCAGAGGCATGTGTGCAGTCATGTCTGGGCTTGGTTTGTATGTGGGCACTGCGGTGGTGCGTTTTCTGGTCCCAGTATTGCAGGACAATGTGTGTGTTGACTCTTACCACAAGGGGGAAATTTTTAGTTGCACAAATAAATAACTTGTTTCAGAAGGATTTATATGCTTTTTATCCTTTCCACCACTTTTCCTACTTGCTCCCTCCCTGTGTAATTCGCAGGGTTTCTCACCAACCATTGTGACACGTATGCGTTCGGCATTTTCCTTCTAGAGCTCATATCAGGGGAATGTGCAGAAGAGGACGGCTTTAAGCCGATAAGAGTGGCAGCAGAGGAGCGCTTAATACCGCTAGAGAAGCTCAAGAGGGTGGTGATGGACAAGACCATTGACGGGCAATGGTCTGAGGAGCATGTGCGGTCAGTGCTAAAACTTTTCCGGTTGGCGGTGTGCACCGATTGGGCGAACCGGCCGAAAATGGAGCAATTGGTTGGTAAGCTGAAGAAAGCGAGGGAAACTGCAGCCGGATCTAAAGATATGCAACATTAGCTTGCTAGACATTGGTTTCTTTCTCCTTTTTTCTCATGTATATGATATTGACTTGCAACGCTATCTTCATAAGCATTCAAAACGAGTACAGTCAGTGAGTCACCACCTGCCAGTGAAACATCTTGTAGCGGAAATTTCCCCGACATACAAATGTGACTGGTGTTGTTTGAAGACGCACATGTTCACAGATGAAACTTTTCATCGCCTTCAATATGTTCTGAAGACGGGCAGGCCCGCAGACAGACAGGGACAAATGAACCTTTTCGTGGTGAACACTTCACTGCACGTCCAGCGCCTGATCAGAGATGCTGGACATTTGCCGCTCTGAACCGTGGGAGAATCTACTTGGACACAAACTTACCGTGTACAACCTCTCAAACTCGAACTTAGCCACCTATAGTTGCTGGATGAAAGGGTAATTACCTACTGGGTAACACACATCGAGCCCGCTGACGTCCGCAGTACGCCACGTGGCTCGATGGTACCCATCAGATCTTCCGAACCCCTTCGTGGTACCCATTGTCCCTCCGTGGTACCCTTTGTCCCTACGTGGTCCCAGTCAACTCTCATCGATTTCCCTGACAGGTAGTTCAACCGAACTGTACACCGTACAAGTGTTTCAACGTGTTTTTCAGTATATTGTAGCAGCGTTTACAAACTCACAGGAGATAGAAACCCAAAATGCCACCAAATCGGGTCAATATGCCATACTAAAACATAATTAAAACAGAGTACTACAAACACTCCACAACAAAATTATAACAGGAAATAAAAAAAGCTCCACAAAAGTTTACAATCTCTAACTGAACATAAATACCATTGAATATGCATATTTGAACGTGCCTTACACTGGACAGAGTGCACCCTAAAAAAGAAATTATTTGGTTATTTGAACACAGTTTATAAGGCCGTATGCAAGTAAAATTAACATGTGCCCCCATAGCCAAATAGAAATGCATAAACAAATAATAATAAGACAGAAAAGGCAAAGAATTCAAAATTTTCTCAATCATGTTGCACAGAGTGTATAATACGATTGTTTGTTCACGAACACATATTTGTTTGTTTATTTTCCAGGTTTTTTTTGTTTGTTTTTGTTTGATGCATATTTGTTTTTGTTTGTTTTGATGTTTATATCATATTTACTTCATGCCATAACAACGTCATTTTGTGGATTTGTTTGATTTTAGAAAACCTACATAACGAATTTTTCCTTTAGGCATCCAGCTCTCTTTCGACACTATATTATAGTTAATGCGTTTGATGTATTGACTTCAATAATGTGGCGCTTCGAGCTTCTGACTCTATTGAGCTTGTATACGTTTGTACAATATACTGAAACATGCATTGAAACCCTCGTTGTACGGTGTACTGCTCGGTTGAAATGTTGCGGTACCAGTCAGGGAATTCGCGCACAGCTGATGGGTACCACGAAGGGAAGTTGGGTACCATGGAGGGAAGATAGGTACCACGAAGGGGCGCGCATGATCTGACGGGTACCATCGAGCCACGTAGGTGACTGCTGACGTCATTAGGCTCCATGTTGGTTACCCGGAAAGTAATTACCCCTGGATGAAATGGTGGTCTGGGGCGGGTGCAGCGCGTTCATTTGTACGGCAGTTTGTTTACTGATATCAGACAGTGCAGAACGTCCACCGTTTTGCACCGTTTTTAGTTTCCACTGTTCAGTTATCCATAAGAGTTTCAAGAGCCACGTTTCAGAACGACGATTGGGTGTCAGGTGATCAGTTTTCCCCTTAGTAGCTTTCCGCGCCGGTCCTAGCGCGGTCGTATCGCGCGGCGAGTACAGAGTGGTTAGAAGTACATTCCACATTGCAGCTTCTGAGTCGCTTCGAAACCACATTTCTCGGAAGCACAATTCGTAAGCATCAGGCCCCCGACTACGTTGCAGAAACATTACCGTTGAACGGCTCGTGCCGCTTCCGGTGGTAGATTCTAACTTATCGCAAAAGCGTCTCAAACCTCGCTCGGGTCGCCGTGGCGTGTTTCGGCGCCATGAAGTCGTTCGGCAAGATGATGAAGAGCATTGGGGTCAGCAAGAAAAGTGCGTGTACCTAAGAATGTACTAATTTATTATTCTTATTCCTTTTATTCTCAATGTCCTTCTGAGTCAGTGTAGTTAATGCTGAAGCTGATCGGGATTATACGCGATTGCTCTACCTTCCGCCGCTCTACATTTGCCCCCACCGCACCCAACCGCGCACTCCCCGCGCCCACTCCCCCCCGCACCCACTTCCCCCCGCGCCCACTTCCCCCTGCCCCCACTTCCCCTCCGCGCAGAGGAAAAGCCCGCGGCCCCCCACCCGGACTTAAAGCCCCTGGGGGGGACAGCACCTAACCACACTTCCCCCTGCCCCCACTTCCCCTCCGCGCAGAGGAAAAGGCCTCCGCCCCCCACCCGGACTCAAAGCCCCTAAGGAGGAGACGGTACCTAACCACACCTTCTCCCCCCCCCCCCCCCCGCGCCCACTTCCCCCTCCACTTCCCCCTGCCCCCACTTCCCCTCCGCGCAGAGGAAAAGCCTGCAGCCCCCCATCCGGACTTAAAGCCCCTGGGGGGGGACGGTGCTCCCCCCATGTACACAAAAGAGGAGCTGAGCGCCGCCACCAACAACTTCAAGCACAAGCTCGGCGAGGGGGGTTTTGGTTTTTGGTCATTCCTTTTCCCCCCACCTCGCCTTACCACACTGCTCCTGCTCCCTGTCCCTTCCCGTTCCCCCGCGCTTCCGCTCTGCTTAGAGGAAAAGCCGTCCGCGCCCCACCCGGACTTAAAGCCCCTGGGGGGGGACGGTGCTCCCCCCATGTACACAAAAGAGGAGCTCAGCGCCGCCACCAACAACTTCAAGCACAAGCTCGGTGAAGGGGGGTTCGGTGCGGTGTACAAGGGGTACCTCAAGGTGGAGGGCGGTGCGGAGGCGGCTGAGTCGCTGGGCGTGGACCTGAGCGCGGTTGTAGACGGGGAGATTCCTGTGGCTGTTAAGATGTGCGCTGCTAAGGTTCTGAGCGCACGGGAACAACTGATGGTACGTGGTTGGGGTGCTGGGAGTGTTGGCAGGAAGGAAGGATAGTTGTGGCCGTTAAGATGTGCGCTGCTAAGGTTCTGAGCGCATGGGAGCAGCTTATGGTGCGTGGGTGGGTGGGGTACTGGGAGTGTTGAGAGGAGGAGGAGATCCCTGTGGCCGTTAAGATGTGCGCTGCTAAGGTTCTGAGCGCACGGGAGCAGCTTATGGTGCGTGGGTGGGTGGGGTACTGGGAGTGTTGAGAGGAGGAGGAGATCCCTGTGGCCGTTAAGATGTGCGCTGCTAAGGTTCTGAGCGCACGGGAGCAGCTTATGGTGCGTGGGTGGGTGGGGTACTGGGAGTGTTGAGAGGAGGAGGAGATCCCTGTGGCCGTTAAGATGTGCGCTGCTAAGGTTCTGAGCGCATGGGAGCAGCTTATGGTGCGTGGGTGGGTGGGGTACTGGGAGTGTTGAGAGGAGGAGGAGATCCCTGTGGCCGTTAAGATGTGCGCTGCTAAGGTTCTGAGCGCATGGGAGCAGCTTATGGTGCGTGGGTGGGTGGGGTACTGGGAGTGTTGAGAGGAGGAGGAGATCCCTGTGGCCGTTAAGATGTGCGCTACTAAGGTTTTGAGCGCATGGGAGCAGCTTATGGTGCGTGGGTGGGTGGGGTACTGGGAGTGTTGAGAGGAGGAGGAGATCCCTGTGGCCGTTAAGATGTGCGCTGCTAAGGTTCTGAGCGCATGGGAGCAGCTTATGGTGCATGGGTGGGTGGGGTACTGGGAGTGTTGAGAGGAGGAGGAGATCCCTGTGGCCGTTAAGATGTGCGCTGCTAAGGTTCTGAGCGCACGGGAGCAGCTTATGGTGCGTGGGTGGGTGGGGTACTGGGAGTGTTGAGAGGAGGAGGAGATCCCTGTGGCCGTTAAGATGTGCGCTGCTAAGGTTCTGAGCGCATGGGAGCAGCTTATGGTGCGTGGGTGGGTGGGGTACTGGGAGTGTTGAGAGGAGGAGGAGATCCCTGTGGCCGTTAAGATGTGCGCTGCTAAGGTTCTGAGCGCACGGGAGCAGCTTATGGTGCGTGGGTGGGTGGGGTACTGGGAGTGTTGAGAGGAGGAGGAGATCCCTGTGGCCGTTAAGATGTGCGCTGCTAAGGTTCTGAGCGCATGGGAGCAGCTTATGGTGCGTGGGTGGGTGGGGTACTGGGAGTGTTGAGAGGAGGAGGAGATCCCCGTGGCCGTTAAGATGTGCGCTGCTAAGGTTCTGAGCGCATGGGAGCAGCTTATGGTGCGTGGGTGGGTGGGGTACTGGGAGTGTTGAGAGGAGGAGGAGATCCCTGTGGCCGTTAAGATGTGCGCTGCTAAGGTTCTGAGCGCATGGGAGCAGCTTATGGTGCGTGGGTGGGTGGGGTACTGGGAGTGTTGAGAGGAGGAGGAGATCCCTGTGGCCGTTAAGATGTGCGCTGCTAAGGTTCTGAGCGCATGGGAGCAGCTTATGGTGCGTGGGTGGGTGGGGTACTGGGAGTGTTGAGAGGAGGAGGAGATCCCTGTGGCCGTTAAGATGTGCGCTGCTAAGGTTCTGAGCGCACGGGAGCAGCTTATGGTGCGTGGGTGGGTGGGGTACTGGGAGTGTTGAGAGGAGGAGGAGATCCCTGTGGCCGTTAAGATGTGCGCTGCTAAGGTTCTGAGCGCATGGGAGCAGCTTATGGTGCGTGGGTGGGTGGGGTACTGGGAGTGTTGAGAGGAGGAGGAGATCCCTGTGGCCGTTAAGATGTGCGCTGCTAAGGTTCTGAGCGCATGGGAGCAGCTTATGGTGCGTGGGTGGGTGGGGTACTGGGAGTGTTGAGAGGAGGAGGAGATCCCTGTGGCCGTTAAGATGTGCGCTGCTAAGGTTCTGAGCGCACGGGAGCAGCTTATGGTGCGTGGGTGGGTGGGGTACTGGGAGTGTTGAGAGGAGGAGGAGATCCCTGTAGCCGTTAAGATGTGCGCTGCTAAGGTTCTGAGCGCATGGGAGCAGCTTATGGTGCGTGGGTGGGTGGGGTACTGGGAGTGTTGAGAGGAGGAGGAGATCCCTGTGGCCGTTAAGATGTGCGCTGCTAAGGTTCTGAGCGCATGGGAGCAGCTTATGGTGCGTGGGTGGGTGGGGTACTGGGAGTGTTGAGAGGAGGAGGAGATCCCTGTGGCCGTTAAGATGTGCGCTGCTAAGGTTCTGAGCGCACGGGAGCAGCTTATGGTGCGTGGGTGGGTGGGGTACTGGGAGTGTTGAGAGGAGGAGGAGATCCCTGTGGCCGTTAAGATGTGCGCTGCTAAGGTTCTGAGCGCATGGGAGCAGCTTATGGTGCGTGGGTGGGTGGGGTACTGGGAGTGTTGAGAGGAGGAGGAGATCCCTGTGGCTGTTAAGATGTGCGCTGCTAAGGTTCTGAGCGCATGGGAGCAGCTTATGGTGCGTGGGTGGGTGGGGTACTGGGAGTGTTGAGAGGAGGAGGAGATCCCTGTGGCCGTTAAGATGTGCGCTGCTAAGGTTCTGAGCGCACGGGAGCAGCTTATGGTGCGTGGGTGGGTGGGGTACTGGGAGTGTTGAGAGGAGGAGGAGATCCCTGTGGCCGTTAAGATGTGCGCTGCTAAGGTTCTGAGCGCATGGGAGCAGCTTATGGTGCGTGGGTGGGTGGGGTACTGGGAGTGTTGAGAGGAGGAGGAGATCCCTGTGGCCGTTAAGATGTGCGCTGCTAAGGTTCTGAGCGCATGGGAGCAGCTTATGGTGCGTGGGTGGGTGGGGTACTGGGAGTGTTGAGAGGAGGAGGAGATCCCTGTGGCCGTTAAGATGTGCGCTGCTAAGGTTCTGAGCGCATGGGAGCAGCTTATGGTGCGTGGGTGGGTGGGGTACTGGGAGTGTTGAGAGGAGGAGGAGATCCCTGTGGCCGTTAAGATGTGCGCTGCTAAGGTTCTGAGCGCATGGGAGCAGCTTATGGTGCGTGGGTGGGTGGGGTACTGGGAGTGTTGAGAGGAGGAGGAGATCCCTGTGGCCGTTAAGATGTGCGCTGCTAAGGTTCTGAGCGCATGGGAGCAGCTTATGGTGCGTGGGTGGGTGGGGTACTGGGAGTGTTGAGAGGAGGAGGAGATCCCTGTGGCCGTTAAGATGTGCGCTGCTAAGGTTCTGAGCGCATGGGAGCAGCTTATGGTGCGTGGGTGGGTGGGGTACTGGGAGTGTTGAGAGGAGGAGGAGATCCCTGTGGCCGTTAAGATGTGCGCTGCTAAGGTTCTGAGCGCATGGGAGCAGCTTATGGTGCGTGGGTGGGTGGGGTACTGGGAGTGTTGAGAGGAGGAGGAGATCCCTGTGGCCGTTAAGATGTGCGCTGCTAAGGTTCTGAGCGCATGGGAGCAGCTTATGGTGCGTGGGTGGGTGGGGTACTGGGAGTGTTGAGAGGAGGAGGAGATCCCTGTGGCCGTTAAGATGTGCGCTGCTAAGGTTCTGAGCGCATGGGAGCAGCTTATGGTGCGTGGGTGGGTGGGGTACTGGGAGTGTTGAGAGGAGGAGGAGATCCCTGTGGCCGTTAAGATGTGCGCTGCTAAGGTTCTGAGCGCATGGGAGCAGCTTATGGTGCGTGGGTGGGTGGGGTACTGGGAGTGTTGAGAGGAGGAGGAGATCCCTGTGGCCGTTAAGATGTGCGCTGCTAAGGTTCTGAGCGCATGGGAGCAGCTTATGGTGCGTGGGTGGGTGGGGTACTGGGAGTGTTGAGAGGAGGAGGAGATCCCTGTGGCCGTTAAGATGTGCGCTGCTAAGGTTCTGAGCGCATGGGAGCAGCTTATGGTGCGTGGGTGGGTGGGGTACTGGGAGTGTTGAGAGGAGGAGGAGATCCCTGTGGCCGTTAAGATGTGCGCTGCTAAGGTTCTGGGCGCATGGGAGCAGCTCATTGTAAGGGGTGACAGTTGGCGTGGCTCGTGTGGGACGAGATGCAGGCAGGCAGGGGCACCGTGACTGACGGGGAGATTCCTGTGGCTGTTAAGATGTGCGCTGCGAAGGTTCTGAGCGCATGGGAGCAGCTTATGGTGAGATGGACGATGGTGTGGCGTGGGGGAGGACAAGGAGATTCCTGCAGCCGTTAAGATGTGTGCCGCGAAGGCCCTGAGCGCAAGCTAGCAGCTCATGGTGCGTGGGTGGGTGGGGTACCTGGAGTGTTTGGAAAAGGAGAGATAGCTTGGCTGCTGGAAGTGTCGGAAGGGGGGGAGACGACTTTTAAGTCGACTTAAAAGACGACGGGGAAGCTGCACAATGTCCCAAACATTCGGCTCCTTGCTCACATTTTGTTGCACCTTGCACCTTGCAGTTTGCAGATTGCAGTGCGCGTTATTCCCTTTCAAACAACAACACGCACTGTCCCCTTGCCCTCCACCCCACCACCCCACCCTTCCCCTCCTACCCCACCCAGACGGAGATGATGGTGATGGGCAAGCTGCGGCACCCCAACATTCTGCGCCTGCTCGCATGCTGTTGCACCTTGCAGCGTTTGCAGATTGCACTGCACATTGTTCCCCTCCCCACCCCACCACCCCCTCCCCCCGCCCATTCAGACGGAGATGATGGTGATGGGCAAGCTGCGGCACCCCAACATCCTGCGCCTGCTGGGGGCGAGTTTCATGCCAGTGCACCGTGCTTTTTTCAAACGGCACCACGCACTGTTCCTTTGCCCTCCTCTACCCACTACCCTCCCTCCTTCCACCCAGACGGAGATGATGGTGATGGGCAAGCTACGCCACCCCAACATCCTGCGCCTGCTGGGAGCGTGCATATCAGACGACAGCATGGCCATGATCTACGAGTTCATCCCCTGCGGGGACGTGCATGAACTGCTGGAGGACGGTACGTGTGCTGTGCTGTGTGTGCTGTGTGCTTGTGGGTCTATGGTGTGAAAAGCCTCAGACCAGACCACACACTGCTGGGAGCGTGCATATCAGACGACAGCATGGCCATGATCTACGAGTTCATCCCATGCGGGGATGTGCACGAGTTGCTGGAGGATGGTACGTGCATGGAGGGAGGTGAGAGGTTGGAGGGAGGGTGAGTGTATGTGGCTGTGCGTGTGTGCTTGCTTGTGGTTTGGCGGTTGGAAGAGGCTCAGAGCGAACTCTTCTGGGCGCCTGTATTTCAGACGATAACAGGGCCATGATCTACAAGTTCAACCTGAGTGAGTGAGAAGAGGAGGGAGTGAGGAGAGGAGGGAGTGAGAAGAGGAGGGAGTGAGAAGAGGAGGGAGTGAGAAGAGGAGGGAGTGAGAAGAGGAGGGAGTGAGGAGAGGAGGGAGTGAGGAGAGGAGAGGAGGGAGCGAGGAGAGGAGGGAGTGAGGAGAGGAGGGAGTGAGAAGAGGAGGGAGTGAGGAGAGGAGGGAGTGAGGAGAGGAGGGAGCGAGGAGAGGAGGGAGTGAGGAGAGGAGGGAGTGAGGAGAGGAGGGAGTGAGGAGAGGAGGGAGTGAGGAGAGGAGGGAGTGAGAAGAGGAGGTAGTGAGAAGAGGAGGGAGTGAGAAGAGAAGGGAGTGAGGAGAGGAGGGAGTGAGGAGAGGAGGGAGTGAGGCTGTGCATGAGCTGCTGGAGGGAGGTGCATTGCTGGAGAGAGGTGCGTTTCTGGAGAGAGGTGCGTTGCTGGAGAGAGGTGCGTTGCTGGAGAGACGTAGGTTACTCTGCGTGTCTGTGTGCCCTCATTCCCCTTCTTCCCCCACTCCCCATCCCCCTCTGCCTCCCCCACTCCCCTCCCTCACTCATTTCGACTTCCCCCTCGCAGCACGTGAGGGCAAGGAGGAGTTTACGATCAAGTCTGAGGACAGAATGAGCAATCTCGCTTGCTCGCACATTCCTTCTCTCCCCGCTCCTCTCTCACCTCCCCTAATCTTCCCCCTTGGCCATGGGGTGCGCTGAGGCTCTGCCATTCATACATGACCACCAATCTCGCTTGCACCCTAAACCTTTCCCTTCCCGCCGCATTCCTCTCACCTCCCCTTGTCTTCCCCTGGCTGGCAGCGCGGGCGGGCAAGGAAGAGTTCAAGTTTGCGGACCGAATGAAAGTGGCCATGGGGTGTGTGGAGGCTCTCTCATTCATCCGCAGTACATTCCCTCCTCCCCTCTCCCTCATTACCCTGTTTGGCAGCGCGAGCGGGCAAGGAGGAGTTTAAGTTTGCGGACCGAATGAAGGTGGCCATGGGGTGTGCGGAGGCCTTGGCATTCATCCACGGACAGGAGTATGTTCACCGCGACTTCAAGGCTCCTAACGTGCTGCTGGCCGAGGTGAGGAGCACCGAAGAGCACTGCAGAGCACCGTAGTGCACTGCAGAGCAGAGCTTCGTGTTCAAGGCTCCCAACGTGCTGCTGCTGGCCGAGGTGAGGACCATTGTTCACGTTCATCCGCAGACAGGAGTACGTGCACCGCGGTCTCTGTGCAACTGGATTGGCTTTTGAGTCGACTCAAAAGTCACCTCGTTCGCATTCATCCACAGACACAAGTACGTGCACCTTCCAGAATGGGGTTCGCTGAACCGCGGATATTCTGCAACTGGATTTCCTCTCACCCCTCTCCCCTGTGATCTCTCCTCTCCCGTTCGCTTCCCCTGTTCCTTCCTCTTGTCCACCCTCAGGGGCTGTCCCCGCGAGTGGCGGATTTCGGCCTGGCAAGGATAGTGGAGAACTGGAAAGACCACGTAACGACGAGAGTGATGGGGTCGCGGGGATACATCGACCCTGAATACTTTGAGTCAGGTGCGGTGGGCAAGAGAGGGAGAGAGAAAGGTTGGTCTATTTTTTAGTCGAACAAAAAATGGACTCATCACACGAGGTAGGTCGACCCTTAATAGAAAGGGGGGCAGTTGGGGTGAAGTGGTAGGCAGGTGTGCCGACAGCTGGATGGTCGTTTGGCAGTTGAAGTATGTGTTTTTCAAGCTATTAAGATGTTAGGCTGTTAGGCTTTTAGGCTTTTACGCTGCAACGCACGTTGTTACAATGTTAGGCTGTTAGGCTGATAGGCTGTTAGGTTGTTAGGCTGATAAGCTATTATGCTGTTAGGCTGTTACGATGTTACGCTGTTATGTTGTTACGCTGTTACGCCGTTAGGCTGTTAGATTGTTATGCTGTTACGCTGTTAGGCTGTTATGCTGTTAGGCTGTTTGGCTGTTACGCTGTTATGTTGTTACGCTGTTACGCTGTTAGGCTGTTACGCTGTTACGCTGTTACGCTGTTAGGCTGTTAGGCTGTTACGCTGTTACGCTGTTAGGCTGTTAGGCTGTTACGCTGTTACGCTGTTACGCTGTTAGGCTGTTAGGCTGTTAGGCTGTTAGGCTGTTACGCTGTTACGCTGTTAGGCTGTTAGGCTGTTAGGCTGTTACGCTGTTACGCTGTTGCGCTGTTGCGCTGGTGCGCTGTTAGGCTGTTAGGCTGTTAGGCTGTTACGCTGTTACGCTGTTACGCTGTTAGGCTGTTAGGCTGTTGTGCTGTTACACTGTTACGGTGTTACGCTATTACGCTGTTTCGATGTTTCGCTGTTTCGCTGTTACGCTGTTATGCTGTTACGCTGTTACGGTGTTACGCTGTTACGGTGTTACGCTGTTACGTTGTTAGGCTGTTACGCTGTTACGCTGTTAGGCTGTTAGGCTGTTATGTTGTTACGCTGTTACGGTGTTACGCTATTACGTTGTTACGCTGTTACGCTGTTACGCTGTTACGCTGTTACGCTGTTAGGCTGTTAGGCTGTTAGGCTGTTAGGCTGTTACGTTGTTAGGCTGTTAGGCTGTTACGCTGTTACGTTGTTCCCCTGTTACACTGTTACGTTGTTACGCTGTTACGCTGTTAGGCTGTTAGGCTGTTAGGCTGTTAGGCTGTTACGCTTCTACGCTGTTCCCCTGTTACACCGTTACGCTGTTACGCTGTTAGGCTGTTAGGCTGTTACGCTGTTATGCTGTTACGCTGTTACGCTGTTACGCTCTTACGCTGTTACGCTGTTATGCTGTTAGGCTATTACGCTGTTACGTTGTTAGGCTGTTACGCTGTTACGCTGTTACGCTGTTAGGCTGTTAGGCTGTTAGGCTGTTAGGCTGTTAGGCTGTTACGCTGTTACGCTGTTAGGCTGTTAGGCTGTTACGCTGTTACGCTGTTACGCTGTTACGCTTGTAGGCTGTTACGCTGTTACGTTGTTAGGCTGTTAGGCTGTTACGTTGTTACGCTGTTACGCTGTTAGGCTGTTACGCTGTTACGCTGTTACGCTGTTACGCTTTTACGCTGTAACGCTATAACGCTGTTAGGCTGTTACGCTGTTAGGCTGTTAGGCTGTTACGCTGTTACGCTGTTACGCTGTTACGTTGTTAGGCTGTTAGGCTGTTACGTTGTTACGCTGTTACGCTGTTAGGCTGTTAGGCTGTTACGCTGTTATGCTGTTACGCTGTTACGCTGTTACGCTCTTACGCTGTTACGCTGTTATGCTGTTAGGCTATTACGCTGTTACGTTGTTAGGCTGTTACGCTGTTACGCTGTTACGCTGTTACGCTGTTAGGCTGTTACGCTGTTAGGTTGTTAGGCCTTTACGCTGTTACGCTGTTACGCTGTTATGCTGTTAGGCTGTTAGGCTGTTACGCTGTTATGCTGTTACGTTGTTACGCTGAAACGCTGTTAGGCTGTTAGGCTGTTACGCTGTTACGCTGTTAGGCTGTTAGGCTGTTACGCTGTTAGGCTGTTACGCTGTTACACTGTTACGCCGTAGCGCTGTTAGGCTGTTAGGCTGTTACGCTGTTACGCTGTTAGGCTGTTAGGCTGTTAGGCTGTTAGGCTGTTACGCTGTTACGCTGTTACACTGTTAAGCTGTTAGGTTTTTACGTTGTTAGGCTGTTAGGATGTTACGCTGTTACGCTGTTATGCTGTTACGCTGTTACGCTGTTACGCTGTTAGGCTGTTACGCTGTTAGGCTGTTAGGCTGTTACGCTGTTAGGCTGTTAGGCTGTTAGGCTGTTAGGCTGTTACGCTGTTACACTGTTACGCCGTAACGCTGTTAGGCTGTTAGGCTGTTAGGCTATTACTCTGTTACGCTGTTACGCTGTTACGCTGTTACGCTGTTAGGCTGTTAGGCTGTTAGGCTGTTAGGCTGTTACGCTGTTACGCTGTTACGCTGTTACGCTGTTACGCTGTTACGCTGTTAGGTTTTTACGTTGTTAGGCTGTTAGGATGTTACGCTGTTACGCTGTTATGCTGTTACGCTGTTACGCTGTTACGCTGTTAGGCTGTTACGCTGTTAGGCTGTTAGGCTGTTAGGCTGTTAGGCTGTTACGCTGTTATGCTGTTACGCTGTTACGCTGTTACGCTGTTAGGTTTTTACGTTGTTAGGCTGTTAGGATGTTACGCTGTTACGCTGTTATGCTGTTACGCTGTTACGCTGTTACGCTGTTAGGCTGTTACGCTGTTAGGCTGTTAGGCTGTTACGCTCCTTGTGCTTTAACAGCTGTGCCGGGCCGAGGAAACGCAGCGAGTGCCACCATAAAGGGGATGGGGCAGAGGAGAGGGTCGGCGTGGGTGGGGAGAGGGGAAGATAGGGGGGGGGGAGGGGTGTGAATGCAGATTGATACGGCCCTTAAATTTTGTAACCATCCTTCTTTGTCTTTGTATCTTCAATAGTTGTGGCAGGATGAGGGAGCGCAGCGAGTTCCACCAGCCTAGAGAAGTGAAGTTCTGAGACGTCTCACAATGTGGAGAGGAGAGAGAAGGGGTTTGGGGGTAGGTGGATGATGAAGTGGTAGGTAGGTAGGTGAGCCGGCACGTGTCAGTAACTGACAGGTGGGCTGCGGAGGCTTTACTCCCTTCAACTCTTGCTGATTTGAGTTGGGTGAAGTGATGGGTAGTTGAGCCGGCAGCTGGATGGTCGTTTGGTGCAACCAGTATGTGCTAGTTTCGTTCCACAAGGACCATGTGACGACTCGAGTGATGGGGTCACGTGGGTACCTCGACCCTGAATACTTTGGGTCACGTGCAAGAAAGCGAGCTGGGTGATCTGGCCTCTTTTTTTGTACCCTTCCTGCCCCTCCGTTTTCCTTCCCCCAGGCTACCTGAACGGCACCAATGCTTTCGGCAACTACCTGCTCGCCACGGGCCACTCACTCATGAAAGGCCCTCCCCTTTACCCTCTCGCCTCCCATCTACCTACTCCTCCGTTCCCTCTCCCTCCCCTCCCCAGGCTACCTCAACAGGCACTGTGGCAGATTTGCCTTTGGCATTTTCCTCGTCGAGCTCCTCACAGGCCACTCACTCATGAAAGCTCCTCCTCTCGCCTTTTCTCTTCCACCTCTCTTCTCACCTCGCCTTCCCACCCCTTCTCTCTCCTTTTCTCCCCCTCAGGCTATTTGAACAAGCTCTGTGGCGCCTTTGCTTTAGGCATCTTTCTCATCGAGCTCGACTCACCTGGCATCTTCCTCAAGATGCCCTCATTTTCCACAGGCCACTCACTCATGAAAGGCCCTCTTCTTTTCTCTTCCTCTTCCCCTTGTTCCCTTCTCTCAACCGCCCCTTCCCGTGCTTCAGGCTATTTAAACGAGCACTGTGACACATTTGCCTTTGGCATCTTCCTTATCGAGCTCGCCACGGGCCACTCAGTAGCAAAGACCCCTCCCTATCCTCTTCCCGCTCCCTTCTCCCCTTTCGTTTCTCTCTCCCCCAGGCTACCTGAACGAGCACTGTGACACATTTGCCTTTGGCATTTTTCTCATCGAGCTCGCCACAGGCCACTCAGTCCTCGAGCCCACGTTGGTTTTCTTCCTCTCTCTTTCCCCCCTCTCCAGGCTACCTGAACGAACACTGTGACACCTTTGCTTTCGGCATTTTCCTGATCGAGCTCGCCACGGGGCACTCAGTCCTGGAGCCCACGTTCGAGGAGGTGGTGAACCGTTCTGTGCGGTCGGAAGCGGTGGATCTGGGTGCCATCATGGACCCGCGCCTGCAGGGGCAGTGGACCGAGGAGCAAGCGAGGGCGCTGCAGCAAGTGGCGAAGGTGTGTGTGACGACGGATTGGGACAACCGGCCGACCATGGATACTGTGGTTGAGATGATGCAGGGTGTGATGGGATAAAGGAGGGTGTGTTGAGCAGGCGAGGGCGCTGCAGCAAGTGGCAAAAGTGTGTGTGACGACGGATTGGGACAACCTGGCAAGGATGGATACTGTGGTTGAGATGATGCAGGGGGTGATGGGATGAATGAAGAGACTGTTGTGTGAGTTGACTCAAGAGCATCAGTCGAAGGCTGTGCTGGGAGTGGTGAAGGTGTGTGTGACGACCGATTGGGATAACCGACCGACCATGGATACTGTGGTGGAGATGATGCAGGGTGTGATGGTGAGGTTCAGTCAATATTGATGGCCGGGCTGCTAGGGCTGATGTGTGGTGTTGTTTCTGGGTAAAAACAGAAGTCTAGGTTTTTTTAGATACACGAACATTTTTAAGTGATTTAGAAGCGTAGTGCAGTTATCCAGCTTTGCAAGCTCCGAATGACCCCCCTAAGGGCGTGTAAGATCCCCGTGCACACAGAATCGGCCATCAAAATTAGGTGGCCGTAGCGAAAGTAACCATTTCGTGATTGGTTTGCGAATCTCGTCGATTTCGGCCATCAAAATTGTGATTTGATGGCCGAAAAACCCAGTCGACTCTTTTCCGACGCGTGGTCGACTTCAAATCGGCCATGCTGTCGACAACAGCTGGCCACAGTAAAAAACGAGGTCGCATACGCTGCTACAGTGAAATTGCGACGTCGCATACATGTATGCGACGTCGTCGCACCAAGTCGGAAAAAAAGACAAGCCGAAATCTTCCACCTCTGTTATTTCGGCCAGCAAATCCTTGTCATATTTGGAGGCCACATTGAGTTGGCCGAAAATTTGTCGGCCTGGTGACGACTCATCCGTCGACCTTCGCGAAAGCTTTGTCGACCAAAATGGTCGACAAAATTCAGCCAAAACGTGTGCACGGGGATCTTACACGCCCTAAGCCCGATGCTGCGATGCATGCAAACTATTGTCACCCACGTCCTTCAAACAGTGCTGATGCAAATCCGCCAGTCTGTCAAGCCACGTCCAGATCAGTTCTGCATCAGGCTGTGGAGTCGAGCTGTTTCGCAGCTGTTTTCGTGTCCACTTCTACGCCAGCAGCACCGAAGTAGGGGGCAGTGGAGAGAGTACTGCAGTGATCGGTTACGCACGATGTCATCGTCAACCAATAAAACATTCAAATTCAAGTTACAAGATTGTCGTCGTCGCTCAAGCTTGGCGAGTTCGCACCTACAATTATTACGCGCCACGGCGTCCCTCACGCGCTTACACCGCACCGCATCAGTGCTTCGCACCTTCCTCCCCCTCGCCTCTGAAATTCTTTCTGAATCTTGAAAAACCGCGCAATCTCATCTTCCTCACTCATTACCCCACCGCCGCCTCACTTCTACCTCCCGAGTCCCGCCCCTCAGGCCATTCCTCACAAACAACCCCCTCCGTCCCCCATCCACCACACACTCCAAATCTTCAGCAGCCATTACCCTCGGCACAGGCAGGGGGAACAAGGGAGAAGTGCGTTGGCGATGAGGTAGATCTTGGCGTCGGTGCCACCGCGAGGTGAGCACGTGAGGAAAGTGCCCGCAGAAACCGATACAGTAGTCGCAACAACGAAACAGTAATCGGTAGAACCATAATCTCCCGCGACTCCGCGAGTCCATCCTCAAGCCTCCATGAGTTGTTGCGACGCAGACTTGATATTACTGCTTCATACTTTCGTACAGTACTATACTGTGCTCCTAGAGCCTGGCTGAGTCAACCAGGTGCCGGCCTGAGGTTGCTGTCAGCCAGGCTGGTGCTCGTCTGGAAAGGGAAGGGAGGACGAGAAGTGGACAAAAGGACTGCCATGCCGCCGAGCCGCGGCGAGAGAAGCTCCATGTCGAGAGGGTGCTTTAGCGTCGAGTCCTATATGATGGTACACCAACTCATTTCTTCCAAACGTCGGGTTCGTGATTACTCGTCCAATCCCGCATACTACTCTCAGCTAGCCGCGAATGTTGAGTCGACGCATTACTCGGGATTCCATTGCGCAGATTCTCAGCCAGCGGCCGGGTTTAGCCTCGCTTCTATTCGAAAGTGCTTCAAACTCAAGCTAGTTTTATCGCTCTTGATTCGCGACCGGCGGGAAGAGGCATTGTCACAACTTCAAGGAAGTTGTTTTCATCGGCCCTCTTTCAGCATCCGAGCTTCTATTTCACAAATATAAAAGTCTTTAAGATGGCGCTGCGCGCCACTGTATACTCTCCGCGGATTTGCGACGGGTCCCTCAGACGCCAACTCATCCTCGCTATTGCCATACTCGCCACACACTCACTCCTTTCCGTCATCGTCGCCGGATCGAATCTCCCCCCCGGCGGCTGCGACGCGTGCCGCCAGCTGCGCGGGCTGGAGGACGCGGGGGTGAACGCGCGCAGCCTGCACCGCCACGCTGCGCTCGTCGGCAACTTCAAGGGGCTCTTCCTCAGCCAGCGCGGCAAGTTCACGAACCACGCCAGAGGATCCGGCCCCGTCAATCTCGAGGTTTTCCAGGTGCGTTGAGCATTTATACACACAGAATTCTATAGAAGGGGCGTGACGATTCGCGCTGTCTCCTTCCGACAGCTTCAAGCTTTCAGCGTCCAATGTTTGGAGCTACACCGTAGCTTCATTGGTTGTGGTTGTAAATAACTCATGTTTTCGTCTCTGTGTGTGCGTACGTGGTTCGTGATTTCAGGAAGTTGGTAACCATGTAGCTGTCGTCGACGGCGAAGCTGGCGACACTCTTGAAAAATGCTGCGCTGCATGCAAGCGAACAGCCGGTTGCTACCAATACCACTTCTTTCGCAGGTGAGCTTCGATCTCAGCAATCAATGCGTGCAGCATGTGAATCCACGTTCTCTTCCTCTCCTGCTAACCAGAATGTCTTAGAATTTATCTCTTCAGCACTTTCCTCAACCGCTGCTTTCCCAAATCTTCCTTACTAGTACTACAGGCTTTCTAGACGTCTCATCTTTTGCACCTTCCTACCCTCTTTTCCTGATTCTGCCCGTTACAGCAACAGGCTACGCGACAATGTGAACGTCCGCGGCTTCATGAGCGGCGTGCAGTGCTACCTGCTCGCGAAGGACGGCGGCGCGGGTCACTCTGGCGAGTACCGGACTCCTCTTAGCGGGGATGTCAAGGAGCAACGCGCCATGTCGCCATACTTCCCGCTTAGCTGGCTCGGTGGGCTCTGCGACGGAAACCGTGCCACAGAAACCCCTGGTAATGGTTCTGCCAGCAGCGCTCAACCACTTGCCACGTCATCTCCGAGCGACCAACAAGGACTGGTGAAGACGCTTGGAAAGCAAGCACGGGCAGCCTCTGCTGTGCTTCGGCGGAGGGCAGAGCGACCGCCGCCGCTGTCCACGCAAGGCCTGCTCAACGCGTCTTTCTGCCTCGTTTCCGACCGTCGATTGCACATCAATATCAGGCTCCGCGAATCACCACCGCAGGCTACAGCTTGTGACCTGGCGGAGGCATCTGGTGACGTGGCGTATGCTGCGGCCCCGACATCCAACCCTGCCTTTGGCCAGATGTCAACAGCAGCTGCTGCTGATGCTGCTGCTGCTGCCAGGAAGGAAGCTGAGAAGAGAGCAACTGCGGCTGTTGTGAGGGCTGCTCTTGCAAGCACTGGCAATGAACTGAGTGGTGTGGTGGAAGGAGGAGAGGGCGAGACGGAGGGAGCACAGGCAGCTATCAGGGAAATTGGGTTTGTGTGGGTGGCGGGTGGGCTGCATTCCCTCCGCATGGCTGTAACACCCATGGTAACCGCTGAGAACAGCGACAGCAATGTCCCAGATGCTGCCAGTACTTTGTTGTCCCTTCTGGACCTGGATGGCATGCCGTTGCCGCCCCCAAAAGCAATGGGCGATCGGGTGACTGGAGCAGGAGGGCTGGTACTTAGCAGAGTGGCAGAGGAGAGGGAGTGGCCTGTGAACATGGTGAAGTATAGAGTTGAGATCGAGGGGTTGATGGTGGTGGAGGTGCGGGCGAGCATCGTGCGGGGAGAAGGGGATGCGGGTGTAGGGCACCTGTCTGTGAAGCTGATGAAGGTTAAGGTTTCTCCCACGGTCAATGGACTTCTGGGTAGCGCAATCCGGGCATCGTCTAAGCTGGAACTGACCGTGACGCCGTTTTACACATCTTTGAACACTGGAGAGCGCAATACCGAGACGACTCTTAGTGGCCCACTTGCCGACTACGTCTCTACGACAGCAATTTCTGCCGACTGCAGATTCTCAACCTTTGGAGTGGTTGCATGAAGGTCACTCTTAGAGGATGTGAAGTGCTAGGTGGAACACATTCGTATATTATTTTATGTATATACGTCTCTCATGTGACTATATAATTAGTCAATTGAGGTATCTTCAATCTGACTACGTCATGTTTGTACTAAAAGCAAGTCATGGTTGAAATGGGTGAGTTGCGACAGGCGAAGCACGAAATCATGCTTTATTGAACTAAGTGTTACATGATAGCTATGCGAAACCGTCGCCTCTGGTTGTAGTAAACAAGGATTGGACGAATCTAGTTGTCATCGTTCGCCAGCTCCTCACAGCCGCAGGCGAACATACTTACCCCGCACATTAGCCCTAGAGCCCCCAGGAAATTCGGGGCCCTCGAGGGAAGCACACCAGCGGAGAGATTTTACGGCAAGAATGCAGGAGGTCCCCATTTCCCTCTCCGCATCATACCTCTGACAGTGTCAGAGAAGCAGCAGTGTCCTTAGGACTCAGGAGTAAGCCCAAGGTTCATTAGCCTGTAGCTTCTGCAGCTGTTTCTCTCGTTGCGCACAGCTGCTGAGCTGCCAGATATGGCCCTTGCGGCTCGCTTGTCATCCTCCAGCATCGTATCTGTTCCCGCTACACTCCCATCCGCTGCCGGATCAGCTGGATCAGCGCGTTCCGCGAATCTTCTTGCATCCTCGCGCACTGATTGGTCGCACGGCCTTAGCCTGCGATCGCTGTCGTCAGTCGCTGCTAACGTGTCGAGAAGTCGAAGCAGCGTCAGCACGATCAAGTGCATGGCGGAGGCGTCGCAAACCACTGGTTAGTGCTCCCTTGCGACATGCTTATAAGTGCACAACTTTTCTAATGCCGCATCAGCAAAAGAGGATGCTCAAGTCGTTGCTGCATTGAAGGTTGCCAAGATTTTCAAGGTTGCCAAGATTTTCGGTTGCGGAAATTTAGGGTTTCACGCAACACGAGATCGTAACGGACGCCGCGTGGGTGCTTTACGTAGCAAGCGCGACGTGACTGCATTGAGGAAAACGTCAACGGATCAAAAATTATGTGAAAACGGGCTTCTGCTACATGTCGCTTGGTTATCATTACCCGCAGGGGCCTGTTTCTGAGCTTGTTTCTGCACGAATGATCAGGAACTTCCGCGCATGCCGGTTCTTACCCCCCCTCCACCCCCTTCGTCCTTTTCCTCCGTCCCTCCCCCTCTCCCTTTCTTTCACCCCTCCCGCTCTCCCATTCCCCTTTCACCGCAGCAGCCGCTGCGGTCTCGTCGCCAGCCACTGGCCTCCGCGTGTTCCGGCTCGCTGACCTGGCAGAGGATGACGTGGCACAGCTGCTCACCAGGCCACGCATAGACTTCACCTCAATCTTCAGCACGGTAGGAACCTTCCTCCATGGCTTCGTGTGTGTAAAGTCCTCCTAACCTCCTCGTTATTCACCTCTTGTCTCCGTGTCTTCCCAGTTGCCTTCCCTAAATCCAATTGTCAATCCGCCAATCCCCTAGACCCCCCCACCCCAACCCCGCCCAAATCCCCTTTTACTCCCGAGACCACTAACTTTCCGTCTCTCCCCCTTTCCCCCACTACCGCGCCCCATTCCCCTCTTTCTTGACCTCGTTCCTCGCCAGGTGGGTCCGATAGTGGAGGATGTGAGGCAACGGGGCGACGAGGCTGTTAAAGAGTATGTACTGTAGCTCGCCACTCAATAATCACATTCTAGCGCATTCGCTGCTGGCTTCTGTTGCTTCTCCCCGCAGCCACCCCACCCAACTCCCCGCCCTATTTCCTACCACCTTCCCCTCAACCATCTCGCAGCGTACAATTCCAACATCAAACCTCGTCTGAGAAATGCTGATTCCCATGCCGTTTCCTCCCTCCACCCCTCCCCATCCCGCCAATCCGAGACACACACCAGCCCTCTCTCCCTCTCTCCACCCCTCTCCCCCCCGCTCCCCCCCTCTCCCTCCCTCTCCCCCCCTTGCCCCCCTCCACCAATCAGGTACACGGAGAGGTTTGACCGAGTCAAACTGGATGACGTGGTGGTCAGAGTGGCAGAGCTGCCTGACCCCGAGGTAAGCACCACATTCCCCCTCCCCATCCCTCCCCCCCGTGCTCAAGTCACCCCACAATCTCTCAGTCAGCCTAAAAGTGGTCGTCAGAGTGGCAGAGCTGCCTGACCCTGAGGTAAGCATTGCGTGACTGTGACCCAGACATACCCGTCAGTTACTGTCTCTTGAACTAGTAATCCTCATTGCTACCCTCTCCTCCAAACCCCTTCATTCGCCCAAACCCCTCTCTCCTCGTCCAATTCCTCGCACCCTCCCTGCCATTTACCACCTGTTTCCCACTAGTCCCCCATCTTTACACCTGGAACCTGCCCCATAAATGGCGTATGATATCCACCTGATTCCACCTCTACCTCCCATCTCTCTCTCCTCCCGTTCTCCGCCTCTTCTCCTCTACCTTGACCCCTTCTCTCTATCTCATTCCCGCCCGTTCCCGCGCCCTCAGCTGCCTGCTGACGTGGCAGCAGCGTTTGACGTGGCGTTCAGCAACATCCACAAGTTCCACCAAGCACAGATGCCGTCCAGCTCGTTCCAAGTGGAGACCATGCCGGTGAGCGGTAGCGAGGGGGGCAGGGGAGGAGAGGTGGTGAGAGGAGAGGAACAGTGGGATGGGAGAGGAGAGTTCTGAGTAGAAGGTCACACCTGGCAGGCACAGATGCCGTCCGTCCAGCTCGTTCCAAGTGGAGACCATGCCGGTGAGTGGGGTGGAAAGGGGAGGGGAGGAGGGGTGCTGGGAGGAGAGTTCTGAGTTGACTCAGAGGTCACACCTGGCACAGATGCCGTCCAGCTCGTTCCAAGTGGAGACCATGCCGGTGAGGGGGGGGGGCGAAACAGGAGAGGAGGAAGAGAGAGGGAAGGGGGGAGAGAGGAGGGAGGGAGGGAGGGAGGGAGGGAGGGAGGGAGGGAGGGAGGGAGGGAGGGAGGGAGGGACGGACGGACGGACGGAGGGACGGAGGGAGGGAGAGCCGGGGGGAGAGGGAGAGGGAGAGGGAGAGAGGGCCAGTGCGTGCAAGTGGTGAGGCCCATAGAGCGAGTTGAGCTGCACAATAACTCCTATCAATCGGCAGGGCGGGGCTTGTTTTCACGAGGAGGAACATAGAGCGAGAAAGCCTGTACAAGTGCCATTCCATGTGCTTTAAGATTTTTCCTGTGGATTTTTTAGTCGACTCAAAAATCGATTTTCCCTGTGGATTTTCCCCATGCTGTATGTTTCCGCTTACTTCCCCCCGCCCCTTCTCAACCATCAGGGCGTGGTGTGTGGGCGAGTGGCGAGGCCCATAGAGCGAGTGGGGCTGTACGTGCCCGGAGGTACTGCTGTGCTGCCCTCCACTGCCCTCATGCTCGCCGTGGTGAGTGCGAGGGAGCAAGGGAGGGAATGAGCGCGGGAGAGTGAGAGAGGAAGAAACATGAGGCGGCATCTGCGTGGGAGGGAGAGCTGTATTGCCTTTCATTCCTCGGCATTCCTCATGCGCCTCATTCCCATCCGCATCACGACTCATTCAATTCAAGCCCCACAGCACCACCCACCCGCTCTTGAGTCAACTCGAAAGCATCCTCATGCACAATATACGTGTGACTTTTGAGAATTCTCAAAACTCATGCGCCTCACTCCCATCCGCACCAGTCTCATTCAAACCCCACAGCACCACCCACCCGCTCTTGAGTCAACTCGAAAGCGTCCTCATGCACCTCACTCCCATCTGCGTCCTCTCTCACCTCTACCGCCCACCCCAGCCGGCAGGCATAGCAGGCTGAAACACTGCTTTTCTCGAGGCAATCTAGGTCTTTCCTTGCCATTCCATCCCCCCTCTCTGCATGCATCCATCCCGTTTTCACTGTACTCAACCTTTCCATCCCTCTCCTTTCCACTTAACTCATCTCTCAATCCATTCCCTTTCCCCTCACTTCATCTCTCCACTCCCTACCCCAGCCGGCAGGCATAGCAGGCTGCACCACTGTGGTGGTCGCCACTCCGCCTCGCCCTGACGGCTCAATCTGCCCGGTAATTCCCTCTTCCTTCCCGTGAATCCATCTTTTTAATGTAGTTTTCACTTGCATACACTCTCTCAACGTGTGTGTTGCTCCACAAGTACGAAGCATCTGTTGCTCTGGCAGCAAGCTCTCCTCAGTCCTCTCCTCCCCACCCTTCTTGTCCCTCCTTGTCTCGTCTCTCACCCCCCTTGCTATATCCTCCAGGAGGTGCTCTACTGCTGCAAGAAGGCCGGCGTTACTCACATTCTGAAGGCGGGAGGGGCCCAGGTGGGTGCATATGTGTGCTTGTAACGGGGTGAGTTAGTTCGGGGATTGGGAGAGGGAGAGACGTGGAAGAGTGAGTGGGACGATGGAGGAAGAAAAATAGAGAGGGGAGGGCATGGAAACGGAACAAAGCAGAGGGTGTTTTTCAATCCTCATCTGTTGCTTCTCACCTTTAACTTGTTTCTTCCCTTGGTGTTGGCCCCTGTCCCGTGCCTTGCTGCCCACGCCTTGCCACTGTCTCTCCCATTGCGCAGGCTGTTGCGGCCATGGCATGGGGCACAGCCACCTGCCCCAAGGTAAGCCACGCTGGCACTCCAACCATGCTGCATCTTGTGTGCGTGCCATGGCACTGCATACCCCAACCTCACCCTGCATGGCTTACCTTCGAGGGCTAACCCTCTTCCCTGGTCGTTCCTGCCTTAGCTTGGGATTGCTTGCCCCATTGTCCCATCACCAACCATCACCACCCGTCACCACTCATCACCACAAATCACTGCTCATCACCACCAGGCAAACAGTCCGTGACAGCAGCCAAGGTGGAGTCATGCTTATGCGTCTCCCTTCTCCCACCCTTGTCCCACTACCACCCATCAACACCCATCACCACTTATCACCACCCATCACCACCCATCACCACTTATCACCACTTATCACCACCCATCACCACGCATCACTGCTAATCATTACAGGTGGACAAGATCTTTGGCCCCGGCAATCAGTACGTGACAGCAGCCAAGATGGTGCTGTGCTTATGCTTCTCCCTTCTCCTCACCTTTTACCCATCACCACCCATTACCACCCATCACCACCCTTCACCACTCATCACCGCTCATCACCGTGCAGGGGGGTAATCTATTTGGCCCGGGCAACCAGTACATGACTGCAGCCAAGATGGAGTGATGCTTATGCTTCTCCCTTCTCCCACCCTTATCCCACTACCACCCACCACCATCCACCACCCTCCGTCACCACTCATCACCACCCACCACCACCCGTCACCGCTCATCACCGTGCAGGTGGACAAGATATTTGGCCCGGGCAACCAGTACGTGACAGCAGCCAAGATGGCGCTACAGACCAGTGAGGCCATGGTCTCTATCGACATGCCTGCTGGGCCCTCCGAAGTACTTGTGATAGCGGACGAGACGGCTTCTCCCTCCCACGTCGCTGCAGATTTGCTGTCTCAGGTGAGCTGGGTGATCTGTCTCAGAGAAGTTGTCTCAGGTTCTCTCTCCCAACCTCTAAGGATGGCGCTGCAGACCAGTGAGGTCATGGTATCAATCGACATGCCTGCTGGGCCCTCTGAAGTACTTGTCATCGCTGATGAGACTGCTTCTCCTGCGCATGTTGCTGCCGACCTGCTGTCTCAGGTGAGCTGTCTCTTGGGTGCTCTCCCTATCTCTCGAGATGGCGTTGCAGACCAGTGAGGCCATGGTCTCTGAAGTGCTTGTGATTGCTGACGAGACTGCCAGCCGGCGCTCACCTGACCTTGGCCTCCCAGGTGGGCTGTGTGATCCGTCGCAAGTGAGCCGCCTCTCAGGTGCTCTCTCCCTATCTCCCAAGATGGCGCTGCAGACCAGCTAGGCCATGGTGGCCGTTTGACCATCGACATGCCTGCTGGAATCTCTGGGAGTCAGCTGTGGTCATCCTTCCTCACCCTCTTTCCATGCCTCTCACCTACTGGCAGGCAGAGCACGGGCTAGACAGTCAGGTGGTGCTGGTGGTGGTGGGCGAGGGGGTGGATCTGGCAGCCATTGAAGCGGGAGGCGGAGCAGCAGTGAAGGGAGGAAGGAGCTGCCTGTCCTCCCATCTCACTCTCTTCCTTCCTGTCCTTCCCATCCCTCTCTTACCTCACGCACAAACTGGCAGGCAGAGCACGGGCCGGACAGTCAAGTGGTGCTGGTGACGGTGGGTGAGGGGGTGGATCTGGCAGCCATCGAAGCAGAGGTGGAGCGGCAGAGGGGGGAGCTGCCTCGAGGGGACGTTGCTGCCAAAGCGCTGAGCCACTCTTATGTGGTGGTGGCAGCTGATATCAACGAGGTGAGATGCAGACAAACTCGCATCAGAGTGTTTGATGTCAAGCATGAGTTCCGAGTTTGACATTAACGCAGACAAAACCGTACGTGGTGGTGGCGGCTGACATCAACGAGGTGAGGTTCGGACAAAACCCGAAAGGTCAACATGTGTTACGGGCAGAGAGGGTTGAGCGAAATGTCAAGTTGAGAGACAGAGCTCGTCATCACTAACTCTTCAGACAGACATCGTCTCCCTCGAATCGCCCACTGCAGTTGCACTTACCCCTACACTGACCCCTTTCACTGATCCTACACCCGTTTCCATGGAGTTGCCCATATGTCCATTTTGTTTGAGCTTGATTTTGAAAGTTGTCAAAATCAACCTCCTACACCCGTTTTTATGGAGTTGCCCATATGTCCCCATGCCCCCCACCAAGCATGCCTCTTCTCCAACCGCTATGCCCCCGAGCATCTCATCATCAACGCCGCCCAGACACCGTCTCCCTTGCTATGCTGCCTTGGGTTGGTTTCCCGCTCTCATTGCTCCTTCACTCTGCCTCCCATCCCATCCCACCAGGCATGCCTCTTCTCCAACCGCTATGCCCCCGAGCATCTCATCATCAACGCCGCACAGGCAGTGGACTGCTTGCCCCTCATCCGCAACGCTGGTGAGCCTCAGCTATCTCCTGCTGCCCGACAGTGTATGTCCATAGTGGGTTCATCCCATGGGCTTAGTGCCCCCGAGCATCTCATCATCAACGCCGCCCAGGCTGTGGACTGCCTGCCCCTCATCCGCAACGCTGGTGAGCCGCCTATCCAAGCCGGAATGGTTCAAGCCAATTGCAGGTTCTCCTGTCAAGTATGAGTCTATTGGTCTTGCTCTCCCAGCATTTTATTTGCTGGGCTTGTAGATGTGATTCGCAGAGAACGCAGGACAGGACATCATGCCTTACACATGCTCTCCGCCTCCTCTCAACACCATTCCCATCCCACTTTCTTATCCCCCATCCCCCATCCCCGATTCACTCTCAGGGTCCGTCTTCCTGGGACCATGGACCCCGGAGAGTGTGGGGGACTACGCCAGCGGCACCAACCACGTGCTACCCACCTACGGCTACGCACGCATGTACGGGGGCGTGTCTCTTGACGCCTTTTTCAAGCACATCACCGTGCAGTCTCTCTCTGCCTCGGGCCTGCAGCTGCTGGGTCCCTCGGTGGCAAAGATGGCCGAGGTGGAAGGGCTGGAGGCACACAGGCGTGCTGTTACGCTACGGCTAGCAGACATCGAGGCTGCTTCCCAGTGAAACAAATGCTTTTGAGTTAGCCGATCGTGTTTCCTGCATTCCAAAAGGTTAGGACGTGAAGGGTCAGCCTTTTTCAAGCACATCACCGTGCAGTCTCTCTCTGCCTCGGGCCTGCAGCTGCTGGGTCCCTCGGTGGCAAAGATGGCCGAGGTGGAAGGGCTGGAGGCACACAGGCGTGCTGTTACGCTACGGCTAGCAGACATCGAGGCTGCTTCCCAGTGAAACAAATGCTTTTGAGTTAGCCGATCGTGTTTCCTGCATTCCAAAAGGTTAGGACGTGAAGGGTCAGCCTTTTTCAAGCACATCACCGTGCAGTCTCTCTCTGCCTCGGGCCTGCAGCTGCTGGGTCCCTCGGTGGCTAAGATGGCCAAGGTGGAAGGGCTGGAGGCACACAGGCGTGCGGTTACGCTACGGCTAGCAGACATCGAGGCTGCTTCCCAGTGAAAACTTCATGTGTTCGAGTGGAGAATATGTGTTTGCTGTGTACTGAACGCTGTAGTGGCTGACAGGTTCAAGGTTAGGGAAAAATGACCCGGTTTGAAAGGCCAGCACAGCAGCATCAAGCACATCACATGACTGTTTCGAGAACATACCTCCGCTGCTTCCTCCACTGCAAACAAGCACACATAAACTCTCTATCCCAGGCCTCTTCAGTCTAATCTAGTTGCTTCAGGGGGCTTCTGTGGCTAAGATCCCTAAAGGGCAGGGGCCCCTTCTACCGTTTTGCGAGAGCGAACTAGCTCTTTCTCTGATTTTACCAAATGTCACTTGTTCTACGGTAGTTGGTACACTCTAGTACCCAATGTTATTTGCATCTGAGATGCAATGGCTTTGTCATCACAGCTTCTCCCCATTTGCCTTGGTTTTCATTCAGGTTATGTGTTCACACATGCCTGTACTACACTACACCATAGACGTATAATTCAGAAGAGAATGTTTCTGTTGAATGTTCGGAAACCAAATATCCTTTTAAATGTTCATGATTACTAAATTATGTCAATTCAGAACTAACAAATGATTATCAGAAATAGATATTCATTACAAGTACTATAGTACTACCCATGCACTGTAGGTGTGCATGGGGGGTTCCTCTTGGCCGCCAGGAGCAGAGCTCCCAACGTTACACCCAAGCACCACGGTGAGGTGGGAACCATCGCTTAGGACCCTGTTGGAGGGGGGGAGACAGAACACAAAAGGAAACTGGATACTGCCCAGGGGCAGGTGAAAATTAATATGTGACTCTGTTGGGGGGGGAAGACAGAACACAAACGGACACTGGATAGTGCCCAAGGGCAGGTGAAAATTATTATGAGACCCTGTTGGGGGGGGAGACAGAACACAACAGGATACTAGGTGGAAATTATTATGTGACCCTGTTGAGGGGGGAGACAGAACACAAAAGGATAGGCAGGTGGAAATTAATATGCGACCCTGTTGGGGGGGGAGAGAGAACACAGCAAACTGCAGTGAGGAGGGAGAGTTTTGGGAGTGAGTTTCGAGACTTCTCTCGAAACTCACAAGAGAAGAGAGTGTTCCTACTCTGCTTCGCTGCAACCTGTGTTCCCTGCAATCTGCTTCACCCCCTACTCTGCTTCGCTGCAACCTGTGTTCCCTGCAATCTGCTTCATCCCCTACCCTGCTTCGCTGCAACCTGTGTTCCCTGAAATCTGCTTAACCCCCTACCCTGCTTCGCTGCAACCTGTGTTCCCTGTAATCTGCTTCACCCCCTACCCTGTTTTGCTGCAACCTGTGTTCCCTGCAACCTGTGTTCCCTTCTCCTCTGATGCCTCTGTCATCCCCTTCACAGCTGCTTCATCCCCTTCACAGCTGCTTCATCTCCTTCACAGCTCCTTGGCAGCAGAAGGTAGCTAAAGGTAGGTACAGCTCGCTGGCATCTCTGCTGGCAGTCCACCCGTCTCCTCTGCCCGCCTGTAGCACCCGTCTCCTCTGCATCTCCTCTGCTGATCCGTCTCGTCTGCTGCAGGGTGTTTCGACCTGCTGTGAAATGGGAAAAGAATGGGAAGGCCGATGAGCGAATGACAACAATGGGATGTGCGCATGCCAAAAGATGACCCAAAACAGATGCGAAGCGAGAAAGACAACAACCATCCGTCCCATCCGAACAAACACAACAGCTAAAGCAAGAAAGATGATCACCATTGGCAGTGAATGTTTCTCCTCCACCGTGCGCCTTTGCTCTTTGCTCCTCAGCTGAGCCAACTCCACTGCTGCTGCCCATCCTCAGCTGAGCCAACCCCTGTGCTCCATCACCAACGCTGCATCTCCTCTGCTCATCCGTCTCCTCTGCAGCTCCCTCCCCTCTGCTGCGTCCTTCTGTGAAATGGGAGGAGAATACGTCAGGGCAGATAAGTGCAAGGCACTGACAGCACCTAGAGCCAAGAAAGAACTCAGAGCTGGTGCAAAACCAAGGCAACTACATTCGAGCAAACAAAACAACTCAAGGGAAAAAGAGAATCACCATCGGCAGTGAATAGTTATCCACCACCGTGCTCCTTCGCTCTTTGCTCTTCAATGCAGCACCACTCCCCCTCCAGTGCAGCACCACTCCCCCTCCAGTGCAGCACCACTCCCCCTCCAGTGCAGCACCACTCCCCCTCCAGTGCAGCACCACTCCCCCTCCAGTGCAGCACCACTCCCCCTCCAGTGCAGCACCACTCCCCCTCCAGTGCAGCACCACTCCCCCTCCAGTGCAGCACCACTCCCCCTCCAGTGCAGCACCACTCCCCCTCCACTGCAGCACCACTCCCCCTCCACTGCAGCACCTCTCCACCTCCAGTGCAGCACCATTCCACCACTTCACAGCACCAGCAGAAGCACATGCGAGGGTGGCAGGAACGAGGCAGCCAGACGTCCCCTCTGCTCCTCTGGAGTAGCACACGGGAGGAAGACAGCATCATTTTCTCCCACTGCTGCTCCTCTGCTCCTCTACAGTAGCACACAGGAAGGGTGGCCTTCTCTTGTGCTGACTCTGCTTCTGCCACTGCTGGTACCACTGTTCGCATTCCCTTCTGCTGCCACTGCTGGTACCACTGCTTGCATTCCCTTCTGCTGCCACGCCTGCTGAAACCAGTAATATCACTGCGGGCCTCTCTTCTGCTCCCACTGCTGCTGCCACCGCTGGTCCCACTGCGGGCCTCTCTTCTGCTCGCTGTCCCATCACTTCACAGCACCAGCAGCAGCACGCGGGAGGGAGGTAGGAGCGAGGAAGGTAGCAGCACCATCACTTCCCCTCCTTGGATGCATCTCCTCCTCCTCCGCTTCATCTCCTCCTCCTCGGATGCATCTCCTCCTCCTCTGATGCATCTCCTCCTCCTCTGATGCATGTCCTCTGCTCCATATCCTGCGGAATGAGAAGAGAAAGTCTATGAGCGCATTGCACTAAATGCACCCTATAGTTGCACACAAGCAAGTGGGAACAAGAGCATAGCGAATAGGGCAACGGCGCCATCAATCGAGAGCAGGAAAGCAGATCCTCACCGGCAGTGGCAGGGGATTCTCCTTCGCCTCCTCCTTTGCTCCTTCGATCATTCGCACGCCTCCTATTCTCAGGTGCACCTCCTCCTCTGATGCATCTCCTCTGCTCCTCCTCCTCTGATGCATCTCCTCTGCTCCTCCTCCTCCTCCTCCGATTCATCTCCTCTGCTCCTCCTCCTCTGATGCATCTCCTCTGCTCCTCCTCCTCTGATGCCTCTCCTTTGCTCCTCCTCCTCATCTGATTCATCTTCTCTGCTCCTCCTCCTCTGACGTGTCTCCTCTTCTGCATCTCCTGCAGAAAAGGAAAAGAAAGTCTGTGAGCTCATTGCGCCAATTGCACCCAGTGGTTGCACACAGTGCCAACAAATGATTGAGAACAAACACGTAGCGAATAAGGCAACGGCCATTGATCGAGAGCAGGAAGGAGATCCTCACCGGCAGTGGCAGAGGATCCTCCTTTGCCTCCTCTGCTCCCTTCGCTCTTCAGCCTCGCATGCATCTCCTCTTCTCCTCTCCCCGGCTGCTCCTCTCCTCTTCTGCGCCTCCGCTGTTCCTTTGTTGCTCCGTCCCCTCCGATGCATCTCCTGCGGAATGCAAAGGAGGAAAAAGCCTATGAGCACGCAATGATTGCACCCGGTGCCAAGAACCGATTCGAAATTAAAGCAACGACCAAAGGATGCCAAGCGAACAAGGCAACGACCAAAGGATGAAGAGATCAAAGCAGGAAAGAAGATGCTCACCGGCAGGCTGCAGCAGCACGCGGGAGGGAGGTAGGAGCTGCCGTCCCAGCAGCAGCACCAGCAGCAGCACGCGGGAGGAAGTAACAGCTCGCAGCTGGCTAGTGCCTGTGTGCCTTCTCTCCTCCGTGCGGCCAGCAGCGATGGCCAGCAGCATTGGGGAGCACTATGGTTCTCAGCTCCTCTGCTCCTTTGGCCTTCTTCCCTCCATGCCTTCTCTCCTCCGTGCCCTCTGCTCCATGTCTCTCCAATGCTGCATCTTTGTTCCTCTTCTCCATCTCCTTTGCCTCTCCTTCCTCTCCTCTGCTGCTTCGCCTCCCCTTCTGCTGCCACTGCTGCCTCGACCAGTAATGTCTCTGCGGGCCTCTCTTCTGCTCCCACCGCTGGTGCCACTACTGGCCTCCTCGCCTCCTCACCTCGCCTCCTCGCCTTCTCTTCTGCTCGCCGTCCCATCACTTCACAGCACCAGCAGCAGCACGCGGGAGGCGGTAACAGCTCACAGCAGTGCCTGTGGGCCTTCTCCCCTCCATGCCATTGCAATGGCAAGGAACCCTCCTCCGCTTCCACTGCTCCTCTGCTGCTCTGTCCCCTCCGATGCATCTCCTGCGGAATGGGAGGGAAGAAAACCTTATGAGCAATCAGCGATTGCATCTAGAGCCACAAAACTGATACAAGATCGACGCCAACCGAACAAAGCAGCGACCATCCATGCAAAGGCGAAAGAAATCAAGAGCAGGAAAGAAGAATGCTCACTGGTAGTGGCAATGGCAGGGAATCCTTCCTCCTGCCGCCTCCGCCTCCCCTGCTCCTCCGCTGCTCCTCTCCTCCACCTCCGCCTCCCCTACTCCTCCGCCTCCGCCTCTCCTCCCATCTCCGCTACTCCTCCCATTCCCGGTCTTGAAGTCTTGGGGCTGTCTGAAAGGGGAGGGAGGCAACAAACCACGACATTAGTGAATGTGGAAAACAAGAAAACAGAAATGGACGAGCACTTACCGAGGGGAGTGAAGCCGTGTTGAAGTCTTGGGGCTGGCTGAAAAGGGGAGGGAGGCAACAAACCACGACATTAGTGCATGTGGAAAACAAGAAAACAGAAATGGACGAGCACTTACCGAGGGGAGTGAAGCCGTTTTAAAGTCTTGGGGCTGTCTGAAAGGGGAGGGAGGCAACAAACCACGACATTAGTGCATGTGGAAAACAAGAAAACAGAAATGGACGAGCACTTACCGAGGGGAGTGAAGCCGTCTTGAAGTCTTGGGGCTGTCTGAAAGGGGGGGGGGGCAACAAACCACGACATTAGTGCATGTGGAAAACAAGAAAACAGAAATGGACGAGCACTTACCGAGGGGAGTGAAGCCATCTTAAAATCTTGGGGCTGTCTGAAAGGGGAGGGAGGCAACAAACCACGACATTAGTGCATGTGGAAAACATGAAAACAGAAATGGACGAGCATTTACCGAGGGGAGTGAAGCCGTCTTGAAGTCTTGGGGCTGTCTGAAAAGGGGGGGGGGGCAACAAACCATGACATTAGTGCATGTGGAAAACATGTTAACAGAAATGGACGAGCACTTACCGAGGGGAGTGAAGCTGTCTTGAAGTCTTGGGGCTGTCTGAACCACGACATTAGTGCATGTGGAAAACAGGAAAACAGAAATGGAAGATAGCTTACCGAGGGGGCAGGAACGCTCTTGGTGTCTTGGTTACGGCTAAGACAGGAAGACACACAAAATACAACATTACGAGTTAGACAAAACGAGAAACGAAAAAAAGGCAGCAGCTTACAGCGGGTTAGCTGCTGCGTCCCTTTGTTACTCTGCCCGCGATGTTGGCCCCCTTCCTTGCTGTACCTAGAAGAGGGGAGGCACAAAAGTTATCCTTTGCCCCCCAGCGGGCAAAGTAGCCACGCCTCACTTGAAGCTGCCACTCCTCCTCCCGCTGCTGCTCTTGTGTTGATCCTTTGCCCCCTAGGGGGTAAAGTAGGCACCTCAGTTGAAGTTGCTCCTTCCAGCTGCTGCCCCACCAGCTGTTGCTTCGCCCTAAGTGTTGCCCCGGTTCTTGCTGCACCTAGGAGAGGGGCGACACAAAACTTATCCTTCTCCTGCCGGCTGAGGAAGGAAACCCCTCACTTGAAGCTGCTCCTCCTCTGTGTGTTGATCCTTTGCCCCCCAGGGGGCAAAGCGCCTCACTTGAAGTTGCTCCTCCTCCTCCTTGTGTTGATCCTTTGCCCCCCAGGGGGCAAAGCGCCTCACTTGAAGGTGCTGCTCCTCCTCCTCCTTGTGTTGATCCTTTGCCCCCCAGGGGGCAAAGCGCCTCACTTGAAGGTGCTGCTCCTCCTCCTGCTACTCCTCTTATGTTGTTCCTTTGCCCCCCAGGGGGTCAAAGCGCCGCACTTGAAGGCGCTGCTCCACCTCTCGCTGCTCCTCGTGTGTTGATCCTTTGCCCCCCAGGGGGTCAAAGCGCCTCACTTGAAGCTCCACTGCTGCCCGTCCTTGCTGCCCCGGTCTTCTGCCCAGCCTTGCTTCAGGACCAGCTGTGCAATTTTGCTCACTGCAACGCTTGCAGTGAGGAACATGCAAAAGAGTTTTGAGACATCTCCCAAAACCCTGGTTTTGCTCACTTCAGCTAAGCTGCAGTGAGGAGAAAAAGAGAGAGAGAGCGAGTGAGTTTCGAAACTCACAAGAGAAGGGAGCGAGTTTTGAGATGTCTCTCAAAACTCACTCAGAGAAGAGAAGAGAGGAGGAACGGAACACTGCAGTGCACTGCAGGACACGACAAAACTGGATTTGAGGCGCCTCAAACCAGCAAACGGGATCCTCACACCTCACACTCACTCTAACTCACTCTCACTCTCACCCTCACTCTCCTCTCACTCTTGCACCCCTCACGTCCTCTCTGTGCTCCTCCCAGCAGGTCTCCCTTAAGGCTGCTGCTGCTGCTACTGCTGCTGCTGCTGCTGCTGCCACCGCTGCTGCTGCTGTAAACCCTGGAATCACAGCGGACCTCTCTCCTTCTCCCACCGCTGCTGCCACCGCTGGTGTCACTGCTGGTCTTCTCTTCTGCTGCCAGCCACTGCTGCTGCCAGCTGTAGTGTCATTGCAGACCTCTCTTCTGCTCCCACTGCCGCTGCCACCGCAGGTGTCACTCCTTGCATCCCCTTCTGCTGCCACTGCTGCTGCCACCAGGTAATGTCACTACGGACCTCTCTCCTGCTCCCACTGCTGTCAGCTGTAGTGTCATTGCGGGCCTCTCTCCTGCTCCCACTGCCGCTGCCACCGATGGTATCACCGCTGGCTAACGCAGCACCAGAGCTGCTTGCTGTCGTCCCATCACTCAACACAGCAGCACCGCTCCAATACAGGAGCACCGCTCCAACACAGCAGCACCACACCATCGCAGCACCACCCTTCCACCTCCAATGCCGCACCAACGCTAATCAATGTCATGCTTCCAAGGACGCAGCACCGCTTCAACGCAGCAGCACCGCCGTCAGTCAACGCAGCAGCTTCTCCCGCCATTTCCAACGCCATGATGCTTGGCCATGCGTCAGCGACAGTCAGTACGAAAGCTTCTATGGACGCGACGCAGCAGTCAGCCATCTCCTCTCGCCAGCGCTTCTTCAGTGCCTGCACGGACGCAGCTGCACCGCTCCCGCTCCCGCTCCTGCTCTTGGCAATGGTTCGTTCGTTGCTCTCGCATCTGCACGGACTGACGGAGTCAGGAGTGAGAAACGCCATGACAGGAAGGGAAACAGAGAATTCGCCAGATTGCTTCAAACGAAACGCGATCGCCAAGAGAGCAGCGAAATAGCAATTGAAATAGATTGGGAAGATATCCAGCGTTTGGGGTAGGAGTGGACGAAAAGCTCACCACAACCGGCGAAAACGGCGAAAGTGATTTGGAGCTTGGACGAAATCTCCTCCGTAGTAGCGGCGCGAGCGTCGCCGCATTCGCGACCACGAAAACGGCGCCTTCGTTGCTCGCGCATCGTCGACTCGACGTCGCGCCGCGAGCGTCGCACGGTCGTCGCGAGTGTTGTACGGTCGTCGCACGGTCGTTGCGAGTGTCGTACGGTCGTCGCACGGTCGTCGCACGGTCGTCGCGAGCGTCGCACGGTCGTCGCGAGTGTCGTACGGTGGTCGCAAAGTTCCTCCGCGAGCCACTCCGCCGTCGTGAGCGTCGACGTATCGACGAGCGGATTCTCGTCCTCCTCCGCAGTCCTTCGCGAGCGTCGACGACCTAGCGAGCTCTTCCGAATCATTTCTCGTCAAGAAATTCGCGAGCTTGATCAGAGGATCCGCGCCGACGTCATGAATCTTCCGTCAAGCATCCGCGAGGTTCGCGAGCGTCGCGGAATTTCGACGTCGGACGTTAGTAGTGGTTGAAAGCGGTGCTCGACATCAGCGTTTTCTGCGTCGGACGTCGCGTCGTCGCCTTTGTTACCGTCGCGGGCGTCTAGGAATGAATGGCTATGCATGCTGCGAGATTCGAACATTGTATGGTGCTGTATGAAACTACTCCTTCCAACGCAGCGCCATCGAGCTACTACGCGAGCGATGCAAGTCGTTAAGGTCGCACAAGCAGCGTTGAGCGATTCGCACAAGGATGGCACGAATTCGTGCCCTTCAGGAACATTGTCGCATCATGTCGCGACTGGTCGCATCATGTCATGTCGTCGCTTCACGTTGTTAAGCTTGTCGCGGATTCACGAGGTTAAGAGCTCACGAAGATTCATGGAAGAACTTGGATCTCGCGACTCGCGAACTCTATGACACCGAAGACGATTCGACTAAGCTGCTGTAATAAGGAGCTGAGAATCTCATAAGAGCTTGGATCTGACGTAAAGAGAAATGAATCCGCCATTCTGCACCTGACGGTCATCTGATTGCAACTGATTGTGAATAAGCTCTCTTACTACTATCCTCATACGCTCGAAAGCTTCTACTAATATCCTCCTGATTATCCTTGAAATTTACGCGCTTCCGTAAGAGTCCACGCACGATAATTTCCTCCTCGGTACAGCTAATCCAGGAAGCCATGGATTCCAGTCAATCGAGTTTGCTAACTCACGGAACATTCCCTCCGAAGAATGCCTGGAGACAAGCTCTGCATGGAGAATGCCTGAGAGGGATTCAGTGAAGGTGGATCAAGCGATGGGAGTTGGGACGGGAAGGAGAAGCAAGGTCTAGTACGGTGAAGAAAGTTTTGGCAAGGTGAAAAAGGTTAAAGAGAGATGAGACTCATTACAGAAAGGTGAGATGAGGTGAGGCAAAGTGAGGTGGGGTGATGGTAAGAGAAAGGCGAAAGTGATGGGGCTGAACGGCAAGAGCTGCAAGTCGAGTCGCTTCGCGAAGAGCCCTCCTGTCCACCCAAGACGAAAAGGGGTTGGGGGGATTTCCCCCCGTTTCGGCAAGCCCGAGGCGCAAGCGTTTGCAAAGTTCGCTAGTGAGTTGCGCTGACTGGCAGGAATCCGCGGATAAGCCTGCCGACGATCTGAGCTGAAGGCGGGGAAAGGCGGAAAGTGGTGTGAGTCAGTGGGGAAACGACGGCCTGTTCGCGGGCAAAAGCAACGAAAATATGAAGATTGAGTGAGATCCAATACACCGTGGATGCGGAGGATCTGACGGCTGAGCACAGCTTTCTGGAGTGGTATGGTATTGTAAGTTACCACCAATCGGATGTCTGCCTCGAGATCCCATGGATGGCCCGAGTCGCCATAACAAGTGGATACAGCAAATGAGTTGAACTGGTGGTGTCAGGCGATGAATTCAAATTGAGTCTCTTGTGAAGTCCATCATCATTCAGGCAAGTTGCAGCTTTCATCCGCGTCTTGAAATTACTGTAAGAACAATATGGTTGGTTATAGAGGTAAACGTAAAACGATAGTAAAAACTTACCACTATCCTTTCCACTGGTCTGTTAAGGGGGAAAGTACTGTTTTAAGTGAACAGTAAATCCCCCCTTAACAGGTCACACATTCTCTATTACACTTGTCATTTTACTAACTTGAGCGTAGCTAGTATGGGGGATTCTTTTCTCAAATCTCATAGTTTGCTTTTATATTCCTCGAAGCCTTTCATTGTTGGAGATCTAGTAAAATGTCAGGCACCTTGACTCCACTCACGCCATGAACCACCACGCTCCGTGTGGATCTGTATATAGGTCTGGCAGCACCACTACGCTCCCAACTCTGGCTTGCCCAACACGATACCTCCCCTTCCACCTCCATCTCCATCTCTTCAAACCCTGTTGTGAACTGCATGCACACGAGGGGAAGTGGGGCGGAGTGGGGGATAAAGGAGTTTCAGTGCAGGAGAGAGGGAGGATTTTGGGGTGGGGGATGGAAAGAGAGGGAGTGGCTGGGGGAGGGAGAGAGGGAGGGGCTGGCGAACGTAGTTGAAAAGACAGCAGAGGGCGGGGGAATGGAAGAGGAGAGAGAGTGGATTGAATGAGCACAAAACGCCAGCACATGTATGGTCCAAACCCAACAAAATCAGAAATGCTGCTGGGATGATGCGTACGTGAGCGGAACACCACAAGTACTTACTCACATCTCTAGGGATCCCACAACCACAGGGATCCCACATCTCTAGGGCAGTGCATGCCAAACCTAAAAACGGAGTCACATTGCCAGCCAGAGGAAGGACATCATGCATGGCAGTGCATGAAGCTGACACGGCAGTGCATGAAGCTGACACGGCAGTGCATGAAGCTGACACGGCAGTGCATGAAGCTGACACGGCAGTGCATGAAGCTGACACGGCAGTGCATGAAGCTGACACGGCAGTGCATGAAGCTGACACGGCAGTGCATGAAGCTGACACGGCAGTGCAAGCCACAAGCCAACAGAGGCACACTACCAACCATAGGAAGCACAGGATGCACGCACTAGTGAGCCTGCCGGTAGTCCTGCCAGCTGAGCGACGGAAGGCGAGCACGCGGAGCATGGCGCTGGCGCGGCGTGTGTGGTAGCGGCAGGTAGCGTAAGGTGCTGTTGAATTCTGCGCATGATGAAGGGGGGGGAAAGGAAGGGGAGGGGAGGAAGAGGGGGGAAAGGGGGAGTACTGAAGGCGTGTTGTTTCTAACGTGGAAAAGAGATCACATGGTACCCGAAAAACACGTGCTTCTGATAATTAGCATTCTGTGTGCCAGTGGTATGTTTGAACATGTACAGCAACATCGTAACCTAGTAGATTCACAGCGGAGATCTGATGTTTCGCTAGTAAACTAGCAGGAAAATCGATAGCGTCGCTATAACGCTTTAGCGGCCAGGCCTCGACCGTTGATGTTTCCGGCATTCGTTCACCGGCAGTGCGCGTCGCGGCGTTGACGGCATTCGTTCCAAATCTTACTAATTGTTCCGAGTCTTACTAATTTGTTCGCTGCCATCGCCACGTAAGGCGCTTCCGCGTCGCACACTATAACGAGTCCGCACCGACGTCCGTTAAGTCATTCGTGTATCCCTGAAACGAGGATAGCCATTATCGGAGCGGTGACTACGGCGCGAATCTGTATACTCGCGATGAATCTGTTTACGCGAATGTGCGCGGAGAGGTGATGAGCACCACCGACAAGGCATGGCGGGAAGCGATGATCAGATCGGAGCGATTTCGTTAGCAGTGGTACTAACAATGATCATGATCGCACCGATATTAGTGACAGAAATCTCGCATTGACTATGGAGTGTTTGTAACGCGGCGCGTTTCCCGGTAAGAAAGAGCATAATTGCTACACAATATGGAAATCCGTAATGATCATTAAAAAGATGAAAGGTAAATTAGAAAGTTCTACTTCTACCAGAACGTTTTACAGCTACTGGAAAGTTCCATATCTACCACTACAAAGCTCTATCTCTACTAGAAAGTCTCATATGTACTGCTAGCTGTTCCATACGGTGTCTACTAAAGTTCCATGTCAACTATCTACAAACTAAAAAATAAATTAATTGTACTATTGTATTACCCATGCACTGTAGGTGTGCATGGGGGGTTCCTCTTGGCCGCCAGGAGCAGAGCTCCCAACGTTACACCCAAGCACCATGGTGAGGTGGGAACCATCGCTTAGGACCCTGTTGGAGGGGGGGAGACAGAACACAAAAGGAAACTGGATACTGCCCAGGGGCAGGTTAAAATTATTGTCACATCCAATGCTGCCCGGTCTTGTTTCCTGGCCAGCTGTACAAATTTGCTCACTGCAAAGATTGCAGTGAGGAACAAGCAAAAGAGTTTTGGGACATCTCCCAAAACCCTGATTTTGCTCACTGCAGGTAAACTGCAGTGAGGAAGGCGTGAGTTTTGAGACATCTCTCAAAACTCACAAATTTAGGAATAGAGAGAGAGAGTGTGTTAGTAGTGAGTTTTGAGATGTCTTTCAAAACTCAGAGAAGAGAAGGGAGGAGGAACGGAACACTGCAGTGCACTGCAGGACACAACAGAACTGCCACCGGCAGCTCACTACTGGATTTGAGGCGCCTCAAACCAGCATACAAGGTCCTCACACCTCACACCTCACTCTCACTCTCACTCTCAATCTGACCCTCACACTCACTCTCACTCTCACTCTCACTCTGACCCTCACTCCGCTCCCCCCTCACTCCGCTCCCCCCTCACTCCGCTCCCCCCTCACTCCGCTCCCCCCTCACTCCGCTCCCCCCTCACTCCGCTCCCCCCATCACTCTGCTCCCCCATCACTTTGCTCCCCCCATCACTCTGCTGGCAGTCATCCCCTCTGCTCCTCTCTCTCTCCAGCAGCTGCCAGTACTCATCGGCTGCCATTGCTACTCTCTCCCAGCAGATGCCAGTACTGATTGGCTCCCATTGCTGCTCCTCCCAGCAGGTGGCCTTCTCTTCTGCTCCTACTGCTCCTCTCTTCCCAGCAGGTGCCAGTAGTCTCCTCTGCTCCTCTGCAGTGGTGTCATTGCTACTGCCACCGCTACTGTCTCCTCTTGCAATCCCTTCTGTTCCCACTGCTGCTGCCACCGCTGCTTCATCCCCTTCACGGCTGCTTCATCCCCTTCACAGCTCCTTGGTAGCTAGACGTAGGTACAGCTCGCTGGCATCGCTGCTGGCAGTCCACCCGTCTCCTCTGCAGCCGTCTCTTCTGTATCTCCTCTGCTGATCTGAATCCCTCGCCTCTGCGTCCTCCTGTGAAACGGGAGGAGAATGAGTCAGGGACGATGAGTGCAGTGCAAGGCACCGATTGCACCGATTGCAGTGCAAGAAAGAAAGACCTCAGAGCAAATGGAAAACCAAGGCAACTTGATGAGAACAAACAAAGCAACGAGATGAGAACAAACAGAAAAACTTCGATGAAAAAGAGAATCACCGTCGGCAGTGAATAGTTATCCACCACTTTGCTCTTTGCTCTTTGCTCTTTTGCTCTTCAATGCAGCACCACTCCCCCGCCAGTGCAGCACCACTCCCCCTCCACTGCAGCACCACTCCACCACTTCACAGCACCAGCAGCAGCACATGCGAGGGAGGTAGGAGCGAGGCACCACAAGGCAGATAGAGGTAGTTACAGCTGGCACCTTTCTGCTTCTCTGCTCCTCTGCTCTATTCAGCTGCTCATCACCTCTCCTCCAGTGGCCTTCTCTTCTGCACACGGGAGGGAGGCAGCATCATTTTCTCCCACTGCTGCTCCTCTGCTCCTCTGCAGTAGCACACAGGAAGGGTGGCCTTCTCTTCTTGTGACTCTGCTTCTGCCACTGCTGCTACCACTGCTTGCATTCCCTTCTGCTGCCACGCCTGCTGAAACCAGTAATGTCACTGCAGGCCTCTCTTCTTCTCCCTGTCCCATCACTTCACAACACCAGCAAACCAGCATACAAGGTCCTCACACCTCACACCTCACTCTCACTCTCACTCTCAATCTGACCCTCACACTCACTCTCACTCTCACTCTCACTCTGACCCTCACTCCGCTCCCCCCTCACTCCGCTCCCCCCTCACTCCGCTCCCCCCTCACTCCGCTCCCCCCTCACTCCGCTCCCCCCTCACTCCGCTCCCCCCTCACTCCGCTCCCCCCATCACTCCGCTCCCCCCTCACTCCGCTCCCCCCTCACTCCGCTCCCCCCTCACTCCGCTCCCCCCTCACTCCGCTCCCCCCATCACTCTGCTCCCCCATCACTTTGCTCCCCCCATCACTCTGCTGGCAGTCATCCCCTCTGCTCCTCTCTCTCTCCAGCAGCTGCCAGTACTCATCGGCTGCCATTGCTACTCTCTCCCAGCAGATGCCAGTACTGATTGGCTCCCATTGCTGCTCCTCCCAGCAGGTGGCCTTCTCGTCTGCTCCTACTGCTCCTCTCTTCCCAGCAGGTGCCAGTAGTCTCCTCTGCTCCTCTGCAGTGCTGTCATTGCTACTGCCACCGCTAGTGTCTCCTCTTGCAATCCCTTCTGCTCCCACTGCCGATGCCACCGCTGGTGTCTCCTCTTGCAATCCCTTCTGCTCCAACTGCCAATGCCACCGCTGGTGTCACCGCGGGCATTCTCTTCTGCTCACCGTCCCATCACTCCACAGCACCAGCAGCAGCACATGGAAGGGAGGTAGGAGCGAGGAAGGTAGCAGTTGTCGTGCCATCACTTCACAGCACCAGCAGCAGCACAGAGCGGATGAGGTAGCAGCTGCTGTCCCGTCACTCCATAGGACCAGCAGCAGCACAGGCGAGAGCGGCGGGAGCACAAGGCAGCAGCAGCGCTCTTCTCTGCTCGATCTTGCTCGTGGTAACAGCAGCAGCACAGGTGAGAGAGGCGGGAACACAAGGCAGCAGCAGGTGGTAACAGCTCCATCTTGCTCGTGTCAAGCAGCAGCAGCAGCAGCAGCAGTGGCGGCCAGCAGCAGTGGGGGCCAGTGCAGTGCTGCTGTGCTCTTCTCTGCTCCTCTCCGCTGCTCTCCTCCCCTCAGCCAACTCCTCTGCTCCTCTCTTCTCTGCCCCTCAACTCTGCTTCCCCCAAACTCTGCTCCCCCAAACTCTTTCACTCTGCTCCACCTTCCATCTGCTTCATCTCCTTCTCAGCTGCTTCATCCCCTTCACAGCTCCTTGGCAGCAAAAGGTAGCTAGACGTAGGTACAGCTCGCTGGCATCGCTGCTGGCAGTCCACCCGTCTCCTCTGCCCGCCTGTAGCAGCCGTCTGCTCTGCCCGCCTATAGCAGCCGTCTGCTCTGCATCTCCACTGCTGATCCGCCTCCTCTGCTGCAGGGTGTTTCGACCTGCTGTGAAATGGGAAAAGAATGGGAAGGCTGATGAGCGAATGACATGGGATGTGCGCATGCCAAAAGATGACAAAAAACAGATGCGAAGCGAGAAAGACAACAACCATCCGTCCCATCCGAACAAACAGAACAGCTAAAGCAAGAAAGATGATCACCGTTGGCAGTGAATGTTTCTCCTCCACCGTGCGCCTTTGCTCTTTGCTCCTCAGCTTAGCCAACTCCTCTGCTGCTGCACATCCTCAGCCGAGCCAACCCCTCTGCTCCATCACCAACGCTGCATCTCCTCTGCTGATCCGTCTCCTCTGCAGCTCCCTCCCTTCTGCAGCTCCCTTCCCTCTGCTGCGTCCTTCTGTGAAATGGGAGGAGAATACACCAGGGCAGATGAGTGCAAGGCACTGACTGCACTGCACATAGAGCCAAGAGTGGAAGAAAGAGCCAAGAAAGAACCCAGAAAGAAAGTGGTGCAAAACCAAGGCAACTACATTCGAGCAAACAAAACAACTCAGTGAAAAAGAGAATCACCGTCGGCAGTGAATAGTTATCCACCACCGTGCTCCTTTGCTCTTCAATGCAGCACCATTCCCCTCCAGTGCAGCACCACTCCCCCTCCAGTGCAGCACCACTCCCCCTCCAGTGCAGCACCACTCCCCTCCACTGCAGCACCACTCCCCCTCCAGTGCAGCACCACTCCCCCTCCAGTGCAGCACCACTCCCCCTCCACTGCAGCACCACTCCCCCTCCACTGCAGCACCACTCCCCCTCCAGTGCAGCACCACTCCCCCTCCACTGCAGCACCACTCCCCCTCCAGTGCAGCACCACTCCCCCTCCAGTGCAGCACCACTCCCCCTCCAATGCAGCACCACTCCCCCTCCAATGCAGCACCACTCCCCCTCCAGTGCAGCACCACTCCCCCTCCAATGCAGCACCACTCCCCCTCCAGTGCAGCACCACTCCCCCTCCACTGCAGCACCACTCCCCCTCCAGTGCAGCACCACTCCCCCTCCAGTGCAGCACCACTGCCCCTCCAGTGCAGCACCACTCCCCCTCCACTGCAGCACCACTGCCCCTCCACTGCAGCACCACTCCCCCTCCAGTGCAGCACCACTCCCCCTCCACTGCAGCACCACTCCCCCTCCAGTGCAGCACCACTCCCCCTCCACTGCAGCACCACTGCCCCTCCACTGCAGCACCACTCCCCCTCCAGTGCAGCACCACTCCCCCTCCAGTGCAGCACCACTCCCCCTCCAATGCAGCACCACTCCCCCTCCAGTGCAGCACCACTCCCCCTCCACTGCAGCACCACTCCCCCTCCAGTGCAGCACCACTCCCCCTCCAGTGCAGCACCACTCCCCCTCCAGTGCAGCACCACTCCCCCTCCAGTGCAGCACCACTGCCCCTCCACTGCAGCACCACTCCCCCTCCAGTGCAGCACCACTCCCCCTCCACTGCAGCACCACTCCCCCTCCAGTGCAGCACCACTCCCCCTCCAGTGCAGCACCACTCCCCCTCCACTGCAGCACTACTGCCCCTCCAGCAGCAGCACCACTGCCCCTCCAGCAGCAGCACCACTTCACAGCACTTCACAACACCAGCAGCAGCACATGCGAGGGAGGTAGCAGCGAGGCAGAACAAGGCAGCAAAAGGTAGGTACAGCTTGCACCTTGCTGCTGCCAACTCTGGCCCCTTCTCTGCTCCTCTGCTCTATTCACCTGCTCATCACCTCTCCTGCAGTGGCCTCCTCTCCCAGCAGGTGCCAGTCGTCCCCTCTGCTCCTCTCACAGCTGAAGGGGAATCCTCTCCCAGCCCATTCTCACTGGCAGTGGCAATGGCCGGGAATCCTCCTTCGCCTCCTTTGCTCCTCTCCCAGCAGGTGCCGGTCGTCCCCTCTGATCGACCATGACTGTCTACGTAGGCCGTGAACACTAGCCCCATAAAATCTTATTCTACGTACTACGTCATCAGATTCAACAGTTAGCATCTCTTGTAATGTGAAAGCAGTTCCAAAAGCTTGAAATGTCGAGTATTCCATCTCCCTTGGTCTTTGACCATCACAATGGGACTTACCACAAAGAAGATGCTGTGTAACTAAGCCAACGGCCGTTATAGCTTAGTTACACAGCAACCTCATGGTGGTAAGTCTCATTTTGGTGGTCAAAGGTTTGAGGAGATGGAATGCTGGGCATTACAAGCTTATGGAGTTGCTTACGCATAAAAAGAGATGTTAATCGTAAAGTCTGATGACGTAGCAGGTAGAATCTGAATTTACGAGGTGAAGTGTTGTAGCCGGCTCAAGTGCTCCCACTGCTGCTCCTCTGCTCCTCTGCAGTAGCACACAGGAAGGGTGGCCTTCTCTTCTGCTGACTCTGCTGCTGCCACTGCTGGTACCACTGCTTGCATTCCCTTCTGCTGCCACGCCTGCTGAAACCAGTAATGTCACTGCGGGCCTCTCTTCTGCTCCCACTGCTGCTGCCACCGCTGGTCCCACTGCGGGCCTCTCTTCTGCTCGCTGTCCCATCACTTCACAGCACCAGCAGCAGCACGCGGGAGGTAGCAGCTGCCGTCCCATCACTTCACAGCACCAGCAGCAGCACGCGGGAGGGAGGTAGGAGCGAGGAAGGTAGCAGCTGCCGTCCCATCACTTCACAGCAACAGCAACAACGCGGGAGGCAGTAACAATGCGCAGCTTCCTAGTGTCGATTCCTGTGTGATTTCTCCGCGCCGTGCCTTCTCCCCTCCATGCCTTCTGCTCCGTCTGCTCTGCTGCTGCTCCTCAGCTGAGCCAACTCCTCTGCTTCTCCACCTCCTCTATTCCACCTCCGCTCCATCTCCTTCTCCTCTGGTGCATCTCCTTCTCCTCGGATGCATCTCTGCATTCCTCGCAATCTGCTTCCCCTGCAACCCCTGTTCCCCGCTATCCGCTTCCTCCTCATTCTCCTCCATCTCCTGATTTGCTGCGTCTCCTTCATTTCTGCTTCATTTCTGCTCCATCTGCATCGTCTGCTTCATCAGCATCGTCACTTCACTTCACAGCACCAGCAGCAGCTCATGGGCGGGAGGTACGAGCGAGAGAGATAGCACCTGGCCTTCTCTTCTGCTCCCAGCAGCTGCCAGTCGTCTCCTCTGCTCTTCTGCAGTGGCACCATCATCTGCTCCCACCGCTGCTGCCACCGCTGCTGCCACTTCTTGCAAGCCCTTCTGCTGCCACAGCTTCTGCCACCGCTGCTGCCACTCATGGCCTTCTCTTCTGCTGCTCCCACTACTGTTGCCACAGCTGGTATCACGAATGGCCTTCTCTTCTGCTGCTCACTACTGTTGCCACAGATGGTATCACGAATGGCCTTCTCTTCTGCTGCTGCCTCTTCTTTTGTTGCTGGCCATCTCCTTTGCTCCTCCACTCCCCTTCACCTATCCTCCTATCACATCACACCACCAGCACCAGCAAACTGGAGGGAGGTAGGAGCGAGGGAGGTAGCACCTGTCCCTGCTGCGGTTTTCTGGTATTGCTGATGGTCCCACTGCTGCCGCTGCTGCTGCCAGCACAGCAGCACCTCTCCACCTCCAACGCAGCAGTTGCCGTCCCATCCCTTCGTAGCACCAGCAGCAGCACAGGGGAGAGAGGTAGGAGCGCGTGAGGTAGCAGTTGCCGTCCCATCCCTTCGTAGCACCAGCAGGAGGCAGCAGGTAGTAACAACCCGAGCTTTCTCACTGTCAAAGCTGCCGCCTTCTCTCCTCCATACGATCAGAAGCGGCGGTGGCGCCTTCTTCTCGCCTCCATCTTTCTCGCTGTGACGTTTTCAATACGGCCGCCTTCTCTCCTCCATATGACCAGCAGCGGTAGGGAGCTGCTCCCCTCCCCTACGCCAACTCCTGCTCCTCTCCTCCCTTTCATTCTCCTGGGAAGTTACTGTCCTTGACCACAGGCAGCAAGCCATCTCCTCTGCTCGCCTGCTGCTGCTGATGGCAGCCCAGCCGTCTCCTCTGCTCGCCTGTAGCAACTGATGGCAGCCCAGCCGTCTCGTCTGCTCGCCTGTAGCAACTGATGGCAGCCCAGCCTTCTCGTCTGCTCACCTGTAGCAACTGATGTCAGTCCAGCCGTCTCGTCTGCTCGCCTGTAGCAACTGATGGCAGCCCAGCCATCTCCTCTGCTCCCCTGTAGCAACTGATGGCAGCCCAGCCGTCTCGTCTGCTCGCCTGTAGCGACTGATGGCAGCCCAGCCTTCTCCTGCTGCAGCTGATGGCGTCGACTTTGCTTTCACGCCCGTGGACTGGCTTGCACTCCTCCCAACACCCAACAGCAGCGCCAGGAAAGCGTAGGACAGCTGGGAGGGCCCCATGCGGCAAGTCAGTTCTTCTCGTGTTGCCATCCCCTCCACAGCGCCTGGAAAGCGTCTCGTTCCGTGCGGGGAGATGGGAGGGTTCAGCACACCTTCCCTTCTCATGCTCCCACAGCTGCTGCTCCGTCTTCCCACCCACGCCTTAACATTCCGTGCACAGCGACCAGAGAGTTGCGATTGCACAGGAAAGGTTTATCAGAGAAGAGGTTAACAGAGTAAACTGACAGAGTAAATTGACAGAGTAAATTGACAGAGTAAACTGACAGAGTTAACTGACAGAGTAAACTGACAGAAGAAATTGACAGATCTAATGATGGATGGAGTGACTTGACAAATGCAAGGAGGAGACAACGGGGATGTTTGTCACTCACTTGTTTGTTCAGTCTCTGCCTCACTTCGATCCCTCCTCACTCTGCTGCCAACCGTCCCCTCTGCTCCCCTCCCTGCAGGTGCCATCACTTCACAGCAGCAGCAGCAAGCGGGAGGCAGTAAAAGCCGTGCCGTGCCTGTGTGCCTTCTCCCCTCTGTGCCTTCTCTCCTCCAGCAGCGTTGAGGGGAAATCGCAGCTGTGCGGTTCTCTGCTCCCCTGATCCTTTGGCCTTCTCCCTTCCGTGCCTTCTCTCCTCCGTGCCCTCTGCTCCATGTCTCTCCAATGCTCCGTCTCCTTCCTCTTCTCCATCTCCTTCCTCTCCTCTGCTGCGCCGTCTCCTCTGCTGCGCCGTCTCCTCTGCAACAGCATCTCCTGAGAAACGGGAAGAGACAGGATCAGGGCCGATGAGCACACGGCACTGCTTGCACCTCATCCCAAGAAAAGACCTAGTCTCTACAAATGACTTCCAGAAAGTGCAAAACGAATGAGGCAGCAAGCATGCGTCTGAACGAACACAACAGATAAAGCAAGAAAGACAGAGGAGCATATTTACTCCACCATTGTGCTTCTTCGCTCCATCGCTCCTTTGCCCCTCGTCTCCTCTGCTGCTCCTCTGATGATGCATCTCCTCTGCTCCTCCTCCTCTGATGCATCTCCTCTGCTCCTCCTCAACTGATGCATCTCCTCTGCTACTCCTCCTCCAATGCATCTCCTCTGTTCCTCCTCTGATGCATCTCCTCTGCAGCAGCACGCGGGAGGGAGGTAGGAGCGAGGAAGGTAGCAGCTGCCGTCCCATCACTTCACAGCACCAGCAGCAGCACGCGGGAGGGAGGTAGGAGCGAGGAAGGTAGCAGCTGCTCCGTTGGCCTTCTTCCCTCCATGCCTTCTCTCCTCCGTGCCCTCTGCTCCATGTCTCTTCAATGCTGCATCTCTTTCCTCTTCTCTGCTGCTTCGCCTCCCCTTCTGCTGCCACTGGTGCCACTGCTGGCCTTCTCTTCTGCTCGCCGTCCCATCACTTCACAGCACCAGCAGCAGCACGCGGGAGGGAGGTAGGAGCGAGGGAAGTTGCAGCTTCCGTCCCATCACTTCACAGCGCAAGCAGCAGCACCCTGGAGGCAGTAACAGCTCACAGAAGTGCCTGTGTGCCTTCTCCCCTCCATGCCACTGGCAGTGGCAATGGCAAGGAACCCTCCTCCGCCTCCGCTGCCACTGCTGCTGCCACTGCTGCTGCCACCGCTGGTCCCACTGCTGGCCTCCTCCTCCTCCTCCTCCTCCTCCTCCTCCTCTCCTCCTCTCCTCCTCTCCTCCTCTCCTCCTCTCCTCCTCTCCTCCTCGCCTTCTCTCCTCCGCTGCTCCTCGCCTCCTCTCCTCCTCCCCTCTTCGCCTCCATCTCCTCCGATGCATCTCCTGCGGAATGGGAAGGAAGGGAAGGAAGGACCAAGATATCGAAGGCAGGAAAGAAGATGACCGGCAATTCTCACAGTGGCATTCAAACAACCAATGCAACGTTACCCAAGAGAATTGCAACAAAAGTGCAGAACAACAAAAGAAACAGAGGGGCTCACCATTTGCAGAGGTAGTTTCCATTCAGCACCACGCTCCGCTGCTCCTTACCTCCTCTGCTCCTCTCCTCCACACCTACTCTCCTCCACGTGCTCCTCCTCTCCTCCTCTCCTCCTCTCCTCCTCGCCTCCTCTCATCCACGCCTCCTCTGGAGAGGGCTGGAGGCGTCGTGAAGTCTCGCGGCTGTCTGAAACGGAAGCAACAACGACATTAGTACATGTGGAAAACAGAAAGCAGAAACTTGGAGAGCACTTACCGAGGGGGCTGGAGGCGTCGTGAAGTCTCGCGGCTGTCTGAAACGGAAGCAACAACGACATTAGTACATGTGGAAAACAGAAAGCAGAAACTTGGAGAGCACTTACCGAGGGGGCTGGAGGCGT